TCAGATGCCGGCGCCAATGGCCAGATACTTAAAGGTGATAAATCGACGTACAATGTGTGATCGCCGCGTACTTCGCATCTCTTCCCGGCTGTGGTGGGAGTCCGTCGTAATGACCACATCATTACGAGAACGCCGACAAACAGTTCCTGGAAATAGGATGGCGTCACGAGCAAGACAGCATCAAAACAAGAGATTGATTGGATATTACATCTGACCAACGGTCTTTTCATTTCAAGACACTCTCTACGTGTATTGATATGGTGGCCCATCAGCTCCAAAGAAAATCTGGAAAGATCTGGAGGCGGAGCCAAGTGAGATTGGCCTGAGATACACTGCAAGGCGGACCGTTTCGGGGGGCATGTGTCTCCCAAATAAGGCGGCATCTTCCTCGAACTCTTCCCAACTGGTTCCTATAGACAGCTTGTTCTGATCCAAATGAATCCGCGTGGTTTGGTTCTCTATTGTTTAAGTGGTGAGTAAGCCTAAGAGTACTAACGTTGAAACGTTGACGCTCTAAACCGCGAGCCTCACGTTAACAATGAAACCAGCGTTCTGATTGGTGGAATTTCCGTGGAAAGACCCGACCCAAATTGAGTCCTGTGTTCATGAAACATTTTCTTTCTGAACGTTTTGATTTTCAGAAAGTTCTCCCTTCTACCGGCCCCGCGATGCCAGCGGTGTACCGCAGTTTTTGAGTAACGTGTTAAATGATTTATCTGATCAACTTTGTGCTAACGACTCGTTCACTGCCAGTGCGCCCAGCCGGCACCAATCCACGTTTCCGCATCTACCCGAAGGATTGAACACCAGGCTAGTCGTGTCAATTGGTCCCGTTTTCGTTATAGTCTAGGACCTGCCAGTGCGCCAGGCATCTGAATCTGGTCCAAGCTCGATCACAGTTCACGAATGTGCGGTTGCCCGGCCTCTCATAACTGTTATAGTTCATATCCGCGTAAATTGTCCGTACCCGCGGGCATCGATTCTTTGTGATCCACGGCAAGCGACTCCGTCACGAGAGGTATGCCTAGGTATACTCGCTCATACGTTTCCATAGGAAACCGACATTGCGGCATAGACCAAAACGTAAAAGATGACATTGGTGGCAAGGGATGTAGATTGCCCTCCAGCATAATATTCGCATGCGACACTGCATCCTGGTGAAATTTGGAATTGAGTATACCCGCCGACATTGTCCCTTTTTTCTCAATTAGTACCGTGTTTGAATGAAGTTTGTTTTTCGATAAAATGCCGTTTATGGTGGCGTTGCCCTATCATGATGCAGAGCCTCGGTGGGATCAGTATTGAAGGGTTTAAATTGTATGATATGCCGCATCTCCATATGCAAAAAAAAATGTCCAAGCGCTCTCATACCCGAAAGGTACTAGTAAGGCTAACCTGCAGCAAGTGTGCGGTCTTTCGCAGGTTCGCTGGGCTTGCGCTGATTCAATTGAGCAGTCTATCCTTGTGTGGATGTGACTATCTCATGAATGATGTCAGAGTCAAAGAAAAGAATTTCGTTCGCCGTCCGCATTGATCCTATCAGACTCGAAATCATACACATCCGCTATTGTTGGTCGGGGTTCGTGGTTTGAGTTCTGGGTTGTTCCGGGGCGTCACCTGCCCGCATTTTGATGAAAAGACACTAATAGACAATGTGCCAAGTCACCGCATGTATTATTGCACAAGAAAGCCAAGGTCCAATGACAAGTCCCGCTTGGTACGGTAAGAGCCTCTAGTTCTTCATGAATAGGTCACCTGCGCAGAAATCTCATGAGTGACAAAATCGACTGCGGACCTAAATCATACCTTCCTTCATCGCGTTTGATATCATATCACGTGCCACTTAGGCTTGCTGGGTATTGAATGGGTCAGGAAAAATGTCATGGGCAGACTTACTCTTGACTACTTCATCAAATCTTTACTAGCCTCAGTAAGATCTCGAATGAACCACAGGATGATCGGCGACTTCCAATGGGGAGATTGACCCCTGTTGTCGCACATTCAATAAGAATGAACGTGATCATAGGAAGCCTTAGGAGTGGTGGTATCGCGACGTTATGACTCACGATCAGGAACGATCTACGCCTGTGATCAAGTGTTATACTTGTATAGAAAATCGCTCCAAAAGCCTACAGGAAATGTTGTTGGCCCATTTAAGTTTTGTCTTTAGTGAGTAATCACAGAGAATATCTGCCAGAAACAAATGTCATCGGGTTTAATAGAAGGTTGCAAAGATGTGGGCGAGCGTACTTCTTAGTTTCCCCAATCGTATTCGGTGTATGCCTCAAGATGGCATAATACATCCATGGTGCAACTGCTTGCTGAACAAGGAGATCGTTGCTTTAATCATCAAGGCTTGACAAGAAACCATAAAATCCAATATCAGCGGAGCTTCTTTTCTCCACACTTTTCATAGCGAGGGTGCCGGCCTCGAGGAGCCTCGAGGCCAACGAACTGTTTGTCGGCATTTTTCATTCAAAATAAACGCCAATCGATCAGCCACACCGGTGTGCATTGAAGGGTGAGGCAAATGGGCTTTGGGCAGTGACGTCAGGGAGAATGAACTCAACGTTCAGTACGAAGAGAATTGCTGAAAGATGAAGATGGACCGTGACGTCCCTTACGGTTTGAGTGAATGTAACCTTTCGCGTACAGCTGGCGATTGTCGGATATATTCTGTTGGACTAGACTATAAACTCGGCGGGGAAAGCGAACAAAGCCAGATAGGTGCACAAAGCAAGTTACCAGTAGTTCGGATCATTGTGGGATGCTGAATGATTCCGGTCCGCCTGCATGTGGCTGGCGCCCAAGCTCCGTATAGTGAAATTGGACGGAGCGCCCAAAATACACTAGGACAAACGAAGAATGGATGTCAACGGGGTTTACTGCCACCCCAAAGGAAAGATCCGGTGGGCAGACCAAAACGGACAGACTGACGGCCCAACGAGCATGACGAACCAGCCACCTGTGTGTCCAATCAAGCTTCAGATCTTGAATTCGGAGTAGGGATCATTGGATCTGGTGACGTGAAGTTCTAGGCACCTCTGGAAAGCCAAAATGCAAACAATGATACCGGAACACGATCCGTGAATGATGTCAACGAAGTTTGCATCGTCTCCAAGGAAGCACAGATCTGAGAGACAACATGCCGTCTTTCCTCGCGCAGTCAGGCTGACAGGAACGGGTATAACGAGAGCTAGTTACATACGTGTTCATGAAAATTATATGATTAAATTGTTGTGAGAGTAAGTTGGATCCGGTTCGAGACACTCACAAGCCAGAATTTCAACAAGCCTCATAGTAGGACATATGTTTGTGCAGCGTGGCACACCAATTATGAAACTCGTTGCTGTCATTGGTGCTTCTTCAGGTTCCGCGTTATGGCACTGTCAAGACACGAGGCATAAACCGCACTCGTGCAGTGACTGATGGGACTGATATCATGGTTGAGATGAGCAGGGATCAATCGGTCCGAGGGGTGTGTCAACTGCAGTAAGGACCCACAACTTTGCGAAAAGGAGCTCATGATCGGAGAAGGAGGACAATGTTTCATTATCCTCAGAGTACAGCCTTGTGGTGATGAACGCCACGATCGTGGCTTGCAAAGCATTGTGTCTGTTAAAGTCAACAGAAAGTCCATTACAGAGCTCAACTATCATCGTACCTCGGATGTAGATAAGTCACTTTGATCACGGCCCCTTGGTGAGATTGATGGCCGATCGCCAGAAATGACTTCGCTTGCGTTCAATGTGCCAATATATGTGTTCTTCCTTTGAATTACAACCTGATGCATGAGCGGGGTCTGCACCACAATGGCGATAGGGGCCACTCACATTCCTCTACCCTTTGGACTTAAAGTCATTGGCCCCTTCCTTTAGTGCAACATGACACACTGTTACCATTCAACGCTGACGTACGAATCCTGTTCTTCAAAGGCAGTGCATACGACACTAACACAGATCAACCCTTTGATGGGGTCAAAATTGTTGGCTGTGTCGTATCTCTTTCAATGAATTGATCATGCGATGCTTGAATCTCGTTCCTTGAATGCCGACGTACGAAACGGCACGGACCTCTGGCTGTGTCGTATCATCTCCAGAGATTTAACCACTTGACACTCGCTCTAGACGTGTCCAAGCCTGCAGTGCGATGTTGCGCTTTACAAAAAGCAAGAATTTCGGTGCGAGTCGTATGTGGATTGAGAAGAAGCTTTTCTCTTTCGTGACAAAAGGCGAGATGACATCTTGAGGGCGTCATCGAGTACTGTGCAAAACTGATACGCAACTTAGAAACCAACTGGCGAGTGAATTTTCAAAAGCATTTGTTTCACACACAAAAATGGCATACAAAATTGATAGCTGGTATAACTCTACAGAAGACGAGGCGACGATACAAGCATAGCGATTGAAACCTGGGAAGATCGTTAGCATTGAAGCTTGATAAAAGCAATGCACGCTGCGCCATATATAAAAGATCAGACATCCTGGAAGGACTGCATACCCTCATTGCACCGACCCCCACCTCCCGTTCAGCGCGCCGCAAGGACGGCCCACATTCGACTATGCTTTTGGGTTCACACAGCGAAGGGGAATATAAATGTTCGGTATTGGGGGAGTACTCCTGGCGGAGGGCGCTAAAGTGGAAACTGCGAATAACGGAAAATTTTCATCGTGCATGGATAGGCGCAGCGATGCAAAGTTTGAAGATAGATCGATTCTCACCTTGAGACTACGGACGCGATGCCTTCAACGTCGACCTAAGGGTTAAAGAGTTGGTCAGAACAAAACATTTGAGATGAGCAAATCAAATTGAAAAGAATCAGACAAAATGGCACTGGCAAGTACACTGTGCGCTCCGGAGAACGCGTGTTCGTTGCGAACGAACAGCTCTATTCCTCGGCATGGTCGTGTAGGACGGGGAAGAGAATAAAGTCATCCGTTGGATAAGAAAAATAACGAACACGATACTTACAGAACATGATGCAGATGAGGAAGAGAAAATGATCAGCCACAAGAAGAATTTATACACCGCCACAATTTGGCAATTGTTTGGCAGTGGCCCGTGCACCCTCTATGCTTATGTAACACCCATATGCTTTGTGAATAGTGGCCACCAATACTTAACCTAGAACGACGACAAAGTTCATTAAATTCTTGACATTGTTGTTCCAGATGTCCCTAGCAGAGGTTGAACGTCCAATACCTGCTATTCCAGAGCAACGGGGCCGTGAATCCCCTGAAGTCATCGACGTCGACCTCTTTGATGCGGAGGAGGTAGCTCGGATTGGATCGAGACCACCTACTCAAAGAAGAAGAGTATCGGAGAGTGGTCGTTCTGTGCCAGTCGATCCAGAGGTCATAATAATAAACGACAGTGATGATGACGATATACAGTTCGTCAGGGCCAGGCCTGCTCCCAGATCTCGCAGTGAGTCCTACACATCCATGTTAGTGTGTTTTCCTGAACAATTGTTAGCCATTTTTTCACCATCGCCTCCACCACAAATTGCTGCAATACCGCCGGTTCCGCCGATACCACGTAGGTTTATACCTATGCGAAGAAGACCGCCTCCATTTCCCACCGCCCCTGGGTTGGTGATTCCCAACGCTGAGCCTTTTCCATTTGAAACGAACATTAGGGTTACCCCCGCGCCCATTGAGCGTCCTCCGGCACCTGTTCCTGCCGCAGCACCATCTCATCATATCCCTGTGATGGGATTCGGCGGCGCACTGCTTCAACGCGCGAGAGCAGCTTTTGAGCAACCCCCCGCACGATCACATAACCACGAGCGCCGCCGCCGAGTCTTCGGCATTCCAGCGGATGTTTTCATGCAGTGGAACCCTCTAGACTTCTTTGGTCCTGAGGAAGACGAACTCTATGATGATGATGGCTTCCGTCACTATCGAGCTGCAGATTTTCATGATGAGCCTGGTGACAGGCTGATGCGAGGTGATCTTCGCCTTTTCAACGCTCATGTCCCAGGGCGACCTTCAGAGCCGGATTATAAACCGGAGTACACCCATCCAGTGAAGCCTCCATCTGGCTTTACGTACGACTTTGAGTCATCATCGATGACACCTGCGTCTATTGTTGATATTGATGGTCCCGGTTCCTCCAGCTCAAGCAGTAGTCGTTCTGGCGAGACTATGCTTACTTGTCCTCGGTGTCATGACCCATTGATGCTGGGAGCTGCGGACGTTGCCGAGGACCGAGCCAAGAGAAGATTGTGGGGTTTAAGATGTGGTCATCTTTTGGACGGAAAATGCGTGGAGGAATTGATGAAGCCGATTCCTCTTGTTAGTCCCGACCCGGTGGATACTGCTGATGTGCAAGGGAAAGGCAAAGGCAAAGCAAGGGAGGAAGATGAATTGGAGTTACCCGGTGCCTACCTCAACTGTTCTGTGAAAAGTAGAGGCAAAGAAACAGATCCCAACATCTTTAACATCTTCGGCGAACCTGAATTCTCTTCTATTCGCTCACGGCTGCGTCCCCGTCCCCCCCTTCCATCTCACCCCTCTGGACCGTTACCTGCTGGCCCTGGCCCATCTCACGGGCGAGCTAGAGCTGCGCCTCGCCTGCCCGTGAAAGCGAAGGCCAATGGGAAGGGTCGAGCCAAGGTTCCGAGTGTAGAAGCTGAATATGAATGGACTTGTCCTGTTGGCGGATGTGGGTGCGTTCATGTGAGCCAGCTCATTGACGGGCAGTGGATCATGGACGAGAAAAAAGGGGCTATCACTGTTTTCGTATGATACGAGGCAGTTCCCAAGCTGTTAGTTTGAATCATGTCTCTTTCCATCGATGCTGACTGCATATCGATAGCATCAAGGAATTATATATATACCATGACACGCGCATTTTCTCACTTATAGGTCCATCATTACAATCTGGATCGTACCTGTCGAATTGCACATTTTTCTCACCTGTACAGGTTGTCCCGCCCTCGGATGTTTGTACCAGGTACGTGCACCTCTTAAACCATTTGTGGCATTAAGCTTCGCCACGAGTTCGGATAAGCACTTCCAATTTCAAGGGGTGTCGCTTCCTCTGCTTTCTGGAACCACTTGGGAGGCTCATCAATGTAAGATACCAACCAACTGCAACTGAGACTGAGCCCCATGCAGATAAATTTACCACCATGCATAGTCACTTTACCACAACCATCGTTTGACTTCATAGAGGGGCGACCTAGGTCCTACATAGTCTTGGTGACTGTTTGGTGTTTGCATTATTACGTCAGACAAGCGTGACCTTCCATGCCTTTTGTGCGTTGAGTTTTCCGAAGGCTTGGTGGAGCCACGATGTCGCTTGGAAAGGCCGTCGAAGCACGCTCCAAACGCATGCTTTAGAACGATCAGCGACCACGGTTTCAGTCGCATGACCAATATGCCTGTGCTTTATAGATGCCTTGATAAATGCAACCTCTCCGTGCCCACACTTGTGCTTGTGATTCAGACTAATTGTTCAGATTGCTCAGACGCCGGCCTCGTGCATTAGGTTTTTAAGTAGAGCTCTAGAGTTTCAGATACCCTACTTGCTTCCGGGCATATTCGAGATCGCAACTAGCGACAATATCTTGACCTTCACTACACGGCCCTCGATCCCCCCTTTGCATGGATCCATCAGCAAATCCGCGACGTTATCTTCGTAGGGAATGGAAACGAAATAAGCCCGTGAGTCGCATTCATATATCGATGAGGATCATGATCACTTATCGTGGTCGTGTGCTCACCAGCACTTGCATGCATCCGATTCGCTACCCTCATTGCACCTCTGCCCGAATCGGCCTCTCTTTGTCTGCGCACGATGTGGCTTTTCCAATACGCTCATCCCTATGTGTCTCTGGTGTGCATGGACTTCCGCGGTGGCGAAGAAAGAGTTCGAGGAGAAGTTGCCGAGACCGCGAAGAATAACTGCACCATCTAAGACTACTTCTCAGTTGAGAGGCACAAGCGAGCGAACGAGAGTCAAGTGCATGCCAAAGAGGGTCTCGGCTGATTCCACAATTTCGAGTGCTGGTCCTGTGACTCCTCAAGGTGACCTCATGTTCTGTGTGGAAAGCCTTCAGGTGCCTGGAATTACGGCAGTCTTGGATTCATGTGACGGCGAGCTCACATGTTCACGCAAGCCTGATGTTGTGCGAATAGTCGCGGATGATATTCCCAACGACGAAGTCGATTCCCGAGGAGATGGCGGCGGCATATGCCACGACGTCACCACAGCAACACCGATTTTGGTAAATATTGCATGCCGTTTGATACCTCCGTAAAACCAGGGTTGTGTCGCTGACCCTTTTTGTTTTACTCTTTTGCGCAGCCATTGTGTCCTCCGACGGCTCCCGCCAACGCGAAGCAGGTGCTCCCGGGTGGACTATTCAAACACGAAACCGTGAAGAAACAGTCGATACGACATCGTCGAAAACTAGCCGCTCTTTTTCTTGCAACATCATCGTCCGCTCACGCACGCGACACTCCTCACGACAAATCACCCATGATACAAGAAACGACTTCACGTTCGAACAGTAGCTCCGTTGTGATCGATGCAGCTCACGCCGCTGGCGGCGATGTATACCCCGATGGTGCTTCTCACGCTCGCGCTCTTTCCTCATCATCCGTTGTATCACTGTCAGAATCCTCACAATGTTGCCCGAAGCTACGGAGGAAGAAAGGCATCCCATCACTCAAGCGCGTGTCCTCACCCTCATATCGGTCAAGATCACAGCAGTCTTCCCCCGCATTTGATGATCGTGCTGAATCACCTGCGCCACATACAATGCATATAGCACCAGCACCTTCTCTTGCGCCTTCGACTGTTAACAGCACGGAACCTCCTGTCCGAATCGGCCACCCTAGTCGGCCATATTATACTGTCATTCGGAAAAACATGTCTCGACCTGGTACCCCTGGACTTCCCAGCTCCCTCCCTCGCACTCCCTCCCCTATTCCATCTGATTACGATTATGCACCACGCGCCACGAAATCTCTTGACTGTGGGGAGCGTGTATCAGTGCAGTTCGGCCGAGATTCACGACCCATGTCGATGATTCTCCCTGGACAGGCGGTCCCCGTGAACCTGTACTCTGGGTTCTCATTAAGCGGCGAGACGGAGATGCGGATGAACTTAGCGAGATGGCGGAAGGAAGATGGTCCTGATGAGCCAGGCGATTACCTGTTCAAGGAAACAGGTCTCCGCGGGAAAGGGATGAAAGGCAGAGTGAGGAAGCTTGGGAAGGGCTTGCGAGATCTAGTGCTCGGTAGATCATGATGTATGTACGAACAACTGTAAGAACAGATCATGTCACGATATTATATGGACCAATCTCACTTTTGTCCTGCCACTCGGAATTACAGCAGCACGTGGTTTTTTTATTTTATTCATGTGATCTGGGGGAACGACACGTCGTCGCGAATAGAACTGATCGCGGCGATCATCATAATGAAGTCCTGTCACCCGTAAAAGCTGTTCAGATATGTCTGAGAGTGCTTCCCAGGTGGTTTCACTGGTTTTCCGTGAAACTTCCAAGTCTGTCATAGACTCCGTCTTAGTACCATTAGCTTGCAATCCCAATGCACACGGTGACTTGCACAGCCTCAGGGCCGTTCATTCTCATATACTGGCCAACTTTATTTCCTCTATTTTTTGTGCAATCACCATAGCTTGCGAATTTCCACCAGCTTGCTACAATTTGTATCCCCCGTCATGATTGAAGCGAAGATCTTGGATCAGAATGACGAACGCCTTGATGCATTGGAACCATTCAAGACCCATCTTTTACATCTGCCAGCACTGCGAATCAACACTGATACCATAACGGACACGAATCATGTTTTGCGTGTATGTAAACGATCAACTAGACGAAATTTCTTGATTCACTTCACCTTCACTGCCAGGAGCGTACCAACACCACTACAGTTGCAGTAAAGGACGCCATTTCTCCGAATATATTATCTAACGTATACTAGTACGTGTCCTTCACGTTTCGCACAAACTGGCATCTGAATAGCGACGCTTAGCACACCTAATTCTAGCCGCGCATGCGGCAGGCCCAGTCTCACTATGAAGCCCAACCGCTTCAATAGGGCCACTTCTATCTGTGGATCCCCTACAGATTCTTTACGTCGCCAACGGCGTTACACTATAGCGGAACAGGCCTTGGAGCATGCACTCAAGAGTTGCACAAGGGAACGGTCGCCGCAAGAACTTCAGATTCTCGCTTTGGAAAAGGCGACGGCTGCGCTCAGTGCACGTGCGAATGAATCCAGGGAACGTGCTGCCAAGTTAAGAGTGTGTCTTGCGGATAGAGCGGTCGATCCCAAGAGCTACACTGCCCTGCAATCGGATCGTTGGATGGAAGAGCGACGGCAGTTTGAAGCAGACCGCGAGGTTAGCCAATTGAGTCAGCATTTAGCTTCGCTCAAGTTGAAAAGGGGTGTGCCGGAGCCAGGAAGGTTTAACTTTCACGAGAATCTTCCAGTTACACCCCTCGACAACGAGGCAAGGCGCCAGGCTAATCTTATTAGATTTTTCGAACGATCCCCCACGAGGACATCATTACACATCTACCATAAGTGCAGGCCTCTTTTCGTCAGCTGCACCTTCTCACGCCGGATAACCATGAGCGACATTTCACCCCTTCGACTCCGTCCGCCGACCAACATCACTCAGAGGTTCACAACACAAAATTCCCATCCAAAATCGATTGGTGGTGAGCCATCTGTTCCCCCCATGCGCTCCAGCAAGCCACGGGTCGCAAGCGGGCCATCTAGATCCTCACTGGTCAGAAATATGGGTCCCTCCAATGCGGAAAGAAAAAGAAATTCATCTTTGTCTCAGTCGTCGACCCTTTCATCTCGCTTGCCGTCGTTTAATGAATTCACTGATGACGTGATGACTTCCACACGGCCATCGACTCCTCCATTATCCATTGCATCGACGTCTTCAAATGGGACATCACATATATCACGTGTGCCATCAGAGACGCCACCACAAGCGCCTTCGGGAGGCGTGGCGACAATTTACGCGAGTTCCTCGCCACGTTCGCATATGGAGATCCTTGCAGAACTAGACGAGGACTCGGTCCGCGTGCCTGAGTATGCTGTGAACCTATTGGAGGAGTTTGATCTTATTCACCACGATATCACTCTTCCAGAGAGAAGTCTCTCCTTAAAGCCGAGGGAGGAGCCTGCAGTTGAAGTACCACGTCCCTCGGAAGAATCGGACACAGGGCCTTATACTTCATTCGCTCTCCCTCCGTTCCAACCGGATCCATTGTGGTCCCACACATCACTCAATGCGCCTTCAACACCCCGGTCGCACGTGCCAACGCTGCACCCTCTTTCTTCTGGATCATCAACTCCCTCAGGCTTGAGCACTCCGACGGCCACACGGCCCACTACGCTGCCCTCGCGGCCACATTCGCTCCTGTTTCTCATGCGGAAGCGCAAGGACTTGCAGTGCAGCCCAGCATCGTCAATGTCAAACCTAGACGGGGACAGTGCGCGGGGGTCAAAGCGGCGGTTTTCGTTGTTCACGAGGAAGTAGTTGGACATGATTCGTTTTTGGACTTGATCTGCTCATTTGCATGTATTTACGAATTGCGCATAGTGTTCAAGTGGATAAGTTTTGGTGCGTGTGAAGTACGGAGGCTACGGATGAACCCGTAGCACAGTGGTAGCGCGTGAGATTCCAGAGCTATGGCTTGTATCCTCAAGGTCATCCGTTCAATCCGGGTCGGGTTCATATTTTTTGCGTCAGTGTTGCCAAAGGTGAGCGACTTTTGTAACATTACTGACAGTCGCGCATGATGACCTCGGTGCCCTGCATCATAGGAATTACTCATATACGACGGGAATTGCGAAGCCTGCTGTCGTGACCGAGGTTCAGCCGTGCCAAACTCAAAGGCTGTGACCCCTCGCAGGTTGATGGTATTAATTTATAAACCCACATGTCTGTGTGGTCGCCCAGCACCAGAGTCATGCGATAATCATTGCGGATTTTGCCAGTTTCCTAATATCTGCTTCAAGCTTGCTTTATTCGACTTAAATGACCCCTGAGCCTGAATAACGGGACGAAGGATTGAATGTTCTGATGTTCTGCCACCTGGTTAAGGGGTGCGGTTCTTGCTATTATCAGCCACGTAAATGGATTCCCAAGGATGCCATGCACCGCAAAATGCCTCTATGGACACAAGAGAAGCGCTTAAATGCACAGTACCCCAAAACCTACTGCCAGGTCGACCAAGGTTTGGTTGTAGGTTGTTTCGTTGGCCCATCGTGTGATAGTCGATCGTCAGTATCCCGCGTTCAAACCGCGATATGTCCTGCTCGTTTCTTCGACTCGTTGAAACCCCAATACTGAGTGAACTGCGGAAGTAATTAATAGACGAGGAATGCCGGAAGAATTGAAACAAGTGCACCCGCCTGCTGTGGGTTGCTCCATCAAAACATCCCCTAAATGTCTTTCATAAACTTTGATTAACCACTATCGACTACATCCAGAAGGTGAACCTGCGACGGAAGTTTCCGTTCGTACACTCTTGTTCGAAACGCCGTTCGGCTAATTATATGTTGCTATCTGGTTGCGAACCGTGAAGGGCTCGTTGTATGTATCTTCTGGTAACAATTTGAACCACGAGGTTGCTTATCGCCGGTGTCTGAGATAGACCGGACGGGTACCTTAAGTCTGATATTCGACTCACTTGCAGCTCACCGGAAATTGTCCTACCAGTTCACACCTGTGACCGATCTGCATGTTCTTGCGTTTCTCGGTCCCCTTTTGACACCGTCAAATGGATTCAGTATCGGATTTTAGATATAGCGGCAGCTCCGGTACTCACCTTGAGCACACGTTTGCTCTATTCGTTATTTCCTCGAGATGAATTCCGCGCTCGAGGGCGCATCTTAAATTGATCTGCCTGGTTTGCGAACCATCAACACACACTGTCAAGTCTGATATTTCATCATGCCGGCTGGGAACTACCACAAACGAGACGTAGGTATTGGTTACTCCAGAAGCCCAAGTGTGCGACACTCAAAAAGGACAGCTCAAATTAGCTGTGGTCTCATAGGGTGTACCTTAGATATTCATTACTCAAGGTAGTAGCGTTGCGGAGGAGTGATGGAACTCACCTGAAAAGTGGACTGGCATCGCCCATGTCCTCGAATTCGTATGCTCTATCGTCGCTAATGTTTCCCGCCAGACACTGTGCTTCTTTCTTTTTGTTCAGTCGGTTATAGTCCCACATAGCGAAGAAACTCATTATGATTCTGTTACAAAATCATGTTGTCAAGTTCCAGTTCCGGTTGGGAAGACTGATGAGACGTACGAAAGAGAAAGGAATCCCATGATCGTGCCGTGCCCGATGTGAAAACGTGGCGGATCAATATAAATGAAGGAGGAGCAAATGCTGAGATTAGCATGAGTGGGGGGCATTGCATATGTATGATAACATGGCGTACCCTCCAAGATTACCAAGACCGATAACCATTGCTAGTACAACTCCACGCTTTAAATCACCTCCTGAATTCGAGCCTGCCCAAGCCAGAATAACCGCAACGGTTGGATAATCTCCCGCAGCGGCAAGACAAGCTCCCACGTACGAAGGACCCGCTCGTACGCTGCAGTATAGCAAGATGTATCCCACAAGAGAAATAAGCGCACCACCAATTATATACGGGCCACGAAGATTGTGCTTGTCAGAATAGATGCCAAATATGATTGTTGCAATACAACCAGCAACAAATGGTGGGACTGAGAGTAGCTGAGCATTAACAGCAGAGTAGCCAAGCTCGTTAATGATAGTTGGCGAAAAGAGGGCAATGGCATAACCGGGGACGAGCAACCTGATAATCAAATCAGATGATGCACGCAAGATGACAAGTGGATTGAGTACCCTAGAAAAATGAGTATCTGGACGTAGGTCTTGTAATCTTTTATAGCTTGCCAGATGAATCGAGTGTCGAAGCGAGAGGAAAGATGATTCGAATCCTCTTTGAGCACATCTATGATGTATAGTCTCTCTGACTCGGTCAAAAATTTGGCCGTTTCAGGATACTAAGTGGTCGAAATTGGCATGTGAAAGGCCCAGTATAAGCGTGAACTCACATCGTGCATATAGGAAAAAGGAGAAAATTGCGACGAGAACAGTGGCTGATTGAAGTCTAAGATGAGCATCCGAGATGCCTCAGATCTGGTACCACAGACCGATTCCTTCCAAGCAGAACTAGCAGAGAACATGAATTAGTAAAGTCTCCGTTTTAAAAAACGCAAACATACAATCCATTGCCAACCATGCAATCCTCCGACTCTGATAGGCGCATCAGTGACGGCTGTCATGACAGGAAATCTGCTTACCCTTCCATCCGCTCGATACCATACCTGTATACATGGAACATGAAGTTCAGTAGCAGCTTGATGGGAACACAAAGCGACTCACGCAAGGAGCCCGCCGAAGGCGCCTACAATCAAAGAGAAGTTTAAACAAAAATAGATTCTAACGCGTATGAAAATGTTGCTTACCTGCGACTGATACTGAAGAGAAGAATATAGCGATGCGTTTGGACCGTTCAGAACGTGGATACCAAAGGCAGATGTAGTAATTTATTCCAGGAAATAATCCTGCTTCGGTCAAACCGAGGAACATCCGAGCTCTACCGTCAAGTTGTTATGGTGCCTGCCTCCACTATGCAAATACACCCCACGTACACAACGAGAGACTGGTATGATTTGACGAGGCACATAAGGGTCATCACAATACCCCACGCGACCATGATAGACGGTACTGGATCAATATTAAGTTGTGATAGAAAAGTAAGGCAAATGTGAACGTACTCCAGCGTGACGGCCTGAATAGCTTGATTGCGATGTTCCTACACAGACGCTCAGTACAGACTCGCTACTCTTGATGTTATACATACGAAGGAACCTCAGCAAAGCTGTATGGGATCTAGAATAACTCAGCACTTGATAGGACATGTGTGGTATACGACGCACAAAAAAGACAGCTGCAGCAATGTTGTACCTGAAGCCAGTCAATTTTAGGTCTGTGGCCATGCCAGCAACCTTCGCATTTCCTGGTGATGGTCTCAGCTGGTGATCAACAGGAAATATGCGCTAGATTATTTACCAATATTGGCCCGATCTCTGAAGGTAGCGTGTAATGTGAAACAGCATCAGATAGTACGAGCATACTCACAAGAACGACAAGAGGTAAAATACAGTTACAAAAGGTAACAGGTGCCAATCGATTTTGCGCAGAATGCGTGTTCGTTCTCTCGGATCCAAGACAATCTGCTTTTCGGAATTGGAATCGATGTTATCATTGTGCGATGAGCCCATGGTGTCCTGGGCGATAGTATGGGTTTGAAAGGGAGACTGATTGGATGAATGCCTTGCGATCGTTCAGAGACAGGGTGATATCCTGAGCGACAACGGCCAGTCACCAACCTTTAAATCAATTGTGCAGGCGCGTAGGATAAATTTATGTAAATGAGACTGATCAGGTGCGGCGATACGTGACGTAGCATAGCACAGCACCTACTTTTGTTCGAGGCGTAGCCCGCAACATATCTGGAAATACATTTAACAAGGGAATCTAGATCGTGGAACGTTCTAACCTAGTGAGGTCTAGTTTCGAATCTTGTTATTGATGTGACCCTTGCACCGATTTTTCGGGGGGTGGCCAGGCTAAGAATACCCCCTTAAAAAGACGCAGCCATCGTGCGGAGACGAGTTTTGAGGGTTTTATCCAGAGACGAGTCCACAATTAAACCGCCACTTGATTTCGTCTATGGACATTTCCATGAGTGGGATCTCCACGGGATATCAGCTTCCTGGAATGGTGGCAGTACATCAAGTCATTCTTCCACCAATACACTTTCCCGCTATGTCATTTGCGTTTGAGTTGATGCACGCTAGCCTCCGAATCAACGCGTCGAGTGTCGCATAAATTACGGGATGTCCTCGAGAAAACACAATCATCCTCCATGCCATATCAACAATCAGGTCGTACGTCTTGCGGAACTTGAACTTGTTGCGACAAGTCGGACGAGTTCTGGCCCGAGCTTATCTACCGGTTTAGGCTGTGGTGGCAGGAACGAAGGTAGATGACTTGACTCTCAATATGTAGGTAGAGATACCAGGACGATGGGGTCTCGGAGTCGAGATTGCTGGCAGTAATGATTTGTGTCATGGCGCGCGTCAATGTTTATGTGAACTCCAAGCGTGTTATCACGTATTTAGCACACATTAGTCATCCGGTATTTTCCGACCTTACACGCTGCATCAGCATGGAAAAGCATCCGAGACTGAGGGTATGTCTACATTTTATTGTCTTCATAGCTAATACTGATCCACTGTAGTATACTGCTAGTTTGAACCATTGCAAACAGGACACTTTAGATCCATGGAAGGTTTGTCGTGGACACTGCAGTTATGGGGCTACTACCGTGACATGCCTGTTTTCATCCAGCTCGGGCCGTCGCTCAAGATACTCAAGATTGAAGATCTGCTGCTTCCAGACCACATGTGACTTATAGGCCAAAATATTCAGCGTTGCGATACTTTACTACAGGACGTCCATGGGACCTGTAATAGCGTCTATGTCTGGTGTGTCACTTGTGTCAGCCCAAAATCTCACCTGATCTCTCTACACGGTGGTCCAGTCAACTCAGAGAGGACTCAAAGAGTCGATCCCTCGTCTGGATTCCACAAACCTCGATACCCTCATTTTCCGTCTCAGCTCATGCATCGTTCAATTCTTGTTCCGATGTCGAAAGCACTTGGTCTACCCTTTCTCACCGTGACTGCGAGCTCCTCTTCCGGTAATACGCTCACATGACCAGCGTACAGCCGACAAAGTAGCCTGAGCACATTATTTATCGCCATTGCCTCTCGTTAAGATCATTCGCTTGCAGAAGGCTTCGGACCCAGACACCATCACGACCACCCTGATTATCAAGGTAGGGTTCAGGCTGCAGTGATACATGGTTGGAATGACAGTCAAACAGAGATGAGCAGTTCCATTCTCAGAGACAAAATGTTGCATAGATAGCTCTATGGATACGGCTGCCACTGCTCCCCCTGATTAACCGAAACAATCGGTGAGCTACTGGCGAGCTATACTGTAGGCTCAATGTCATTTACTTTGACATGAACAAGCGATCGTGGTCCCTGGCGAGGCTTGGAGACACGGACACGTTAGCAGACCCTTCACATCGCAGAGGTCTTTGTGTACTACTAATTATTGGTTCCAGTTGACCTGATTGAATAAATTTCTGGGAAAGCGGGGGTAATTGATCTTTACAGTATCATGAACTCCTCTCAGGCTTCGTATTCTGCCTCCGCCTAGAACCAATTACATACCCCTGTAACCGATTCAAATGATGATGAAATGAGCGTCAGGTGCTGGAGTTGCACTCACAAAGTAGTTTCGTTTCCTACGCCACCGGGTGCTCTCCAGAAGTCACAGGAAAAGAAAACAGTACGACCAGCACCGCATACTGTGGGCACCGAGTAGAGTGAGCGCACTTGACTGGCATTGTATCAGGCAATATCATGGCGTGCTCAATACAACTTCGAAAAGCCCTTCAGCAGCAGTACTCTTAAATCATTTATTCTAGATGTCTGTTGCTTGCATATAAACTTCACCAACCTATCGCCTACAAATCGATTGGCCTGTTTGCGAAGAATCAGCTGACATCGGCAAATATCTGTAATATTGCATCATGGAGTACTATCACAAATGAGACGTAGGTGCACGTTATTCCCAAAGTGCGGTCGAAAAACACTTGAAAAGCACAACTTAAATTAGCTGTATGTTTCATATGGTATACCTTGCATATTCATCAGTCAAGGCAGCGTTGCGGAGGAGTCATGAAACTCACCTGAAAAGCGGACTGGCATCGCCCATGTCCTCGAATTCGTATCCTTTATCTTCACCAATATTTCCCGCCAGACACTGTGCTTCTTTGTTTTTGTTCAGCCGATTATAGTCCCACATAGCGAAGAAACTCATTACGATTCTGTTACAAACCGTGTTATCATGTTTATAGTTCGGTAGACTGATGAGACATACGCAAGAGAAAGGAATCCAATGACGGTGCCGTGCCCGATGCGGAAACGTGGCGGATCAATATAAATGAAGGAGGAGCAAATACTGAGATCAGCATGAGCGGATGGACATTGTGTATTATGATAACATAGCGTACCCCCCAAGATTACCAAGCCCGATCATTGCTAGTACAACTCCACGCTTTAAGTCCCCTCCTGCATTCGAGCCTGCCCAAGCCAGAACAATCGGGATGGTTGGATAATATCCCGCAGCGGCAAGACAAGCTCCCACGTACGAAGGACCCGCTCGTACGCTGCAGTATAGCAAGATGTATCCTACGAGGGAAACAAGCGCGCCGCCGATGATGTACGGGCCACGAAGATTGTGCTTGTCGGAATAGATGCCAACTATGATCGTTGCAATACAACCAGCAACAAATGGTGGGACTGAGAGTAGCTGAGCATTAGCAGCAGAGTAGCCAAGCTCGTTAATGATAGTTGGCGAAAAGAGGGCAATGGCATAACCGGGGACGAGCAACCTGATGATCAGTTCAGGTGATGCATGATATGATAGGGGGACCGAGTACCCTATATGAATGAGACTCAGGACGTAAGTCTTGTAATCCTTTATGGCTTGCCAGATGAATTGGGTGTCGAAGCGAGAGGAAAGATGGTTCGAATCCTGCTTGAGCACATCTATGATGTGTGATCTCTCTGGCTCGGTTAAAAAATTGGCCGTTTCAGGATACTAAATGGTCTATATTGGCATGTGAAGGCCCAGCATAACCGCAAACTCACATCATGCATATGGAAAAAGGAGAAAATTGCGACGAGAACAGTAGCTGATTGAATATGAGTATCCGAGAGGTCTCAGATCTGGCACAACTGACCGATGCCTTCCAAGCAGAACTATCAGAGAACATGAATTAGTAAAGTTTCGGTTTTAAAACACGCAAACATACAATCCATTGCCAACCATGCAATCCTCCGATCCTGATAGACACATAGGTGACAGCTGTCATGGTAGTCAACTTGCTTACCCTTCCATCCGCTCAATACCATACCTGTATACATGGAACATGCCGGTCAGTGACAGGTTGATGGGAAAACAGAGCGAATTACGCAAGAAGCCCGCCGAAGGCGCCTACAATTCAAGAGAAGTTTGATTGAAGATGGATTATAACGCGTATAAGAATGTTGCATACCTGCGACTGATGCTGAAGAGAAGAATATAGCGATGCGTTTGGACCGTTCAGAACGTGGATACCAAAGGCAGATGTAGTAATTTATTCCGGGAAACAATCCTGCTTCGGTCAAACCGAGGAACGTTCGAGCCCTGACGTCAAGTTGTTATGGTGCCTGCCTCCACTATGCAAATACACCCCACGTACACAACGAGAGATTGGTATGATTTGACGAGGCACATAAGGGTCGACACAACACCCCACGTGACCATGAGAGACGGTACTGAATCGATGTTGAGTAGCGAGAAATAAGGTTAGACGGTGAACGTACTCCAGCGCGATGGCCTTAAGAGCTTGAGCACAATGTTCCTACACAGACGCTGAGTATACGCTCGCTACTCTTGATGTCGTACATACGAAGGGACCTCAGCAAAGGTGTACGGGATCTGAAGTAACTCAGCATTTGATGGAACATGCGTGGTCCAAGACGCACAAAAAAGACAGCTGCAGCAATGTTGTACCTGAAACCGGTCAAGTGAAGGTTTGTGGCCATGCCAGCAACCTTAGCATTTCCTGGTGATGATCTTACTGGTGATCAACAGGAAGTATGCGATGAATAATTTACCAATATTGGCCCGGTCTCTGAAGGCAGCGCGTAATGTGGAGTAACATTAAACAGTACAGGCATACTCACAAAAATGAAAAGAGGTAAAATGCAGTCATGAAAGGTAATAGGTGCCAATCGATTTTGCGCAGAATGCGCGTTCGTTCTCTCGGACCCAAGACAGTCTGCTTTTCGGAATTGGACTCGATGCTATCGTTGCGCGATGAGCCCATGGTGTCCTAGGCGATAGTATGGTTTGAAAGGAGAGAGTGATTAGATGAGTGCCATGACTATTATCATGATATGAGCGGAAATGTCCTGAGCGGTTATTGCTAGTAGTGCCGACAGCGTGAAGATAGGCCAGCCTGAGTCACCAACCCGATAAATGCCCACACGATAGGATACGATAGATGAGGCCATCAAGTGCGGCGATACCCTGGCCATGTCAATGTAGCAGGGCACAGCATATAGAAGCTTCCAATATAAGTACATTTGGAGAGTGCGGTAGAATGCTCTAACTAAGTGAGGCCTAGTTTTGAATCTTTTGGTGGATGTGTTCCTGGTCAACCTCTATACGGTATAAGAGAGAGTTTGTACTGACACAGTGACCACCTTTTTTCCGCCAACTGAAATCACATTCGACAGGAATTCTAGAGTGCTCTGAAATGCTCTAGCCAGGACCGGTCCAGATCTGCTTCTGATTCGAGGTAAAATGTTGAAAACCCCAATGTGTGAAAAGTATGTAGGGTCAAGCACAAAAACGACAGTATTACGGGACGCGTTACGATCACGTGCATTACTAGCTTACACCTTTTTGCTTTACTCTGAGACGATGCTCCAGAGTCGACTGTCCAATGCATATGCTTGGCACTCCCAAGAACCATTGACACGGACGGAGAAATCGAACGACAGAGAAATTTTTGGCATGCCAGAAAATTTTGTCACCGACACTCTCCGTAGCCCGTCAGAGTTACTGGTTATCATTTTATTGATGAATCTCTGGCGTAGCCTGGCAGTAACGGTGCCTGCACTGTGAATTTTACGAGTGGACATCTCGGATGTCCTCTCCGGCTTGATATCAGCACGTCGTCAATGATGAACTGACACTTTTTGCACTTTGAATTGCAGGCGTTCAAATTGATGGCACAGTTTTTTGTATCATTTACACCACTGACGCATACATGCCACTACTACCTCCTTCCAAACCCCCGCAATTCTAGGCTAGTTTGATTGCTTGAGCGGTCCTCAATATACGAACACTGGTTATGGAGATACACACCTATTGTCGTACGCCGCAATCGAGTTGTCGCTCAGGATGCTCAATGTTAAAGGTCTCCTGCTTCCAGAAACTTCAACTGCTCAGGCCTGACATTGCGCGCGTTATTGGTGTCAGTGCCGAACCTTGCCTGCTATCTACACGGTGATTCAGTCAGAGAGGAATCCGAAGGGTTAATGCCTCGTCAAGATGCTCCAAACCCTGATGCTCTTATCCTCCGGCACAGCTCATGCATTGTCCCTTCTTGCTTCTGATGTAAAAACACCTGAAAAAACTACCATTCGTCGCTATGAGCTTGTCTTCCTGCAATCCTGCTCGCATGGCGGTAGACAGAAGAGGAACTAATCGATCATGGTTTGCCGAAGATCCCTTTCATTGAGACTGTTCCCCTGCAAAATGTTTTATAGAGCGCTCGTAGACAGCTTACAAGTGACATGGCTACGATTCTTGCCAATGAGTGAAGCTAGTTAGCATACGACTATTAAACTGTGGAACATCTTGTGCAAACAAATGGGACTAACCACTGTACATTCGACCAATTACAACAGTTGTAGTGTCTCCGAGTCCGAGCGCTTGAACCTCATCAGGCAAACTTATTGTGTTCAATACGACTCCAAACCAGTTATTATCAATCCACCACTGCTTCTTCAAGACGTCTGTTGCCTGCTATAAAACATCTACCAACTGGGTTCCTGGCAAGTCATTTTCAAATCGGATTGTTCACTTCACTTTTACAACTTTAACATAGCGTACTCGGGATCATGGTACCTCAAGTTAGCGCTGTTCGAACGACCAACACTGGTGGTCTCTCCCACAATATGGTGCCTGAAGAATTGCTTTCGATCCTTCGACAAGAAGTTTGCGTGTTACAAAACAGAAGGAAGGAGCTGTTGGCCCGCCTTGAAGAAACGAACAAGTCACTCGTCGAAGTTCAAACACTCTTGACACAAAAAACATCACAAGCACATACAGTTCAAAATCTTCTTGCGCCCGTATCTCGCCTTCCAGACGAGGTCCTATTGGCTATATTCGAAGAAGCAGTACGAAGTCAGGAGCAAGGACAAGTCACGCGGACGGAGATAGCCTTATCATACACGTCGCATCATTGGAGACAGGTTACGGTCAATGCCCCCCGGCTGTGGGATAGCCTCTGTATCAGAGCAGAAATTCCTATCGCTATGTTACAGATCTACCTTGCTCGCTCTGCGAACATTCCTCTTACCATCGAATTCCGTGAGCGCGAAACCGCTTGGCCCGGTGCAGATAAACGCAGCATGGCACATCTTGGTTCTGCTCTTGACGCTATATGGTCTTCGGTCCCTCGTTGGCGACGTATCGTCGTTCTTCACAGATCTTACCCGTACTTTACGCATGTCTTTCGGGAACTTCGAAAGGTGGCCCCTTTGAAGATGCTCCAGAGCATCTCTATGAAGTCACCAGGCGTGTGCGGACCTTGTCCATTGTTGCTTGGCGGCTCGGCTCCAGCCCTGGAATTACTTGAAGTTGAAGACATGCCCCTTCCGCCCCCAGTCACGCAGACTTTTGACGCTGCCCGCTACAGCGTTGCAGGACTCACCACGTTGCGGTTGCGGGTGCGTGGGATGAGAGCTGGAAGTTCCCATGCGGCAACCGACCCCTCTGCATTTAGAGCATTGATAAATTCAGCCCCAATGTTGAGCACCCTCGAAATCTATGGACAACCTATAAACTTTGGCCAGGAGAGAGCCAATGAAGAAGACGTTCTTCCCCTGGAGATTCCTCGTCTCCGCACCCTGGTTCTTCGACCGGGCACGCAGTATCCTCACGATTTGCGCCACTTTATCTCGATAATCAAAGCACCAACTCTTCGTCACTTCGAGCTAGTCTATCCTGACAACGCCCCACCTGGACAAGATGTTTCAGATCTTCTATTTAACCCTTTTCCATTACCCAGATTTCCTAGTGTGGAAACTGTGCGTCTTCATAATGCGGTTCATGCGGATACTGTTGCGGCATTTATGAATGCGTTTCCGGTTCGCGGCTCGCGTTAAACTGGGCAGTCCGGATGCTGGCTGCTTTTTCGATAACCCAACTTCCAGTAGCACGTGCAGCCAGTGGACCCCCTCACACATCCAGCACCTCGCTGTCATTTCTCCACTTCACAGCACATTGCTACAAATGTACAAGTGGCTTTGCAGTGCAATTAGCCATGGTCATCGATTGCCGATAATAACACTGGAAGGGCCCATCCATGCTATCGACTGCCCTGAATTCCTTGCACAGTCGTTGAAACTTGCGAGCTGCACGGAAGTGCGGCTGTGCGGCGTTGACCTCTCCAGTGTCGGATGGATCGCTTGTTGCCCGCGTCTGATGACTAGTTGAAGGTATGTATGTGCCTTGTCCTTCCAGTGATACTAATCGTGTACATATCCATCTGCAGCCTGTTCTACGATTTGTGACCTTGCGTTGTGAATATAATAATGTACGAGCAGCTTGGTATTGAAATGCTGTAACTCTCTTTCAGGCTCGAGTGTGCAAGATTTGAGCATTGGATGTGTTTACTGATTGTCCCTCTCGTGTTCATTGTTCAGTTATTGGTTCTCCTTTCGCGGACTCCTTCATACGTCAACTTCTCCAAGTACTCATATCGATCGGAGATTCCGAACACTTTGGACAGGCCGAAAGCTCATGTTTTTCATAGAAAGTCTCTGCCGAGGGACTGCGGACGGGGATCCCCATCATTTGTTCAACTGGACAGACATAGCGTGTCGACACGAGTTCTGCCGCAAGAATAAGAGTGAATACCACGAGTTGGGCTCGTTCGTGTGGAATTTCAGTGACACAGACACGCTCGCGTAATTGCTGTTTTGCCGAGCCAGCTGGGATAAAAGGTCTAAATGATGGCAAGGAGGTGGACGATTCAGAAGAACAAGAGGTGAGCTCCCTCAATCATCGTACCTGCTGCGGTCGCTTTTGGCACTCACAAAGCATTGGTTTCATTCAGTATGCCTGACGACGATCTGTCACACTCTTTTACCACGTCAAGACCTTTGCGGAGACCCTACCAATCTAGTGTCGACAGGGAACTCTTCCAAGTGCTACAGTCGGAGGCAGCGCACCTTGAAAGGAAGGAGATAGAACTTGCATCACAAATCAAGGCACTCTCGGAGGCTTTGGTTTCCGTTCGTAGGACACTGTCCACGATACGCTTTCGAGCCAGCGAATGCGCAAAGCGCATTTCCCCAGTTGCTCGCCTGCCCGATGAAACATTGCTTGCAATTTTTGAGGAAGCAGTTTCGAGCCAGGATGCGCGCTCACGGACAAGGGTTGAAAGCGCGATATCGCGTGTGTCGCATCGCTGGCGAAGGATAACTTTGCACACACCCCGGCTGTGGACACGGGTCTGTGTAACCCCTGACACGGACGAGCGTGACATGCAGCTACATTTCTCGCGATCCACTGATCTTCCTCTTGATGTGGAAGTCTGGGGATGGTGGGATTATCGAGATTCTTTCACTAGGCCTCATCACTTCGAACATACCCTATCCATAGTCCTCCCGTCCGCGTCTCGCTGGCGTTCTATAAAAATTGGCGCGTCCTGCGACACCCTTCTCACGAGTCTTTCCTTTATTCTGCGTACCGTGGGACCTTTGGATGCACTTCAGCAAGTTATCTTCAAAGCCCAACAGCCCGGGCAGATATGTCCCACGACTCTCCTCATGGGAAAATCGGCACCCAACCTCCGGTCTCTTGATGTCGAAAACATTGTTCTTACAGCCCGCTCCCCTTGTTTACATAATCACGATTTCGACTGCTTCATTGGCGTAACCCATCTTACTCTTCGGCTCCATGAAGGAGATGCGAGGGCTCTGAAAACGACAACGGAACTTCAAGGCTTTCATGCACTGCTTTTGCGGATGCCTAATTTAGTTTCCCTTTCTCTCTATGGAGAACTTGTCTGTGTCAAATCATCCACAAACCTCGAGGACGAGGGCAACATCACGTTGCCTCGTTTACAGACCTTGATTTTCCATCCTAATACTATCCGGCCTCGCCACCTGCGGAATCTCGTCGCGATGGTAATAGCACCAGATCTACGGCATTTTGAGCTCGTCTACCCAGACAGCTGTACTCAAGGCCAGGACATCTCCGATCTACTTCTTCAAAAGGGATGTGAACAACCCACACCTAAATTTCCTCTCGTCGAACGTCTCGTGCTACACAATGCCGCTAATATAACTTCGGCTGCCGCATTCATTCAGGCCTTCCCAGGAGTAGATCAGCTGACCATTTCTGGCGCCGACGTCGGGATCTTCAATATGCCAACTTGGGAAGGAGGTTGGAGAACTATCACAAGACTGATATTACGGCCTTCCCAACAGCATCGCCTGACCACGGTGGTCGATTGGCTAGATGCAGTAACTGGCAACGGCGAGCTTCAAAAAGTGCCGTTGGTCCAGGGGCCAACAACCGACTGTCCCATTATGTTGCGCCTCTATGAGGAGCTCAAGCGATACACTCGAATCGAGTTACTTGACATGGGCTCAAAACAGCTCTCTGAATAGACCGAGGGGATAAGGACATGAGCTATTCATGGGTGTATGTTCACGAATGCGTTTTTTTGGGTAGATAGTAGTACATGTGCGAACAAAGTATCGTAGCCCTTCATTATCTAATTTTGTAGATAGAAGTTTACGGCAACTCAAAGTAAACCTTGAGATCATGATGTAACGTGAATGATTCGTTATGTGCAATCGTAAATCATGCCTTTCTTCCTGGACTTGTAGGGAGTTTGGCGGTAATCTTCATAGCAAAGACACTCATGGCAACGAGAACGACATATACGGCGTAACCGCCCATAAGTTTGTGCTGGACAGAGTATGCAAACATGGATGTGGATGTGGCGGGGCCAAAGGCTCGAACGATAGATGCTGTCATTTGCGCAAGCCCATTGGTAGCTCCTAAAGATCGCTTATTTGGAGCTGCTGCAGTGATGAACATCAGTATACAACCTGCAAATTAAATTAGTTACGGTAGAGGAAAGATCAGAAACCAACACACCAAACGTCATATCCATGAAAACACTCAGTAGCAGCGAACACGTGAGTAAAAACCAGACAAGCCAGTTGATTCCATATTGGCGCGCAATGATGTTGGTGATCGGGAATAGGGCGAAGATAGGAATAAAAGCTCCCGCGCAAACGCGAAAAACGGTCCTGACACCAAATCTGTTTACCAACGGTGCAAAAATCGTTGTCTGCAAAGTACAGTTGGCAATGCCGAACGCTCCCATCCACAGACCGATAGTAATAGGATCAAATCCGAGGCCCCCTAGTTCAATCGGTGTGGAATAAAAGAGAGGTTGAAGTGCAAACATAGCAATTTCGAGAGTGGCGATACAGCCATAGTTGGCGACTGGGATTAGTACGGATGGCACGAAGAGCGACCGGATTGACACAGGGGAGTCCCCGATGGCATTTTGGGGAACGGTGAGGGCCTCGCCATCGAGAGCAGACTCAGATTTCTCTTGCGTCTGTTGTCTGGGCAGAGTCTGAAAAGTCATCAGTCAAGGTCTCATCGGTGCATGGGCTGGCTGTCCTTACCTCTTTTAAGAAGAATAGAATTGTCAAGAAACATGTAATCGAGAATGCTGCAGCAATAGCGCTAGGCAGGAAGTATGGGAACTCTGACCAGAATGCACCAGGGAATATATTAGGAAAGCGTTGTTGAGGGTGTTCTAGAGCTCCGCCGATCATAGGACTTTCGAAAGGCATGTCAACCTCTATACAGAATACGAGGAAAGGTACATACCCGATAGTAGCACCCAATGAAAACGCAAGAGGCATCAGGGCGAAGCCTTGCGCCATGTTAGTGGAGTCAGTGAGTTCGCCCATCATGCTCTTCATGACTCCAATGTTACCATTCAAGGCGCCAGTGATGCAACGACTAAAATCATTCAGAAGACAAAAATGATTGCCAAAATTGTTCCTCACCTAAGGATCAGCCCTGGCAATGTCCTAGATAGCCCAAAACAAAGCATTGACAAGGAAAGCCCGAAGATTCCTAACAAGAGAACAGGTTTACGTCCAACACGGTCCGAAGTACGGCTCCATTGCAAGATGGTCAGTGCCTGAGTGGCAAAAAAGAGAGACTCCTATTATGAATTTGATAAAGTGGTAACACGGAGATGAGTTACAAGGCGCAACTTACGATCAGTCCCGCATAATACCCTAAAAGCGCATCAATACTTGTTACGTGCATCGAAAAATCATGACTCACCGACTTTTCGCTCATCACCGCCGGTGATGTCCAACTCACTGACAAGCTACATGTAATAGTGAGAAATGTGGTTTTGACGTGCAAAAGGACACAGACCTGATTGATATAGGGATAGATAGATTGAGAGGCAATTGGCTCGACCAGCAGTGTCAGCAACAAAATTCCAATCTGAAGTTTTGGCAAAGGGGAGGCCTTCTTTTGGCCTTGCTGACCTGCGTCGAGAAGAGCGGTACGCTCGTTGGCAACGATGTCAGAATCTGAAGGTACTGCAGAAGACATCCTCGACGAGTGACAGGCAAGGTTAAAAAACCTGGCTGACGACCCCAGTTATATACACGCCAGTTCTTCTCGAGCGGCCGCAAGGTGAATGAAGAAGTCAACTCTCTATCCGCTGAGAGATTTGCATAATCGAGATTCCAGGCATTCTCAACTTCCCATTCGCAAACTTGCCCGTGGAGTGGATCCGAAAATTTTAAAACTCCATCATAAGTTTAGTCAAGCAATTTACATTAAAAGATATTAAACCCCTGTTACGAGAACCTGCAATGACTAGATTTTAGATTAAATATTAAACATAGCAGAATAAACACAAGTCAGAAACAAAAAATGTATAATCAATGCCGCAGCTAAGCAACAGCTTCTAGTTGATAATTGTAATATAATTCTCATCTCTAGTGAGAAATAGAAGAATGGGAGCTCACGTCGGTGGTCTGAACTTATCGGCTAAAAACAAAAATATGCAATCAGTATATAGTCCATATGGCATCGATGATAAGGATATCAGGAGGGGGTGCCCGAAAGAATTGAGCTGTGGCGGGCCCTTTCGGCAGTGATAATACGAAGACCGTCGTGATAATACATCATATGTAGAGTAATGGCTGTATCAGATAAAGCTCACCATCATGTTATCGCGAAGCACACAATCAGAACGTGTGGATGGCTGAACCATCAGTAGCCCTGAAACAAAGTCACGTCAGATACGAAATCATTAAAGGGGATACGTCAAGACTCAGAACGTAAAAACAGCCAGGAATTCACATCAATAACCCGGTAGGGTATCAGGCGGTAATTCCTTTTTGACATCCTTGCAACATGATAAAAGCAGTAGTGCTTACCTCAATCGAACGCGGCTTGATGGAGATAGACCCTGGCCCTAGAGATAGCAAGGGTGAGACAGGGTTCAACAACAACAAAAAAAACAGCAAAGTTATAGATCAGTGGATTGACAGAAAATTGAAAGCATCGAGCCTATATTAGGCTCTCAGATACTCTAGTTTGAATGAAATGTTTCATCGTGCAAAGAGAAACCAACAGGGAGTGCAATAGGTAATCCACAACCCACCTAGCGCCCAGCTCGGGACCAATGTCTTCATGGAGTTTCATTATCACAAGAGAAGATAATTCTGCAAGATGATTGAGTAATAGGTACATATCGAGTGCAACTGATGATGGTCAGGGTAACTATGACAAGAAGGACACATAGTGTCATGAGACACTCGCCATGGTGTGGAAAGATATCATCGCGAAAGGGAAGGTTGGAAACATGGTAAATGATCACTGACCTGCGCAACAGTCTAACCATATCCATATCCCGCAATGACTACACCGCAAGCGGGTCGAAAGGTGTTAAAACCATCGAAGAGGTCGACGGAAGTGAAAAAAAAAATCAAGGAAATACGCGTTTGATTCCGAAATTTCTACTAATTGGTTTAGGGCAGGCTAACACGTATTTTAGGTTCAGACGGCAATTCCCATGTATCACCATTAATTGAGGCTCTAGAATGGGGATGTTGTGGAAATCGAACAATGTCACCTCGAGCGTACGATGAATTGCTCAATATTCTGGATATCCAATAAGCAACTTGCACAATTCTAATCAAACTTTTATTATCTTCTTGGAGCCCCTGTAGCTGTGTAAACAGTGCATTCAGTGCTCGATTTGTACGATACGGCATCCTTTTCTTGCGTGCGGTGTATATGTGGGATAGATGGCAAGTAATCGCTGCGATAACTGCCACCACGATACGTAAATAACTTGTCAAATATCATGTGGACGGGGTCAGATTCAAAAGGACGTAAATGAGCCCTTCAAATCATCGGGGATGTACAACGGCGAGCGAATCAAGCGCATCACCCACATTACTTGATTTCCCTGATCATTTGATCAGCCGCAGTCAGGAAATAAGGTTTGCTCGTAAAACTTCGAGCATGGAAGGGTGCCACTTCTGATCAATGTTCCAAGCGACGGCCAGCAGGAATATCCCCACCGTATGGCGGAAATAGACAAATGGCCTTACGCCCCGTATGGAAGGGGGTCAGACGACCTGCTCGTTCTCATCGCCAAGCTATCAGAGCTTGCATCCGGCACGTCATATCGTCACGGTGTTGCTCCATGTTCGGTTCCATTCAAGTTCTAGAACATGGTCTCGTGACTGTCAACTGAATCAATCATGAAATACGGACATGGCAAGAATTATCCCACCCAGATCGATCCAGAGCTTAGTCCTGTTTGATGTACGACACGAATTCGAGTAGGATGCGACAAAGACATACATCACGACAGCGACGGTCGTCATCTTCATTCAACCATCGCTTTATATGACAATGCTTAGCATGGTGTAACGGTGACACGATGGCCTTTCTCCAAAATCCGTATTGCTTGGCCGATCTCAGCAAACCAACTGAATCCCTTTTCATAGCTGCCAAAGCCCCGGACAAATGGATACTTCAGCCGATGTATGGGCGAATTGTATGGCAATGATTGTACATGTAGATGCAGGTGAAGTATTGAGTTGAATGGCGGTATATGGAAGCCCATCCTCAAAACAATGATGTTACGATTAGCATGATCCAAGGGGTGATTGACTCACTTCCGCTTTGAAACCGGTACGTTAAACGTATCAAGGATGGAATGTCCTATTTCCTCCATTCTCCGGACTCATATCCAGATAAGATATTTGGCTGATGCAGCAAGTACAGAAATGCTTACGCATGTTCACATCCTTCTGAGAAAGTTTCTTGATACTTTCTGATTGTGACTCATAAGCCAGCGAAGTGGACAGCTTTGTGAAGCTTACCAATGTGGGTTTTGGGGATGAGTTGAATGTGGTCTTGTGCCGATGGACGAATGTCCCGGAAGGCAACAAATACTTCATCCTGAATGCACGGGTCAACGGTGGCGGTCGATAACATATAGATACGCACCTCCCACACGATGTCAAAGTCACTGCGGTTTGTGGAATAAGCCCTACAGAATATGCATGACTGAGAGTTGCCCTGCCGGTAATGAGGAGGTTGTGGTTTTCCAACTATCCAATGAAATATTGTTTGGAACATAGATTTTAAATCGTCCAAAGTAAGAAGGTTGTTGTCTATTTTTAGAAATTAGTTGGTGTTGAGTCCACCGCCTCCGACGCGAGACTCCACTTGCCAGCTGCAAGGTTCTCCAGCTTCTAAATCTCCGTATTTGTTCACCACCACGTTTCTCGCATGATCTCAAAGACCCACCAGTACCAGCTGCATTGAAACGCGCCATCTTCGCCAGCTTTCTGGAGTCTTGTGACATCCTGTTTATTTACTAGTTTCAGGCATGTCTGCATCTCCAGACAGCACGCACGCAGCTCTTTTCGGCGAGGAATCTACTTTCTATAACGAAGCACATCCTGGAATCGAACCTTCTGTCTCTTCCGACACCTGCGAGAGCGATATAGACAGGTGTTCACATATCACTTCCGTCCTCGCCGATCCATCCGCGAAAGCAGGTATTATAGACAAATACAAAACAGTCGTAGCCTGGCATGCTCGTAGAACACATAATTCCCTGCACCCAGCAAAGCGAAGGAAGGTGCGTTAGTCCGTGTGGAGATAGCTCGTCAGATGATGTATTCGACCCCCTGTGTTACAGATATCTTCACCAACCTGTGGGACATGCAACCAGACACTCTCCCGACCGTTCGTCTGCCTTCAGTGCTCGTTTGCAGGGTGCTGGTTAGACAATCACATAACAAACCACCTAAAAGAGACGGGGCATACGTTTTGTTCGTGTTTTCGCTACTGCAATTTTCTATCTGCTGACCATTCTAAATCTGCACAATTCAGGCGTCGATGCAAAGTTTGGATCAGTCTTCTGTTCAGATTGCGACGACTTTGTTTTTGATGATGTCATCGACGATTTGCATCTCTCCACCGTCCTATCGGTGGAAGAGCAAAAAACGAAATTTAAAGGTAAGGTAGTTTGGATATACCTGCAGAATAACATATCTTAATTCACGTCTAGTGGATAAGAGAGGCCGAGAGCCGTATCAACCATGGATTCCGACGGATGACGAGTCCACTGCCCTCAAGTATGCCGCCACAGTTCCTTGCCAAGGTCCAGTTTTCCATTACAAGTCAGGTCCACTCGCTCACATGAAATAGGTCGTCGTGGACTGCTCAATCTAGGGCAGACATGCTTTTTGAATGTCGTACTCCAGTCGTTCATTCATAACCCATTGCTACGGAATTATTTTCTCAGCGATAGGCATAACAGTAGGCTGTGCAAGCACTCAGACTGCACCTGTTGCGAAATGGATAACCTGTTCACAGAGGTTAGTCATGATATCGCTCCGTCAAACTTTGTTTGCTAAAGAAAGTTGAAGATATATTCCCCGACCAATACCCCATTTGGGCCCACGTCCTTCCTCGCCACAACATGGAAAGTTTCTGCCGAAATGTCAGGCTATGCCCAACAAGATGCACACGAGTTTTTCATCACTGCACTGAACCAAATTCACGGGACATGCCGTGGTTCCACGAATATTTCGTGCAACTGCATCATTCATCAGACTTTTGCCGGTCAATTTCAAAGCGACGTCACGTGCGAGAAATGTGGGACTGTGACTAGCACAATCGATCCGATGCTTGATATCAGCCTTGAATTGAGGTCAAAGTCTGGGGAACCGGCTGCTGACAACACGCTTGCCAGTTGTTTGCGCAGGTGAGAAGGTTCATTGTTGGATCGATATATTTTAACGCTTTGAAAGGTATACTAAACCAGAGAAGCTAGGAGCGAGAGAGTACAGTTGTAGCAAATGCACGAAAGCCTCTCACGAGGCTGTGAAGCGCCTCAGCATACGGACATTACCGCCAGTTCTTAGTTTTCAATTCAAGGTTCCTTCATATACCGTATGATCTTGGTAATTTGACGCTGACATTGATTCAAGCGATTCGAGCACAAAACGTCTGGGAAAGCTGCCCCGCAAAAGATCGACGCACCGATACGGATCCCAGTATCTATCAATATGGCGCCTTATACAACTCTTGCTATGAATGCGACTGGAAAGGATGGTGAAACTGGGTGAGCGATTTAAGGAACTGTGATTGAGTTTCTGATCAAGTCCGTGAATAGCTACCCAGGACCGGACGCAATGTATGAATATGATCTATTTGCGGTTATCAACCATGAAGGGCAAATGGATAACGGACACTACACGAACTTTGCTCGTTTTCAAGATGAGGTGAGTGGACATGATGTAGTTTTATTGCATAGTTATTGATGGCGTACCAGTGGTACCGTTTTGACGATGACAAGTATGTAGCTCATTGCTCTCTGCATTCTGCGATCTTATTTTACTTTCGACAGAGTAACCCCATCGACACTCAGCGAATGCCTAGCCTCAAATGCGTACATGTGTTTCTACGTGAAGCGACATCTTGATTACAAGCCCTATGTGAAACCAACGTACCTAGTTGCGCGTGAAAAGGACATCGTTCGTGAGCAAGCAATGGAACGAGAGAAAGAGGCGGCACGTATGAAGGAAGTGGACGATGCCCTGATGGCGATGGTCGGTGGAGACTGAGATCGCCCCTGACATGCGAAGAGGAACCATTGTATATATAGGAGTCTAGGGGTCGTTATTAAAACAAGGAGAAGAAGTTTTAGTACGCGGAGAGAGTAAGGGAAGTGGTGTAGTAATGGAACAACATGAGAAAGGAAAACAAGTTCGTGATATGCAAGATACAAAGAAATGGGAGATCCCGGTATTTCCAGAGTGAGGTCGTCGCCGATTTGACGGGGAGGAACATGAAAGATAGGATGTTGATCAAGGAATGATATCATAGAGTTCGCCGTCTCTGACCCGGATCTCTACCACCTCTACCTCGCTGTAATCAGTCATCGAAGATGTATTTGATGTCCAGGAGCTGGAAAACCCTTTTGAGGTTGGTGGTGAGGTAGATGCAACGTCTGTAAGGTGAATGATAAAGACAATAAGCCTTCTCTCCGGAAAGCAGCGAATGCACACTGAGTGAGAAACGCACATCTATCTTTAATGTAAGGGGGGACGAATAGATCCTGCAGTTAGAAGAACCTGTCAACTGGGGATCCGCAACTCGGATAAAGAATGCAAACCTGGTTCCATACAAAACCTTGGCTCTTCTGAATGGTCAAGATTGGACGAAGAGTGTAAGTCGGCCGACGTTCTCGCTTGCGATAATGCTTCTTTGTTGGCTCTGGCTGAGGGTCAAGTGCTTTTTGTTTTCCCTTCATATCCTTCTTAAACTTGGCAGCATTCTTCTCATCGTCGACTCCTTGATCAGCTCGATCGATCTCCATGTTCTGCGTATCATCCTGCCTCTCAGTGTTTACGGCAAGATCACCGTCAGAATCACGGTCGTGATGGCCGTAGTCTTCTCCATCTTCTGAGCAGGATTCATCTTCGGAAGGGCTATCATTGTAGTCTTCGTCATCATCATCAGATGGAATTTGTTCATAGCAAGCCCAGGTTGGGGGAGAGGAAGCACGGCCGATAGTACGGCGCCTGAAGTATGAGGAGTAAGGAGAGTTTGGGGTAGTAGGTACTCCTTGAGTGCTCATCGCAGTATAAGATCAAACAATAATGGCTTGAGGTAAGCTGTATGTATACGTAGGTTCGAAACAACGTGTGTGTGGGCTGTTCAAAGCTGATGTGAATAGAACCGGTGCTTACAGCAGTGTGAGGCTGAAGAGTGACTACTGTGACGAGCGATCGAGTCTCCTAGATATGTTCCCACAATCACGCTTATAGCAACTATCAATTAGATCGTGACTCGAGTCGAGTCATGATCACCACTCCATCAAGTAGATGTGCATCAGCTCGTGGTAGAGGCGTAGTATCCATGGTATTCACGGCACATTAAGAACGTGGGAGAATCCGGTACACGACCAAATCAATTACATGTAGTCCTGGTAAAGAGATTTATACATTTTGAACGGTACATGCAATGCATCAGGATAGCTGCAGGTGGGACACCGAAAATAAGTCATGCGAGCCCGTGCGAGGGAAATCAATAACTCATGGAGGTCCGTCATCGAGATATTGAATATATCGAGGCAAACCTGCGGTGAAGGGACACTATGATTGAAAGGATGAGAATAAGAAAAAGAATCCAAGGTGGTCAAGAAAGATGCATGCTGGCTCCACTGAAATTCACGTACTACTAGATGGTTCCACGAGTCCGTGTGTCCCATGAGTTGGCGCATTGACTCTAGCATACGCAATTCTGCATAGAATCCTTAGATACGTTGCATTGAGGTTCCCCCCGACATAATACACAGTGGTATATTTTTTATTTGAAGAAAATTGAAGTAAATTTCGTCCCATGGCCAACTTATTAGTGCTGGAAGCTAGTTTTGTGCATAGAAGGCTCGCTCTAAAGGTCAGATCACCACATAAAATTCTGGAATGCAGTATGATGGTTATACATGATGAAAGAATACTAAACCGAATTTATCCGGGGCCTCATGCTTGTCAGGATCATCTGTAATAAAATCAATATGCCCCAGACGTGATGAAGCGTTGAGACTGTGTGACTCGAAACTCCGCAAAAGTCAGATACGAACGGTGCGGTGCGGACATTGCGGTGTGTGAAAAGGCATTGCGGCAGACGCGTGACATGTGCTCGAACGTTTCTGCGCGGTAACTCTCCGTCGGACTCGGCACGTCAATTTTTGAGACAAAAACTAGCAGATGTCGTGCTTTCGATGCCAGGCTATCGAACTGTCAAATAATTGAAATTGTCATGTAGTGCGTTGTGGAATAATAGACATTACCCCAAAACGCGTGGAGTCTGGACACCTAGTATACGTAGTATGTGACTGACGGTAGCCGACAAGGTTACAGTGGCTATGAAAGTCCTTGTTAGGCATTCCCAGATTTGGGTGCATAACTTTGAGCCGAAGTGTTGCGACATTGAACGTTGAACAAATGGATTCGTTTATTTCAAATACAGTAGTAGTTGCTAGAGCGAGATATAGATAAGACGAAGAATAAAATACTTCAGTTTGAATACAAAGGCAGGAGAAAAGATCATCAGACTTCAAGCAAGATAGTCAACCCCTCAGGCTCAGGCTTGTAACCCGGCACTGCATCTTTAGCCTTCTTAACTCTCTCTAGCCATGCGCTTTCATCACGCTTCAAGACTGTCAAGAGGTGAGTGTATTGGCGAACTCGATTTCGCGCTGCTAGATAGCTTACATACACCGTGTCAACGGTGTACTTGGCGAACAGCATATCCTGATCGTCGTCTCCCATGTCGATGCCATCAAGTGACATCTTATACAAACATTCTGAGTTAGTGCTCGCTGAAGAAGGAAATGAAGTGATCTGTCGCACCATGTATGTTTGCATCTCTCGTCTCCGCCCCGCAGTTTCCAAGTTTGAAATGATTGAGGGTGCTGGTGGCATAAAATTAAGACTACTTTTGCCAGGATGCATTGGAGCATGCAGGAAATCATAGGGAGATGATGAAGATGACATCGGAAATGACATTTTGTTGTGCTAGTGGATAAGTAGTACTTATAGTTCAAGTGGGAGGCATACTAGTACCAATTTCATTATTAAAGGGTGGTTTTTGATCGGAGTAACTGTGTTTGAAAGTCAGGGGTACTACGAGTCATGTACAACCCAGTCAGCTTGAAGTTGTAGTCGACGTCACTAGCATCTTCAAGATCTTCGAGAGTCGAGACAGCGAGAAGAACTGGAGATCATATAGCAGAAAAACGAGCGAAAGTGCCAAATCTGTGTGCTTTGTACTAGGTTCCCGACAGAGTGAACTTGTTAGGGTTCCGAGATTGTATGCGAAATGAACCACACATGTACAGCAGTTCAAACAGACCTGAGCGTTCAATTGATCTGGGGAGGTTGATCGATGCTTATGTAACGTACTAGTTTATGTATCCCTCCAGAAATCACACCCACTTTTTATGTCAACTATTGCTATATTTGGATAGCGTTTGAGCGAATTTCCTAGCGAAACATAGATCAAGGTAGATCAAGCACTATCGTGATGGCGGGCACAAAGTTTGCATACGTACGCAATTTCGAGCTCCCTGATCCACTATTACCGGACACCTATCTGGTCTGTCGTCTCGATGGACACTCTTTCCACCGGTAAGCGAGCATCAGAAGCCAATCGAGAGGACACAGCATAATGACACCATACTTTACAGGTTCTCGGACGAGCATGGCTTTGCAAAGCCAAACGACGAGCGTGCGCTCCAACTCATGGATCACGCCGCAAAGAGCGTGATGACCGAGTTCAAAGATATCATGCTCGCATTCGGCGAATCCGACGAATTCAGGCAATTATAACCCTTTCTTCTAGTTCCGACCAGATTTATCACGCATCATAGCTTTCTCTTTCGAAAGTCGACGAATCTTTATAACCGACGACACTCGAAAATACTCACCACGTTGACGTCTTACCTTACTTCGTGCTATGTGTTCAACTGGTCGCGGTATTTCCCAGACACGCCGCTACGATATCCACCGTCATTCGACGGACGCATTATAGTGTATCCGACTGAGCGTGCAATTCGGGACTATTTTTCATGGCGACAAGCTGACAGTGGGTCTATCTCAAATTATTGTTTTGCCGAGACTGAGCACAGCTGCTTGTCAGCGTAAAGCCCACATAAACAATTTATACAATACCACCTTTTGGGCTCTCATACAGAAAGGAGGTCAAACAACTACGGAGGCGCATGCTACTCTTAGAGTATTTTCTTTTCTCCCATATTGTGATACATTGTTGACGAATCTCCAGGGCACCGTTTCTGCGACCAAGCACGAGATGCTCTTTTCCCGCTTCGGTATCAACTATAATGAAATATCACAGAGGTTCAAGAAAGGTAGCATTATAGTCCGAGAAATCGTGCGTCCCGTTGGAACTTATTTCATCCAATCCAATTCATGTTAAGGTGTAGGTAGCCCCTGAATCATTGGACAAGGGTGAAAATCTTGAGCCCCCGATGCATTTGACTCGCCATGAGGCCAATCAAACACCCGACGAGAGCCCCGAATGCTCAGGGGCGTCTGCTCCAACCACAAACATACCCCTGCATTCACAATCTACAGACGAAGATGGTGAGACTCCACCATTCGGCCCTCCGCGTCAAAAACGCTTCAAGGCCAAGAAGAAAAACAAACCGGAAACTACAATAGAGGTACTTCACTGCGATATCATTGGCGATGAATTTTGGCTGGCGCGTCCACATCTATTGGAAAATTGATACAGCGTCTGCAAGACTCGGAGACGTGCCATTGTCATCGTCAGCGTTGGAGCCGTTAAAAAGTAGGGGCAATAACAGAAACTACAATACAGCTGCCTCGAGAAACACAGACTGAGAGAATAGGACTTATTGAAGTTGTGTTGTCGCATGGATGGAGTGGACATGACGTTCAGGTGCATCACATACTTATGCAAGCACCGCAGGTCTGCGACTCGCAGTTAAATTAAAACGTAGACTTGCCAAATAATCTGTTACAACATGTGGTTGGCTTGAACTCCATCATATACCTTAAATTACCTAGCTCCGTAATTTTCTCCATGAAACGCTTCCATACGATGAAGGAGCGCACAAAGAAGACGCCGACAAATGAGCGTGGCGATAATATCTAGCTCTACCATGAAGATGCCTTCAACGGAAAATCGAGAACGAACTCACAAGCCAATTGCCAGCCTTGCAGTGCGAGAGAGCCTTGCCCAAGAACAAAGACAATAAACACAAGTCCGGACGTCACTAGAGTTGTGACGATCTGGTCAATGTGCCTGTGGACGTCGGCCTACCTTTATCAGCATAGAAGGATATCAACACTGTTGCAGCACATCGCCGAGAATGTAGAAAGTCGCGAGTCAGTGTTGCCTATATTCCGTCAGATCACCAAACATACAATCCTCGATAAGTACATTACCTGTGCCAACGACCACGGTTCCAAAACACCCCAAATGGAGGCACCAGCTGCAAAAGTTTTAAAAAAAAAGCAATTGACCATGCACGAGATATCGGGAATGCGTGCCCAACTGGCGCAAGTGAGAGCAGTCATGGGTTCTAGCAATGAGTACATACCGCCGAGGAAATGGATACAGCTGCCCCAAAGCCTCGTAAACCTCATAGAATAACGAGGGTCTAGCCAGCTGAAGTCTCTGTGTAGCATTCGTATTTATCAAACGGATGACTGCTTACCATTAACTAAACTTCCAGCTAGTGAAAACACAAGCTGAAAGAAGGAGCTAAAGATGAATGGTTTCTTGCGACTATACATATCAGCGATCTGTCGGAAGAATAGGAAGAGACCCCTTGTTGTTGTACAATTGATGAGAGGTCGATGCACATGAGCGGATATACACACCTGACTTAGAGAATGTACAGAAACCATCCAATAAAGCTAATCTTCTTGAATTCCAACGTCCTGGCCTGAGATACGGAAACCGACATGGTATTTGGAGCCTGGTGTCGTGTGACGCAATAACGACTTCATAGACATACCTGGAGTACCAGAGCATAAGTGTCGACGAACAAAACAGAACGAAAAGTAGTGCGTTACATAACTTTGGGCTATGTTTCTCTATTCCACTTCCTTACGAAGATCCTGAACCGGGTTATCGAAGATGTGGGAGAGTGGCCTTTTTCCATTAACGCTCCTCCAAGGATAGTAGTCGACATCTTTTGAAAAATGCTTGGTAGGTGTCCAAGAATCCCTAGCGTACTGCTTAACGCCGGACGCTGTAGAAACAGACAAGTATTTATAGATAAACCACTGACAGTTGTTATTAGTATTCAATTTGTCGTCGCAGTGGCAACAACGGATGAAGAGAGGATGAATGTAGATCTGCTCTCACCTATCTAAAGGCAGGAATTAGGTGTGCAAAATAAATTCTTCGCCATTGCGATGTCGGTAGCTCGGAACACTGGTCTTGTAGTGTGATGTTGAACGTCGGCTTAAACGTCGGTTACTCGGAGTGTTTAATTTGACTTGTTGAACAGCCCCATGAGTGCGTCGGGCTCAAATTACGAAAGAGGTGCGACAGGATCTATCAAACCGTTGAGAAGGACTTGGACGCCTGAAATGATGCTAGATGTTTGATGCAGCGCGTCCGCAGATGATGCGACATCATCCTGCTTTCGGCAGTCGCCGAAACTGAATTATCACAGTTGCCATTTCTAGCATGATGTGTTAATTTGATTCCGCTGAGTCGCTTCCAGCATACGCCTACTCGTTTGCGTCGATAGGTTCTTCTTTAGCTTCTGGGAGCCCACAGTCCGAAGTCATATTTCATGCAAGTTGCAAGGCTACATCGATGTCGGATGACTTGTAAGCTGGTAATATTATGCAGAGGTGATGCCTCGTTGTCGAAACACGTTGAACTGGCATGGTGTTTCGAGTGAAACATATCTAGCTTGCTGTAAAAGGGAAATAAAGAACCTGGCTCCGACGCAATCCAGCCAAAATTACTGGATTAAGTTAATATGGACTTGCGGTGAACACTGCCATCATAAATTTCCTTGCAAGGCAAGTAGCAGAGTTCTCATGGACAGGTGTTCTCAGTCAAAGGGAGCTGACGTACTCATTTCGCACGAGGGACCTTATTCAGAGGCAATCCGAGAGCTCGATTGCTTTCAAGCACTTTACAGCAAGCGAAGTTTTTTGCTTCCTTTGGTAATTTTTAGGCTGAGAAGGTGAAACATGTCACACCTTGCGGTCGTGCTTAAAAGGCGGGCCCGCCTACTGGATATTTGCAGTGAAAAAAAGCCCACAAAGCCTCCCAAACCATACAAACCCTTCCCTGTATTAATCCTTGCCCATCTCTTTCATCTTTGAACTGTTGATCGTCATCTTGTTATAATCCTATCCTTGACAGGTAAAATCTGTTTGAGATCTCGGAAAATGCCGTTACTAATCATATATTCATTTTTTTTTTAATTTTACGTCTTATCTACAACCTCTTGATCACCTGACCTCCGCGTCGCGTCCGTTCTATTACTCGACCGAACCATTTCACGTTCCGTTGTTGTCAAATTGTTTGGTTTGGTGGGTCCCTGCTGTTTTTTTTACAATGTCTTCTGCACAGTTGCCATGCCTGGTGGATCACATTTCAACACCTGGGATTTGGCCGGCAGTGTACTTCCTCTTGGCGGTCTCACAATAAATTCAGTCACCATCCCGCATTCACATAATATCTCGGACGGGGAGTCCGACTCTGGCACTGCCCGCACCGGCAGCCAAGTCGGAGCCACCCATTTCGGCGCCTCTCGAAGCAGAGGTCATGGTTCTGGAGTTCTGGCTCCGGACTATTTTAATGACACTCCCTACGTCCCTCCTCGAGCTGGACAGTCTCTACCACAAGCATATATAACACACACGTCCCATGGCACTACAAGAACTCATGGCATTCCATCTGTGAGTATCGCAAGTGCTCATTTACAAGTCATCTTATTTTATTATTCCTCCCACTGCAGTACCCAAGTCCTGCAGAGTCTCATCTTAGCGTGGACAGCAACTGGAGCAGCTCTTCGTCTTCCGATCAAGACCAATCATACACATCACATTCCCAGTATCAGCAATATAATCCATCAGTCTCGCGCCAGTCATCTTCTAATCAGCCACAGCACTTGCAGCAGCCGTACTCGCATTACCCTGCTTATCGTGGTCTTCATCGCCTGGGCCTCGAGCATGCCGAATACCCACTCCAGCCATCATCTACCAGTGGCACCATCCATTATAGACCCCCTACACGCCCTTCATATCAATCCAACAACATTCTTGCTCCCGAGTTCTATGAACAAACGAATCAGGACCTCCCTCTACCCGCTCACTCATCTCAAGCACATATCGAACAGTCGTCAACATCACCGTCTAGTTCTCATGGGTCGCTATCGACATTTCCCGCCACTTCCACTACTGATGAGAGGTCTAGACACCTTCTCTTCGAAGACGCAGGACCTTACCTGCGTGAGACACTGCACATTCCGCCGTACAAGGAAATCAACCTGTGGGCACTTCCAGATCCTCCTGAAGGAGAGAAACCAAATCAGCCCTATCCTATACTGATCAAGCTGGCGATTTACGGAAGCCCGAATAAGCAGCTCACGCTACAAGAGATATACGCAGCACTCGAGGATCGTTTCGAATGGTTCAAGGTTCGGCGAAACGAGAAGGCTTGGAAGGTGGGTGTTTGTTTCGATTCCTCACTTATTGCGCCTCATAGTTATGCACAGAACTCGATTCGCCATAATCTTTCTTTAAACAAAGTTTTCAAACACGTGCCCCGTGCCATCACGGAGCCTGGCAAAGGAAGCTATTGGCAACTCGACTGCTCTGGTGGCGAGGGTTACAAGCGCCCTCGTAAGCGTCGCAGCAAGTCTGCTCGAGCAGCGCTTGAACAGGGCGACGATGACGATTCTTCGTCGGAAGGTGGTGACATGGAGAGGACGAATTCACCTCAGGCTGGCATGCCAGCAGGTTTGAATCACGCTCCAAATCGTCCTAGCCCCGCAGCATCTGAAGACTCCTACATCGATCCTGAGTTGAGACAGGGAAGTCACATTGTTGGTGAAGGTCGAACGAGATCCGCATCGCGCAGGCCCGCCACTAGTCCATATCTTGTTCTCAATCCCTCTCAGCAGTCGCCTAGATACCTGCAGAGCCAGTTACCGCCTTTTGGAAGTCAAGAGTCAGCGCCGAGATTCGGTCAACCGTCATTTGGACAAGGAGGATTCGGACGCTCAGGGTTCAGTCAGACGCCAGTAGCCAGAGTACCTCTAACCTCTACGTCTTCAACCTCAGCATTTGCGGCATCATCTCCCGCAACCTTTGGCCCTGTTCCGGTGACGTCCACCCGTTCGCAACATGCTTTTGTGACTCAAGATCGCAACGCGCCTATCATACAGCCTACTGCCAGACTAGGCGTTGAGTATATTCATGAGGGTGGCATGCCTAGTGCTAGACGTGTTCAAAGCTACCACCAAGGACAGTACCAGTCGTCTCAAGGCTCGTCGCCATCTTCGCAGCAGAGTGACTCCAGTTACCCTTCTAATCCCAAAGGGAAGGGCAGGATGTGAACGCCTCAGTGCCTCAAACTCATGATCCCGCACTCCTGCATATGTGGGGGGTCATTGAAAGTTTTACCGCGCATATTATTCGTCCATTTCCTTCTAGTTTCTTTCCTTAGGCTTGCTTTTGTGCACTTCTCTTCTCTCTACCATCCTATGCATTAATGAATTTCCTTGACGTTGTTTTCTTTTTCATCTTCTGTTTTCCGCGTGTTTTCCTGCTTGATGATGTACTGCTCGATGATGTGATATAGAATTTCACTGCAATGTTTGTGCTCACGTACTCACGACCCATCTACTTACACTATAGTTCATGCAACAACAATCACTATGTTCTGCCTCACAAACTGTATCCCAAGTCTCTATCATTGCTCTAATATATATCTATAGCCAACACTCGGACTCGATTATCTTGTGCTGAGGCTTCTCTGTCACTCACCACCATTGTTTCAACAACGGATCGGGAAGCACCGGCTGCACTATCGCGGATTGACACAAATCAGGAATCAGTGTGTCTCTTTCCGTTTCCAGCTGCCTGGACCGAAAGACCTAGGCCCCAGTGCCTCGTCGACAACATGCATCATCGCGAGAACCTTCTCATCCTCCCATTTCTTACCCACAAGCTGAACACCAACGGGTATACCCTCCATCGCTTTAGGATCGTAGACGGGATTATTGCCTAGGTACATACGGGTTTCCAACACTTTCGACCGGCCTGAGGCGCCTGCAACGAAATCTGTTGATAGCTCGTCAGTATCTGGGTTGACGCGCGTCACCGGTATAACGCCAACAGGAGAGTCGATGATGTTGTATACAATAGTGGTGGCTGCGAGCGGGGACAAGTATGCGGAACCACTGGAGATTATAAGCTTCACAGCCAAGAGGGAAGGTAGAGAAGCTTACCCGTGAGGTATCACTGGAAGGGACTGTACAGGTGCGATAATTCCGTCGAAACTGTATTTGTCCCATACCTGGGGCGTATGAACAGAGGAAAGTCCACTGGATGTCGATATGCTCACCTGTTCATACCACGCAGCAGTAGCCTGATTGCGTTGGTCAGTCAAATCTGTGAATTCCAAAACAGATTTCTCTCGTGCTGATGAGAAGAACCGTGAGAAGAGGGAGTCGCCCAAGAACGTCTTGACGATCCAACAAGCCAGTTTACGAACGAAGGACGGTAATCTGGGGCCCAAGGTAACCAGGAACAGACTGTCCTCCTGCAAGGGTCATGTGAGCTAAAGACAGTTTATTTTATCTTTAATTTCAACTTGCCATAGGGTCTGAATCAAGATGCGACAGCATCTTCTTATAACCGTCAGATGAAGCGAGTCCCACGAACACTTCCATCGCAGTTGCGTCTTGATGAATTGTCAGGACGGAGAGTAGGGACATTATAGAAAACATACTCAGAGGAGATGTAAACTCGATGCATTCATGACCCTGCTTCCTGAGTGCTGAAACTGTCTCCAGTACTGCTCGCTTGCATACGGGTGATGATTCTATCATTCCATCTATAGGTGTCCTATTAGCAGTAAATCGTGAAGACAAAAGACATCACAGTACCTGACAGGTAATAACCAAAGCGGAGCGTGGAAGGGAGCTCGACGGGTTGGTACGGCATAGGAATATTCTGGTGAGACGAGTCCTTTTGACCAAAGATAGTTTTGCAGAACAATTCACAATCCTGGACAGACCTAGAAAATAGTCAAAAAAAATATGAACCAAGCAATGCAGGTACCGACTAACCGCGCCAATGGCCCATGAGCAGATCGAACTGCTTCGAATCCAGGCCGAGTGGCTGTAAGAGAAGGCCAGTTAGCGTATCGGTTGGAAGAAACAAGAACATGACCTTCCTTGTGTACCAATAGAACTGACACGTTCAGCTGTCGGTTTCAAAGCGTATATGCCGCAATACGATGTTGGGATGCGTAGGCTTCCTCCGATATCAGAACCGATGCCCATGGCGGATCCGTCCATGGCAAGCAAAGCTCCCTCTAACATCAAACACTGTTATTCACTGGGAGATTCACAAGCAGATAACGAACCTCCACCAGAGCTGCCTCCACATGTATACTCGTTATTCCACGGGTTTGTCGTGCGACCCCAGAGAGGATTAGAGCACTCGAACGCTAACATTGTCTGTGGTACATTGGTCTTCACGAAGATGATGGCACCAGCATTCCTGAGTTGTGTAACAAGCTAAAAATAATGATATAGAGAATGGGTGAATGTTATAATAAGAACGTACGCAAGCATCTTTCTTGCCCGGGTTGTTGGCCCATGCAGTGAACCCAATGGTCGCGTCGTATCCTTCGATCTGGTCTATAACAGGGTTCAGAAATGTATCGGTCACACATGGAGCAACGTACAATTATCTTTGACGCTGAATGGAACACCATGGAAAGGTCCCACCAATGTCTTTGTGCTCGCAAATTCTGCGTCAAGCTCCTTTGCTCGTTTGCGGGCATCCTCATATAGGACTGTGAAAGATATCAGGATGGAAGTACCAGAAGAGAAATGGTGAATCTACTCCCCTTCTGTAAGACAGTTCGTCTCAGCCTGGGCCATGGCAGATCGCGCAATGTACGCCTCCAGGACTTGAGAAGAAGTCCATTCTCCTTTGGCTATCCTTTGTACAATTTCGCTTGCTACAGAAGTCACGACACGACATACATTCATGAACGGAACGCAAACTAACCCGTGGCTTCGGTATAGACACAGTGGTCGTTCACTATATAAAGACCGGCAAAACTCAGCGCCTTGTCTCTTGCATTCCGCTTCGATGTGATGATGCTATTTCTTTGTGCAGCGCTTCTCATGGTAGCAAAGATTTGGGAGGAGTGGATAATGGAATGAGGAAAAGGAATGTGATCATTTTAGCAGCCAGCTCGATTGCTGTGTACATTTGAACATCCAACTCGTTCACACCGGTACCAATTAATCCTAGGTGCATGAAATTTAGTGGTACTTCGAAGAAGGGTGTGCTGTTTTCCATAATTTCGATTGCATTGGAGCAACACCGCGCTATCCTCATGTCACTCTAATTTTATTATAACTTTCACATGACAGTCTCAGGCGTCCCCAGGTTCCCCGTACATCATGTTACGCACAATAAGGTCCATCTGCCTTCGTTCCAAGAGCTTCTTCAATCTCTCGGTCATCTCCAAACGCGTTCCTGTCGGTACGATAGAGGGGTTTATGTCGGCGTGAGCTTGAAGGTTGCGAATGAGCGCGACATTTGATAACAATAGACATGCAGAGGGATCAGTGATGAGAGGCAATGCAGGATCGACCAGGTACTGCTTGTCTAAGTCTGAAAACCAGGTAAAGTTACGCTAAATGACCAAGAAACAACCCAACTATCGATGTATTTCTCGCATCTGAATCGAATTTCAATGTCGATGACGCGATCCTCGGCGTGGATTACCGCTGCGAGCCGACGAAAACCAGGCATATCGATTCCAGTTGCCTGAATCGAAAGATATACAAGATTGGTGAGCAGTAATATAGCAGGTATTGCGTCGTCTTCAATCTTCGGATTGTGTGCAAGGTTCAGATAATTTAACTTCTCTTTGAGAGTCACCAGCAAGAATACTCTGAGAGACCGTCAGTCGTCATAAATATACAAAAAGTTGATGTCCAACGCTTCGTTTCCGATATCAGTTCCCTCGAGATGGAGTCGTTCTAAATTAGGAAGTTGTTGGATGTGAACGAGGTCAAAGTCGCGTTCTAAGTGGGCGCCATCGAGGACCAGCTCCTTGAGTGTCGAGTAGTAACCAAGTCTGCTGAATACTGTCCAAAATCAAACCTTTCACAGGAATGTATTGCCAAGAGCTTTACCGCGCAAAAGATTTCCTGAATGCAGATTTAGCCCATCTTGCTCGCACATCGTAGGGCCTAACTCCAATCTATTGATATTGCCACCTCGCAGGAGTGTCAATACGATTTCGGTAAGGAGTCCTAAAACCATTCAGCATTCATGACAGGATGACATTCCTGTGATCAATACCCCTGTCTGCCAGGACGTTCGTAATTTTTTGATGAGTGAGGTGCAGAACAGCCAGAGGGTCTTCTAGGAACATCTGGTGAACACCCGTGCCCGGGACGACCATTTCAAGGCGATTCACGAGATAAGAAAGGTCTACTGGTGTTTCATCTCCTGTTTCAGATTCGTAGACCCACGCTGAGACGCATATAGTCAGTATATGTACTTATATGTTTAGCATTTTAGAGGGAAGACTCGAAGGAGCGAAGGTAGACATTTCCTGAAGGGAAAAAGAGGACACCTGGGAGAGTCCTTGAAACGTCTTGATATGACACCGCGAGTGGATCATAATCGTGATGATGCAAAGTATAAGACAGCGGTTCGATTCCATTAGTGTCGATAGGGCTCGTATGAACGGATTGTGAAGAACGACCTCGTTTCGACGGTCCTCCAAGAAAAATGGGGTCCTCAGGCTCAGGAGAATCTCGAGGACGCTTCGGAACGCGTGCAGAAGCTCTCCTCCACGCTAATCCGGCTGACCCACGTCGCAATACTGGTAAGTCATCTGAAACCTGATTTCGCGCAAGAATGATGGGCGACTGGATGTCTGGGCTGCTGGGCCATGAACGTGCATTCGGGGTGTTATGAGCGATGGCATTGCTGGTATAATTTTGGTCCGTTTTTGTGAAGCAGAGACCGATTTTCCAGAAAAAAGAGCGCAGGGACATGTCTTGAAAAAGAAAAGGATTCGATTGATGAGCTTGCCGAAGGGCAGCCAAATATGTTGCAGCTGGGAAGCTCGGGCAGTAAAAAGGATTTTCCTCATCGATTAGGGGAACCTGGTCATGGGAGTTCATATTGAAGAATACTCGAGAACCAACGGACGGTTCAACTAGTTACCATACACGGCAAACCCGCCAAATATTTTGTACGTAGGTTCAAGTTCGCGTAATTTGGACGTTGACTGTTTTTTGTACGAGGCCAAGTGTGGCCTGAACATGCTTACCTAATGATATCCCTATCTGGATCCTAGGTACGTACTGCCGTTTCCTTGCTTCTCTCTCTCATCATGGGAGTTAAAAGATATGTCGCACTTTATAGATAATCAATCATATTGATGAATCGTTCTGCCATATGGTCTTTCGCCGACGTATGTTCTCGCTAGATTGACTTTACGCGAGCCTCTCAGATGTGCCGCATCTCAGCGCAGGCACCAAAACTACATCCGAACTGTATTTCAAGCGATGCATGATATGCTAAGTGACACCAAAAAAAACAGAATCGATAGCTATGCCATAAGATGCTTGAGTTTATCAACGTGCATTTCTCGCCTCCTGAGGAGATCTGCGTGCGAAATCGTGTTTCTAAGGTCGAGCTCCAGCTATATCCCATCGGTCAGGGTAGGAACGTGAAGAGTAACTGAAGAACTTGCCTGAAGTAGTTTATCGGACTGCCACATCCTCGTAGGCAGGTTCTCTAAAGATACATAAACGGCAGAGTTGGATTCACATTCTAGCAGCTCCTGTTCGTTGCTGCGAAGGATGCCTAGGGCGACGCGGAAGAGAACATCGAGTCCATCAACCAGAAAGACGTCCCATACTCTGAAAAGCGTCTACTAAATAGTCATATAACATAGCACGAAAGCATATATGCTACTTACTTCTATTGGAAGGCAATCCGTGAAGAGCGACAAAAACCAAGAGAAGCAGATGGCTGGAAGGTCGACGCTAAGTGCGGTCAAATGCGTGTGAAGTCTAGGCATGGTCTCCTGCACGTATTCAAGGAGAACGAGGGGACATGCACGAGATGGTAAAAGCGAAGGTGAAAAGAAGTCATCCGGAAGTATCCGTTCAATGATTGCTGAGAGTACCCAAAACGCCTCTTCTTCATCTGCATGTACTAGCAACAAAGTCGAAGTTACTAGGTTCATGCCCTGGCAATACCCCACAGCAGGGTTGCGGCTGAGGACGTGATGTTAACAGACATACTAGATTGACACGATTGTATGAGACTCACCGACTATATGCTCTGAGCACGCGACGAAGCTTGTCAACTCCGGCGCCGTCACCTCCAAAAAAGACGTTGAGCGGCATAGTCCTACCAACATCTTTCTCGATTTCCACGCAAACCAAGTTGTGCTCGTCGACATGAGCCAGCAAGTCGCCAAAAATTCCAGGTTCCCGCATATCCAAGCCTCCGCTGCATTCCAGCCAAAGTTTGGAGCGGTACACTAGAGGTATGCCTTCTCGCACCAAGCGATCAAATTCTTTCCTCTCATATGTATTCGACGACAGGCCCAGTTGAGCAAAACCAACGAGGCCCTCCGAATGGGATAACTCTTCTTCGTCGACTGAAGTACCCAAGCCAAGAAGAGCGGCAGCACTACCGCTAGAATTCGTAACTGTAGGCAGAATATTCTTGGGCAATTTGACTTTGCTACGTTGCTTCACGAATACGTCCCACTCTTTCCTCTTGGCATTCTGATTTTGATCGTGATTCTTCGTCATGTCATCGAGAAGATGTCGGATAACATTAGCGCAAACATGGCGAGGTGTGGACTGGGTCACGGTCAGAATCGTAGTGCTAGAGTGAAGCGTGGATGCAGGAAGGGGTGTGGCTATCGACGTGACAGTAGTAGAGCGGGGTCGGGAAGATGATAATGAAGCGGCGCGGGAACGGCGCGAAGGACTGCTGCTTTCGGGAGGGTTTGATGCCGCTCCTGCCTTGTGATTAGAAGGATCAGATAAAACCGGTGACATCGGATTGCTTTCTGCATCACAAGTGCACAAATCCTTCACGATTTCAATCATATTCTTCTGGTTGTCGTCATCATCGTCCGACCAAGAGTTACTTTCCTTGCGGTCAGCAATTTTGACGCCTGTCAGGCAGGCAGGTGCGGTGTTGCCACATTCCTTTGCCCGAATGAGCAGCAAGACATCGTACTGTGAGACATCGTAAATGAAGCCATAACGATCCGTTAGAGGCGGTTTGCTTTCGTCATTGCGGTAAACTGTAAACCGGGACGCACTGGTGGGAAGAGGAATAGTGAAATTAAAGTGCGGGGCAATGAGAGGGGTGTACGTGCGCGAAAGGTAATGAGTCGGAGGCTTCGCAGTCGCAGGTATAATGGACTCTAAGGCGACCGAACCGGGTTTATTCGCCAAGTGTTGTTGCACTGGAATATTGCTTGGACGTGCAGTGAGCGTCGAGCCCTCGCTTAATGTTTTCGTGCTTGCTTCCACAGCAGGCAAGGATTTCTTATGCTGTGGCATGAAGGAACCGAACAGAGGTGATGCGAAAGGCGAAATTATATTTGCTCCCCGTGACCTGGTTGTACGAACGGCTTTACCTTGCGCAGTCAACGTGCGGTTCAGAGTCGTGCTGGCATCTGTGCCCTCTATAGGACTGAGGGTTGCATGCGCTGTTATCTGGTCTCCTATCTCAGCTTTACCTGATCTATGCTCCCTCTTCTCTCGAAGCTTCTGGGGTTCGCGGAATGATACATGCTCGTCTCGTGCACGCCTAACAAGTTCGAGGGCCAATTGAGCAATCAGAGGGCTTGTCTCTCGGCCGTGATCAGCCAGAATGCTACCTGGATCTGAGGTCATAACTCTAGTGGCATGCGCAATGGCGCGGAGTGATGCGCCCTGTGGTAGCTTTTCCTCGGTTAAGGAGGGAGAGGTAGTAGAACTGCCTGATCTTGGATACGAGACTCCGACGGCTGCTGAATGTGGCGTAACAGGTGCGGGAGCAGAAAATGTACTCAACGCAGGGGAAGAGGTCGCAGAGGACTTTGTATCATCTATGCGGACTTTATATGATGGCTCTGCTGCAGCTTTCGAAGTCGATGGTAGTTTTGTGGAAGAAGAAGACGACGCAGGAGGGTTTAGTACAGAAATACCCAAACTCTCAAACACGCTTCTGCTGGTTTTCTTGCGTGAAAAGCTGTTTGGGATAGTCGGGGTAACGGAGGAAATGGATTCAGCATGTGGGGATGAATATCGAGATGGTTGCTTTGCAGGAACTTGAAGAGTTTCCTTTACCGAGGCCGTGGTCAACACCCGATGGTGTTTATGTTTCCCTTTCTGCCACCACGTACCCATCCAAGACGCTCTATCATTCCCGGCGTGTTGATTAGGAGTCATATGCTCTGGGACAACCTCGGCAACCCTGGCAACGGGCGGTACAGTAACTTCGGGGGCTAACACAGCCACTGATTTATCAGCTACCGTGGACCCTATCCTATCGACGGTTGCCCCCGGTTCAACGTATGGTACTTCGCTGGTTTGGGGCGAGAGTGCAGACGTGGCAAGGTAAGTTGATGCTGAAGGGGTCACACTATCATCCGGAACGCTGCGTGAAAGTAAAGTATCATCCTCGATAGCTTCCGTCAGCGATGTCTTGAGTGACTGAGTAATGTATCAGAACGAATAGGATGCAAGCAAAGTAAACCAACGCACAGAAAGGCTTCCGTTACGTTGAACTTGATGGCGCTTCTCATCATCGTCAGTGAATATTGATTGTATGACCCGCTTTGCCACCTCTCGTTCGGAGGGTAGCAGCTCTGATAACAAAGTTTCAGCGCGGTCTTTGCGGGCTGCCTCTTTCTCTTGTAACAGTTTTCTATGTTCTTCAAGCTCTATTCTGGCCCTTGACAAACTGTGGAGAGTGGATGAAAGCACACGAAGTGCAGTATGATATGGATGAGTGTCAACATCTGACGGGGACTCTGCGACGGTGAATCTGGATATTGCGGCCTGAATGGCTTCGTCTGAGTACTCGTGCCACTTGTTGGCAAGTACTTGTGCAGTGACTGATGGGGATATCTCGGAGATGCCATCTGAAAGAGCAGTCCTCGGAGGGAGTGAGCCTGGAGGAACAAGGAGATTGGGATCAAAAGGAGATCCAATGATGAATCGCGGCACTTGGTGCACTGGTCTATCCCAAAGTAGTCGAAAGCGAGTTGGAAGACATTCCATGACCTGTCACTACTTCTCCGCTGGACCCGCCCGCCGCATCAGGCTTGCCAAATCCGCGAACGCTGCCATCCCAATTTGCCCGGATATTGGCGCCCTTGATTTCTGGTTCCACTAGTGTCTCTGACTGAGTTTTTAGAGTAAAATAATTGTTAGGGGACCGCGTCTCATCTACGTCCTGAGCTCCACGCGTTCTGCGCCCTCGCGACGAAATTTCGTTTGGGGAGAGAGGGTGCAAATGCACAGGAGTAGTGACGGGCGGGACTTGTGGATTCATTCGCTTAGATTCCAATTGAAACTTGGCATTATTCCTGGCTGGCTAGCCAAGTGACTCAGGATCAAGAGAAGGAGTGCGTGTTGGACCGTGGGACAAACTTATGTACAGACCAGCATCGGCAAGCAGACTCCCAAGATGTTTTAAAGTAACCATAATTTCGTCGATGAGCTGGTTCAGCCGTTCAAGCTCGGAACAATCTCCAGCTGCAACAAGGCAGGACCGCAAGAAATGCTGGGAAAGTCGTGACCAATATTTTGAATGCCTGGATGGCGCTGGTGTTCTCACTGCCGGAGAAGAAGGGACAGCATGCACCAAATCAAAGTTTCGGTACGAAAAGAGCTGTGCCAAAAGCTGGGTGAGTGCAATGATCCAACTGTTCGCATCTAGTTGATCTGACCGCTAAGCATCAGATTGATTATTTCAACAAAAGGAGAGTTCTCGCTGAGAAACAGAAGGATATGCTTGCACAATCTCAGCTCCAATCGCAGGAAGCCAATCGCAAACTGTAGTTTCTTCTTGCATACGAGAAACTCTGTTCATCCCGTCAGGCAGAATACTTATCATTGATGAATCAATTCACATCACAGTACCACCCCCGGCCTGACTCATCCACCCCGAATTTCACAAGCTGTGGTCCGTGGTTACATTCTTTCGCATGAAACAAGCAGATTACTTCTGATTCCCAATTCTTTAATTTTAAGATACCATTCAAGAGTAGCGTTCTTGATATAGGATAATTCGGTTGTTTCATCATGTGATGAAGGGACTAGATATATCCTTATCACTGCAGAAAAAGGCAGTACTAACTGCGAAGCGTCAGTTTGAGATGCTGGTCACAAGACTACTTCGCATCCGTGTCCCAGTCTGTGATAAACTTCGTTACCGTATTACGAATATCTTGAGTCAAGTTTGTACCAACGTCCAACAACGTATTGTGAGATGAGCTGTTCAGGAAACACTAGGTGCCCAGCCCCGAGCATTATGGCACGATCCTGGCCATGCTGAAAAAATGTCTCATCTTCAGAACGAAACACAACCTTCTTGATGATGCTCAACGTATTGTCAAACTCAACGCAGTAAATTTTCGCTCAAACGTTCTCAACAATAGTGGATATCAAGATCTCCCCAACTTGTTCTATTATTGCATCGCTAAGTCTTCAAGGCAGGTTTACTGTTCATTGTATTGGTATGTCAGTAACAGCTGAATAGGTATGTCAGCATCATGGTGTCAACTGATGGTCAATGACACTTGCCGCGTTTCTTGTCGTCGTCGTCGTCGTCGACCGCCACGCCGTAGCCCGGAGAAGCCTCTTCTGCGGCCAAGTAGGTGTGTCAGCATAGTGGTGTCACCTGATGGTCAATAACACTTGCCGCGCTTCTTGTCGTCGTCGTCGTAGAGCCACTCTTCTGCGGCCAAATAGGTGTGTCAGCATAGTGGTGTCACCTGATGGTCAATAACACTTGCCGCGCTTCTTGTCGTCGTCGTCATAGAGCCACTCTTCTGTGGCCAAATAGGTATGTCAGCATAGTGGTATCACCTGATGGTCAATAACACTCGCCACGCTTCTTGTCGTCGTCGTCGTAGAGCCACTCTTCTGCGGCCAAATAGGTGTGTCAGCATAGTGGTGTCACCTGATGATCAATAACACTTGCCGCGCTTCTTGTCATCGTCGTCGTAGAGCCACTCTTCTGTGGCCAAATAGGTATGTCAGCATAGTGGTGTCACCTGATGGTCAATAACACTCGCCGCGCTTCTTGTCGTCGTCGTCGTAGAGCCACTCTTCTGCGGCCAAATAGGTGTGTCAGCATCGTGGTGTTAACTGATGGTCAACGATACTTGCCACGGGCCACATCCTCGCGCTTGGCTACGGCTGCATGTTATGTTAATGACTATGATGCTACTGACATCATGAATACTTGCAGCGTGCCATAATATCTCCTGACATGGGGTATGCGACTGCCAGAGCCACCATGGAGGCAAGTGCGTTAAGCAGGAAGAAACGCTGCATGCTTGAAGTTGAGAGGAGTAAAGTTTAGAGCTTTGTCAGTACATACCTCGAAAATCAGGGGTCCTTCTTATACCTTGTTGTAGGTTCGCTTAACCAGTCAGACCTTATTAGAATACGACGTGGCACGATATATGATGATGATAACTGTGAATCGAATCTGAATGGGTTTGTGTCATGGATGACTTGAACTTGGAATACGCCACCTCATGAATTGCCAGTTCGTGACTTGTGGTTGCATGACGGACAAAGCTGGAACAACACTGTCTGACGGGTAATATGATAAGCAATACAATTGTTTGACTGCCAGTGGACCTTGATGCGGCGATGCTCAATTAAGCAAGATACACATTGCAGATGAGTTGGATTCCGTCATCACATCGTTGTATTTGAGAGGATACTGTATTTTTCACGGTACAGACGAAAGTTGACAAGTAATGATACCCAAAGCGGCATATGCACCTTTAGCGAGTCGTAGTGAGGAAGTAGACGAAGAGAGTGTAGGCCGCGCTTCCGGCATACAGGAACATTATTAGAAAGGGCCTAAGACAAGTCAATAATCAGTTTTCGCTAATGTATGGAATGAGATCGAAACCACACAAATTCCCTCAATGCCGTATAAGACCACAAGACGCTCTTCGTCGAGACTCGTTCTCCAGCCTGTCGCAAGTCCATACTAACGACAGAACGAAAGAAATCCCTAATTTCTTCACAATCCGCATTATAGGCAACCCAGCTGGGCCCGCCAACAGTGATACAACGCATCACGAATGTGGGTAAGTGAATAAGAGCGATACAGAATATGTGTGTCGAAAACAGGCGCGCGATATCTTGCTCGAAGCGGATCAGGAAGATCTTCGCGATGGCGCGCTCTAGCTGCGAAACTGCTGACATGGCATTTGTAATCGTCTTATCGAGGTGATTGGGGAGCTTTTTGTGGCGATTGTTGTCTTTCCCGGACTGAGTCGTGGCAGAGGCCTTTTTCTTGGGATTTGTCGTCCTCTTCTTCACGTGCGAGTACTTTGCGGGCATGACGAAGAGCTAACTCGGTAAGAACGAAATAGAATATATGCCTGTTGGAACTGGAGGGTGATTATTGTGCTCCTGTCGTGCGAGTACAGCCGCGGCGCTTGATTTGAATCTTCAATGCTAACTTGAAAGCGGCAGATAATGCTTTAAGACGCGGGTTTAAAGTGTCCTGATGGTAGAGAAGCCATGTCAGTAAAGTCTGGAAACATTTCACAGCATATCAACACGCAGATATCTCACCGCTGCGGACGAATGAAAGTGACCAGTAATTAGCAGTCGTCACTGAGCACGGGTCACGAATGTTCTCTCATATTACATAAGTCTGCTTATTTTGGATGTGGTTCTCCTATGTAACCCGATGTATTATGGCTCGTGACCTTTTAAGATCATGAGCAGATCCGATTTTGATTATAGTAGAATCAAATATAAAATATGAGGCTTAGAGACACACGAGAGTTGGCGCTAGAATTGCTTTAGCATTCGGATATGTCCGTGCAGGCTAATGACCTTGCAAGCAAGGTGAATGAATACATCGGGTTACATAGGAGAACCACATCCAAAATAAGCAGACTTATGTAATATGAGAGAACATTCGTGACCCGTGCTCAGTGACGACTGCTAATTACTGGTCACTTTCATTCGTCCGCAGCGGTGAGATATCTGCGTGTTGATATGCTGTGAAATGTTTCCAGACTTTACTGACATGGCTTCTCTACCATCAGGACACTTTAAACCCGCGTCTTAAAGCATTATCTGCCGCTTTCAAGTTAGCATTGAAGATTCAAATCAAGCGCCGCGGCTGTACTCGCACGACAGGAGCACAATAATCACCCTCCAGTTCCAACAGGCATATATTCTATTTCGTTCTTACCGAGTTAGCTCTTCGTCATGCCCGCAAAGTACTCGCACGTGAAGAAGAGGACGACAAATCCCAAGAAAAAGGCCTCTGCCACGACTCAGTCCGGGAAAGACAACAATCGCCACAAAAAGCTCCCCAATCACCTCGATAAGACGATTACAAATGCCATGTCAGCAGTTTCGCAGCTAGAGCGCGCCATCGCGAAGATCTTCCTGATCCGCTTCGAGCAAGATATCGCGCGCCTGTTTTCGACACACATATTCTGTATCGCTCTTATTCACTTACCCACATTCGTGATGCGTTGTATCACTGTTTGCGGGCCCAGCTGGGTTGCCTATAATGCGGATTGTGAAGAAATTAGGGATTTCTTTCGTTCTGTCGTTAGTATGGACTTGCGACAGGCTGGAGAACGAGTCTCGACGAAGAGCGTCTTGTGGTCTTATACGGCATTGAGGGAATTTGTGTGGTTTCGATCTCATTCCATACATTAGCGAAAACTGATTATTGACTTGTCTTAGGCCCTTTCTAATAATGTTCCTGTATGCCGGAAGCGCGGCCTACACTCTCTTCGTCTACTTCCTCACTACGACTCGCTAAAGGTGCATATGGAATCCCTGGAGGCAATGCCGCATGCGACATTTACTAAACCACCACACCTCGGCGCCCTTACAGAAGGCTTGGAGGCCTTGGAGGAGGCATGCGAATTGAAGTACGGGGAAAAGTCGCCGTTAAGGTCCACCCCTCCTCCTGGATGGGATCATCAGTGGCGCATAAAAGTACGCATTGGATATGAAAGGCTTGCTCAAACTCTATGGCGAGTGGCCCGGGAGTTTGATGTCAGTGGATACGGATGTGTGCTTCGGGAGAAGCTTACTACGAAGTGGTGTGATTGTGGATGTTCTACGGACCACCTGGGTGAGGTCTGTGAAAAGACGGTACGTGAGGATGAGGAGGGGAGCGGTGTCAGATCCGGTAAGCAAAGAGAGTGGGATGGGCGAGGTATGTCATTTAGGCGATGTAATGATCCATATGTGACATGGCTTATAGGGAGCGGCGTGTTGGGTTGGGAGACTGAAGAAGAAGAGGATATATGGGATATCGATCTTGATTTTGGTGGGAGCGATTCTGAAGAAGGGGATGGCTTTGGATCCGAAATGACCATCGCTCAAATGATGGAAATCAGGTTCATCAAGGCAGAAAGAGAGAAAGAATTCGTGAGTATTGTTCCGAAAAAAACAGTATAATAACGTACTTATTTGCATGATCTTAGGGTAATGCCGCGTTCCGACGAGGCGAGTATCAACGCGCCGTAAAACACTACAAGGCAGCACATTCAATTGAACCAGAGCTGCCTCATTATCAACTCAACCTTGCTGCGGCTCACCTAAAACTCAACGAGTATGTCACAGTCCTTTCGAACTGTACCTTATTCTCAGACAATTCATAGCTGGCTTGAAGCTGAAGAAGCATGCACGAAAGCCTTGGGTCAACATCGAAGTATAAAAGGTTATTACAGACGCTCGAAAGCGCGTCGAATGTTGGGTAAGCTAGATGGTGCTGTGCAGGGTGAGTGTGTTTTTGAATTACTTCTGCGATGTGCTGAGCTGCTGTCAGATTTACGTGCAGCACTGAAAATACAGCCTTCAAACAGTGAAGCGCTGGATGAATTGCTGTCCATTCTTCCGCCCGACGATTTATCACGTTTAGCTCCTTCGTCTTCCTCTCTTGCGACGTCCTCCTCCAGTACTTCACCAGCCCCCCGAAATGCTGGTTCACTATATGACCACCTGCATCTACCCAAACTGAAACAACCAAAACAGTTACCATTTGCTCGATCCAGCAATGATGATAGGAAAATTAAAGTTTCCTCGATCCCAGTGTCTTATGAAGTTCCGCTGATGTCTGCTGGGAAGACCTTGACAGAGCTGAAGTCGAAGGATCTGAAAACAAGGACAGAGTCGTTTATCTTTCCAAGTTGGGAGAAGTACACGGTCAGGCTGGCTACTGTTTGAGTGCATGCAACCTATTTTTCTGGACTGCGTGTTACGTATGCATGCTTGTTTTGTTGCCACTTTATGAGGACCGTCCTTGGTTTTCGGCGATAATATTGATTTGATGGTTCGACCTCTTGTCTTCTACATACTCACATGTAGAGATCTATGCACATGAGATATTTTACACAGCCATTTGTGTCATCAGTGCCCTTTAGCCGCCTTCATAACGAGGATCAAATCGCAAGAAAGCGGATGATTGATTGAGCAGGAAGAACTTTATCGGACGAAAGTGGTTCGTTTCGTCCAGCCTGACACGCCGGCCGACTTTGCTGTGCCTCCTATAGTTGCATAGCTACCATCATGAATTTTCTGATGACATGCCAAAGCCTCAGGCGTGAGGCTCGGACTACGACCATCATAACATGATATCTATATGAATGTACTACTCGAATCCATACGTACCAGAATCCACGGATCTACAAAATACAGAAGTGCCAATTCTACTGCAAGGCTGAAGGCTATGCTCCAATGTGAATGAATACAACTCTCTGATCCATTCGTACTTGATCCTTGTCGACGGCTTTGGAAGCCTTATTCAGAGCCCTAGCCGCATACGTGCAGTCGATCTTACTGCTAAACATCGCGCTATAGAATTCTTTCACCATATGGTGCGCAGTAGTATCATCCACCGCCCACATTGTACCGATGACACTTCTAAAACCGGAAAATTGCATCGCTGCGGCGAGATGGATGATTTCGTCAGGTGCGTTTTTGTCACCGACCGCAGTATGACAAGCAGACAGGAAAGCAAACTCCGGGTTTTCTGGTTCGGCTTGTATGATGTCGGAAAGCCGCAATGGCTTGTCGCGGAGAGCAAAGGACGAATCGAACGGCTGAACGAAGTCTTGCTTGCCATGGCACGCAAGGTGTACCCAAGAATTAGTTTTTAAGGCTTGGATCGCCCCGCTAAAGGTTCCTTCGTCCCCGGATACCTCTGAGTATGACATTGATGATGGTACAAGGGATTTGACGAGCTCAAGTTCTGCTCCTACAGCTTCCAACTCCTTTTCTCCACTTCCAGAATTCGGTTTTGATTGACCTATGGAAACGAAAGACGGAGTATTCGACGCCACCTTGGATGCGTTTCGCCGCCTCGAGCGCATCAAGGCAGAGAGAGTTGGTGTGTATGACGAAACATAGATGTTGAGTATGTTGTTGGCTCCTTTGCGGTACGGTCCAACAGCATGAATGGGCAGCGAAGTGAGTTTCGATGTTGGGCACCACCAAATACGAGAGCCCTTCGGCACGATGGTCAAAAGTTCCTCAACAATGGGAGCCAACACAGCGTCCCAAAGCCTGCGAAAAACAGGTATAAGCTGCTTTTCTCTAACACTCTCTTCTCCAACTCCTGAAGTATTCCGCAGGATATTGCGGAAATCATCAGACACGGTAGTAATGCCCCCTAGCGAGGCATCAGGGAGTGGAATGAGTCGAGGAGGTCCGACTTTGGTAATGATGATCGCATCGCATCGCTTCACGCTTACATTGATGATAACGACGGGGCCGGCGATTGCAGCTGCCCTTAGCTCTTTGTAGGGCATCGGGTTCAAAAAATACGCAAATCCTTCTTTTTGCCGTATTTTGCCGACTACAACATCCCATTGAGAAGATATTTGGCGATATTGACGTGCCTCTTCTTCCTGCTGTGTTCGTCGCAGTGCGTCAGTGACAGTCCTGACAGCTGAGGAGGAGTCAGACTGCCTTCTTCCAAGCTCAGCGCTGAGGAACTCGAATTCATCCGCAAGTCGACGCCCTTCGTCATCAACGACTCGCAAATCATTAATGGTTGCTCGAAAGCGAGACATCTGGGACCAAAGAAGGCCTCTGCCTTGTTCTGAGAGTTCGACTGCCAGCTCAAGATCGCCTGCGCTGATCGCGCAGGCAGTAGCATCTGCAGCGAGTGAGGGTGTGTCACCCAATATGCCTCCAAGCAAAGCTTTATAGCGCCCATGAACCGTAGGAGTGGCCATTATATGACGATCAAGCAGCTTTAAAGAAGTTTTGTATGCTTCCAGAGCTGACGTATGATGAAAAACATTGGCGTCCGTTCTCCAACGCAAAGCCGCAGTAAGTTGATCCCATGTGTGGATTCCAGGTGCGCTAGAAGCCAACTGGTGATAGTGGAATGCCTTCTCTAGAAACAAAGTATCCTTTGTTGACTTGTAGTAATCTCCGAAAATGGTCGTGTATAGGTGGTAAATGAGGAAAAACCATGAGTGTGCTTCGGGCAGCTTCTCGCTGGCATTGGAAAGAAGTAAGAGAGCATCCTGAAAGCCGTCATCGTCTTTGCCCGCTTTTGCCCGCATATGCCTGCAGCTTGCTAAGGAAATCAACGCAAGTGGCAGGTCTGGGTGATCCTCTGGCGAGACTGTCAAATATGTCTCGAAATGGGTAATGGCAGCATTCAGATCTTCGATCGTTTGTCGTTTTGCATACATCTTCTGCAAAGAACGAGCAAGATTTCGGCGGAGGTGAAGCGCCTGGGGGTTATTTGGGGCAAACATGGGAAGCGCTGTTTCAAAAAGCTTGATACTTTCTTGCAGATCATCAATGTCTTCGCGTTCATTGTAACGAGCAGAAAGTGCAGTGGCAAGGTAGGTCAAAATGTGCCGTCTCTCTGATTGGTTGGGATGATCCCGAGCTACCTGTAGATAATTCACAGCGGTGTCCAGATCGGTAAGATCATGTTGGTTTTGGAAGCGGGCGAAAATAGCATATGCAAAATTGGCAAGACCTTTGGGATATTCTGGATGGCAAGGGGCCAAAGCACGAGCTTCGACAACATGAGCTAGGTGAACTAAGCATTCATCAAGGTCATCCAGGGGACCAAAGATTTGATATCGTAGCAGGAGGGCGTTTCCGAGGCCCGAGAAGGCAGCAGAGTGGTCATCATGACCAGAAGGGCAAACCTCGCATGACGTACGATAGTGATTGACTGCGCAATTAAGATCGTCTGCGTTCCCGCTCTGCTCAAAGCGAGCTTGAAGTGCTGATGCTAGTTGAATGAGGACACGGGAAAAGGCTTGATGTCCTCGAGATATATCTTGCATTATGTCCCGGTAAAATGAAATGACATGGTCTAGGGCGTCCACGCCCCCTTCATGGAAATATCGTTGTAGGAGAGCATCTGCACGATCCATGGCAAAGACCTGATTGGAGATATCGTGATGTGGGACATCTCTGAGAGCCGAGTCGCAGTAGTCAATTATCCTATTCAGATCTAGAACGTCCTGTCGGCGAGAAAACCGTGCAGACAATGCGTTGTTGACATGAGTCAACAGGGGAAAGTAGTTAGTACTCTCCCTCGGGCAGACACATATGGCTGCCTCAGAGTGCTCGATAGCATCATCGAGATCAGCGACATCTCCGCGCGTCTTGTAGCGTATGATAAGGCAATTGATCCAGACCATAAGCACAGATATATGTTCTGGGTGCGAAGGCCCACACAGAGCCATGGAAGATACTATGTGTGTTATGGCGAGATCAAGATCCTCGGGAACGCCGTAAACCTTGAAGCGACTCATCAGAGCAATCGCAAGACCATGAAGGGAGGAAAAGCGATGTGCATGTGCGAGGGACTGATTGGCTAAGGAGTTGGTATAGAGCTCGATTGAATAATCGAGGTCATTGATATCTCCACTCTGCATAAATCTGAGATTGAGATCACCCGCGTAGTTGGCGAGGAGGGAAGATCGTGTCGGGTGATTATCAGGACAATTTGTCAGTGCAACGCTATAATACTTTATTGCTGTATTTAAGTCTTGCAAGTCCCCGCTGCGCTGGAATGAATACCGCAACATGAGTCCGATATTCATGAGAATGATTGCGTAAGATGGACTTTCGGCCGAACAAAGTCCTAACGCTTCGTTGTGGTATGCCATTGCACTGGTGAAATCATCCACGTTTCCTCTATGACGATAGCGAACACAGATTGCGGCAGCAAGGTTCGACAGTGTCGAGAAACGGCTTAGGTGACCAGGTGGTCGCAGTGACAGACATTCTTGGTGGGTTTGAATCGAGAGATCCAGGTCTCGAGGATCTCCACTCTGTTCAAAACGACTAAGAACCGCGAGGGCGTAATTGTTGAGGAGGTTGTGACGATATGGGCTATCTGGAGGACAGCTAGAGGTAGCGGCGCTATACATCATAATTGCTTGTTTCAAGTCCTCGAATTTTCCTTGCCATTCAAACTTCCTGCGAAGCATGCCTCCCAAATTGACTACCAGAGGGACGTAATGTGGTGATCCAGAAGTCGATAACTCTAGAACTATACTCCAGTAATGTACGGCTTGCTCGAGGTCGTCAATGCTATTCGAGTGCTGGAGACGTATATGGAATGCCTGAGCAAGACTGTTGGCGCAAGCAGCGCGATTCTCACTGTCGGAGGGCAAGCCACCGTACCATGCTGTAAGGATTCGGATGGCCTCTTCGATGTCTTCACCTCGATGTGTCTGTCTGTAGCTGCTAATGAGGCTGTTTGCTCGATCACTCAACGACCCCCAATCCACATCTTGAAGACCGGTTTCTGAGCGATTATCTGCTGACTTGAGCCCGATTAGAGTATGACCTCATGCGATAATGGATGGGTCGTACAGGCGTGAGGCACCTAGCATCCGCATCGCTCCTGTAGATGGCACATAAGGCTATAAAAAAAACACCCAACAGCTTATTCAAACCTTTTTTCAGTCTGTGAAGGCATTAATCGAACAGATAACGAAACACTTGATGGAGGCAAAATTACAGAAAACCCTACATCGGACATCGGTCAGTCACCTATGGGATTACAAACGTATAAAACTTGCCGTCATCTTGTTCGATGCCATTTGCAGACTTTAGTTCTGCTAGAGAATACTGCGCCTCCCCTTCCAGTAATGTGGTCTCCATTTCATCGTCTAGAACCTTGTATATCTTGAATTGCACAACGCTGGTGTCTTTCCCCGTGCTTCAAGGATGAAAAGTAAGCTTAAGTGGTGGAATGAGAACCTGACTTACGCATCATATTTAGTACTGAGCATATTTTTACCCACCCCAAGTATCTGGGTTGTTCCAAGGATTTCTACACCGTCAAAGTCGACTGATACATTGTAGTGAGACCTTTCATCATGATTTTGTATGCCGATCACTAAAAAAAACGCGTTTGTGAGTGATAGGGATGATCTGAGATGGCAAGCGATCATTCCCATACGAGTCAATGTGTACATGCAAACGGCGCCGCGGCAGTCTTGTTGGCTGCTGAATCAAAACTGTAAGCATTGTTGCACATTGTAAAATAAGTGTATTAGTACCTTGACATGCTTCGTTGTATCAACGTGAAGCGACTCCGAGTCACGGTTCAGCAAACGCTACTCCACAAGTTACATAAACCAACAAGGTCAAATAATAACGTTAGACATCTTACTTTCCTCAAAAACTATTGAAGTGACCATTGCCAGCCTGTAAACACTGCAGATCACTTTACAACAGTATTATATGACAGGCCCAGGTATCGGTGAATCTGAATGGTCATTGCCATGTGTACTAATATGTACAAGTTATCCATAGACAAGGTGAAACCGGCGGCACTCCCAGCGGAGTTTAAACTTCGATGTTTCCAACGGCCATGGCAGTCATCAACTCGGTCAGCCTATTCCGAACCTTGCCCGCCCAGGACCTTTCCCGCCCGCTGCCTGCCTGGTGATAACAACTCCTACGTTCGTTGCAACAAGTTAATGGATGTTGCCTTTCTTGTCAGCTTCTTTCTGTGACCATCAGCAATCGGTATCGTCCTTGATAATTGTGCAAGCTGCGGCGCTGCCATTCCCCTTTGATCTGTCACAGACTCGCAGCGACCTGCACAGAAACTCAGGCAATCTGGTGGCAAGGGTATGTCCTCACTGTGTAGTTGATTGATTGTAGATTAACAATGTATAATGACATATCAATGCATCAAATATATCATAACTGTTGTATGAATGGGATTGTGCTTTCACAGCTGTGGGCTCTAAACGTTAATGAAAGTAGGATCAGAACAGGCGCGAACAACAGTGATGAGCTTCACTGCGTATACGGCGACTTTCATACTCCGGTTGGAGGTGCCGGTGGGTCTACTTTGGTGTCCTCTACTTATCGGTCACTATGTGTACTAATATTTAGTACGTACACTTTCGACCAACCAAGTTGAACCAACTCACTCGGCGGCCACCATGGCCAGTCTATGTAGGAGTGCCTGTCCAGATGTTATGTTCACTGCACGCAGTGAGAGTATTCTTTTCAAGCTTGGCACCGCCATTGGATCATCTTAACCAATCATAAATCCGTGATACTGGTGTGACGGTGCCGCTTCAAACTCACGCAGTGTAAGCTTTACACTTCTCAGGCTCTGAATCTGTGCTGCTTTTTGATGCAACCCCTGGACACACAGCGTCAATTTTTAAATTTACACTGCGATGATATGCGGTACTAGATCATAACTAAGCACTTGTTAAAGACACCCCAAGGTCCACCTGCCACGTAAAGGAACACTAGCTGCCGTCGCATTATCCCCAGCATGATGAGGTCATGCTCATTATGTCGGGAATTATGTTTTACTCAGTCAGGGCGTTGATATCGGTCTCCCAGGTGGACTCTTTTGTAAGTTTCCATATAACCGCTGCGTCTTCCCACTCTTTTTCAGTCATCCCTTTTGCTTATCTCCACCATCACATAGGGTGCTTCGGCAATATATCTCCTGGCACCCTACTGATCAGTTACCAAAACGTGGGCCATGTCATCCCACATTCCACCGACAGCTCTGTGGCTTGAGCGATCTCGTCTCGACGGAATGATGCTAGGGGCAGTATCCTACGGTGAGTCTTCAGTATACAACAATTCGGAAGTTAACTTAGATACCGTAACAGGCGGATTCTTCATCCTTACAGTGCAAGCTGCGATCGCTCTCATGCAACGGCCTCGACATGGGGGGAAGATTACAGATAATCGTTTGGCTCTTCTTGCCTACATCTTTATAACGTTTGTATTGGGGACGATAGGCCTCGCTGGGAACGTAAAATACACGGAGATGGTCTGGATAGACCTTCGTGATGTGCCTGGTGGGCCGGTTGCGTTAATCGAGAATGAAATGGCTTACCCTATCAATGTCGTAACGATTTCCTGGTAAAGTGCCTTTGCCCATTCATATCAGGACCCTTTGTGTTGACAGTGTTGCAGCTACTTCGTCATGGAGTGGTTTACGCAAGCCCTGCTTGTAAGTTGAATATTCTCCAAATGGACTGGGACAGGTCTGACTCTAAAACATTTAGCTTTACAGATGTTGTGTGATATGGAATTGGGCTAGATACGTGATAATCCCGGTGACCACTATCTATATCGCCATGATTAGTACGGTTCATAACTTATGAAGCGACAGTAGTCACTGACATCCTCAGCAGTAATGTCTGTTCTCGTCTTGATCCAGTCAACTGCCGGCGCCATTTGGTACAATATGAATGTCCAGCTTGCCTACTTCTGCATCGAAGTGGGGCTCAGTGTAATTTATACCGTTCTCGTGACGAATCGCTTGCTCGTCATGCGAGGCCTGATGAGGCAGGTCGTGCAAGAACATGACTATTCTAACATCTACAATACCACCATTCTCCTGGTCTTCGAATCCAATATGCTATACTCTGCCTGCGCCATTATTTTCATAGTTTCCTTCGCTCTGCATAGTAATGTCTCCAATCTGTGTTTCTTCTCTATTGGTTATGTCCAGGTGAGCAAACAGAAACCTCAGTCGTCTGTGTCCCTCATGCGATCCTGGTCTGGTGCTAGGGCATTGCGCAGTTGCTCATTATTATCAGTGTAGCACGGGGGCAGGCAATTACATGCGAACTGTCAACCCCAGTTGATAACGTGTCTACGTGTATAGTATTCTCGGGGACCGCATCGGACGCACTAGAGGGAAGCAATAATGAGCGAGTAGCTAGATCTGAGCAGGATAGCATTCGGTTGTATTCTGTTGGGACGGAAGTTTGTCTGGTATAAACTTGATATATAAGGTTTAATTAGCGTCGAACTTTAGTTTGACTATTCTGTGTACGAGACTGCGGGTACTCTATGCGACCACGCTGTTTGAATCGTACATGCGTGCGTCCGTGTGCGCACCTTGTCTGTGCGTGGGACACGGTTCTATTTAATTAAAGGTACCGGAGCCGAAAATGATCACTTGAGATCCTCTGCCACTGGTCCCCTACACCTTGTTTTTTCTTCAGTATCACTCCTACTGCATATGTCTCAATTTTCACAGTGAAGGTGTTGCAATGATATGTTCTGAAAACGCACCCACTTCGCACCGCAGTATGATCAGACCAATCATCATTCATGATCGTAAGCCGTCTCATCCGAGTCCTTGGCATGTGCCGGTCCGCCGGTGGACGCCGTGCGCAACAAAGCCGCCCACTCTCAATGTCGCACCGCTATAATCTGATATTGCTCTGCATAAGTAAGTACGTGACTTGCTACCTGACCAACACGCTGTCCCAGGGATGAGAGCGACCACATGTTGGGAATCCTGTTCTGCTCAGAATGAGTTACAATTCTCAAGCGGAAGCGTTGGTTCATTCTATTCTGAATCGATCCTGAGTCCCTTTATAACCATTGCTTCTCCGGAAGTTCTTCCCCATTCGTCCCTGACCGTCTTCTTGGCTATCTTCATCATAGGGTAGGGCGTATCGAGCTCTTGGTCTGGTTGTCTCGCCCAAGTGACCTTTTATCTCGTCCGCGACCAAAATCCGAGCCATGTCATCCGACACCCCATCGACAGATCTGTGGCTTGAGCGATCCCGTCTCGACGGAATGATGTTGGGGGCAGTATCCTACGGTGAGTCTTCAGTATACAACAATTCGGAAGTTAACTTAGATACCGTAACAGGCGGATTCTTCATCCTTACAGTACAAGCTGCGATCGCTCTAATGCAACGGCCTCGACATGGGGGGAGGATCGCACACAATCGCTTGGTTCTTCTTGCCTACATCTTTATAACGTTTGTATTGGGGACGATAGGTCTCGCCGGGAACCTAAAATATACGGAGATGATCTGGATTGACCTTCGTGATGCGCCAGGTGGTCCAGCCACACTGATTGAGAATGAGATGAATTATTATATCAATGTCGTGGCGATTTCCTGGTAAAGTGCCTTTTCCGATTCATGTGCAGACTGTTAACAGTTTCATCCAGTTACATAGTCATGGAGTGGTTTATGCAAGCCCTGCTTGTGAGCCAAATAATCTGCCTTACGGACGGTGCAGGCCTGATTTTTGGAATACTTTAGCTTTACCGATGTTTTGTGATATGGAATTGGGCAAGATACGTGATGGTCCCGATGATCACCCTCTACATTGCAATGATTGGTACGATTCATCGTTTGTCAAACGACCGTGGTCATTAACATCTTGAATAGCGATGGCGATTCTTGTCATAGTCGAGTCGAGCGGCGGTGCCATATTCTACAATATCAACAGCGAACTAGCCTACCTCTCCCTCGAGGTGGGGCTCACTGTCACATACTCCGTCCTCGTGACGAGTCGTTTACTCTCCATGCGAGGCCTGATGAAGCAGATAATACGGGAATATGATTCTAGCACCTATGACACCATCGTCCTCATGGTCGTCGAGTCCGCCATGGCATACATTGCCTATGCCATTGTTTTCATAGTTTCCTTCGGTATGCATAGCGACGTTTCCAATCTATGTTTCTTGTCTATCAGTCATGTCCAGGTAAGCACACAGAAACTCGTGTTACCGGTGTATCTGATGATAACCTGTTTCCAGGGCATTGCCCAATTACTTATCATCATTCGTGTAGCAAGCGGGCGGGCAATCACTTCGGAGCAAACACGAGCTGTTGCAGCATGTACGACCATGGCATTCTCAGCAACCGTATGTGACGAAATAGAGGAGACCAATATCGAGCGGCGAACAGCAGGGTCTGAAGAGGGCACTGTCGAGAAGTTGTATTCCGATCCGGAGAAGGCGGATGAAACAAAAGATGGTACTGCATGAGGATGATGCGACGTTGTATTCATGCTCCAGGCCAGCAGAATCTTTCGAAGTAGGGAGGGAAATGTATGAGTACTTCATAGTAGGGATAAGTTCATGAACACCTGCCAGTGGATCCATGACCGTGACTGTCTCAGTTGCTTGTCACTGCTATATGACAACAAAACTGAAAAGCTTTTTGTTGGATGGATAGACGCTACAACGCCTCCGAGTCCTGCCTCCTTCAAGCTCAAGATCTATTCGTATCACTCGGCAGACAGGTAGACCCTGAGGGTCTACCTGATGAAGTTCGATACATGTAGTACTAAAATTGTCGTGACTCGGACAATTGTGCCTCCTGATGGTCTCTTGTGCAAGTAATGGGCAAACGTACAGTACATTAAGTCTTAAGCTAAATTCGGTATGGGAGTTGCGTTCGCATCGGGGACCGCCCACTCGTATGATATTGATACAAGGATCGTCAACTTTTAGCATTACATTACAAGGAGTGTTACTACAATTATTCAAGCCTATCAAGTACTAGCAATGAGTGGCTGGTGCTCTCCATTATCGATGTCTGCGACCGAAGGGTGGTATTTACGTGTCAACCGTGCGGTCAACGCGCCGTCCTCCAATCGTTCTACCTCCTCCATGATAGTGTATCCTCCCATCCATGGCAAGAAAATAATCCACAGCCAGTAATAGACTCCGCACACCGCAAGGATACCAAGACCCACCACACAGTAACTGAATAATGGATGTAGTCAGATGTGGACCCAAAAATGCAACACCATCAGACTTACGTTGCGTACCAGAAAGACACGTCGCTATGACCAGGTTCCGGTGGTACCCTTGCCGAAAAAATCAGTTCTGCTACGAGACGTTGATTCGAAAGGAAAATACCAGGGCATTATGAGAAGAAACACTATGCTGGTGAGGTAAAGCAAAATGTAGATATTCCTTGCAGGATACTTTGAAGGCGCGAGGCTAGCAAGCGCTCGCCGCCTTCGAAGAAGCCATAATCCTATAGCCATTGCAGCATGGAACACCTGCGACTTGTGAATCGCATTATACGCTGCGGTCGAGTAAAATACCTACTAAATTCGGATAGGAACCCAAGTCTAATAAGAAGTTAAATGCATCGCGAGCTGGGAGGGCAACTAGCACAAAGACCGTGAGAAGGTACTTCAGACATACGGGTCCCAATGGCGTGCCGAATGGCTTCGTGGATGCAAAAAATATCGGATATGGAAGCAGCCCCTGACGGGCAATCTCACGCAACACGCGTGTCTGACCAATAGTCTGGCAGAATATGAATTTTCATATTATGACAAGCAGTTTCCAAATGAGTGGCTCACCACAGCGATCTAGAAATGCATTTTGTGAGCAACTCGGGGCACACGAAATACAAAGATCACGCACAAGGTTTCCGAAGCAACTTAAAGCAACCATGATCGGCAGGGTTTTGGCTGCGAAGCTCCCTCCGTATACACGTTGGAAAAATAAGGCTGCGATGAGCTGCCCAGAATTTCTTATCTCGTCCTTTGGCACCGCTGCCACGTAAGCAACATTTACAAAGAAAAAAAGACACGTGACTAAAAGCAGCGATAACAAGCCAGCTTTGCGTACTGTACGGACAGGATCACGCGTGTGGACTTCGCCGATGACATTAAATGCGTTGTTCCAACCAGAGAATGCAAAATTAGTCTTGACTAGAGCGGTGGCCAAAGAATTTGGATTGACCGTGCTCCCGCTGAAGGGGGACAGAAAATTGGTATACGGATCGCGGATGTGAGTGAAACCACCAAGTACGAGGGCGCCCGTGAAGACCAAGCTAAAGGCACAATCTGTCAGTGGATCACGGGTTGCGAAAAATGTGCTCACAAGACAAGAGAAAGAACCTTTAACCCAGAAAGAAAGTTCACGGCTCTTAAAGACCATTTTGTTGACAGGGCGACGACTGCGTGGTCAAATTTCAGATTATACCTCAATGCAAGAAGCGCAAGAAGCTCACAAGCCATACTAACAGCACAGACTGTTACAGCGACAATGGTTTGCCTTTCAGAAGTAATGGGGACATCGAAAGCTGTAAGCACATATTGCGCAAATACAATGGAATTCGTTGCGCTAAAACTGGTCAGTGTAGAAGCAATTGCATAAAAATCTCGTTCAACATGCAACCTGTAGCACGCACGACAGAAGGACCGAAGTTACAGCAAACATGACTGGGACCAAAAACTGTGGACGAGGATACGCCTGTTCCAAATACACAACTTCTGCCCCGGATCTCTTTGGGAACATACTTGCGTATTCACTGTATATCATGAGACCTCCAAGTGCAAACAACGGAGCCAACAACCAGAAGACAAAGAGTAGGCCGACCGAGCCAACAGAATTCAGTATGACGCCCGGGACAGAGTATATTCCTGCGCCGAGTATTTGCCCGATATTGAGCATAACGGAGGACAGCAAGGTAACCTTGTAACCCAAGGGATTGTTCTGCAGACGACGTAAGTATTTTATCAGATATAAGTGGATTCTCGTTGCCTTCTCTATTGGCGCTCCTGCTACTGACGTATTGTCTCCTTCAAGTTCATCTTGCGCATCCGCGCTTTGAGCGAGGACTTCAGAGTCCAGGGCGTCAATGTTGGCCATGAGATTGTTGATGGTGGGTTGATAAGACTGGCAACCGGTGCTGTATCATATTTACATAGCTTTCAAGACCTACGAAAGTCGACGCCTTGGACCTGTAGCCATTGACTAACATAGTATGGACGCGATTACTACTGGGAACCGGGGCAGTGACGTCACGTGCATGGAGAAAGAGTCGTGCGAGCGGAGTTGAAAAATGGTCAACTTGGGGCTTGCCAAGTTGCGTTTTTAGCTTGAGCTTCCCTTCTTCTACGAATCTAAGATTATTTTTTAGATTATTTTGGATTGCGACTGGATCTCTCACGTGCTACTGACTTACGACCGGTGTGACTAGAAGTATTTTGACCATGCATCGCGTACGATTCGGTACGGTCACTTGACTCACGGCTTCTTATCGCAGTTCAGCTCCAATGCTCATACGCCAAGGAAATGAACAGTTCCTGCACATGGCGCATCGCGGAACTCTTGCTTCCTAAAACGTTTAGGCAAGAGAACATAAATATCTTCGGGAAATGTCCATATAGCGGCTCTGCTTCAGAACTTTTACTATCGCTCGCCTTTCAATTTACATCTGACTTCCTGGTTGCTGAGCACTACCCTTTGAAATATGGCCGCTGCTCACGAGAACTCTGACACTGCGGTGGAAGAAAAGCAAGTCGTTCTCAGTTATGACGTCGCGTCTGAAGTCGACGCTCGTCCAGAAGGCATCGGAAGGGACTATCAGCTCAAGTGTAATCTCAGTAAGCCAGAAACATTTCATTTACTAGTTGGCGACTTGTTGCTCATATCATCAGTCAATAGATGTTTTCAAGAAGAGTGCGTTGAGCACAGTCACAGTCTCGTGGTAGTAGATAACCCAAACCCATTCCACCGAACAGGATTGGCTTTGGTCGTTATCAATGGCAGCTCTTTGTTATTACTGGTCTAGGATGGCTCGCAGACAGTGAGACTTACATATATATCACACGTGTCTCGTCTAATTGGTCGTTGCTACTAGATCTCTGGCTGCAAGGTTTGGCAATCGTTCTTCCACAGGTACAACAGGAGCTTGATCCGGTTCGGGTCGAGTACGCCATCCTGGCAGAATTCGCTGGATTGATTGTTGGCGCCACAACATGGGGCGTTATGGCCGACCTTATCGGAAGAAGGTTATCTTTCAATGTAAGTACACACTCAAAGTTATGTAGCAGACTTTTTGATTGACGACTAAAAGATTACACTCTTTCTCGCTGGCCTCTTTGGATTGGCAGCAGGAGGTGCACCAAATTTTGTGACATTTTGTTCCCTTATAGCATGCATGGGCTTTGGCATCGGTGGCAAGTGAGCACGTCTGTATCTAGGGGAAAACCCCGATCTAATCACACTCCATATTGGTGTTGGTATTTGCAGTTTGCCCGTTGACGGTAAGTGATGTTCTGACTAAGAGACGCCCTCATAATTTATCATCCATGCACCCGAAGGCGCCCTGTATCTGGAACATATTCCACAGTCTCATCAGGTGCGTCAGTGACCAGGATATTTTATCAGAGTTTAGGTATCTAATCTGCGACTCCTAGTGGACTTTGACTCTTCTGTCAGTCTGGTGGGCGTTAGGGCAATTAGTAGCATCTTTAATCAGTTGGGGTTTCATTGCCAACTTCTCCTGTAACCCATTGATACCAAGTGGCCAGTGCGCCAAATCTGCTAACATGGGATGGCGATACGCATTGTAAGTCGCATCTTAGTGACGTTCTAGTACACAAAATTGATGCTAATGGCTGTCTCCAGGTATACCCTGTATGTTTTACGCGATCGCATCAGTTCTACCTAATTCCTCTGTTTAGCGGTGCTTTGACGTTCTTGATGTTCATATGTCGCTTCTTTGTTTTTGACGTGCAGGAGTCGTCAAAATATCTCGTGGCGCAAGGTCGTGATGAAGAAGCCATCAAGGTTTTAACATAACATTACTGATTGTTATCGGGCTTAACCGGATATCTTCGCAGGTCCTGGAACATATTGCAAGGCGTAATGGTAGAACTATTACGCTCAAACTTGAAGATCTGCAGGCAATATCTGGTGACACAACATCCAAGCCGGTACCAAATTTGTCCACTATCGTCTGGAATGCCTTTTCTGGAATGTCGCTGTATGTTGTCTGCTCTAACATTATATTGGTTAACGAGTCTGCTGCAGTTCGCACATCCGTCCGCTCTTTTCCAGCAGGCGCTTGGTAATTAACACGACCCTTATCATCGTTATTTGGGGGTATGTACACAAAAAATTGTGTATTCACCCTTATTGACTTTCGGATGTTCAGTTTAATCGGCATTGCATACCCACTCTTCAATGCCTACCTCCCCCTTTATCTTTCCGCACAAGATTCAGCATCCGGTTCATCAAGCGTAAGCGAGACATACCGCAACTACTCGATCGTATCCGTCCTTGGCGTCCCCGGATCTCTCATTGCTTGTGCGACGGTTGATTATACTCGTGGCACTGGTCGGTGGTTCGTAGGGGGAAGGAAACTTGTGTTAGCTGTGTCGACCATGCTGACTGGACTCTTCCTCTTCTTGTTCACAACGAGCACGACGACAGCTGCAGTGCTCGGGTATTCTTGTGCTTCTGGTCTTACTCAGTGCGTACTTAAACTTGAGCTCAAAACGCACATGCTGACTACATACAGGAATGCGGTGCGGGTGACTTACTGAGTTGAGTATCATCATGTATTAATTTTCCCCTTTAGATGTATGGAGTCTTGTATGCATATGTGAGTGATATACTGGAGGAGCTGCCCAAGATCCTGAAATGTGGCCCCGCATCTTGCAGACCCCAGAAGTCTTCCCGGCACCTCACCGTGGTACGGGTGACGCACTCTGTTCTGCATTGAATCGCATCGGCGGACTTATCGCCCCTCTCATCAAAATTGCCACGACACCGCTCAGTGGCACTGCATCAGCAAACACGGCGAATGGGTGCGTCGTGATCGCATCTATTTTTGTAAAGCTGATAATGGCATTGCAGTCCTGTCTTTGTGTCTGCTGCGTTATTTATGGTTGCAGCCATCTTGACGATATTGCTCCCTATCGAAGTGAGTCCGTCATGAATCTGGTGATTTGTATGCACCTATTGTCTCATCTTACAGACTGCGGGCAGGATGGCTTTGTAATGCTGGTTAGAGAGAACAACGCTCGACTCATGCACAATTTCATTCGCGCACGGACAGTTGTACACTTTACAGTCGAGAGTGCAAGGACGTAGGGACAATCAAGCGCTTTTTCGATTGGGAGATGAAGAGACAACGGCCAATGTAGTATACAGACATATGTTGTTATAAATCATGGTGCAACTGGAACGGAGTGCTTTATTTATGATCGATTGCAAATCAATTTGAGCCAGTCCTAACAAAGCAAAGGAAAAACAAAAAAAAAGCAAAAGAAATAAAACTACAACACAAGTCACATACATTGGTCATACAGTAACGAACAAGTAAGTTATCCTTGATATTTCTTGATTAAGTCCCTGAGACGCGCCTGGCCAAATCCAAGGTCACCATGGGTGCGAGTAACTCCGGGAATGGGAGTCTTAACAACACTTGTAAGATTTGATATTGTCTCCGAAATCATTGGAGGTAGAGGGCGTGTCGCTAGAGTCTGGGTGTTGGGTGATGCACGAGCAAGAGAAGCGGTAGATGAAAGCATGGGCACAGCATGAGACGATGAAATAACAGCAGGGACTGTTGTTGCTTTGGTGGCCTTCCCGCGTCCCTCCCTACTCGTATCGGCCGGACCATGGGACTTGACGGGCAATTTTCGCCCATGGTTAACAGGTTTCTTCACGAGCTGAGAAGCCCTATTTGGAGTCGTATCTGCTTTTGCTGCCCACAGCGAAGCGACTTCAGTGACCCTGCCACCTTTCCCTCCGCGTGCAGAGTGGACGTCATACTTCACCTCTGGGCCAGGCGGTTGAGGTGAATGGCGCAAGTGATGAGGCGACAAGAAATGGCGAGTGACTGTGGATATGGGATCAGCCCTTGCAATATCGGGGGATTTCGGTCCTGCAAGCGGTACACTCAGAAGAGAACCCATAGGTGTTGACTGGCCCGTGGACATCCTTCTCAATATTGGACCTGGTGCCAACGACTCCGTGGCAAAATATTTCTTTTCTGCATCGAAGCTACCATGCATATATTCTGGTGCAGGCGCAGCACAATATCGAGTGCTAGCATCCTTGAGCGTAGAAATAGTCACAAAGCCAGATGAGCACGGATTGGGAGCTGCAGAAACGTTGTCGCCGAATGATATTCCTCCAATTTTTTGATCGCCCGACGATGGCGGTGGCACGAAAGGCTTGTTATCAGTGGTGGGAACGAAGCGGGACGTAGTGGGCGACATCGTAGATAATGAATCATCCACAAGCGGTGGGCTTGTGTCGATTTCCCCTAACCATGCCGCAATCCGCCCTTTAACTTCACTACGCAGTTTCCGCACATCACCCTCCTTGCCTCTCCTCTGCTTCCATTCCCGCTTCTGCGCGACCTGCCTTTCGTCATCTTCCTCGTTATGCCTACCCTTTATTCTCCTCCATCCCCTCTGAGTGCGCACCTCGCATTCATCGTCACTCTGACTGTGACGGCCACCTCGGTGCTGTGTCCTCTCGTCTGAATCATGGTCCTGGTCCTGGTCCCGTTCCCGCTCGTCCTCGCCACTTCGTGGGAAAGCGTCATGATCTGCAAGCGTCAGGCTCGATATGGTGCTGCTATTCACACCTGCGGGAGCCTCACTGGCCGGAATCTTAATTGGCTGCACCACGCTGCACACATCCGGACGCAGCTCACTTGCATCCTGGCAGCGTGTCCCTACCTCTGCGAGCAGGCGCCGCTCGAGGGCGTCCAGACCGCTCTCCTGCAGAGCGCCCTTGACGTACTTAATGCTCAGGCCAGATAACTCAGTCGGTGCGCGAGGGAACTTGACAGGAGTGATAGCTGCAAGTGGTGCCGTCGGTGGAGGGGACCAATTGGGCTCCAACTCAGGCTTGGGCGCAGAGTAATCAGTAGACTTTGGAAGATCTGCACTTAGATCGCCACTATGCTTGCCGACTTCGTCTGCCATGCGTTCCAGGGCACACACATTCTCGCTGCGTGGAGAAGGGCCTGAGTAGGACTGTTTTGGTGATGGGATGGGGCGTGGTGAGTGTAATACACCTTGAGAATCGTGAGGATTAGGAAGGGTGGGAATCTGGATTGCACTGGGGTGCGGACGACTAGGGGACACATACTGAGCAGAGGGCTGAGGCAAGGAAAACCTGTGCGATAGCGGCGAGACTGAGCGGTGTCGAGAAGATAGACGCAGAGTTCGGGAGATGCGGGATGCACGAGCGCCTTTGCCCTCTTCCAAATCTGTGAGGTGCTGAGGGCTGCTTTCAGCAGCCTGTGGAGGGCAAGATGAGATAGGTGGACGGGGAAGCAGAGCTGCTGAGATAGGAAGTCCTGATGGTAAGCCTGTATCATAATACGGCATCTGGGAGTGAGGTTCGATTGATGCTGGTCGAGGCAGTAGTGGTGTATAGTGCTGGAAGTGTGGATTAGATGAAGATAAATCCCGAGGAGAGTACTGCTCCGAAAATGCAGGAGTTAAAGGCTTATAATCTGCACTTTGAGATGGTGGTGGCCAGTACGCATGTAGTAGGTCGTATTGCTGTGATGAAAAATGAGGATCCACGTCAGGAGACGGTGGGAGCAGATAAGGGTGTGTAGGGGGTGATGCATACGGCTGTGGTGAAGTTGCAGGGATGGCGTAGGGTGGCGTGTGTGCTTGAGGTACGGCCAAAGGATGGTGAATGAACAGCGGAATTATAATTATGACAGGCTCGCTGAAGGTACTTGATCAAAGCATTGCCCAAGAATGAGCGTGACAAGACGCACCTCCCAATAGGCATATCGATCCGGAGTCTCAGGTTACAGCAAACTTCAAACAAACAATCGGTTGTGGTTCCAACCTCACTGACGCGAGCACCGCCATGAGATCCACGGGAAGACAGGGGAATATTAATCACCAAGTTAGCAACGCCCTCAACGCCAGGAGGGACCATATATTCGTGACCCCTGAACTCGACCTCGGTGACTGTGTCGGTTATCTTAAACATGTCCTTATCCACAGAAGGTGACAGCAGTCGAAGTTCACGAGAAAGTGTGAGTGTGACTCCGCACGTCTGCAAAATGTGTTAAGTTAGCCTATAGAAAACGAGAGGTAGCACAACAAACCCAGTTGACCGAATGATTCTTCAGCTGTAAGTCGACACAAGCGACCCCTCCAGCGATAATGGGACCATTCGTGACGAAAGCTTGGGCCCAAATGTTTCCACCCTCGGCGATAGCAAAACCTTGAGGGCGTTTCGACGGTGCTTGTATATCGAAATGTTCGACTACATTGACGTATTGGTGATCAGTCACAAGGCGTTTCTCTCCTCTCCAAGCAACGTCAACGCTTGCTCGTATTTCGTAACGTATTTGAGCAGGACCAAATGATATTGAGGCGGGGGACAAAGGCGGGAGAGGAAAGCGAAAGAAAAATGTAGTGAGACCACGACGTGCAGGGTAGTAATGGGCCGGAAGGGTCGATTCTCCAGGTGGAAGATTGAAGTCAGTTTGGATCGCATTCGAGGGCGGGAGTCCTGGTCCTTGGAACAGCCTGCGGGAATGGATAAAGGTGGAAGTGCCTGAGCAGTCACGAGACGTAATTTCTGAGTTATACATTAAGCATTATTTGACGGTCATGCGATACTGAATAAAATACACAAACCTTGAACGGCGAATAATTCAACCATCATGAGACCAATTCCAAGACCGAATTCACCATCTCCGAGACATTCAACTTCCATCTTTCCAGAAATATTATTTCCAGCAACAAATATGGGGTCAGATAGCGTCAGGGACACCTTGACCTTAGAGTGATGCGACGAAGCGTTCATAGGCACTGGACGAGATTGAAGCGCCATGCTGTAATTTTTTGGCTGAATAACAGGGAGAGCTGAGGAACAAATGGCTGATAAGATCAAGCGGGTAGAGATAGTGACAGATACCAGAAACAACGATGGTGTAGCGGATGATTACCCAGGTAAGAGGCACGACAGATATATGCCATGATGGGCGACATGGCAAGTAGGCAGTAAAATTAAACGAAGGTCATGGTGTTCCTGTTAATAAATTTAAGTCGTTTCAGCTTGGTTTCAGCTTCGACAATGTCTTGTTGGAGCCGTACTGGCGAAGCAGTGGGGTATTTGGCCTTGTTAGGATGAGAAGCCTATGCTCGCTTAGTAACATTTCAGGGGGATTTTTAGTAATGACACACGTGTTCTAATTTTGACCATTCTCCATACCTTTTAAAAAGGTTGCCGCAGTGCTAGTGGTAGTGATTGCGCCATAATGGTAGTCGATGGCTACTAGTTACACTTTGTCAGGCCTCGACTTTCTTAGGTCTTCAATATTTAAGTATGATACAGCCCCAGTTACCAGTCTTTTCAACCCACCGTCAGCAGTCCCATGACCAACATCGACGACGTCCTGGACTCCGAAATCTTCGCTCAAAGTGAGGACGCGCAAGATGAAGGAAACAATGTGTCAGTAGCGGGGGCGCCAATAGAGAAGGCAATGAAAATTCACTTGTATCCGATAAATATTCACGTCATCCACAGAACAATCCCTTGGGTTACAAGGTTACCTTGCTGTCCTCCGTTATGCTCAATATCGGGCAAATACTCGGCGCAGGAATATACTCTGTCCCAGGCGTCATACTGAATTCTGTTGGCTCGGTCGGCTTACTCTTCGTCTTCTGGTTGTTGGCTCCGTTGTTTGCACTCGGAGGTCTCATGATATACAGTGAATATGCAAGTATGTTCCCAAAGAGATCCGGGGCAGAAGTTGTGTACTTGGAGCAGGCGTATCCTCGTCCACAGTTTTTGGTCCCAGTAATGTTTGCTGTAACTTCAGTTCTTCTGTCGTGCGTGCTACAGTTTGCATGTTGAACGGGATTTTTATGCATCTACGCTGACCAGTTTTAGCGCAACGAATTCCATTGTATTTGCGCAATATGCGCTTACAGCTTTCGATGTTCCCATTACTTCTGAAAGGCAAACCATTGTCGCTGTAACAGTGTGTGCTGTTAGTATGGCTTGTGAGCTGCTTGCGCTTCTTGCGTCGAGGCATACTCTGAAATTTGACCACCCAGTCGTCGCCCTGTCTACAAAGTGGTCTTTAAGAGCTGTGAACTTTCTCAGTGGTTTGAAGGTTCTTTCTCTTGTCTTGTGAGCACTTCGGTCACCATCCGTTATCCACTGATAGGTTTTGCTTTTAGCTTGGTCTTCACGGGCGCCCTCGTACTTGGTGGTTTCACTCACATCCGTAATCCTCTTGCCAATTTTCGGTCTCCCTTCAGCGGGAGCACGACCAATTCAAATTCTTTGGCTACCGCCCTAGTCAAGACTAATTATGCCTTCGTTGGTTGGCACAACGCATTTAATGTCATTGGTGAAGTCCATACGCGTGACCCTGTCCGCACAGTACGCAAAGCCGGCCTGCTATCGCTGCTCTTAGTCACATGTCTTTTTTTCTTCGTCAATGTTGCTTACGTGGCAGCGGTGCCAAAGGACGAGATGAGCGATTCTGGGCAACTCATTGCGGCTCTATTTTTCCAACGTGTATACGGAGGGAGCTTCGCAGCCAAAACCCTGCCGATCATGGTTGCTTTAAGTTGCTTTGGCAACATTGTGCGTCATCTTTGTATTTCGTGTGCCCGAGTTGCTCACAAAACACATTTCTAGATCGCCGTGGTGAGCCATGCATTTGGAAGCTGCTTGTTATGATGCAAAAATTAATGTTCGACCAGACAGTTGGTCAGACACGCGTATTGCGTGAGATTGCCCGTCAGGGGCTGCTTCCATATCCGATATTCTTTGCATCGACCAAGCCATTCGGCACACCATTGGGACCCGTATGTCTGAAGTACCTTCTCACAGTATTTGCAATAGTTGCCCTCCCAGCTCGAGACGCATTTAACTTCTTGTTGGACTTGGCTTCCTATCCTAATTTAGTAAGTATTTTACTCGACCGCAGCGTATAATGTAATCCACAAGTCGCAGGTGTTCCATGCTGCGATGGCTATAGGATTATGGCTTCTTCGAAGGCGGCGAGCGCTTGCTAGCCTCGCGCCTTCAAAGTATCGCGCAAGGAATATCTACATTTCGCTTTACCTCCTCAGTACAGTGTTTCTTCTCATAATGCCCTGGTATTTTCCTTCCGAATCAACGCCTCGTAGCGGAACTGATTTTTTCGGCAAGGGTACCACCGGAACCTGGTCATAGCGACGTGTCTTTCTGGTACGCAACGTAAGTCTGATGTTGTTGCATTTTTGGGTTCACATCTGACTACATCCATTATTCAGTTATTGTGTGGTGGCCCTTGGTCTCCTTGCGGTGTGTACATCAATTACGACGCGACTCCACATAAAACTGACGTTGTGTAGGTGTGCGGAGTCTATTACTGGCTGTGGATTATTTTCTTGCCATGGATGGGAGGATACACCATCGTGGAGGAGGTAGAACGATTGGAGGACGGCGCGTTGACCGCACGGTTGACACGTAAATACCACCCTTCGGTTGCAGACATCGATAATGGAGAGCAACAACCACTTATTGCCAGTATTTGATAGGCTTAAATAATTGTAGTAACACTCCTTGTAATGTATTGCCAAAGTTCACGATCTTTGTATCAATATCGTACGAGTGCGTGGTCCTTCCACATTAAATTTAACTTAAGACTAGAGCGTCACTTAAGCGCTTGATATCTGTGCTTGTGTTTACATGGTACAATACTATCTAAGATACAACACATGTCGGGTAAGCTCCCAGGTGAGCGTGCCTAGAAATTAAATGTACCTCGAATTTTATCCGAAGCTCAGGACTAATATTAAGGTTTTTTGTCAGCATCTGCTCCTGCAGATGTTGTAATCGAGAACGGGTGTAGTGATGTCCTCCGTGGGCTGAGCCTGATTTGCAGAATTTTGTACGGCAAATACCGACATGGTTCATTTGTGCCTCTCTATAATGGAGGCTAAAAAATCAATGCTTCGAGACGTCTATTCAGGTCGAACCGAAACTCAACATCATTCAATGGGTCCTCCGTCCCTAGTTCCTGCCAGTTCAAACAGAGCTCAAACCTATATGGGTGCTGCAAGTACTCTTACTTAGGTTTGAGCCCCACGGTGTACGTATGCTTCGATATCAAACTTTTTTTCATCAGCGAAACGTTCTCGAGTTGCCAAGTATTTCCTGTGTCTGACATTCGTGATGATATGTAAGTAACGGAAGCCCAAGTCGATATGGAACGGGGACTGATGGTTGCAGTCACTCACACGCTCTCATCATGCCAGCCCCGAGCACATTCTTAATCTCGCATGATTCTCAGCTGGAGATATCGCTTCCTTCCGGAATCTCTATCGAATGGCTTCGGAATACTCTGTCGATGTCGTTGCAGCTGCTAGGAGTCTCCAAATCTTTACGGTAAATTTTTCCCTAGACGAGGCAAACGACCTCTGATAAAGTCCATTGTTTCTAGTTCATATACAGTATGTGTTCAACTTCGTCAGCAGCACCATCTACTAAACAGCAATCTAGCGTCGATGGCTACATTTTGGGTACGAATATCTCAATTCTCTCACTCAAGTATTCATATTTGTTATCTGGTCCCTATCCAGACGTACGACTACGCCTGTTCATTCCGTGAGGAGGTGACATAGATCATTTGCAGGATCAACTTCCTATCCTCACAATGCACCGTTTCAAGGGAGTGTTTTTGCTTCGTTCCAGCTGGAACAGGGTAAAGTGTTTGTACGTTGTGGCACGATATGTGCCCTTTCTTCTTTTTGCTGCGCACTTGTATCGTACGTCCTTACTCTCGACGAGTCTAAGCTACCATATTGACAGACTGCTGTAGTGAACTTCTTCCCAGATGAGACCTCCGATGTACGTTGGCTTGCAATAGATAAGAGCCTCGCTCACTTACAGGCCAAACTAGAGATGTCAATTTATCAACAACATTTGCTCAAGTACATCAAACTACATGTCGGACTTACCAGTCGCTGACCTCTTCTCTACAGCTTTTAGCCTGATATCTATCGTCTGCTCAGAATGTAATTGCCCTATTATCTTTATCACGAGTGCACAGTCTTAATTCCTCCAGGTTTCTTCATCCTTAGGACTTATGCGCTATGGGATAACAATAAGGTTGTTTTGGCAATTATGCTGTCAACTTTTGCAGTGAGTTATGCGTTAATATCATAGCCTTCTGATGCGAACACAGCATCAGGCCGTAATTGTGGGGTCCATGGTTGCCCTCTTTACCGCCACTGCAACTGCACCATGTATGAATTGCTCTCTCTTTGCCTGTCTAGAAATTTAACCCGGTTTTCATATCACAGTTCAGACAAGTTCAATTCCAGGCGTTACAGGCTGTTATCAGTCCTCAGGAAGTACCGGGCTATTTGTCCCTTTCCTTCTTTTGTTTGGATTGGAATTGAGTATGTCAATAATAATTGATACGTAAATGCCTTTTGACTCATGCTTGATACAGTGCTGATTTCCCTCACGCTCACATGCGCCATACGAAATTGGCGTGAAACTGAAAATCGTTTTTATATCGTTATATTGAAACACAATGTGTTGTATTATGCATGTGGTTTGTGTAAGTAAGAGTGTGGAGTGCTCCCGGTCAACCCTTGCTCATCTTTCCACAGTTTTCTCGACCGTGAATGTCGTGACATCACTGCTACTTGATGTGTGTCATCTATCTGCTGGAATCTTTCCTTGTGGCTGAAACTTTGCGTAGTATGCGTATAGCGGCATGTTCCAAGAGTATGTCTCTGTCAAAGTTTGCTGGAAAGCGATGCTCACTCACAACCCTTAATCATACGTGTCTAGTTTCCAATTTATCATTCATGCCATACTCGCCACTCGAATGCACCTCCATCTATGGCATGCTAACTACGATCGTGATCGTTATGCCTCGGATTTAGTTTCTCTTTCCCAGTTAGCACCCGCACCTCATATCGAGTCGACCTATTAGCGTATTTGCTCTCACAGCACAGAGCGGTCTGGAAAGAAGGAAAGATCGCGATTGACTGCTACAGTGGGTTCGCCCGGCGAGATCAGATTTTCACTTGCGACTGGTGGCAGGGAAACTCATGCATGCGTCCGAAGTGGCTCCTGGAGTTGCCACAAATGGTCATGGTTGAATGGTCAGTCGGGATCGGTGGTGGTTTTCGGATCAGTGTAGATTCACTGTATAATAATTGTATACTATTATCCTATTTATGAGGTGCTCCTTCCTGCCTTGAAAGCATGCGAGTTGAGCTCAAGACAAGTATATAACACTACGCTGGGTTGGATGAGCAGACGCTGTTGTCAACGGAAGACACAAAGTACATAGTTGGCATAACTCGTCGATTTGCTCCATATATATACACAAGCGACATCAACGTCCGGCCCGTGATGACCCTCTCGCCGCCCGGAGTCTCTGAGAGATTTGTCGACACTTGACTGCGTTTTAGGCCAACACTCGGACTCCACCTTGTCAGATCGTCGATCCCTTTGGCCCTTTCCACTGAGATTGGTGGCTCGCGAGGAGTGCATGATGTTACGACCACCTCTACATCTTCACTCTCGGGGCATCATGATAGCCTGGAACATTCGGCCTCGTCTGTCATAAGCGCTGGTAGTGGAAGTGACTTGACATAGTCAGCAGCTGTGAATATCGGGATTCTGGCCGGTCTTGGTACAAGTCTATGCAGACTTCAGATCAACGTTGGGGTACAAGTTTGAGTGCCCCTCAGCAGGCTCGGCAAATTCAGCCACTCGCAGGTGCGGCAAGGGTATTGATATACTTCATTGCTGTCCGCCGCCAGTTGTGTGCTGATGCTGCTTCTCTGCCCGCCCGTCACCACTGGAGGTGGCATCAATGACATCCTCCAATGATTTAGACACCGCTCGATATGTCGAACTAAGGCAAGTATAAAATGGCCCGTGCGTTGGTATCTAGTCAGCGGCGTGATTGTGACTGCGGTGTGTGGTATCTTCAAACTCCGTCAGAAGAGAGCCCATCAAAACGCGTTTCTCGTGGATTACAAAACCGAATTCCAGACCCTTGTTCGCTCCGAAGGTGGAGTCGCAGGTATATTTGACGTCTGGAAATCTTGGACGTGAACTGGGCGAGACTCTGGCTCGACGTGTCGCGATTCGGAGGTGAAGAAGACGCGCGCGTCGCGCAAGATATAAATTGATTTGTCATGTTGACTCTGTCAGTATCCTCTGCCGCTGCACTCGCGGCAAAGCGGCTGTGATGTAACTTACGATATTGCTGTGCTGATAAACACACAAGTCAACCGGCGTATCGTAATTTTTCTGCATCGAGCCACATTCGTGATTTGAGTTCATAGTACTCATGTCGTCTGGCCATAAATAAGTGAGCGGCCTTGGTAAGTCAGGGAGTCCCTTCATCATTCCGACCTGAAGGCCTTAAGTTTGCCATAGATTTTGTGGGGGTGGTTGGCATATCGATCATGGCCCACGCTGCACACGCTCACCATGACTCAGTAACCTCCCTCAAGGCTACTAGGGGTGCTGTGGCACACGGACTCGAGGAACAGAATGTCAACGAACAGGCTGCAGAAAAACCATATAGCATATACACTCGTCAAGAAAAATGGTTTATTGTAATGATCGCCTCTTTGGCTGCATTGTTTAGGTGCGGTATTTTCACCCGCATGTGCACCAGAGGGGCATTCTGAACATCTCTTTAGCCCGCTGACCGCAAATGTGTACTTTCCTGCAATACCGGCACTCGCTTCAGCTTTTCACACGTCTATAGAATCGATCAATCTGAGCGTCACCGCTTACATGGTCTTCCAAGGCGTCTGTAAGCAAATAACTTGAAGGCTGTCGGAGGAAGGATTGCCTCTAAACTATATTGTTAGCTCCTATGTTCTGGGGGACCTTGACGGACAGGATTGGACGACGTCCCATTTTTCTCGCTTGTCTCCTTGTCCTGTGTTTATCCTGCATCGGCTTGGCTTTAGTCCCGACCTCAGCGTACTGGTTACTAATGCTCTTGCGATGTATGCAGGCCGCTGGTTCTGCCAGTACAATCGCACTAGGTATGTGTGAACTTCATCGTTATACCATTTCATCTTACTGGAGCTGTAGGCGCTGGGGTAATCGGAGACATAGGCACCCCTGCAGAACGCGGGGGCTTTTTCGGAATACTTACCTTGGGACCACAAGTGCGCAACATATTGCTTGTGTTGCATTATGCACTCTAATACCCGCGTAGGTTGGACCTAGTCTGGGACCTATTATTGGTGGTGTCCTCGCAGACAAGCTGGGATGGAGGTCAGTTTTTATCTAGCACATTAAATGTAGCTGAATGCGTTACAGATCTATCTTCTGGTTTCTATGCATCATGTCCGCCGCATGTTTTGCTCTCATGCTCATGTACGCAATCCATTCTCTATAGCGTTGCTCTGACCCCATTCATATATTTCAGTTTCCTACCTGAAACACTCCGTCGACTAGTGGGTGATGGCAGTGTGATACCGTCACCTTTCTATCGTCCCCTCGTGCCAATTTTTGGGAAAGGGCGTGTGGTCCGTGATGCCCCCAAACCTCCCAAGCCCACACTGAACAATCCACTACGCCTCTTCTTCTATCTGGATGTTCTAAACCTTCTCATTTTCAATGCAGTCCTATATGCCGTCTTCTATGCGGTGAATACCACGATATCCACTATATTCGCAAGCAAGTACCCGTTTCTGAACGAAATAGATATATCGTTGTGTTTCCTAGCCATCGGTGGGGGGATGGCTATTGGCACTGTTCTGTCCGGCAGAATGCTAGACGCTGATTTTCAAAGAATCAAGACTAGGCTCGTGAAGAAGGCTGAAGAAGATCCTGAGAAGCGCATACGGCCGGAGGAGGTGACGAGGGAGGAGAATTTCCCAATAGAAAGAGCCAGGCTGAGGATGATGCCCATGTTTGCCGCCATCTTTATTTTGACATGCGCTGGTTATGGGTGGTCGCTTCAGCGAGAGACACATATCGCAGTTCCACTGATCCTGCAAGTTATTTGTGCGTCTTTACCTTTCCTTTTCCCCCACACCCTTAGTTATGTGGATCAATAGTTGGTTATACAGTCACCGCTATCATGACCGGCATGCAGACGCTACTCATTGATCTACTACCATCACAGGGTTCTTCCATTACCGCATGCGTAGGTGTCGTTATCGCTTAATTTGTCAACAATTTTGATTACTTCGTTTCAGAATAATTTGGTCCGATGTTCCTTCGGTGCTTTGATGGTCTCCGTCGTAGACCTGATTGTCAACGCGATAGGTCCCGGTTGGACCTATCTACTGTTTGCAGGAATATGCCTGGCGTGCTCTCCCATGATCTGGCTTGCTATTTGGATTGGTCCACGCTGCCGTGCAAAGCGACGGGCCCGTAATACTGCTGCTTGATTATGGTACCGGTGTCATACAAAAAGAAAGCTATGGGAAAGTACATGTAGAATGAGCCAAGTTACTTCGGTGCAAGAAAGTTCCAGAATTGACTGAGCATGTAAGGTAGACGACATGCATGTCGTCTATGTAGCTGCCTTATTACAAGAAATCTACTTGCTTGCGGACGGACATTGTAGCATTGTTCAGATTACCAACCATTTTTGCATTTACAGTAGTGAAGACGTGGATAAATTACATTTGTTTTCCTTCATTGTTAGTGGACTGGGGTGAGATAAAAGATATCAAAAGGATCTAATCTCAAACGAATGCCAATATTGAGCTTCGTTCCGGCTCTCCCATGATACGCTTCCTCTCTGCAACGCGTTTTTCCAGTTCCCATCGGACGAGCTCACTCTTAAGCTTCTCTATGCGAACTTCATTTATAGGATGTGAGGAACCCATGATCTGTCGTGTAAGCGCCCAACTTGAATTGCTTGTCTCTGGGGGACCAGTCAGAGAACATTCTGCAGCTTGAGGCGCGTTCTGTTTGTGTTCCCAGAATGCTACTGCCTGACGCGCATCAAATCCGGCATGCGCAAGGATCCTAGTGGATACAACATCCGCTTCTATCTCTTGGTGTACACTCGTGCAGTATTCCCCTATTTTAGTCAGTTCTCCAGAACCAACTTTACCCAACTGGGCAACTGCGTCATTGACAAACGGCCCAAAGAGCATCGTGATGGGGAACAAGAGGGTGCGCGTGACGTCAGCAAACATGGAAATCAAGGCAGGGACCATGATGGTTACGGATGAGAGCGTCTCAAGGTGATGCGAGAGAACGAGGTGTGCAACTTCATGGGCAAGGAGAATGGCGAGTTCGGCTGTTTGTTGCTCTGTGGGCACTGGATGGGGTGGCAATATGGATAATGGTGGGACAAAGAGCGAACCGAAAAGGAGTGCCCACCACGAGCTTTCTTCAGGTAGAGTCTGTGGCGTATAGCTAGCGGACAAAGCTGATGAAGGAGCTTTAGAAATGATGTTGTCAATAAATCCAGAGTAAACCACAATGCCGCAAGCGCCATCTGGCCCAAAGCCGTAAGAAAATGCGTTGACTGCATCAGGTTTGTCAACGATAAGAAGTGAATATGGTGGTCCAGCGATGACATGAGCTGAATGAGGCGAGCTGCGCCCACAGAGGGCCTCGGACCACCTCCTCATAGTGTCCGTGGCTCTGGGACGAGGCCGTAGGGGATGCTCTGCAGGTGGGGGTAATGGCGGCTGATCAGGAGTTATATCTAACCAATGTGAAGCCAACTCTTGTTCGCGCTGTAATACAGGAATTCCAGCCTCCAATCGGCGTAAGGTGTCACGTACCCACTGGTATCGCCAATCAGTGGTTGGAATCAACTTGGGCTGACCGTCTGTCGAGAGAATTTCAGTGACAGCGTGATACCAATTTGGGCCTTTGAGCTGCGCAGCTATCTCATCCTCCTCTTCAGGAGATAGAATAATAAGCCGCCATCTGTGAATTAACTTAGCTGATGGGCATGAATTGAATAACCATAACGTACCGCCCTGTGATAGGTGTTTTCTCGGCGCTTGCTAGAATTGCCAACCAGAATAATGTCACAGGAACGAACAAAAGTACGTTAAAGACAAGCGTCCTTGCACGTATGCGTTTGAGAAGCACGGCCTTTTTCTCTTCGTCGACCGGTACACCATGAAATTTCTCGTGGTGCTTGAGGTATTTCCTTGACCAACGATTTTTGAAAAGGATGAGGGGCAGGAACGTAAGCGCCACACGGGCAGCGGTACGCGCTACCTCTATGGTGGTCGAAGCCTGTCAAACTAAGTATAGGACTTGCAAGAGTGAATCGGGTGAACATGCCTTAAAGGCGCCCAGTAGCATCGGTATGAGAGGAAGTCCCTGGTTTGGTCCAGAAGAGTGAAATGGTGCAACTCCTCTCTGTGCATGCCATATTTGCCTCCTTCTACGATCATTAACTTGAACGTGGACGAGACCTCTAGGTTTTGGCGTGGAATGGAGTACATGATATGGACTTGAACGTGCTGTGACTAATCTTGCCGTTCGAGTGGCAGTTGAAGGGAAGCTTCGAGACATCGAGGGAATTGAAGGAACTCTGGACGTGACTTTCAATAGTGGGCGGAACATTGTACATGGTTCTGTCGAACCAATGTATTTCCTGTATAAGTTTTAAAATTTGATGGCGTTGAAGCTGCGGTGCCGCCGCCATCAAAGTCAGTGACACTACGTGTGGCTGTGCCCTTCGGTTTGGCTTTTCTAATCATTTCACTGGGAGCCACAGCCCGCTTTCACCGGCGCCATCCATATCCAACACCAAGAGGTCTACATGAATCATTCATCCCTCGAGCGCGATTTTATCAATGATGCATGATCCGCTTTGCGGTTTAATTCTCCTCTGTCATGGCCAGTAGCCGCCTATCAATATAAGTATTAATATCGACTGTGCTGCTGATCATCACCGCTTTCAACTATCAATATGATGACCTACCAGCTTTATTCAATCAAACATATGTGCTGTGGAGATCCCGGTAAGTTCAATATATTATCAACTTGAAGTCTTTGTCAACTGTCAACTGCCAGCTGAAGTCTGAAGATAACCCAATCGACTTTCGGGGCACCCACTCGGCTTTTCCGACATAACTCATTCGAATTTCAGCTATTCGCAAGCATGTTCTACCGCAGAGTGGTCGTTGCTTTGAAAATATTTGCTGTCAGATCTTTTACCATTTCCTTGCAAAATAGCTTGATGGCATGCTTCTACGGACTACCAGTATGGCCAATCGGAAAAGGCAGAAGATACTGATTTTGTAGTTTTGATGTAACTTGTGATTTTTCTCGTCGAGTCCGTTGACCATCCCACGATGGCAGGTAACGTTCTTCCAAACCGTCATACCCGAGGTTCTATTGGTCCCGTTTTATGCGATAGCCCGTGACACTATCATGTATGTACACGACAGTGCTCTTTATAGCAGAAGGTGGAAAGTTGTGGAGACATCCCCCTCGGAGTGCGCCTGCGCCATCATCTTTCTCTTCCGGGCGCTGTCTGGACTCCGGAGATCATCGATTTCAGACCATTTACATCGCAGATCCAAGTTCAAGCATTTGAATCCCTTGTCGGGATAACAAGAGGAAGGGATCGGAGTCCTTCGGACCCGTAAGTACTTGCTTCACAATCTTTGGGATCTTGCTACTGATGGCCGCTTCTGCTTATTGCCCCGTTTCGATTCAGACTTTTGTTTATTACTCATGTCATGAAATCACTAAATTCCGCGGGGTAATTATGGAAAGGGTACTTTACCTAGGGTTCATCTCTGTAAGACATCTTGACTTATTTTTGAAATGAGCTAAACATCTGTCCGAGGAATTGCCCATTCCGTAACATTGAACTCGTCTCTGACGAGGTTTCATCGACATGGAAGAGTGTGCCTAACGGCGAAGTTACCTGCGTTCTGTCATAGTAGCTAACGTGCCGAGTTCACAACTTATTCAACTCACTTGTGTAGAATTTTCTACCGCCGTTGTGTTCAGGTGATGGTGCCTAGGCGCTGTCACTGACTTCGGATGGTTGTTAAAGCAGAGGAATGGTCTGCGGCTACCACGGGCTGCGGAGATTGTGCGCGATTTTCTTGAATCCCGGATCGTTTGAAGGTCAGCAATGGCGGGGTTGGTCATTCCTATTGGCTTCGATACCGACAGACCGGTCAGTGCCGTCACCTACCAACAATGGTCGAACGGACAAACGGACGCTAAACTCAGGTTTCAGATGGAAGCTGATAATCAGGAATCCCTCAATCAAATGATATGTTGCGTCCACTATCGAGTGGGTTTTACAAGAGGTGATGACTTCCGAGGTAGTATTATTCTAATAATATCATGTGTTTACTGTTCACTCCCAGAGGAAAGTTCCCTGCGCAATACACACCAGTCTTTCAGAAACCGATCTATGTCGCTCAATCCGCCTACCGTGGCAATCGGCACGAAAATAATGTTGATTCCTTGCACCACGCATCAAATCGTTGATCGACTTCAGCTGCAGGACTAAACATATTCGAGTAAATATTTATGCCTTGAGTCAATTACTGAACACTGAAAGGAAAGGTTTGCTGCTGATCATGATTCTCCACAGAAAGGCCTTCAAGATACGTATAAATTGCATACGCTACTTTTATCACCTCCCCCACAAATATGAATGGTCTCATCAACATCGATGCCTGGGTGTTAGTAGCCTGTGTTGTTATTGCCTTGATGATTTCAAGGCTCAAGGGAATCGCTAGACTACCACTCCCCCCAGGTCCGAAACCGCTTCCCATCATGGGCAACTTCTTCCAATTGAATATCACTCGACCATGGCTAACATATACGCACTGGAGGAAAAAATATGGTATGCAATGGTACATTCTAACAAATGGGACGTGCTTACATCAATACAGGCGATCTAATCTATTTCCGTCTCCTTGGCCTTGACTTTATCGTAGTCAATTCGGAAAAGGTTGCAAGAGCACTCATGGATCAACGTTCTGCTATATACTCCGATCGCCCCTTTATTGCGACAAACAAGCTGTATGCTTTTGTCATATTTTGACCACCATTTAACGTTCATCATAATCCAGTTTTGGCGTCGATTTCAGTACTGTCATGCTGTCTTACCACGGCACTGATTGGAAACTTCACCGCAAGATGTTTCACCATGCGCTTCGCTTAGAGAGGGCAGCACGCTATTATCATATCCATACGGAAAGAGTCCGAGCATTACTTAAGGATCTGCTTGATGATCCATCACATTTCGAAATCCATATCCAGAGGTAAATCATGTCGCAATCACAAAGGAACTTCATATTTGATCATCCAGATATGTTGCCTCGAACGTTATGGCGTTTACCTACGGGTACAATGTAGCTCCACGCAACGATCCAATGGTTGCCAATGTCAAAGAACTCGTCGATATACTCGCAAAGGCACTCTCCCCTGAGCGTAGCGCCATTTTATCCGCCTTTCCCATACGTGAGTGAACAAAGCCTCTACCAGAACATCGCTCATTCACATTAGTCATTCGCCTACCTTCATGGCTCCCTGGCCCAGGATCCCAACGTGATGCTGCTCGTGCGAGGGATTTAGCAGGACAAGTACTTAATGTGCCGTTCAATCTGGTCAAGAAAAATATTGTATGTTCTCAGCCATCCGAGTGCTACTCTGCGATTAAATTGCACACATTAGGATGCCGGGGTGGCCACTCATTCCATGGTATCTGATTGCTTAGCTCAGATTGACGAGAAGGATGACCAATATAAACAAGAAACTGCTATAAAAGAGGCGGCAGCTACTGCTTTTATAGGTAACTTCTCATCTATGATCGGTGTCTCGGGCTTATAATAATCATTATCACAGCTGGTTTTGAGTCGGTAAATATACATATTTTTCCTTGCTGGGAGTGCTATTATTGACAAGTAGGTAAAAGAGCACATCGATGCTGCATACATTCATTCTCGCCATGATTCTATATCCAGAGGTGCAGGCGAAGGGTCAAGCAGAAATCGATTCTGTTATAGGGACGACTAGCAGATTGCCAGAATTTAACGACCGACCACTGCTACCATATATCGATGCGATCCTTCGCGAACTGCTGAGATGGATTCCTGTGGTTCCTCTGGGTTAGTCGCTTTCATTAAGCTCGGGTTTCTTGTCGCTGACGCGGAGACACTGGCAGGCATACCCCATGCTACTTCAAAGGACGATGTTTATGATGGTCGCTTCATTCCCAAAGGTGATGATAAACTTATCAAGTACTCAGAACTGACTAAAATAGATACCACAGGCACATTGGTGATAAACAACGTTTGGTTTGTACGCGGAACTCGCGCATTAGTAATGTTGACTGATATTACTCGTGAAGGGCAATGAGTAGAGATGAATCAAAACATGGGGCCGATGTTGAAGAGTTTAGGCCTGAGCGACACCTTACAGCTGAAAACAACTCGAACTCCCAGCCCATCTCCGCTGACCCAATTTTTGGGCTCGGTCGTCGTATATGTATGCAATTCTGATTATGATCGAGGCTTCAATCAGGCAGCTCACAGGATTGACTACAGGCCCAGGGAGATTCACGGCAGAGGCGGTGATCTGGATTGCCATTGTGAATATTCTCGCGACGTTTCGCATTGTAAAGTCGAAGGACATCTTGGGTGAAGAAATCAATGTGAAGAAGGAATTTACTGCCGGTATAGCCATGTGAGTGAAACTCTTATACCTCCTCATCTATTGCTGACTAGTACCGCCCTCAGCCAACCTGTACATTTTTCTTGCACTTTTGTCAGCCGTTCAGAAGAAAGAGCATCTAATCTGTAATCTACATTTACATTCGCCTGGGAGGTCAATCATGCAGCTCTCTTCCTCAGAAGTAAAAAGAATGCCGAGTCCTCCACGAGATCACATTAAAGCAACAAGTATACTTACACGCATGGAAAATGTAGATGACTGAAGATGAGTAAGCATCTAAGATATGAACGAGGCTTCGGTGTATAGCACCCCCTCTATATCTAGTCCTTCGGAAAGCCCAGGAATAATTGCATCTGGACCACGTACAACAAGCTTGACGTTGTCTTGCCACTATCAGATTACCGTTAGCTATCGGATGAGTTGAATGCAACACCTCCCAATTACCTGATAGATATATGGCTTTGTGCCTGCAACGTAGTTGACCATTGTCTTGATCACATACGGAATCTCTGCGAGGACGTCCACCTTCTCAATTAAACCCTTGGGTGAAGACGGAGTGCCAACATCAAGATGCACGGATGCATTGATAGAACCATCCACACCCTGCAGCAGGGACGGGCCTGCCCATTGAAACTCAACCGCAGTAGGCTGCATGTAGGTAGTATCCGGATCATGGACAGGGTTGAGGTGATGGGCGCGCGACATCACAGCTTTCACAGTCTGTTGTTCGCCTGGCCATTTAGTTTCTGCTGTGACCGCAGCAAGCTTCCCACCAAGCACCAATGAACCAACGTTGACTACCGTTCCGCTAGAGCCAGGTCCGTGACGTCCATGGGTATCCAAAGTTGTGAATTCCATTTGAATTGCAGACACACCATCATAGGCATCGCTTTGGAAGTGAGCGAAATTCCATCGCGATGCAATCAAGTTTGGACGCATGCCTTGGATAGCATGAACAAGCATGCCGTGGCCCTCAGCAACGATTGCATGGCCATTGTGGATGATGTGCCCACTGACTTTAGTGCGAGGCCAGAAGCGATGGACAACGTAGCCATCTGGTTTCTGTTGATCTGACCCAAAGTACGAGTATCCCCCTTTTGGCCCCTTGCCAATCTTGAACCCGGGTACGGCAGAGGGACGTGAGACATCGAGTGATATCTGCAAATTGTCTGAGAGGTTTGCGCGAATGGTGTACATTTCAGGGTGAGAGTCATCCGAGGAAGACTTGTGAGTGATGGAGAACTGATCTGCCTTGCTGGATCTCTTGTCGAGACCAGGGGGAGCGGTTGTAAAGTTTGTAACATTGACAGAACGCCAGATCGTTTCTTTCGTTGCGGGGTTGTAGATCTTGCATGTGAACTGAATGGTAGGGTACCACAAGCTGCCAAATGATATGAGTTGAATCGAACAAGTACAAACGAACAAAAGCTTGCCCGATTGACGAGTGAATCACTTGACACATCAACATCGTGCCATCCTGTAGGAATTGATAAAAAATCTGAGTCTCTGTTGCGAAGCCTCCTGCACATGTCCACTCAAGATCCTTGGCCTCCAACTCCCCGAAGAGATCTGAACGCTCCGAGACAGGAAATAAGTTTTGGGCCTTCGGATCGACAGGGGGTGCAGTTCTACAAAATCTTTTAGACTGAAATCACAGACCAAAACTTTCAACTTACGAAAAAAGGGAGGAGAACATATTTCGAGGTGGGATGAAGGAAACACTGCCGCAGTATTTGAGCCTCAGATCAGACGTAATGGGTCAAGAAGAAGTTCCACTAGTATGTCGGAGTTTTGAATTCCTTTTTGGGTATTAACCACATTATCATTTGGCGTATGTAAGTCCCTGTACCCAACTACTTGCTTGCTCTTCGGGCTGATGATTGTCACATTAATATTGTAATTCCAGCTATTAATTGTTGTTATACGCAGCACTGGCCTACATTTTCACAGAACTCGATGCATGTCTGATCGAAAAGGTGACGACGGCACAGCTAACAGCTTCTTGTTCAGATGTTAACTTGGCCAGTTTTGATGAAAGCTTTCTGGAAACACGAAGCCCAACCGGTCATCTCCCCCAGTTTCAGATTCCAGAAAAATCGGGTATAATAGAGTAGCAAAAAAATCATACAGTGGAACGACGTATCGTCGGTCAGCCCGTACCCAGCAATATTTACCCATGGATATTAGGAACGCCAGTGGTCTCCGCAGCCTCCATCGCAGCAAAATCCAGCAGAGATATAAGGTCAGCGAGTGCTCTCAAGCTCCTGCTTTCTGCGGCGGTGGGATGTTTGGAAGGGGAAGAGTCCGAGGTCGAGGGGCGAAGGGGGCTCTGATCAAATTCCCGGATGGAATGAAGACATGGAAGCGAGAAACGTTTGGTGGCGCGATCGGGGTGATCAACATGCTCAGTCGCAATGCTGAGCGAATGTGCTTCTCGGTGCTTCGAAGAAGGGATGTAGGCGAGACCAGACGTATGGTCATCCAAGGTCAGATCAAACTTTGACTGAGAGATGACATAGAAGAAGCCTTCTTCGAGTTCCGATGATGTGTCACTCTTACCCGAGTCCTTGAACTCAATATCCTCAGCGGAATCCTGGGTAGCATCATGTTTGATGATAACGGAGTCATCGACAGGAGTTGTCTTCACCAAAACTGCTGCTGCTCCGCTGGGAGGAGAGCTCTTGTCTGCAGCATTGACATCGAATGAGTCACCTTGAGATGTGCCTTTACTAGATCCTTCTTCATATTTCTCTTCTTCCGGAAGGTCGAAGATATTCGAATACACGGATATAAAGTCGTCTCCGTCGTCCGAGAACCGAGAAGAAGGAGCACATGGAAGCGGCGTGTAAGGTCCATGTTGGAGGGCTACAACATCATCTTGGGAAGATTTTGCAGCATTGAATGAAACGTGAAGAGGGCCTTGAACGTTGGCTAAGACGCCTTCTGAATTCATCCACACATCATGAGGTAGCGTCTTGTCCGGGGGGCTCCAAGGGGATTCAAGACGGATCGAGGGGTGAGGTACCTTCACGGATGCTCCTGAGAACCCACGTCGAATTGCAAACGGGGATACACTGACACTGTGAAACGACTCAGATGTGCTCACTTGAGTGAATCTCGCTGACGAAGATATGCGAAGACGGGGGGCAGTTGAATGAGGCAGATTGGTTAAACGAGGGTCCATCGGGTTTGAACCTAGAATCGAGTCATTTGTGATGGAAGTGATACGCAATGGAAGTCTTCGGGGTGGAAGAGGGCTGCTCGATAGCAAAGCTGGGCTCCGCATCTCAGTTACAACAGGCGTGATGCTATTGCAACGTCTCAAGTCCCGATCTAAAGGCTGGGTAAAACTGCGGAGTGAAGTTGGTGTACGAAGAGCGCCAGCTTCGGATATACAGCCAGGGGAAACCATCCGTCCGATGAAACCGGAAAACGAGGAGGTTGTATGTTTCTTGGTTCGCAAGTCTTCATTCTGATTACCGCTACCATCGCGATAGAGGGTGCCTGTGTAGATTTCTGCCGGGGACTGACTTGAAAGCCCGTTTTTCTGGGAGCCTCGCTGGGGAGTGTGCCTGTTGGATAGCTTGACATCCACTAGCTCGAGTCGTCTAGGAACAGGCGGTTTATGACGGACGGTCTGGCTTCCCGCTGTCACAGGCGTTGGCAATGTTGTGGAAGGAGCCCTTGACTTGAACAAGTCTGTAGATGAGTGGGCGAGTTTGACAAAGAAAAGCCATAAACGTAAGAAGAAGCCTGGAGGCTGCCGGGGTGGGTCGACCCGACATACAGGCATGATTTGCGTGCAAAGTAAGGACAGTGATGGTTCGTTGTGGAATGATATGAATGCCACCCTCGATCCAAGCTTGATCGCTTTGACCGGCCAGGGCCCAGGAGAGGCTGGCGTTTACATCATGCTCCTGGTCAGCCGCCACATATTAGCAATCGGATACACGTTCTGTTAGACGTAACAAAAACTCAAGACATCACCTCGTCACAAGTAGCTAATCACCCGAAATTTCCAGGTAGACACTGTTTAAGCTGTCATGCATCAAACTGTCATCCACTTGGCTACCAAACAGATTTTCCTGCAATCGTTCGTGTCCTTTTTCATAAAGATTCAGACTCCTTTGTACGTGGCACGTCGGATTCGAAGCAACGCCGTTTACAATGAAAGTCTGCTACATTTAACGAAGGTCTGGACAAAGAAGTGAGTGACCCGGAAATTTCTAGAGAGTGACGTGACCGATGAAGACAAGATCGTGGCCCACGCACAGCGTCACATTCCCCGCACACGTTCCGCCAGCGTTTGCAGGAAATGTAAATGGTCCGCTGACTTGCTTGAGACGGGTTCTCCGTCTTCTCCTTCCTCTGTCGACATTCAAATTTGCAAGGGACTACTGAATGTCACACTTAAGTGACGCACGGATAGCGACAGTGCAGTCCCAGGTTCACCAAAATGCGGAAGAGGTGTCCTCGCTGCCTTCTTCCCCAGACCAGATCGTCCACGAGGAACATGCCCCAGCTCCTCCTCCCCAGGTTTCTCCATCTGAGGCATCTCACTCGGACTCTGGATTCAGTTTATCATCTAGCTCCTCCGGGGAGGTAAGTTTTTATTGATCCAAGACACGTGCAGTGGAGTGGCGGTCATAATCACCTAAACCCTGTTCTCATCGTTCTCGATTAATATATGTGTTCTCGAGGAATTGCACGATCCTGACATTTGTCTGGGATGCTTCAGGTTACTGGGACTCCCTTTGATTTCGGGACACAACGTTATGAATACCCCTTCCCTCCCACCCAAGGTACATCAAGCGATCCGTTTTTACCACTTTCCTCATCAATTACAATCACATCTCCATCCAATTCCATCTGGCCTTTGTGGCCTACACAAGTCACAAAATCTTTCCCTCTCACTCCCCCTACCCCCAGAAAAGTCAGGACCCATCCAAAGTTGCGGTCTGTGGCTGCGCGAGAACCACCCGTTCCACCTAGCCTGGCAAATAAACGGAGTTTCTGGAGCCTAAGCCTCCAACGCCAGACCTCTGCAGAAAGTCAACAGAGCGACCTTGGCGACATCCAAACACGCGGCCGGAAGCTTCTTCCTGGTGGTGTGGGGTTTACTGAAGCAGACGCCTACTCCGCGTCCGATTCGGAAATCACTGTGCGCCGTCGTCAGCCTTCTGCATATGCCGTGTATGCTTCTAGCTCTAGGATGGATTCAAGCGAGGGAGTAGCCAATCAAAATGGGCTGATGACATGTGGCGGTCGTGCACCGGAAGTACCGGTTGCAGGTGCACCAGCTTCTGGTCCTGGGCTCAATGGTGGCCATAATAAACTTGACGTCGGTCTTCACGCATACACCATCAGGGGCATATTTGCTTACTGAATATCGTCCTATCAGCTGCGGCCAGGAAATCCGCCAAATCGGGGCAATGTACCAAGCTCGTCTGTCGGCGAGGTTTTAAGAATAGTCGCTGGTCGACGTAGGTGATGATTCTTTGTTCACTGGATTTTGTGACATACTTGACATCAGTTTTGAATTGGGTTTTACGCTTTTTCTTGGGTTCTTAAGGTCCTGCCGGAGGACATAGTTATCAGTACTTCGGTACGTGTTATTGTCTCCATCGAATCTTCAGTGCTTACCCAATCCTAGATGCGACAATCTACCACCAACATATATTGTTGCATACCACATCCAGTAAATCATCCACGTTTCACGAATACCCTCATCGTGATAGGAAACCTGTACACGCGCAATATTCCCACTTTTTTCTCCTTACCCTCATGCATATCATTCCCCTGTCGTTTCATCAGCATCATGATTACGTCCATAGGAGCAAAAGTTGCCGTCTTGCTTTCAACCATACTTGTTACGCTACGCTCTACTTGTTTTATCGCAATATGTTGTCCCCACGATGAGGATCATTACTAAGTTTAACCGGATTGTAGTGATATTTTCCAGCTATTTCCAAATCGATAGGCCAGATTCCATGTTACGCGGCACGCCTTTCCCTAGTTTTGAAGCGAAATAAATAGTTGCCTATTAGCGCGTCTCTGTCATGATCGGATCAAGGGGAGAACTGAAGTGTGATTGACGGGTCCGGTAGGCGACAGCATAGCCTATTGTCCACGAGAATGATGGTAGTAGTCGCTTCGGTCATGTGTCACTCCAAGCTGCGGAAATGGCAGTACCACTGCTGTCAGCACACTCCAGGTATGCTGCGATGGCGCTACAACTTGCCGTGCGCAGTCAAGGCTATTTTTGCACAGCCCTCAAAAGGTCATCGCTATAGCGGCAGCCGTAACACGATTCCATTGTACATATAAAACCTGCACGAGTACTCCACACGGCGATTATATATTCGAGAAGCCCCACATTATTTCTGCGTATCAACCATGACTTACTACCCCGATGAAAAGTCTAACAACCCGTACGCGCAGCCCCCAGTTGTCCTCGCTCCTCAGCAGCAACAGAGTCAATACGAGGCACCTTTAGGCCCACCCCCTGCGTACACCCAGGAATCACCCTATACTGCGCATGATAGTACACATCAAGACAACCCTCAGCCTCGAACATACCAGGCACCTCTGAGATTAGTATCCCAGCTTCCTCCAGGATATTCTCAGGGAAATCGGGCCCCATCACCAGCTAGTCATCACGACCAACAAGGCAAGGAATTCCCAGCATACCGGGGGGCTTCCCCAGGAGCTAGGTATTCCTATGACCATAACAGGGCAGGACCATCAAATTATCCTTTGTACCAGCCAAACAACAGTCTTAGTCCGGACAACCAGAATCCAGGTGCTGTGCCACGAGATCGTGCACCTTCCTCCAATGAAGAGAGTAGAGAGTTCTCCCTTGCTTCGTTCTTTGGTAACACGGGCCCGCCGCCAATGTGGCAGCGTCAGCCGCCTCAGCATCTGCGTTACGACCAGTTCCCTCCCATGTGTCTTATCTCAAATCAAGCGGACATAAGTAAAGGCTTCCCTGAGGTGCCTCCTCCATGCCAACTATGTGTTCACCCATTTGCGACGCATGATATCTTGGAGGAAGATTGGAAACGGTCCGTAGATTTGTCATAAGGCTGTCCCATTTGGATTGATCCTTAAGTCTTTAGATTTCTGGCGGACATCAAAAGAGCAGGTTCATTAACCGGAGGACAACGCATTAAATCGAATGTTATACCCCTTGTAATAGGCGCCAGTCTTGTTGGTACGTAGTGCAACAAGCCATTGCAGGAAATGATACGATGTCTGCACTCCTAGGCGGGCTCTTCATGACTAGGGCCATCGAGAAACGAATGAAAGCGAAGAATCGCAGTGCAGTGGGAGACATCATTGATAACTGGAACCAAGTCAGTAGAGTCCCACGAAACATCATCAGACTATTTACCATCGTTTTTCAGTACTTCTTCGGACCTCGTAGAATGGAGGCCGTTCTATGTCAAGGATCCGAGCGCTTGAGCGGCCGTGAGGGTGCGGCCCCGCTTGGTGATTATAGCCAGCTCCGCACGGCAAGTGACCTCCGTCGCCGAGCCTCAAGTTCTTCAAGTTCAAGCTCTTCGTCAGATTCTGAAGACAACAGGAGTAGCCGTAGGAGTGGATGTGGGTCATCTTCATCGCACAAGTTTGATAAAAGACAGCGCCGTGCCGCGAAAAAGGAGGCTAAGGCTGAGAGACGCCAGGAGAAACGCGCTCGTAAGGCAGAACGTCGCAATGGCAAGGCTCGTAAGGAACATTCAGAGCCTTACCAGCTTTTCATTCAAGCTTTCTAGTAGAATAGTTGAGTAGATGCGAGATAAATCGTCAACGATGTTGGATTTGAGCCCTCGTGGTCGTCGTGTGGTGTGGTCAAAATAAGCCATACAGACTGGGATAGTTTCAACGCATTCATGAAAAATGGCATGGAACAAAAGACTTGCCCAGGGAATATGTGGGGTACCTTGAGAGACCCAGAGTGCGGCCGCCCAGAAACTCAGTCCAAACATCTTGCTGGCAGCGGCCGCCACACCGGTGCCAGTGTTTGTGCACTCAAGATAAAATCTTGAAATCTTCCTGTGTTCCAAACTTTATTTGAAGTGGGTGGGATGCTGACGTTCGTACGATACAGCGAACTGCAGCGAAGTAAGGAAACCTGTCAGTGGTCACCACCCTCAAGCACACTCAGGCATGCCAAGGGTGCTTGGTCAGCAGCCTCTAGGTTCAACAAGAACAAACAAACAATATTTCAACACATCATTCACGCTGGATATTGAATACACCACGGGTATTTGCATTTACATCTATCTGGTAGTAGTCTAAGTAGACTTTGTACGGTCGCCTCTGAATCCGTTTGCATACAAACTACTGAAAATCAGGGAAATATCTCGTTCCCACTCGTGTCACGACGATGTTCAGGTAAGGCTTTTTGGTAAATATGTCGAGAAACCGAGCACCAATATGACGATCGTGCACATTATCCAGTATATGGCTGTTCCGCCTAGGAGGTTCTTCTCCAATGACAGAGCGAACAGTGAAGATACCGCTATCGGTCCAATAGCACGCATCACGGAACCTAGCATCTGCGCTAGGCCATTTGTTGCACCCAGCAAGTTCTTGCTTGGCGTCCCGTTGTTGATATATAAGATAATGCAGCCTAGCAACAATTATCGTCTGGAATGCGTGCATGAGGAGGAGCAAACTCACTATAGGTGTTGTACGCAACAATATATGCAACGAGTTGAACGCAAAGAATCAACCACATTCCTGCTTCCATCTTGCGCTTCACCATATAACCCATTAATGGGTAGGTGGAAAATGTAATGAGGTAGAAGGCGAAACTTGTGATATATAACCTCTTTGGTCCAAGTTTCCGCAACAATCGCGGAAACATATAAACCTGTATCACACCGTTCAACGTACCCCAAGCCGACATCACCAGCCCAATGGTGTTGCTACTAAAACCAAGCCCTCCGAGTGAACTTGATGTCGAATACATGAGAGGCATTAGCACCAGCATACACTGGTCAACGAAACTCAGCAAACCATAGTGCAGGACTGGTATTATGATGCTTGGGATCAGAATCGCGCGAAAATCGGTCCTCGAAGACTCAATGGAACTGGAAACTGGAACGGAAATCTCTGCATCATCTAGCATGTGAGGTGGTATGTCGATCTGGGTGTCTGCAGGTTTGTCGTGGATCGTGACAGCCCGTACGACCGTGTCATCACTATGGCTCACAGATCCATTTCTGAAGGCACTGCCTCGCCTCGACTGAAAGTCATTTGGTGAGCACTGTACAAGATACGATAATTGAATCACTGCACCTCTTTGAGAAATACTAAGCTGATAAACCAGGAGAATGTGGATACGCTGGCAGCAACGATGCAGGGCAAAAAATAAGGATACCGATGGAATAAGGGGTAGCGTCCGACAACGTTTGGCCATTTGGCTGCTGGGTCTGAGAGAACCCCTCCAATGAGTAATCTTAAAAACTTGATCAATTTACGGCGTACATGATGGTCAACAAATAGACAAACCCTAGCGTATAACCAGTCCCCCATGCCAACGGCAGCCACGCGAATGCTTGTGCCACATTGGAGGCGTCAGTGATCTCAGTCATAGTGGATTTGACCACGCCAATATTACCGTTAAGAGCACCTTGTGCACAACGACTGAGGATGATCATCCAGAATTGATTCGAAAATCCAAAGGAGACGATAGACAAGGTAACCCCGAAAAGCCCAACGAGAATAATTGGTTTCCTTCCAATATGGTCAGACACGCGACCCCATTGCAGAATTGTGACAGCCTCGGCTGCATAATACAAAGATTCCTGCAATATAATTTCGTCAGCGACGGGTCATTGTCCGCTAAGAAACAACAGACAATTAGACCTGCGTAGTAGCCTGTCTTGCGCTCATCTCCACCTGTGATACCTGTTGACCTGACAAGCTGGTTCACAAAGGGATAAATCACAGAAGCGGTCAGCTGCTCGGGCATCTGAACGAGTAGAAGGATCGCTAGCTGTGTTTTTGGAAGAGGTGTCGGCAAAGGTACTGCTTCAATGAGCTCCCCCTCGCCTGGTTGTTTTTCTTCAGAAGTTTGTGAGGCTCGACGAATTCGAGTCATTTGGAGCGACTAGGTGGGTGGGTTTATCGGAGGCTACAAGTTGTGCAATTTATGAACTTGCACTGATATGTACAAAAACAGTCATGTGAGTGCTTCGGGCCCTACAACGTATACCGAATGACGAGAACTGGAACAGAAATCCTGGCAGATGTTATTCACATCAGGAAACAAAGCAGCCCATGATCAAATGGTGCCACTTTTTAATGACAGACGTCAGTGTTTAAAGACATCACTTGCCGGTGGTTGCGAAGTAGTCTTGGAATCGGTAAAAGAGGTTGTCAGGACTGATTGAGATCCTAGTCACATTGACATAAATCCTACAGATACCACACAGGGATCACAGGGCATACGTAAACAGTGAACAAGTACGTCCCATGATGTTCAGTGTTGTGGCTATTGATAGGGATTCGAAGGAGGGTCTTTTCCACCTGCCTGGTGGTCAGTGATGATGGCGTTGGTGAAACGGATTAGTAGCCTGAGTGACTTACCATCGACTCAAAGATGAGCCACGCTTCTATAGTAAACCAAACGGAATTGCATCCATGTATTCATGTAGCAAAAGGAGGCACGGCAACACCCTTGCCAAGTGAATGCGAGGGTCGGAGACTGCATGGGCAAGGAAGTTTAGATCGACCGAAAGCGATTGGCTAGTCGCGTCTGGCGTCACGTTAGATCTGAGCCTCATCACGAGAGTCGCAGATGGAAGTAGACTCGCTTAGAACCGAAGATAATCATGATATACTTAGCTGGGGCTAGAGCCGCTAGACGCATGGTCAGCATGGTCAAGTTGTAGGACGTGGTAAATACCAACTTCGGTCGGGAATTTCCGGTGCTCTCCACGGTAATCTTCTGATGTTGAATTCTTCAGGTTGGTTTCATTAAAGATTTTTGCTGAAACCGCTACATAAACACGCAATAATGCTTTCCTCACAGTCGAAGGAGACACCACTTCAAGTGAAGTCTGAGACGTAATAAACGGCCGCCCGGCGGAAGTGAAATTTTACAGCACAGCCGCTTTGGCCTTTTGCCAACTCGGAGTCGGAAGCTCGAAACTAGAGGTTGTTTTACGATCGTGCCTTATACTTCCAGCCGGAAGGTATTTGGGCTATATCTCGATGTCAGCTTTTGTGAACCTGTCACGCTTCTTCACTACCTTTGGGTCTCGCCCACGCTCCTTAGACTTTCCGGAGTCTGTTGTTGACAGCTTACCGGCGGACTTCGACGTGACAAAGATGGAGCACAACCTGTTGACGATCGAAGACCCAGAATTCCGCGAGCACCTGCTCTCTTCAGTTGAGACAGCATCTCCCGAGCAATTGCGCGCTCTCATCCTTCAGCTCGCCGACGAGATCCCTGAACTACAATGGTCTCTGATCCAATCGCTCACCTCCTTGAAGGCATTGTCAAAGGAGGTTTCGGAGGTCTCACACATTGACACGAGGTCGGATGCGGACTCAAACGAAGCTTCCTTCAGCCTAGGGTGTGTGTCAACGGGCTCTGAGAGTTGCCCCAGCTGGAAGTCCGCCTGCTCGGTTAGCAATTGGGACATCGATGATATGACCGAGGATGTCCCTGAGATACAATCCGAGGTGAGCGTCGATGTCAAATCGTGTCCGCGCTGGGATATTTGCGTAAATTGCGGACAAAAATTCGACATGAACGCGGTGCGCGGGCCGTTCGAATGCTGCTATCACCCAGGTAAATCTGAGATTTATACTCGATATTTTTTGTTTTAATCATAATTTCCTTCGTCAATAGGGTTTCTCCAAAAAGATGTTGAACGGCACAGACGGTGCGATCCTCGATCGTATCCAGAGGACTTCATCTGGAGGTGTTGCAACGAAAGCAACCCAGAGGGATGCGAGACTGGCTACCATATACCTGCTGGAGACATAGGACTGCCGCGATTGTAGCGACTACTCGCTTTGAACCTTGAGAAATAATACTGCCTCATGTTCGCACGCTGTCGAGTGGAACTGAACAGGTCTTTGCCAAGCGAGATGATATCAGGCCCAGCTAAGTACGTGCGCAAAGCTCAAACGTTCACACTATCTTGTGTGGACTCTTTTCGAATCCATCGCTGTCCGTTAGGTTTGACTCTATGCCTGAAAACATGACACCTATTCATAAAGTGGAGCGCTGGCCCTTATATCTAGGCCTGCGCCGATTGATAGTAGGGGAATCCCCTTGATTAGTAAGGACCTTCCAATCAATATCGTACAGAGAGTATGCAAGACATTGACAATCGACAGCGCTTATCTATTTACGTTTTATTTTCTCCTCTTAGTATTATAGGGATACCTGAGGACCACTTCGTGAGGCTGAATGAAGCATCAAATGGGGCAGTCCCTTGCGAACTTTCCTTTTCTTTCTGTTATTCAAGGATCGAGATACTTGATCCCCAGATGGGCCATAATTATATTTACATAGGGGTAGCTTGAAGACGACGAGAGGCTGAGCTCATAGATACGAGAAGTGTCATTACTTGTAACACTATAACAAAACGTTCGAGACGTAGCCGGTGACGAATAAAGGATATGTAATAATTTGCTTTGTTCAACAACATGAAAAAGAGGGGCGAAAGTCAGAATTTCACGCCTGAGTTGACACTCCAGGTGCAGCGTGGAAAGTTGTAAGCGAGAAAGAAACAGATTCTAGCAAAGCACGTCGCCGGTCCGCTTTCCAGAGTCCACGATACATCTTTGTAACAAGAAAGGCGTGAACAGTAACTTGCCAGTTGCGTAAAAACCTCACAATCATAAAACCGTAAGACACCTGTCAGGTTCACTTGTTATCAATACACGAGGTTTTACCCGACTTGAGTGCACTCACGTTGAGACGGGATGTCGTCAATATGACACAGAAGGAGAAGACTGTGGGCCGTAGATTAAAAAAATTCGCTGCGCACTTCTATATACCTAGATAATCTGAAGGCAACTCACCAAGTCCGCAGGTCAGGTAAATCATATTGTGATGGATCAGCTGTTCCAACAAGCGATTACGATCACCCCTGCGCCAGTAGCTCGCAATGACCTTGTACAGTGCGAACACCCATATCTCTGGCGGATCGTCGATTACTATAAAAAACTAAACGACGATGCACTCGCGGATTTCCGCCGCGACTAAAATCACGTAGAGAAATATGATGGTTTTGTCATTACCGGTTTGTGTAAGTATATCGAATCTGAATAACTAACGTCATTAATATTAAGGACGCTTACCGAGCATCTCCAACGTCAAGTAACCGCAGGTTACATATCGGCAGATGATGTAAAACAGTTTTGCCAATTTCCACTGTGACTGCGTCAAAAATGCTACCTGGGGTTGGTCAATAACATTAGACCTGCATAGAGTTTGAACTGATATAGCTAAAAGCACCTCATCGGCCAAAGTGAGGAAAGAGTCATATGCCTGTGGTGATATAGATTAACAACTTGATTGCGAGCGAGAGATTCATGCAAAATCACCCAGGACGTAGTTACAGCCACTGTAACACGGTCATCAGTATATTTTATAGTCAACATAACTTGAAAGAAGACGCAGACTATTGGCGTACTTGAGAGACTACGAGTAGCTGGAAACAAGCAAGGTATTGCTACTCACGTTAAGACCCCAGAGTACCCATCCGAGCTCAAGATCATTCTCAATGGAGCTCATCGCAGGGCACCTCTCTTCGCTTCGTGGAAGCGGGTATGTTACTCGATGATCAACACAATTAACTCGTGCATTTTTATATTGAAAACTTGGTACAGCTTCTTGGTAAAATTTCAAGAAGCCTACACGAATCTTGGTGACTCATCTGAGATAGCCAAGATACCATCAATGAACTTACCAACCGCTGGAACGATGCATAGATGGCGCAGCTTGTGAAATGGGCGGCCACATGAATGCTGAAGTTCCAGCGCCCGGGCTACGTTCTGGATTGATGAAACGTACTAGACACTGCATGAGATCCCCTACACCTGTTTAATAATCTGTGCGCTGCCACCAGAAATACGGACTGAGATAGCAAGCTACCGGCCGTGACATGGGGAACCACGTTGATGAGCAAGTCTGCGTATCAGTCACCGTGCCAGCGTTCAACAACCCCATCAAACCAGTATAGATGCGGAACAGAGGCTGACCAGCACTAAACGTTCTAGTTGCTGTCCACCCATGTAATTCCATTTCTTTAGATACACTCAAATGGACGTAACAGAAGTGTGACCTGGCATCTATCTGTGACAAGGTAAGTACCCGAGTGTTCGTGCTTTTTGACGGTCTCACATATTGCTCTCGATCCACAACACAAAATAAATATCGGATAGTTATTAGTAGATAGAATACCATTTCAGTAACATGGCCCAAATTTTTCTATACATAAAAGTTGATTTGTTGTGTTACTACAGCATGACCGAGCACCACTAGTCTATCTCACCTAGTGTTCGTGCATTCGTCACACTGTGTCACAGGTTGCCGACGTTGCCGATTAGAAGTCCGCTCCTGACCATGTGCTTTGCTCGTGAAAAATCCGTTGTGGCATGGCGGGATTTTAAAATGATGTAACGTCTTGTAGTAGATTGTCACGCCAGATAACATATCCTTCACTTGTACATTAATAGTCTGCCAAATCAACCTCGGAAGTTGTCATTTTAGCTATATATCTGTCAGGATCAATGTTCTAAGCACTTCCGAGGTTAAAATTGGCGTGAGTTTGCCTTTCCGACACTGATCAGTGTGCCAAATTGTCTCCAAACGGTGTATATTGTATCATAGCACTTGCACAACACAATTATTTAAAAAATGAAAGACATAGAAATACTCATTGACAATGCAGAATCATTTCATTTCTATATGCCAAAATGATTTGTGATGATTTGCATGTGCTAGAGCAAAGCACGAACACTAGGTGAGCACGAACTCGTGGGTACATCTAGTATACGTAAGTTAAAACCGCACTATTTCGCCCTGGCGTTCATGGAAGTCATAGATTTAACCAACCTACCCATCTCAGGTGATGAAGGGGTCACAGTGTCCCGCGAAGAGCTCGAAAATGCAGTCGACAGCATGACCAATGCGCGCCTTCGGAAGATAATGATCAGGCTGGCCGACAGGATACCGGCATTTAGAAGCGCATTCGTGAAGGAAGCCATGGTGGTCAACGGCAAGAAGAGAAAGGCTGTTCCAAGATGGGATGTATGTGCCAATTGCAAGGAGGAATACGACATAAGTGGCGAACGTGATGACGAGGAGTGTTGTTACCATTCAGGTTGGTGTTGCTATTTCCATTGCTCATGATGACAGACATTTTCTGATGAAAAAGTTATTTCAAAAGGTCATCTAAATGTCGATGAAGAGTTTTTCGCAGACCATGACGAAGATTGTCATGGTCCCATGGACACAGAGGAAAACAGAGCGGATTTTCCGGAGGGATTTATCTGGACCTGTTGTGATGAGAACGCGCTATCTGAAGGATGTGAAACTGGACAGCATGTTGCTGGACGGAAGGTCAAGAAAAGACGTTGAGTAGTAAGCAATACAACGTTTCTAAGAGTCAGACTGGCAAATTTCCTGACTTCATTGAAGGAACGTTCAAGAAAAGAAAAAAGACGCCGAAAAACCGTCGCCAATGGGATATCCTTCTTATCTCCGTAACACTTTTTGTTCCCAGAGCTCCTCACCGGGCTCGGCCGTAAACGTTACTATTGGCTCGCAACATCGAAAGAAAGGCTAACTGGTATCCAATGACCACTTCTTAACGTCGTCTACAACGTTGAAACCGTGCTTGCTGTAAGCTCACAAATAAAGTACATCGACGCGACGCGATTGATCACGTGCACGGAAAGAGTATAGTATTAGTTTAATAATCCCTTCGAAGTTGGTCTTGTACGCAGCTGGCTTCTGTACACTAGTTTGAATATTAATGTCGACAAGTACACCAAGAACAAAGACAGGTGTTACCCCTGCAACGCCAACGACAACTCGAGTAGCAGGATCCCATGTTCTTCAAGCATCTCCTCATTACACAACAACCAGACGTCACTCTCTCTATGGCACAGAGGATCGTGTTGTAATCGATCCAGGTTCACGCATCTGGAAAGTTGGATTCAGTGGCGAAGGCAAGCCAAGAGACGTATTCTACGCCGACACCAAAAATTGTGGCTCGTTATGGAGTTGGAGTCGAGCCACAGACCCAACAGAAAAGGCAGAGCAGGACAATATGTTGGCAATCAACTTGGAGAGATGTATGCGTTCTGTTTTTCACGAGTAAGTAGGCTCAACTATCACGGACACTCGCATCCAATAGATCGTGAAGGTCACTTCTTGCAGAACCCAAGGCCAGAAAGGTAATATTAGTTGAGCACCCGTTGATGCCACTGTACATCAAGGATATGTTAGCCCACATCCTCTTCAGTAACCTTCAGGTATGTGCTCAGCTTTCGCAGGATGATAATCTTAGACAGAAGATAACAGGTTCCCTCAATATCATTTGCATCAAGTCACCTATTGTCTCTGTTATCTGTTGGCCGAATAACAGGTCTCGTCCTAGATTGTGGCCATCTAGAATCCACCGCATTACCTGTAAGATGGATGAGTCCATTGCATTTTTATGTTGACACACCCTTTCAGATATTCGCAGCACGTCCTCTTTTTCCCCAACTCCAAACAACACCACTCGCAGGCTCTCGCTTTTCGTCACACATTCGTGCACTGCTCCTCTTATTTGGTTCTTATCTCCCCCCACCAACCACACTCAGTGCTGCTGTAAACGTGCCCTCAGCTAATCGCACTACCCGTGTGCCACAAGAGATACTAACAGATGCTGTCATCGAGGACATCAAGACACGCTGTTGCTTCGTATCAGACGCTTTAGAATCTTCTCTTGGTGATATGCGCGCATCCTCTCCAGCAGGTGACGATCCTTCAGATCATGAGCCTCCACCCTCTAGCGACCCTGCCATGTCTGAGTCAGAGTTTTCACGGGGTTCTATTGGCCAAGAGAGCGCAGCAGAGTCCGAGTTCTCGATAATCTCCCACCCGACACACTCTACGTCCAGTGGGGAAGCAAGAACCGAAAATTATCTGCAGGTCCTTGCGAATATGTACATGCGTCACTCCACTGCCACAAATCTTCACATGCGTGTCATACCCCCTGTGTCTCAACAAACGGGCACCGGGCGTGGAACTCTCATCATCCCCGGCTGGGTCCGCGAACGTGCTGCCGAGGTGCTATTTGAAGGAGGTGATGTCGACGAAAGTAGTGTCGCAGAAGTAATATTAGATGCTTTACTCAAGGTTTGCTATCTAATCACACCTTGCTATGATTATGCCATTGACCGTGTTTGAAGGTCCCACTTGATCTTCGTAAAACTATGGCATCCTCTATTCTAATCACAGGGGGAACGGCTATGCTTCCAGGGTTCATCCCCCGTTTACACACGGAACTGCTGCGCGCTACCGCACCTTTAAATACTTCATCCACACGGTCTAGACCTGCATATGATCGATATGCCTCATTGCGTCCGCTGGTACCCCACTTTGCCATCCTCAACAATCCAGCACCAGTACCCTCATCGAGCATACGTGCCAATGTGAACGCAGGCAAGGCACCAGCTTTCACACCTGCTACGATGGCGTGGGTGGGTGGCTCCCTAGCAGGGTAAGTTCCGCCAATATTCCCTCGTGTCATCTTATCATATGCTGATGGTGTTCTAGAGCACTAAAAACTGGTGGCGTCGAGGTTGCACGGGAGAAATGGGACGAATCAGATCCATCGCAAACCGATCAGGATGACGACGTTATGATGGTTCTTCCTGCGTCCGAACACGTTCCAAGAAATGTTATTCCAGATTGGACTAGAGGACCGCTGCCTGCGGGCGCACCTCCTGCTGTAGCACTGAAACCTTTGTCTTCTCCGCAAGCTGTCGGTGCTTAATTGTAACATTGTAGCATTGCTCATTGTAAAGATTGGTCAAAGAAGCTTGTCATAATATGCAGCAGCTTGTGGTAAGATAATTGTGTGATATGCGATAAAAGGATATATACTACAATTTAATCCGTACATGAGCTCGCGAATACGATCCTATGGAAGCACAAACGCGGCAAAACCCAGAAACGAAGAGTGATAAGAGAACCCAGTGAATGCAATGTAGAACGAAGATGAATATTGAACACACAAGGTATCACAGTTGAATCGAAATAATGTGTTGGGATGGAAAAAAATGTTGAACGTTGGAAACGAAAAGAAATGTTATGCTAGAACGAAGTCAAAACCATGATTTCTACAAAATGCCAAGATCGTAAATGCCAATATGACAACATTAAAGCATACGTGGCAATACATTACACACGCGGAGCAGCCTAGGCGCGGCTGCCGATTACACGGAGAAGAACTTTGTTTCCGTACTTGTATATCGCCTGGTCCCAGTCATCGTTGGACTTTATGAAGTGCAAAACAGCATTATCTTTGTCTGCCGTAGAGGAGAACGAAGTAGTGTAAGGACGGCCTCCAGATTTTTCCATGACTGGAGGTGGAACGAGGATGGCCACGACAAAGCTTTCTGAAAGTGGCACGCCTTCCTGCCGTACAAATTTGTCGTAAAGTCGTTGACGAATCTCAGTGAACGACAGGGACCGCGAAACGCGAAGTATGATAATGTGGTTCTCATGCAATGCTTTGATAGCAATGGCTGAACCGTCACTATATCCCGTCGATCCACTGGATATGGACGTGGTTAAGGATGTGCGTCGCGCAGGGTCGGCCGATGTTGGGTATGATTCATGTTGCTTTGAAGAGAAATGGCTATCTTCAGTAGATGGTGTGGGTGGTATCGCATCTTCAGCAGGGGTAGTTAGCAAACCGGTCGAACATGTATGTATACCACACGTACCATTAAAATAAGCGTCGAGGAGATCGTCCTCTCCGTAAGCCGATTCATTAGCCCATGGTTCGCGTTCCGCCCACTCTTCTTCATCTGGGAAAGGCGCGGAATGACGGTATTGTCGAGTCCCAGCAGAAGGCAGAGGGTGAGTATAAGTGGATCGAGGAACGATCGCATCGGCAGAGGCGTCAGTCCTATATGAGGCCATACTACACATCGAGGCACGGGGGTGGTGTGCACGTTCCGGGTGAGGGTGTGGAAGCGTAAAGTCGACATTGAGCTCGGCAAGGTAAGCAGCAGCACGAGAGGGTGAAACAGAGTTGGTTGACCGCCAGGAGCACCTAGCATAGGACTCTGCTGCTCTGAGATCAGTAATGCAGATTGAATATGAAAGATTTGGAGGCGCACCATCCGAAGAAAGTTCAGCATCATCATATAATTGCGAAGCAGGGGGACCAAGGACCCTAGCGGTCCTATTTGCCCTTCGCGTCTGCGCGTAATCCGCAGATACAGCCTTGTCAATCTCAACCTCCTGATCCTCTGGGAGGGCTTGGAGCATCGATGCTCGACGCTCCGGGGCATATCCGGCAGGTGTATGCTGTGGGTTATGTCCAAATGTGATTGGAAGTTCATGTGTAACAACCATTGGCAAGCGATTAGATGATCGATGCGGCGTGATGGGAGATGGAGTGCTCGAGGAAGAAGAAGATAGGGTGGATTTTGAGCCACGTGATGGCAGGGATATTGCTAGGCCAGCAGATTGAGCATTCACTCGTGGGCGGGCAGTTTGCTGGTCTTTTAGGGAAACCCCTGATGACAACGAGTCTGAAGCTGAGCCTCGCCTGGGAAACTTCTTGTGTGAGTCGTTCACAGAGGTGGAAGAGGGTTCGACGTCTGATGTTTCTGGGGTTGAAGTGTAGAAATAAGTAGAAAGCATACTACTAGACACAGAGCGGCGAGCTTTAGCGGGAGAGGCCTTGTATTTTTGTATTTTGATAGCGAGATCATGATCGCGTCTCCAATAGCCGAAGAAATCAGTGAAGGTTCGCGTGGCCATCAACTCTTTCAAGAGCATCGGAAGGTCTTCTTGAAAAAACGCATTTATCATGGCACGAAACTCGGCGAACCGCTGGTCAATGGTAGCTTGACTCGCGCGGAATAGTGTTCCCTTCTTCGTCAGCTTCGGGATGTATTTGTGAATATCACGGGCGACGCTTTGGGGGTCGGGACCCGGAGGAAGTGAATCAAAAGAAGCTGCCTGGTCTTTCTGGATATACATCCCGCCCTTTTTCACTCCTTTGCCTGCGGCCAGACGTGTGATTTTCTGTCTTGCCATGAGAGCATATTCGGCCTCAAGGCTGTCTTGGAACCAAAGACAGTCCTCCCATTTTCGCCAGATCTCGTACTCCATATGCGAGCCCTTTGAGGAATTTGAATGAGCGGAAATGGACGCGTTGTCGTTCTTGATAGGAGAAATCCGGAGGCCATAGCTATAACTACCGCCTAGGACCAACATGAATACGATCCAAAACGGATTGAATAAGCTTACTTTGCTTTTCCGGAGTGAGGACTGCGACATAGAAATACTGAGGAGCACTCCGGTATACAGCACGCTTCCAAGACTGTGACTACGTGAATAAGGAGGTTCGCAGACTGGAGGTTTTGACTTACGTCTGGAGATACAGGTCCCTGATCGTAGGCTGAAGCACCACCCTGCAGGTTTATGTTAATTCAGAGACAACAGGTGAGTCACGAGTGGCATGTACGCACCGTGACAAAAGCCATGAAAACCTCGTGGTAAAAAGCGTAAACGGTAGCCTCGAAGAAAGGTATCTAGAGAATGATCAAAATGCTATAAGAAATTCATGCCACAACTGGAGTTATAATGACTGCACGTACAATAGGTATGTACTGTTGCTGGATGATGTAGTAGTTGGTTTGAAAGCCGAGGTCAAAATGTAGGCTCTCGGGCTCAGTCGTTGGTGAAAATATCTGGGTTGCTCTGTCATAGATATGTCAGCCAGGATGTGCCTAGCTGTTGGATGATATGCACCTTGACGTGTGGCTATACACCGTGTGGTACTTGTCCGCGACTTCTTCTTATGAGCGCCTTTCTGAAGAAAGCCACACAAGTATAGCTTTTAAAGGATGAGGTAGTGGAGGAAGGGAAGTGGGATGCCAAGCTTCTCGTGGACATACTTGACCGGTCGACCGTCCGGGCCATGCGATCTGTACTGTAGTGGACTGACAATTGTGTTTACCCGACTTACCCGTTTTATCCAGAATAATTTACATAACCACAATAAGATCTGGATTACCACATCAAGATTCGGAGCCACAACACTTGAAATCCTTCCACACTGGACCATCATGTCGCTGGCCCACTGACTTTCATCCACAATTAAATTCTCACTTGGCGCAGGACCCGTGCTGGTCCTGGGACCAGAACAAAGGTAATCCACACATATCATTACCGGAACGGGTTCATTCTGTCTCGGCGTACAGCGCTTGCTATCCTGCTTCAACTGCTCAGGTTGATAACGTTATCCGTCATGTGCGTGGGTGTACGTTCGTGAGTTCAATGAGAACCGCATTAATGCTCTTCCTCCTATAGGGGTTGCCATGAGTCGGGATTCACCGTTATTTAGGTTTTTGCTGTGCCTTTACCCATCCTACAAGTTGTACACACGACATGATTTGTTCGACATGCCTTCGGACACGCTATCCATATGTTATCTCGCCAAAACACATGTGTAGCTTGAGTCTGATACGTTGGTCAAGATCAGCTGCCAAGTCTCACAATTTTGGTGTCAGGTTGGTACATTCATGTCCCGCCCGTGTAAATCATTAGGAATATTGAAGCAAGCTCCGCTATATATGGCACATATATTCTTCAACTCAATCGGTGCCGAGCCCCAACACTTTTCTCATCACCTCTTCCTCCCTCTCTTTGGCTCTCACCCGGCCCTCCTGTAGCCTTTCAAGTCCGCTCTGGATGCTCTCGATATGCACGTGAAGTGGGATACGCCCACCAACCAATTCAGGAGCTGCTACCCTCTCTCGTAAATCCTCCATGTCCTCGCTCATCGAGTTGAGCGTCTGAAGTGCAGCAACAACATGTGCCTGCGCTTGTCTGCGGTAGTCACCGAGATCTTTGAGTAAACCAAGACGTCTGTCATTATCCCGTAGTGCGCGTCTGTTCCCGCCCAGCTTCGTCCATATCGCCCCCAACAGCTCGGATTGCTCAGCTGTGACGTCAATGTCCTCGCGCATCACAACCTCGCGTACCGCGGAAAGATCTTCCTCGAGTACATCCAAGTTGTGCAGGGATATCTCTGCTTCCAGAATAAGTCGCTCGATTGCTACAGAGAAGGTGTCCATCGCACTCGTGAATGCATCGACTATTACCTCCTGTGGCGTGGGTCCAAAATGAAACGGAATCAAAGCCGTGAGCGAATACGGTGGCGGCGTGTTCTTCTCTGCCTCTTGTATAGTACGCATCGCATACCCGTTCACTGCCATGACGCTTTTGAAATGAATACGCAATATTTGCACGCCAAACGAATGATTGCTTACTTGTCTACAGCACCACCGATTCTTGAACTAAGCTTTGTGAGACTCTTAGCAGTCTGCTTGGCATCTTTTACGAAATTGCTCAAGAGTTCAGCTAGGATGTCGTTAGACTTGAGGTCGCTATGTCGCACAAGGGTTGTAAGATCCGCGGTGGCGAATTCAGCCTTCCGAATTTCAATCGAAAGACCAGAACCTCCAACCGACCCCGCCAAAAGCTGCTCAAAAGTAGAGCCCTGGGCTTCCATAAGTTGTGGAAAATCCGCCCATTTTGGAATTTGCGACGCATTGGGGTCCAGCGGAGCACACAGCGCCGACCTCGATACCATAGGAAGGTAACACATCGGGGAAAACGCTGTGCGCAGCGCACCCGAAATGCGTGTCATCGCGAATGCCAACATCCAAAGGAAGAGCATAATTGATAATGGTATGCGCATAAGCCGCACTGCTCGAAGGAAAACGTCGAGAACATAAATGCTTGAATGGTGGGCGCCAGTGGACAATGCTTCTTTGATCAGCTCTTTATCAACAATGTTCTCTTTGTCCGAAATATTCTCTTTGTCCACGCTAAGGCTTCTCTTGCGCTTTAACCGTGAAAGTGTTCCACGATTACGCCGAGGGGTTTCAGCGGCAAAAACAGGTTTCGAGCCTGCACGACGCCTCGGCTTCGAGGCATCTGCAAAAGTGTTTGTTGTACCGGAAGTGTCATAATTGTCGAATCGCTTTGGGCTAACAGGCTTGTCTGGGATATCTTCCCAATCTCCTCCTTCGACTTGAAGTGGGTCCTGAGCAAATGCTGGTACATGAGGCTATATATTGGGGCGGATCAGGTACTCACCCCTACCCCATCATCGCCTTCGAACTCTCTTTTCATATGCATTGTCGAGTCAGCTATTGGCAATTGGGTTTTCGTACTACCGTGGCGCCTGTTCAGGACTGGTGTTGAACCAGAACGTTCATCGTTCGGCTGCTGCCAGCCTGCGTAATTGTACACGTGACCAAAAACTGTAGTACTACGGTATGTATACTGCCCAGTTGCCCCACAATGTCTGCTCAAGAAGTATATATATTCAGTAACAAAGAAGGCTGGTATATCACATCCAAAAATGGGGGGTATATGTACTGTGTAAAACTAGATGTGCATGAGGGTATGTGAGTAAAAGGTATCGCAGTCTGTCAAACACAGAAATAGTGGTGGAATACTTTTCTTGAAAAAGTTCGTCAATCAATCAAACCACCCCATGTCTCTCATCTCCACAGCCAAGTTTCCCCACTCGCATCCGCCAGCCTTGCGCCCCGCACACTCCGTCGCAAATCGCAAGCACTCGTCAAGCCTCCACCGCGCAGTGACATCTACTTCCTTCTCCTCTGCTTGCACGGGGGTGTATGGTGCCCCGGGAAGAATGCGCCTGCTGAGAGACCAGATCATCCCCGCGATGAACGCGGAATGCGCGCCCTCTTCGTCTTGCAGGTCCTCCGAAGGCGGCGGTAAAGGTTGCACAGGTATAGCGCTTTGTACGTGTTGAGGGGGACGTACGTGCGCGTGGTCGTGACTATGACCGTTAGTGCGAAGATGAGGGTTGGGAAGTGAGTGGGGCAAGGATGTCCCGCGAGTGGTATGCGTAGACCTTGCGTCGTCGTCATCATCGTCATCATCAAGTGGGTGGAATGATTCTCCCGCTGATGACGTGCGCCTTCTTGGCTCGTCGTCTTGATCTTCTGAGTACCCACTGTCACGATTTCTGGCAGACGAGGACATACCACCCATGGTGAACCCGCTTGAGTCGGGGCTGCGGCGGCCAGCCCAAAATTCTGAGCCGCTGCGCACACTTTCGACACCCTCAGAAGTGGAGATGATGGAGTGTAAGTTTGAATTGGTGTGTGCATGGGACCTGCCTATCGGGAGTGGAGACCAGGAAGAGGACTGGAGGTATTCCCGAGTGGGGAGGGAGAGGAGGGCTGAACCGAGGGCACCTCCGTATAATACAAGAAGCGCATGTGGAGGTGCGTGTCGTGCGAGCGCAAGGAGGATAGCGCGCGGAGAAGGTGGGCCAGGGTTGGCAGCGTTAGGTTGGGGATTAGAGAGCGAAGGGAATGTTTGCGCTGAAAGGAAGATGACGTCTGCATGGGGGATGAGCTGGTTGCATAAAAATAGTCAAATAAAGGACGTTTCAGAAAAGCACGAAGAGGACATACAGCCTCGACGCCTTCTCGTGCCCTTCGGCCGAGATCCACGCTAAGAACACAATGAGCTCGCCATTTTCGCTCGCGTGCAAGACCATCTACTCCAATAATGTTGGAGAGCGTGGTTTTGATACTTCGTCCTTCAAAATGCAGCCAGTCAAAAGGCGCTGGTGAAAGTGGATTTTGAGTGGGCACGATCGCCATATGTGGAGCAGTGCTTCCTGCGGGAGCTGTTGCAGGTCTGGAAGACATACTAGATCTAGGTGGTGCAGCAGAAACAAATGCATTTGGGAAGACGGAAGCAGGAGAAGGTGGTTGAGGTGGTAGCTGAGGTGGCTGGGGGTGAGAAATGCCAACGTAGTTTTCTGGTGCAAGAACAGGGCCAAGCAAGGCAATAAAATCTTCATGGGACACCTCTGGAAGCGGATTGTGATTTATAACAGTCCTTTCACCAGTATCACGGGCATGCATTACCCATGCAGATGGAACACCGAGACCGGGCCAGGACTTACAGTATTTTGTGCGCACTCCACCTGCCTCTAGCTCATCTCGCAGTCGAATTCCATCGGGTGACGCGCCCAAACTCGCGATGAGCATGGGTTCCACAGCAGCGGGAAGCGCTGCCAGAAAACCGAGTACATGTCCAGCGCTACCACCACGTGCGATGGTGACTGCTTGTGCCCGAGACGCAGTGCCCGGAACTGGATGAGAACAAAGGTCCAGTGAATACGTCAAGAATATTGTGCCTGTCGAGAAAATACGAAATGGTTTGGAGATTGATGGACTTGGCATAGGCGAGCTAGCGTAGGTGGACGTTGGGGAGTGGGTTGTACTGGATGTTGAAATCGTGTCACGTCGCAAGCGAGCCATCCTGTATGTTAATCACGCGGCGTTTAGTGTTAAGTCTAACTGAAAGTGGGAGGACGTCCGACTGAAAAGAAGCCTTGTCGTAACTCACGTCATGATGGACCCGAGAGACCACCGTTCAGGTCCATGCTAATAACCAGTCGGACTGCTCGTCAACCAGGTTCCACCACGATGTGGTATGCTCTTTCTCAGAAATAAATAAATCTCAACTTCACAAGAATATGGTATCTGTTAATCCTGGTGCACGAGCATATATTCATCGATCACGGAGCGGGCTGGGTAGTGGTAAATGGTACAGTGCATGTTTGTGAGGCTATGCCACGAAAGTGAGTCAGTTTCAGCTGAAGCAGTTGCAGACTTTGAATGGTATTCCCTATTGCCGAACAATGATTGTAACATACTTGAGTCGACGAGTATCAGTGGATATCCGGGCGCCGTCTTAGAAGGAGCAGTCACATGCACATGTCAGGTGAGCAAACTAGCATAAGGACTCAAGATGGTGAACCCTTCCTACCATTCCGCTCTTGAGTTCGTTCGCATCCCACTATTCGTCGACAAATCGAAGTGACTTCTGCTAACATGTCTATGTCAAAGAAGGTGCCTTACAGTGAGTCTGCCAGTTACAATTGTAGGAAGGCACTCACTCCGTCTATGTGCTTAGCGAGGCTAGGGAATTCTGGCCTGAAGGTGTCCAAAATCATACTTGGGACCATGCAGTACGGCAACAAGGGATGGCAAGATTGGGTCCTCGGAGAGGATGAAGCACTAGAACACATCAAGGTTGCGTAAGTTCTCAGTTTCGGTGTCACGTACACAGTTCCCTTGATCACTAGGCCCAGTTACGAAGCAGGAATTCAAACTTTTGATACTGCCGATGTGAGTCGTTACCGTCAGAACTTGTTGGATCAGTGTCACACATTTCTCAGACATATTCGAATGGTTACTCAGAAGTGATTCTTGGACGGGTGATCAAGAAATTGAATTTACCCCGCGACGAAATTGTCGTCATGACTAAGGTAGTACATATCATTAGTGTTCTACAGCTCTCTCATCACACTTGCCTTGAACAGGTGTTCAATGTGGTTGGACGTGAATACAACACCGACCAGCTTGCCGGACGCAAAGACCCAGATCAAAATGGTTATGTAAACCAGCATGGCCTCAACCGGAAGGCATGTCTTCAATCGATTATAAAGGGATTTGACTTCCTGAACTTACGAAACAGCACATCTTCGCAAGCGTGAAAAAGAGTCTGGAGCGGCTTCAAATGGATTATATCGACGTTCTGCAATGTATGTCTAATCGCCAACATGCTCGACTTTTTCCATAATGCTTATTCACTTGTAGGTCACAGATTCGACAATGAAACACCGATAGAAGAGACGGTGATGCATATCTTATACTGACTTTCACGCGCTAATTTTTGAGAAGATGCAAGCATTGCACGACGTAGTGAAAGCCGGCTATGTCCGCTACATCGGAATGAGTTCTTGCTGGGCGTACCAGTGTGAGTGTATCCTATTCCTCTGCATCGTCAGTCTAATGTTCATTTGCTGTTCAGTCCAAGCCATGCAGAGTGAGATATCAATCGGGGGCACATACCATCATCTGACCTCAAATTAACGCAGACTATGCGATCACAAACAAACTCACTCCCTTCATATCCATGCAGAACCACTACAGCCTACTCTATCGCGAGGAGGAGCGCGAGATGTTCCCTACTCTCAAGGTTCTTTCATAATGTCGATGATATCTGCGTCGTGACTCACAATGATATGAAGATGTTCGGTGTCGGCTCAATTCCATGGTCTCCGCTGGCTCGTGGTGCCCTCGCACGCCCCCTTGGACAGCAGACAAGCAGAGGTCAAATTGATTGGCAAGTATTTTAACACCTTCACATGGTGACCGTCTCATGGCTTTTTACAGGTTCATTGGGAATTATGCTCAAGCATCATCATACGAAAATATTATTAACCGGTATGCTGGTTCCTTGCTAAGAAAAACAGTGACTCACAGATTAATCAGGGTCGAGGAACTTTCTAAAAAGAAAGGTGTGACCATGGCCCAAATAGCCATAGCATGGATCTTGACTAAGGAAGGTGAGCTATTTTGACGCCCATATGGGTACTCGATCAATGAAATCAATTCCCTAGGAGTGTCGGCTCCTATCGTCGGAACCACGAGTATCGCAAATCTCAAAGATATCATTGGTAAGTGGCGATGCCTGCATGAATAACTTCCTGCGCCATTAACTTGGAACCCATAGCTGGAATAGATGTGAAACTTACGGTGGAGGAGATCAAGTTCCTCGAGGAAGAGTACAAACCGACTGCTGTGATTGGTCACTTCTGAGCGGTTCAACAATGTGCAGCTCTCTTAAATACATACTAGTTCTGATTCGCTACTTGCTCGATGAATACACTTGAATGATACTCACAGCCAGTGAACCTCGGCCGGACAGCCTGAATCACACGACAAAACCTGTGGTGCTTCGGATCTTGCCATGCTCCAAAGCTCTATCATCATTCAGCTGCCGAAGCTGAGTGCTGAGCGCCAAACGTTCCAATGCTCAGATCTCATATTCAATATAGCTATCGGTCACCCATGTACTATGGAAGAGATTGGATAACCTCCCGTTCTTGTGGTGGGAATCGATTCCAATTTCCTACAGCTAAGTTGCTACTTTTCAATCAAATAAATTCCTTTTCGCTCAAGATATCGTCGATCAGTTATATCAGTCATGGTTCAATGGTTGCGCAGCACACACCATGATCACTTCAAGTTGGTTATCAAGGCCATCAAGTTGTCAGCATTAGTGACAGAGCACGCTCAGCTTGGCCAGCATGCTTGTCTTAAAAACCAAGAAAAGAATCATCTTGGCGCTGACGATGGTCACATATCAAAACAGGAACACCGTAGCGTCTGTGACACCTAATTAGCATCACTGCATCAGCATGGTTTCTTAAGGGTCTTTGAAAAATTAGTTTTCAGGACGTGGTCCCACAGATCACCAGCCACCTTTTCAGTGCATCGTTCATGGGAGCGCTGATAAATACAGATGCGGCGTGCTACTCAAAATTATGCCGCCAACACTTGGATAAATCTTTGTACATCCATCGTGGCACCGCAAATTTTCATACCCAGAATGGCCCTGTATGTATTTATGAGCTGAGCTGTTCGTCCGACACTGCCTCGTATGTATGTGCTCACCTTCAACGTTCAACCACTTAGCAATGAGTGGAAGCACAGTAACTATACCACTGATTGCATCGAGAAGTCCAAGTGCTTCAATCCAGAATAGCAGTCGCTCGTCGTCGAAGGGAGATTTTATTTCCTTTGCGAGCTCGTCGTCAAAGTCCGTTATCTGAACACGCTGTGGCCCAATATCGACAGGAATAAGAGAGGTTGAAGCAGCCCCGTGTCTTGAGAATATTAATTAGGTAGGTACGATAACTTCAAATCCGACAGATATTGCAGCAAAGGCCATTTTCCATCACTCGCAATGGCGCAAACGAAAGGTCGCGTTGTTGCACCTTCGTTTTCTCGACGAACAAGTCTCCACTGGATGATTCGTCCACCAGGAATTCTTGAAAGGGCGCCTGAAGGGGTCGGATGGGGTATATGAGTCGGTGGTGTCGTCAAGGAGGGCTCCCATGCATTTTATCACTACTCTACTTGGTAATGGTCGTGGTCCTCTTGGAAATGGTGCCGCATAGTCCACCATTTTCATCGAGTGCTTCAATCACGATCAAGACAGGCCCTACACTTGACACGAGGAACTTCTTTAGTCACGGTGGTTCCATGTATAAGACTTTAGCAACACCTAGAATAGACATCTTTCCATGCCACGTTGTATTTACCAATACACCAATGCAGCAGAGGAAGCCTCTACGACCACTTGTCCATTGTACACCTTTTCCTCCACAATTTTGCCTTCTGCAACACCAGAAGAAAAAGTTTGCCCAGCCCAAGTCGTTACATCGGCGGACAAGACATCAGCTCCTGGGGCTGTCATCCGCCTGACCGTGACTTCTTGGGTCTTCTTCGGCAAAAACGCAGATATATCGATCGTGGTAACAGGACGAGGGTAGGTATCCGTCTGGTGACTCTGGTTGTAGAGCTGAAGGTTTATAAGCGCGAGCTTAGTTGGGTTATTATGGCTGTTGGCAGAATTTTCATCCCAGAAACCATATATCGAGATTTGACCAGCAGAAAAATCACCACCTGCGGTCGTAACTGACGATCCATCGGCCTGTCGTCCTGGGAAGATGTTTGAAAGGCGTAGTGACCCCGAGTGACCAATAGCCTCGGTCACAAAGAGATAAGCTGAATACGACGGAAGCACTTGAATGGGAAGATTCGGGTTATCGGTAGGGGACCTGTGGAATTAATCCTAGTCATAAGACATCATAAAGTCGCATATTCAGAAATGACATACCAGAGGTTGTAGTGTGCATGTCCACCCTGATGCACATACACACTGGAGATGAGATTCAGCTGCAAGTTCATCGAGTCACCCTGGTTACATACCGCGAGACATTGATTGAAGCCGCGTAGAGGGTCGTATCTAACTACCAAAATGTTCAGATGTCACATTGTATTCCTTTTATCCACGTACCAGCCACAAAGCTTGACCGAATGTATTGCTGACACCGTCCTTTCCGCTGCAGGAAACGGAATTGAATTCACCTTTGTTGTGGGTCAACTTATATTCAGCATTTAATCTCATAATTTGCCTCACCGATAACAAAGGCATCAGGTCCGAGTTGAGTGCGAACACTGTGGATGCGGGGCTGCCAAAGATCCAAAAATCTCCTGGAGATCAGTCTACTGTGTTCATAACAACAGCTGCGACTTACCCAGCTAAGTCTGTGTGATTGACCTAAAGTCTTATTGTATTAAACAGTCGTAATGAATAATTGATAGCTTACCAAGTTGGCTAACGTAGCTGCGGCGGCCCTAGTTGGATCGCAAACCTATCCAAAAGGTCATTTCGGTTTGTGGGTGGATTAATCGAGAGCTTTCTCACGCTGTAATGGTATGTGTGTTCACTGCACGTCATGACGGTGTGTCCGTCGTTGGCCCCGGCAGCCAGAGCACTAACACAATCAAGCTGTGCTTCTGCTTGCGGGTTTCTAACGGTTGCCCCAATTTGAAACTCGGGATAATCGATGCCCAACGCCTTCGAAATGTTGATAGTCCACGGCTAGATATAGCACATGTAAGACCTCGTCAAGGAAACAAAGATAGAGAGAAATAGAAGTACCTTCCATATAGCAGTATAGGACTGAGCGTCTAGGCGGTGCCCATATTGATCTGGCTCATTTCCTACTGAAGACAGGTAAAGGTTAGACGGGGGAGCACGAGTAATATATTCGAATGACTCACTTTCGAAGCGAGAAATTTGGCGTGAACCAAGACCCATCCATGCTGCCTCAGCCATATCAAGAGTACCAGTATAATTCAAGCTACTTAGATCCTACACGGACTAGTCAGGTGCGGCCACCCAATGACCTGATGATTAAATGGACCCACGAGCGTCATGATGATCTTCGTCCCTTCAGGCAATAGCTTCACAGAGTTCCAAAACTGGGGTCCAAGCGTGGTGTTTATCAGTGCACCCTTGTCGTTAATGAAATTGTACAGCGCAGCCTTTTGATTCGGATCCCAGAATGTCGAGTCAGCGCTAATGCCACCAATGCGCACTTCAGCCGGAACCCCAGTCCTCTCTTTCAGGTTCTCAAAGAGTTTCTGAGAAATTTTGATCGGATAGGACTGATTTCCTGTAAATTCTTCAAAGTAAGCAGTCTCAATACTGAAGCTTGCGAGAGCGGGGTTCAAGGGCGGTGTTGCATCTACTGGGAGCGAAGCTGGGCCGGATAGGATCAATTTAGACAGACTGGAGTCATCGCGGAACAAAAGAGTATGTCTCGCAGATACCAGCGTAATGGAAAGCAGAACTGTAGGCAAGGACCACATCACGCAGGGAGAAACAGGTGGGGAGGAGAATACCTTGTTTTTTGCAGTATTTTATGAGGACGGGAAGAGAGCATGAGCGGTCTGCGATGAATTCAAATTTCAGTGCTATCCATGTGTCCAATAAATGACAGGTCACAAAACGTGAAGAATTGGTCGTGGAAAAGCCTAAGTAATCGCCGAGCTAGGTTTCGAAGGGATCAACTTCTAAGAATCAGAGGTGATCACCCTAGGGCCTGGAGGTCAATTTCTTTCTATGACAAAAGTCATGGCACAAGCCTGAGAGAGTCGCCGAAGGCAACAACGGCCCACTTATTCAACATACCACATAACCCACGAGTACATGGTGTGTTGCCAAGCTAGGGATCCGGGATGAAACTATTCAGGCAAATATTAGCAAGCTTCTTGCCAGGTAGCTAGGCTTAGCTAGTAGGAGCCTGAGGGCTGAGGGCTACGACTTTTTAGTCAGTCACGTGATACGGTTTTTTTTGTAGCCAGCGCAGGAAAGTGGAAACTGCCGTGGAACGGCAGGAAACACTAAGATAAATCATTCAAGAGACAAGATCATGGATTTCAAGAGATGATACAGAGGAGCAATGTCGTGGTAGCTACGAGGAAACCGCCGAAAAAGTGACGTGACATCGTAAGTAACCAGCTTCGTGTGAAAAATTGACGGTCCTATGGGTGTTTGCAATCTCGTTTGAGACGCTGGCCACTCGTCGTCATCAAGTTGTATCGACTCAAGTCTCACGATGATATTATTGCTGACCCGATCTGCGGTGCATAGATGAATATATGATGTACGTGTGGCCATTAGCATTACTAGCCTGATTTTGGAGCTAGTGTAGGTATACGTATCTGGAACTGTTGACGATCTGGATCGCATATTCGCGGAGGGTCATCTACCTGAGTGGTAGGACTGTACGAGGAAGACTCCTCTTGTTTCGACCGTGAAACATAGGGCGACACATACGTTGTCAGCTCTTTCACATGTTTTACCAACAGGCTTGTACTTAGTGGCCGCACAATTTGTGACATCGTGCTATGACATTTCAACGTCCTCATCATCGCTGGCATCCTCCCAATCCTCCTTGTCGCCCTCTTCATCATCTTGGATCGAGGAGGGCGTGATACCTAGTGCTTCGAGGGTTCCAAGAAGTTCTTGAACATGTTCTAATATAGGTGTGTCCGGATCTGACTGTGAGATGTGCAACTGGACCCAAAAAAAGTCAGTCAGTACTGAAATATTAACCCGCAACGAATAAAAGGAGGTTGCGCTTTCATTACAGAGGGACTTGCAAGATGCATAAAAATGAGGCAGACTGACCATTTGGCAAGTTTCTAAGCAGTCTCTCGAGTCTCTAGCCATATCCTCCCAGGTCAGCTCTTCGTTTCCTTCGACTTCACCTTCTTCTTTCTGGCGTTCGGCTACCAGCCACCACCCCCACCCCATAAGATACCAGCCTTCTACTGAAGAATCATCGGACGCAAGAACATTTTCCAAAACGTCAAGAGCTTCATGGTAAGCGCCACACTCCAGGAGTAGCTTGGCGCGCGCAAGCCGCACAGAAAGAGGAAGTACTGCAACCAATGCTTGATTGCGCGCAGGAGGTGCATCTGGAGAGGAGGGTGGGAAAGTGAGAAGTGCAGTTAGTGCCTCCTCCGTTTTTTCTTGACTGAGGCGGACGCTGGCAAGACATTGCAGAGCCTCGAGATTATGTGGATCGATCTGTAGAGCATTTTCCAGGAGGGAATTACATGTTGAAGATGCAGTAGGATCAAAGCTTTTGTTTAAAACATGTCAAACCTTTCATAAGGGCTTTTCGATCGGTAAATTGAGGACGCACCATAAATCATACTCGGGGTCCATCCATACCTCGACCATTCCAACATAAGCCCTCACGATATTACTTCTCACCTCATCCTCTCCTTCGTCCTGTTCATCTCCCTGGGTGAGCGAAGGTGCTTTACCCTTGAGTTGTGTCTGAAGGATGTCGATGGCTGCCTGGTAGTGTTTCAAAGCAGTATGTGGATCTGCAGAGAGTTGTGCAAGATAAAGATGCGCTGAAGGTGGCGGAGGTGTAGGAGCCGTTGGATATGGCGGGATCAATGTTAAGAATAACTAAGGGCAAATGCATGATCAGGTGTATAGCCCAAGCCAAGAGACAATTTCTACTTGCCTCTCTCGCTTCGTCCACTTCTCCGGTTTCAAGGAGCACGACACCCATCATCTCCCTCGCTTGATTTTTTTCTGCCACTGATCCATCGTCTCTGACAAGTGCACGATCGATGAATTTGCGTGCCAGAGGAAAGTTGCACTGTACGATGAGCTCTTGAGCCTTGTCAAGGAGAGCAGAAATGGCTGGAGTTGCTGAGCTTGACGATGATTGTGAAGAGTTCGTCACGGCGAGTACAGATTTCTTGGTTTTCGTGCGTGTTCGGCCCATTTTTGAAAGTCGCAATCAAAGGATATGCGAGAATCCGAGAGTCAATAATTGATTGATCAATCCCAAATCGAGTATAGGTGGTAGGACCCCAGAAACCACAATCATTGGACTCTGAGTCAGCTGAATTCAACAGTGACTAGTGACAAAGTACTAAGTTGTTGTCCTGGCCAAGAAATCGACACACGGGCTTGACACCAAGCATGGCAGCCTGAGGCCCAGCCAAACTTCTGTCATCGCTGGATGACGGGCTCCTTGAGGCGGCCCCCTTCAATAATATCAATATCGCATCCTATGGCACCACGTCTAGCTATGTTTTTTTCCAACCTCAGGCTGGCTTACGCAAGTTTTAGCATCATGCTCGATGGCCATCGCCTCACCTGGAGAGGGATCATGTTACCTGCCTGGTCTAACGTCAGGCTCGGCATGGGGAGCAGAAGGAGTACCTCACACCGAGCGTCCAATATCTCTGAAAGTGTGAGCTGCTACTGATTCCGTAACACTTCTAAAGTCCTTTCAATGATTGGCGAGCAGAACAAATTCCAAATTCAAGGTACATACGACGATAAAACAAGCTTATATCGTTTTGGGTTCCTTGTGGGTATGACAGCAGCCACGGTACTCATTCTCAAGAAACTACCGTAATTCCGCTCGGAGTTCAAGTTCAGCTGCAACATCGCAGTGCCTTGTTCCTCGATAACCACGGGCTCCTGGCAAGCTTATCGAACGCAGAATCAATCTATGGACTATATTCGCCCTGTACTAGGCACTTTAACTTTTATCCTCTCTTTTTATCCGCTGCAATCGTGTTTCAGCTGCATCAACAGAGCCGCATCAATAGGTTTCCTTGTTCGTAACTGTTCTCGTGCTGTCAGTACCTGAATGGCTTACTTCGTGCCAGAAGGATCATCAAGCGTGGAGTTAGGAGGATGCGTGGGTATCGATCACTAACGGAAGATTCTCGACACTACCCAGCGAGATGGGATGAGAATGATAGAGAGCACCACGGACTCTGCGAATCAACTCATCGGCATGTACAATCACAAGATTCAGGGTCTTCAAGCCAAGTTCGGCCAAGCTATACTGAAGGAAGGTGAGTGGAGCGTTCCGAATGCCAGTAATGACCGTATCGGTCGAGATTCCCGATGCACAGCATGAAGTCCGAGTCTGATGAGCAGAAGCCCTGTAAATGTCAGCTTGTCATTTATATTGGCAACCCCTGCGAAGGGGAAACCTCGGTCCTCAAGGCAGCTGAAAAGACGTCGCTTTCCGCTGTACAATCTGCCATCATGGAGGAGCCCTTTGACTGGATCTCTGGTGGAGACTCCCAATGGTCCACAATCGTTTTCCGCGGCATATTGTCTACAGAGCTACAGAAATTGGACCTCCAGAAAGTCGAGGCTTTCATGGTTTGAACCTTTACGTAGCTTGTCATCTATTTCCTATTATTCCTGTGCAAGTCTGACGGGATGACGTCGGCAAGCCGCGGGTTTACAAAATGTGCGACCGACAATCCAGACATCGACCACGTATGAAATCTTGCATTCCCACCTATATTCGGGTATCCAGCGCGCTTCCTGGCCCAGACCACTGATTTTGCAACCCGAAAAATTTGCTGGGCTCCTCGTCCTTCAGCGCTTCAGCACTGGCAGGAGTGATTTCTCGCTGCTGGCAGATCTGAGGTACCTCACTTCATCGAACACGGCTGACTGTCACACCCGACACATAAAGGCGACCTGTCATGCCGGCGAGTTGTCTTATCAAGTCCAGGACGGGAATTACTCACTCACAATTTCCATCAGGGCATTGTTTGCAATTTAATTCAGGTACGCAAAAGAGAGGACAAACCTCACTGGCGGATATTGATGTTGTCAAAGCAGCAACAAGTAAACGCCGAGGACAGCGTGGAAACACATACATCTTTTTCGTGAGGATTTGATATGGGATCGAATAAATCTGAAGGGGACAGTAGGAAGACACCTTGCTTTTGTGTGTGTTCGTTATGGCGATAACTTACTCACCCCTTTCTAACTTGATATCTACAACCAGTATATTACCATATAAAATATACCCCTGAAGTAAGGTCTATTAGCAACTTGGGGTGGACCGATTGAAATATCCATCCACATAAGCGAGCTATGTAGAACTATGGGAACTTGAATGGTTGTTTATTTATGTTTACTTCTAAAGCCTTTACACAATAGGTGCAAACAAATGCCACCTCTTCCGAACCTCGACTCAGTGAGCAGGCCCACAAATCTGGTATCTGCACTATTCTAATCTCATGGCGTCCATTTTTTCTCCTTTCCGAAGGAGCTACAGGCATCTGGTGCGTATTGTTAGACCTGAAACGTCAATATCCTTTACCAATACTCTCTAGCAATACCTCGCACACTGAACAACCAGTTATCTTTTACTCTTGCGTCCTCGGGCTCGCGGGACCAGTTCTAGCTCTGACTGTACCTACAGTCAGGAGAAACTGGCTCGGATATACTCCCGCGGAGCCTATACCTACCTCATATCCTGGTACGTCCTTGTCCATACGGTTTTGGTTCGCGTCGTGCTGTTCTAAACGCGACTCTTCTCTTCAGTGCCAAAACGGTCGAGAAAGCCTGTACAAGGCTATGAGGATGAATAGAGTAATCGATGGTCGGGCTATACATCATAGATAGGTATGTTTACTCCATTGCTGCTATGCATCTCATTGACGACCATTCAGTTCGTAAAAGTCCATTTTCATTATATCACGATATATCGACTGCCATACGTGTGTATTAGGCAAGCCATCGGAGAGTTCATCGCCTTGACCAAATACCATGAATTTCCTTGCGAGAGTATGCTAGCAGCGTGCGTCAATTGGTATAACTCTTGCGCTGTCACCCGGACCACCAATTATGCCGAATATCCATTTCCTTGCTTGAGTAGCGCAGCCCGAAGTCTCGGGTTCACTCTGGACTAGGAATTTGATGTTCGGGCCGCCTCCGATGTTAGGAATGGTATTTCCATCGCATTAGGTCTTGATGATCTCTCTAAAGCGTACGGTGCGTCGGCGGAGCACGTACCGACAGCGTAATCATATTAACAAGATCAGGCTAGGAAATCCTGCCCTTGAGACTTCCATATGCGCAGCCATTTCCGCCGTTGGACTGTTGGTTTCCCTTCATTGCATATCACCCTCGCTGTAGATCCGAGCTTGCCGAAATCTTCAAGATGAAAACAATGAAATGGCTATGTAGATCAAATCATCATCTGACATTGACTGAGCCACGTCCGATGGCTTGCTATGGTGTTTTGACTAAAACAGTAAATCGTATGCTGCTCGAGGGCGAGCAAGAGATGATCAATGACTGCCGCCATGCTCGCTCCTATATGTCTCCGCGAGGGGCTCTTGTCAGGAAAAAAGACGTCCATTCGCATAAGAGGTGTCATCATGCATTGAGATCAGAATGGTCGCATCGAATGTCTGTCCAGAGGGGTGAGATCCAAGTGATATCCCGATTTTATTTTCCAAAAGGTTCGTCCATTACTTTGTTGTTGCTTGTCAAGTGGAATGAATCATGAAGTGACAGCATTACTTACACAAACAATCGCACTTTGCACAGTCCGCGACCGAAATGGTGGAGGGGCGTTGAATGTAGTCAGTGAAAATTCATCCGGATGGGCATAATCTGCATTGTATCTCCATAATGTTCGGTGCATTCTCGTGACCAGGGCGGCATGGACAGTGATTTGTATGCTTTCTGGGCGGTCAGCGTGGTAAACTTTGAACAAGATTCGGCACCGACCTGGACACCAAATCAGAGTATGATGCCTGTTTCCCGATCAAATCAGTAATATTCAAGTCAACTTTAAGATCAGGTACTGACAGGAAATATCGCAATCGCAATTATGAGTATGCCAGATGATGCTACGAATGAAATGCGTTATTATTCTTCGTGCCTGAGGGAAAAGAATAAAAAAAGCTTACCAACTCCGCACAAGAAGTAGAATATATTATGCTGCACAAGGACCCTTAGCACCTTAGCGCCCCGTTCATTTCGGTAGTTAGCAACTGCTCGATACAATGTCAAGCACAATATTTCTGGGATTGGTTAGATGGTATGCAAACGATATTACACGACTCTCACCTGACTCAGCGATGACCATGAGGACATACACATAAAGTACAGTAGAAGTTTCACCCGTCTTGGAACAGCCCGCCACCCCGGTGGCGATCCAATTGGTGACTGGAGAAGGGTAAGCATTCATCATATAGTTTACGGAATATCAGGAGCACTTACCGATTGTCGAGGAGTTATATTTAACAAGAATGACAACTATGGGGGTCAGGAGAAACTAACGCGGTTAAGCGATACGAAAAGCACGGAACAGAGATCGAGTCTTACAAGAAGACTGATGATGAATGTCCATAACACCCATTTGGAACGGTCCCAAACGGCATATGTGCGTACAAACAATATGCCTTGATACACATGATCAATCTTGGCTGTGGTATATTGTGCAGATATAGCATACTTTCTGCTGAGACAAGTATCAGGAGACCGAGATCTGGAGAATGTGACTTGGGTCAGATGTGTCGATAGCCAAACTCGCTCACTTACACGAATTCGTGGAGTATAATGTTTGACACATCTACATACGCATGGGACGTCAAAAGGGCACCTCCGATGAACGCCCATGCGGACTTACGCTGAGCGATGGATATTTTTCCAGCGTCCCTTGATGAGATTGATAAATGGGGCATGTTTAAGACAGAGACGGACTCACGACTTGAGACTACAGTGAGATAAAAGAAGGGTACATATCGACAGACGAGATAGAGATATTTGACGACTCTCCAGTTGGATCCCTTCACAAATGACAGCTAACGACGGTGTTATCATTGGCGCTAATGCCACATGGAAGGCTCGCACCTCTTCATCCAATGTGATGACGTAGTCATAAATCTCAACCGAAAAGTTTAGCTGGTAAAGGAGCAGTGTGACCGCATTACCTACCCACAGGGTTAATAAGGCCACTGCCATGACGAGTTTGGGATCACTATGCAGTGCGATAACACGACAGAACATACCGTAAGCATACTGTGGCGTTGATGAAGATCAGAACAGTTCATTTTACTAGAGTGACCACTAGGCAAACACACCTTGATTTTAATGAGGACATCGGTGTTTGCCATGTCTACGCTCAGTTGCAATGCGGACACATGCATAACGCTGAGCGAGAAAGAGGGTAAAGCGCCTAAACGTACCGAATCCGATTCCCGGATTCAAAAATGCTTATTGCCAGGTGGAGCATGAATGGCTCCATCGCGAAGACAACGGTCAGAGTTCTCCATTTGTCTTATCAAGCGACCGCCTCGGACGTACCCAGCTTGTATCTACCATCGTCTGAGAATCATTCATTCATTCATTCGTTTCCCTCAAAATTCCCATGACTGCGCGGACATGAAGTGCCTGCAAGCAAACATGGGTCTTGAACGGAGGTTGGATGTCGTGAAAATTCAAACAGCGCTGCTTCTAAATCTCTCAGTGCAAAGATGCCCTTGCGTATCAACTGTCCCCGTACATGGTCAGAAGGGGCCGCGATCCCAACCACAGGCAATCAATCTGTGCGATCTAATCCTCTTGCTAGAATTAGACTACCGGTGTAGAGAGACCATCTGCGTGCATGTAGTTCCCCGATCAATCTACATCTTATTCTTGGATTGCGAAACCACGAGCGTTAGGAGGTACCAGGGCAACAAGACGTCCGTAATTTCACTCGCCTGAGATCTGCGAATCATACTCGGTATCTTATCTGACATTGACATCGAAGTTGGTGCATACTTATTTGCGTAGGATATCAAAAGTCTTTCCTGTTCCCGGAGGCCACGACTCGGAAGTCACCTGATGACGGTTATTCATATGTGATCGTCCACACAAGTAAGGGCAAGACGCAAAACGCCGAGGGGGAGACATTAATTTCATTTAGCAGTCACTATGCCATCGCACCTTCAATTCAACTGATTCGACAATCAAAAGGATTAAAATACTGCGGTGGAGCACTGGGGGAAAACAGGTCTGCCTAGTAAGTTTGCCTAATAGTTTGTAGACTTACAGGGAATTTCAGTTGCGCGGTGCTCACGGTATGAGCCCACGCCGTGAGTATACGATTAAGCGATTTAGCCTAACCAATCACAACATAATTACTGAACGTCGGACACATGGTCAAAACTGCAAAACCTCGTGCACCGTACGTTAACCTCGTTTAGCGGTGAACTTTGAAGAACAATGCCCGAACGTGGTCAGCGAAGCACTGATCATTGGATGATGATCAATGATGGAAGACCACGCGTTTCTACTCCTTTGATCCATTCGTTCAAGTTCTCAGCGGCCTTGCAGCGGACCATAAAACCATATGCCTGCTTCTCGCCGAATGGTGTGATCCCTGACCTGTCTTGAATTAAAGCCTTTAAGGATATAACTTCACATCGGACGACATCGAAAATTTATGTTCAAATTTAATTCATGAATTTGAGACATTTTTGAGGCAAAAAATGCATAGTACGACGCGGAGTATCAGGAGCCTTCGGTCGGCCATGCAGGCACTGCCGACTGCCGTTTTAACAGCGCCTAGCTGTAGATTTTTCAAACGGAAGCCTTACGAGCGCTAACACTGACGTTTGACAAGCTTGCTCTCGACCCCCAAGCCATCAATTTTTTTTATCGCCACTCATACCCGCATAGAAGTCTTTTTTGTTGCGGAACCGTGTAAGAAAATATTAACAATTGCAGGGAAACATGCTTCAAAGTTTCGAATATTCGTGCCCTCACTAATAGGTACCAATTCCGAATATGTTTATCCACCCCTTTGCGGTTTAGTCCTGTGACGTTCCGTTAACAAACCTCGGTTACTGTATGTAACTCAAACAAGCTCTGTCACGGCTGCTCCTCCCCCATACCGTGTTAACTTATTCCGGTTTCACTTAAAAGGGCAGACACCCAACTTGTCTCCCCCTTCCTTACGCCCGGTTCTAGTCCATCGTTCACAACGACGGCGAGACCATAATTATGCCATCTGTTGTCAGCTTTGACACTTTTCGCCTTCGCTGGTGGTCAAAGCCCACTGCCAAACCACTCCAAGTACCTCCTAGCGAGGACGACAGTGACCGTTCTCGTGTTGGTATCCACATCAGCACTCCAAAGAGCACTCGCCGACCCCCACACCGAACCCGGGATGTTGAAAAAGCACTGCCCGGAATACCTACTACAGGGAGCACCAGCAAATTTCACGACGAAGTGGTGAACGAAAAGTCCAGTGATCATTTTCTTGAGCGACCAGTCGAGGCAGCTGAGAAGCTTGTGGGTCTCCTAAGGTGAGTTTCTGGCATCTTTTTCCATGGCACTTGTGCGGAGGTGGTTGGAGATGTTCTTGGAACTTTAACTTCTATTCTCTCTTATTTCGCGTTTCATCTCGGATTATGTTCTGGGGTTTTCATCTACCATTTCATTGACCTTTCTTTTTACAGTTCAAATACTAATATCCAATCATCACCGCCAACGACGAAGCCACCACCTGCCATGAAACCATCATTGATTCGTCGTGTGACATCTAGGTTACATATCACCGTCCCCGCAACTTCTTCATCTTCACAGCTTGAGTCGTCATCTCCGCGTCCAGCACGTGCTCCAGTTGGTTTGGGGCACTCTTCGCGTCCTCCCCGATCACCACGTGTCGCTCTCGCTCATTCTCCCACGCTTCCCAACTCTTTCGTCTCCCGTGAGAATCGCGAGGCCGCGCTGCGCGAGCGTGGTTTGCTCCCGCCCATGAAAGATCTCAGCGAACAGGAGCGTGAGGCCGATGAGCGCTTAGCCCCCGTTCCCGCCCCTGATAAAAACCGTCAGGGTGGCTTCAGTGCGGCATCAAAGATTAAGGAAGAATGGATGTCCGCAAATCGTTCGCCTGAAACACGTGCCTCGGACCCTGTCTACCCAAGACAGCTGCCCAGCCTTAGTGTGCTGGCGTCACGGGTGTCCCTGTTGTCATATTCGGCATCTTCCTCACTAGTACTACCCCACTCCTCGGCATGTGATTCTGATGGCACTCGCGCGGACCTTAATGCCGAGATGCAGTTCAGAGCAAGATCCTCAATTTCCAGTAGCGTCCCACCATTATCTCCATCTTCACACCTAGAAGTACTAGAAGAGGAACCTGCAGAACATCCGCCGCCGCCACCGCCACCGCATCATGTGCACCCGCCCATAATTATTTCTACCCCGGTGGAGGATTTGTTCCCCCCAGGTCACGCTGTTCTCGTCGAAAGCCCGATTTCTTGTACATTCTCAGCACCTCCGGTATCACCATCCCAGTCGGACACATCCCCTCCGGTCATACGGGACAAGGAAAACTCATCACCGGCCCCTCCATCCCGGCGGCGTACGTCAGATTCGAATGTTCGCAGGCGTTCATCGGTCGGAACACACTTTTCCAGATTCGGTACTAACTCGCTCACCAATTTGCGGCGCTCGGTGACTGGGAGTTTAAGGTCTAGCGCGGATCGGTCCAGTACTTCCAGTCAACATTCCTCTCCACGGGTATCTATCATGCCGACGATGCATAACCGTGGAAGCATACTGCTTGAGACCAAGGGTATTGAAGATGCAGAGAGTCGCCGACTGAGCGAGCTTGCATTCTTGGATTGATCATGCGGATCTTCGGATTCAAGGGTTGATACTCCCTCCTTCGTGGCTACTGTTAAACCATTTAGCTGCTCCCACAATTTGAAAGTGGTAAAGACGCCCTCATTCTTTTACGGGTCACAGATAATTCTTTCGCACTTCCTTTTCGGACACTCACACGCATCGCCGTCCACATTCATTCAAGGCTTTTAAAGGCATAAAAGCGCCTATTCGTCCATCCAATATGAAATCCTCGTTGCATACTTTTTGCATGTACTTTTAAACCCGTTATCGATCGAATAACTTTTGCGATCTGATATTCCCGCTCACTACTTTCGTTGATCACGTTAATTCCTTGGGTTAACAATAAGTACACGACCCATTCCTCTCCTTATATTCTTATTAATTCGTTGTATACTAGTAAACGATTACGTTTCAACAGACCTCATGATCAATGACCACATGGATGATCAGTCTGACTACCAGTTCGATTTAAGGTATCATGGCTGCAACTTGACCATAACATGTACACAGCCTGAACGAGAGCACTGATCAGGAGTATTTCGACGCATCACTTGTATGCTGAGTACGCCACTCGACTTGTGCACGTATTATTACTAGTACTTACTGTATAACGTGCCGGCAGGCCTACATTGCCGACACGTAACAAATGCGAAGTCTGACCTCGTGTAGGTCAATTGCCCCCGCCTCAAAGTCTGCACTAGTAACCTTGGGGCTGTTAGTAACTTCCACCATAACCTTTCCAATCGAAGGTCTTAGCGTCCTCATCATCACTAACCGCAACGCCACACATCAGTCGAAGCTTCAAGTTCCTCGGGGTAATAATTTTTTTCAAATCATGTCGGAACCAACATCGGCAGCACAGCTCAAGCTTAAGAACGAAGGAAACGAGTTATTCAAGAAGCAAGACTATGTGGGAGCCATCATCAAATACACCGAGGCCATCGCTTTGGATGATAAGAACGCTGTTCTGTACGCAAACCGAGCTGCTTGCAATTACGCCCTGAGCAAGTAAGCATTAACTTCGGTTTATTTTACATAAGCTGTCGACTTCGATCTTTAAATAGATATTTGGATGCTGTAGATGATGCGCATTTGGTATGTATTACAAGTCACATCATTATGGACTTGTCATGATTGTTGTGCTAGGCTACAGAGATTGATCCGAGTTATGCAAAAGGGTGGTCTCGCCTGGCAGCATCCAGAGATGTATTGTCCCCATCGTTCTCCCGAATAGGCTGAAGTTTACTTGCAGTACTTACATAGGCGCTTGCGGACTGGGTGCAAAGCGCCCATGCTTGGCAAAAGGCGCTGGATGCGCTCCCAAAGACGAATTTCAGCCCCTCAGAGCGGACAACAAAAAGCACAATATACCGACCAATCTAAAAGCAGCGAATGCGCGTTCCAAACAGCCTATCGTCCCTTTCACGATGAATGAAAATATGGGCAAGTTTCCTTGGCAGATCGCGACGGAGATGCTTCCTGAGCTTCGGAAAGCGGGTACTGCTAAAGCGTCTAGTAGCGTGAGCTTGAGTCGTAGTTCTTGCATGCTCTTATTGAGTGTTGTCGGTTCTTACTTCAGGCTTGGGTCATCGCGCTTGCGTATGAGGTGATTTTTTATTATGTTGTGCTGACTTTACTACATAGGAATTCAATAATGGGGTAGAAGCTATGAAGGGAATGAAAATAATTCTCCAAACCGAGACGCCAGGAACTTTTGTGCACCGCGGCAACCTAGATGCGAGTTCAGAGTTGTTTTACGCACATGTTTTTCTGATGTTTACACCGCGCAGGGGCTGACGGCTTTGAGCAATGGTTTTATGCGTGACGATCGCGTCTTCCATATCAATCAACCCAACTGGATCGACATGTACAACCAACAAGGTGATTCTCATGCTAGCATCGACTCGTTTCAAAATATACTAAACCATGCGTACAGTCCATTTCGAAGTTACAGCTCGCAAAGCTTGGAATTCTGAAGGACTCGAAACTATCAAGGAACTGGCGCAGAAACGGTTGAAGGAGAATGGCTGGGATGATGTACGCCCCGCATTAGCCGTGACCGTTCGGTGCGCAAGGACGGAATCCTATCTTAGACTCGCTGATCATTTCGCTTCAGAGCATGGATAATGAGAGCCGCATTTGAAGGCGGTTTAAAACAAGAATCTCATGCTGGCGTCGAGTATTATAGACGAGCTCTCGACTTGGTCGAATGGGGAAGGACTGTCTGGAAGGACGTTCCCAAAGCCAGTAGGGGAGCGATTTTCGAGCATTCGTTCTTGATAGGTATTCGTAGCTTGTACCTCAAGATGTTCATGAACGTAAGTCGCGAATATTTTCTTGGACGCGAGTTATTCAAACCGTATTGGCAGGCTTATACCGACGACCCTGGCTTGAACTCCAAGTTCCCTCTTGAACAGCTCAAGGAAGAAGCTGAGGACCTTCTCAAAGAGACTGAAATAGCTTTACGCACACGCGGTGATGAGCCAGTCGACCCCGGCTTCATATCATCTTTCATCGTTTACCCCGATGGACTAGCTCACGCGTATGCCCTTACCTCTCCGCACTTCCGGTCCCATGCTTACTTATGCGCCCTACTCTTCCAGGATGCTCGGATTCTATCACGTCCAATCGGCCCAATACAATACCGATCCTATACAAAGGATGTTCAACGCTGTGAAAGCAGCAGGGGAATACACGCGCGCATCCAGCAAATACGCAGAGGACGACGAATTACGCGCATGTGAGTCCTTCCAACGCAAACTGCGCACGCGTTCTCATGACCATCTCATTTTGTAAGGGTACCTAAATTGCGCCTTGGATTGCATGCGGAATGCTGGCGTCCCCATCGAAAACTTTCTCATGGCGGCGACTGGCTTGCAGGATGCTTTCCCTAGGATGCAGAAGATATGGGCGGTGTCTGAGCTGGCTTTGGGTGGTAGAGATAAGAAGATACAGGCGAATTTGGATAGGGCTGATGAGCTCATGAGGCGTGTGGCTGATAAGACGTTGACGCTCAAAGATCCTGTGCCTTTGTGATCTCTGTCTTGTTTACACATACTTGAATGTTTGTACTTTTAATATTGCGTGTACTTGAATTCTACTTCTAATCTTGAAAGAATTCCCGCAGACCCTTGCCAAGGCGTATCATGCCCTTCTCTATGATATCCTCAGTACCACCGAACGTCGCGCGCAGAAACCTGCAGCGCTATCGCAAAAGTCACAACCAAACTCATAATTTTTTGCCAACACTCACATCGCTCAATGGCACATGCCCCTCGCTTTCCACCCAAAGGGGATTTTCTGGAATAGCAAACGTAGAAGACGGCATGAACACGACGCCGTGCGCATTCATCAATCTCTCAAAAAGCTCCTTCAAAAGTCGTTCCGTATTAGTCCGTGGAACGACAGACGAGCCATCACCAAAACACCGCTCGCGAACGAACCGAGGATGTTTCTCGACAAAAACTTCTATCCACACAAACATCCCCGCTTCAGGACAGTTCACGCTGGCATAACCGGTGGGTTCTACTTCGCGCCGGAAGACGTCTAGGAGGAAATCACGGCGGGATTGGTAGTCCAGGCATAGGCTTCTTAACCACCGACAGAAGCCCTCTATTTTCCAGCCGTGATCGCTGAGCATCTCTGTGATGAACATCTGTCCGAAGGCGTGCGGAGGCTGGGTCGATGAATCGATGTAGTCTGCTAATTTTAGATGGAAAAGTTTGTTGCTCGTGATCCAGCCCAATCGCATTCCGGGGGCGAGTACTTTGCTGAAGCTGTAAAAGAAGCGATCAAAAAAGTGTGGTTAAGCTCGGCCGGGCGTACTGACGTGTCGATACGAAGCACGCGGCCTTCAACATCCATTGACAAGAATGTAGGTATCAAAGTGGTTCTAAAATTCTTGATAAATTCATCAGGATCTGCTTGTGCGCAAGGGATATCGTATCGCAGGAAATAGTAAGGATCTGCGAGAAGAATGTCAGAGGACGTTGCGATAGGACCGCTGAGTCGACTTGCCGTCTTCTATGATAATTAAATCCCATGTTTGTGCGATGGCATAAATCTTCTTGCGACGATCCACGCTCAGCGTTGATCCGGTTGGATTCTGGCCGACGCTGATGCTATGTGAAGGGCATTCAGACTTGAATTTTGGAAGCTTACGGAGTGATGTAGAGAACATGAGGTCGTCGTCCTGCTTTCGCCTCGTCCCACGTGATGAGGATTTTTTCTAGCTCCTCAGGAATGATACCACCAGAATCCATATTGACACCGACCCACTTTACGCCGTATGCGAGAGGACAGTTTGTCATACCTACAGCATAACGAGATTAGCTCAATATCGAACAGTCTACTGTAACTGACTGGGAAAAGAAAACTCGTCGGTCAAGAAATGATCACCCTTGTCCCCGAAGAGACGAAAAACCTTTGTGATACCGTCAGAGTTCCCCATTGTCAAGGTTACATGATGATCTGGCGGATCGAATATTAACTTTATGAAATCGGTGAGCGCATCTCTGCATTGTTTGAGACCAGCAGCTCGGGAATACGGGAAGGCGTCGCGAATGGACAGTGCGCACTCCTGATCTCTGTAGGAATGTATGATCTGGGCGATGCCAGAGTTGTTCCGCCATGAGGTGACTGGATCATCTGTATCCTGTACAGATGGTACTTCGTACATGATTTTACGGAAAGGATAAAGGGAATGATGAGGATCGCCTGAAAGGCATTCATTTTGGTACCATTCTACGGCTGTGTATGACAGTGAGATTACCATTTGCCATACTGATTAGATCTGGGACTGGACATTCGCTGATTACGCGCAATATATCTTTTACTGGATTGGCAACTCGATTCCTAGCCTCAGGGGACAGGTGGTGCGAAAGGTCGACATTGTTGTCCCCCATTGAATGGGATTGAGAGGAGAGTGATTTCGGAACCGAGAATCCAGGGTCCGAGGCCCGAATATGTAAATGAAGAAGCAGCTGTCCACGTCCGCATTCGTGGCCAAATAAGGGTGCCGTCCCCGCTAGGTTTACGAAATGAAGCGGTGTACGCAAAGACGATCCGGTAGCGAATATTGCGAACTTGACAGATAAGCAAAACGGTTGAATTTGCAATCCTACTACGAAGGGAGACTCACGATTCCCGCTCTAGTTACGCTTCTACTAGCAGATTCGCAGACTGGCAAAGGGTCATTTGACATCCAGCTGCGACGAGCAGATAATCAAGACGCCGTTTGCGGGGTTCTGTGATGGTAGCTGCTTCTGGACCTGTTCCGCGGCATTGAGTTTGACAGTTATGGGTTAGGCAATTGATGCATATATAGCGCAAACCTAGCTCTAAGGCTAGGCTACGACGCCCTGAACGTGAGATTGCACGTATTTCTGGAGTGGACACTCGACGAGAAGTTGTCAAATACATGCCAAGCCTTCGCTAGTGCGTACCGCGGATTATGGTTGCCAACTCCCAATATGGAAATGTTCTAAATGAATTTGGAATAACGACGTTATGAAACCTCCTACCGCAAAGTTGAACCAAGTCGACATGCAAGATAAGATAAGAGTTATTCACAGAGTCCGTGCGTACGTGCTAGTCTTCAAGTTTTTACCAGTATGGCAAGCGCTTGCGCCAATCTACAAAAGTCCCAATTCTGCAATTTAGATCCGGAAGAATGGTTCAAGCTCTCCCACAACAGCTCATGTCTTATTCTGAGTCTGCGGTAGCATTAACTTCGATCACTTCCCCGCACTATACCCCACAAATATTCACCCCATTGCCGTGATTTATTATCAGTATCCCACCTGCGACTCGTCATAAAAAAGAGGAGTTCAACTTCTAAGCCAGCGACAGGAGAAATGATCACAGTTCGATCGATGTGAGCGTTTCACAAGTCCAATGACCCACGTGGGATGACACATTCGGGGTTTGCCATACCCAATTATAAAGGTCGCATGACTTTGATCTCAGAATTCTAAACTCTTGCTCTCCTTTCCATACCATCATGAATCGAGACAACAATGACAAGGACGACTCCGTAAACCATTCTCAACCAATTCCGATGGCCACACACCACTGGAGGCATCGCTCCATGTCCGTCTCATCGGAATCATCCACTTTGCCTGGATCATCTCCCCCACAACTTCAGACTCCATTGAGCCTCAATTCTCCCCGTGTTCCCGTCGCATCGCCATCCAGTTCTCCAATCCTTTCCTTCCTCTCTCAATCCCCATCTTCAAAATCCCCATCTTCCCTTCCTTACCGTGGCTTCGGTGGTCAACCCTCCTTTGATGGTCGGTTCCCTAGTCGTTGGTCCTCTACCTCACTAACTCATTGTCGTACCAGATGACGCCCTTGACGAACTTCCAGCAATCGCTCATGCTCGTCGGGGTGGCACCTCTGCCCGGTTTGCGCCCGCTCCACCTGCCCCTGAAGCCCAAAATGACCGTGGAGCTGGGTTGTTAAGGCGTTTGTCGCTCGGGAGCGCCCTTGCAAAGGTACATCTCTTCAACTATCTCTGATTCTCCATTAATTTCCTTCATTCCTCAGCCCCCAAACATGGATAATGCTCAACCTCCAAGTCCCACGGGCTCTACTGCTCCACCTAACTCCGCAGTCTCCCCTACCTCAACCACTTTACCCTCATTTCCTACTCGTAAGGCGAGGCGCTCGGCAACGGTGAGCATCGACACTGGACGCCGCCATCGCGCGCCTTCTCCCATGGGCGAGAGGATCCTCAAGGGTCATTTCGACGGCTTCAATTAACTAGGCAATATGACCCACCATTTCTTCGTCTTACCACATACCCTCGGACTCTCGCGCGAACAGTATTCTTCAAAATGTACCACCCATAATCACCCTGATTGGAGAATCAACAACGTCTCGGTCAAGTAGCTGCCACACCCCTAATGCGTTCTTATATCTATTGGTTGGCTCAAACCACTCTGTTCAAACTCTCACTTCCAACTTGTATCATCACTGCTCTCACTTGCCACATTTGCATTGAGGCGTCTCATTCCGTGAGCACTGCAGTTCGAGGTAGCGAGGTCGATGGCTGATTTACTTGGTTAGATCATCATCATATACACCCACACTTTTTCGTTTCTCATCTTCTAGTGCACAACTTGTAATTTGTATCGCTTCTAGTCCAGTTTCGTCTTCTACTGTACATGTACTACCACGAACGTCTCACGACGAATAAAAACTCATCATCACAGGGTGTTATGAGCGTTCCCTCCGCGGCTTGAATTAACTATTAAGGGGACTTTGAATCCGCACAGCTGGCAGGGTTCATTCAGCCAATAGTCAAATCCACTAAATTGAATCGTACGTGGAATTTACTAGCCAAGACTCTTGGCTCGAGAGGCTCTCACGAAATGCGTTTCAATCGAAGCTCAGGTTTTTGAAATAGCCGTTTATTAAGAACAGGTGTCGCCATACTGCAAACCCACGAGAACGAATTTAAACTCGTACTATCATAGGCTCATATTGGGAGTCCAGCTGGTGCTATGAGAGTTCCTGGCAAGATTGATTATCAGAGGAGATTTGACTGCGAACAACTCCGGAGTTCAGCTAATAGTCCAATCGATTAAATCGCCACAGTACAGCCAAGATCACACGAAATCCGCTCTGAACAACTGAACATTGTTTTGAAATAGTTTTATTTTTGCTACATTAAAAACAGGCGTCGCAAAAGCGTCCATACTGTAACACGAGAACGAATTTCCGATAACGACCAGCGCCAAAGGAACCAAAAATACGTGGCAGCGATGCTAAGGCATCTCAGGCCATTGCAAAACAGAAGACCAATCAGGAGATAAACCTCCATATAGATCTTTGAAAAAAGTATCAAGATCGTCGAAATTTTGTGCTGCCTCTTCCCCAGAAAAATGTACTGGACTAGGTGACGAGTCGGCGCGCGTTGGTGTATTTAAAGGCGATGATTCGCGAGACGAGTCCGAGTCATCGCTCCCCAATGATGGGCAAGAGGATTGGATCCATTGAGAATCGAAATCGACATAGTCCGAGTCATACTGCGCGGGAACATCCCAGCCAGTGAGTGTTTGCGCAGTATGCTTCACAGCAGGAGGAGGCGTGCTCGGGCCAGAAGATGCATTCGAAGTCGTTGTCGCCTGCGATGCAGAAATAGCATCTTCAACAGACCAAATGGTCATCGGATTCGGGAGCATAACGCTCGGATAAGTCGCTCTAGGCGCCACGATAGACGGTGCAGATGCATGAGGTCGAGGTTTATATTCAACGTCGTAAGGCTTCCGACTCCGTCGCTCCTTGGTGGTTTTAAGAGGAGTCCACTCGCACACCTTGCCTGATTTCATACAGCTCGTACACACCGGCTGTTCTCCCGAACACTGTCCCTTAAGTGTCAGCCAAAGCAGAATAAAAAACAAATTTGAGGCTTACCTTTGTTTTTCTGCGCCTGCAGTGATCGCAAGCATGGGAAACTCGAGGATGAGGAACCTTCGCTCGAATGACAGCAGTAAACTCTTTTCGAATCTCTGGGAGTGACTCAGGCACAGGTAAAGATTGAAGCCCCAAAATAGCCATCAAGTCATGTTCCAGTGCAGCGAGGTCGGCAGCTTTTTGATCATATAGGGGCTGATCCATAGGGGTCGAAAATATCTGCTCAGCAGAGTATGAGGACAATCCAGGGAAGCCAGCTCCGCCGTTGAGATTGTGATAGATGGGGAAGGCAGACATGATTAAAGAAGATATGATAGGATAATTAATTTGGGGAGTGATGAGGTATAGATCAAGATGAAGAAAGGAAGAGGCGTTAGGAAATGGACTGAGGCATTTCACTGGCTTACTTAATCACATATTATTGCAGATTACGTCATGGTATGTTCGGCCAATCTGCTGCGATACATTTACTCAGTTATTTCGAATTGCGCGCGCTGTTTACGAAGCTTGTAACTGGATGTTATTGTCAAAGTCCATTTCCAGGGGGTGGCTATATCTTTGCATTGTCTGCAGGTGTCTCGGTGATATCGATATCTTCGGTTCACAAGCCGTTCAACACAGGACCGCATCAGACTGCGGGTTGGAGTGCCTTGCTGTTCCTTTTTTCGACGCTCAGGCGAACTTTAAACTAGTTGCCCGATGTGCCATGGTAAAGGTCTCTCAGAAGGAATGGAGTGCGTGCTGTGCTTGTGCCGAACAATGATGTGTGTCTGTGCGTGTACCGACGACGCTCATGGTAAAACCATCAAAGCGTAATTAACGTACCTCAGGAGATTTCGACCATGCCACAGATACATTTTCCTCAAAAAATGCACGACTTCTGCCCCAACATTCGAAACACGGACCATTCCCAGAAATATGCGCTTTTTTCAGCTCGAGATTCCTGTGTCCTTTGATCCTGGTTTTGCCCAATGCGCATTAATGGATACAATGGTGATCGGCGGAGTTAACGGGCGCGCGGTAAATGATCATGGTATGTTTATGGTCCAATCTGCTGCGATACATTTGATGAGTGATTTCGAATTGTGCGCAGCGCCGTTGTAACTGGATGTCATTCCCAAAGTCCATTTCCAGGGGGTGGCTATATCATTGTTTGCAGGTGTCTCGGTGATATCTTCGGTTTACAAGCTGTTCAACACAGGACAACATCAGACTGCCAGTTGGAGTGCTTTGCTGTTCCTTTTTTCTACTCTCAGGCGAACTTCAAACCGGTCATCCAATGGGCCATGGTGAAGGTCTCTTGGGTCAAGATGATCACCTCAAGGACGCTCATCGTATACCCATCAAAGCGTAATTGATGTACGAGAAACCCATGCCACAGATACATTTTCCCAAAAAAAAATGCACGACTTCTGCCTCAACGTTCGAAATCTGGACCGTTCCCAGAAATATGCGTTAGCTCGCGATTCCTTCCTGGTTTTGTCCAATGCGCATCGATAAAATGGTGACTCGGCGGAGTTAACGGGCGCTTGGTAAGTAGCCGTCACATAATGAAGTCCACATGTCACAACGGCTAGAGACGGTTAACCTGTGCTTACTTGAAAATATCGTTATTGACTGCAGGAACGTTACACATAAATGGTGGTGCGACCACGATGGCCTACGTATCGCTGGAGAATGAGTCGAAATGTTCGAAACGACTTGGATGGTGACAAGGATCAGAATTCATTGTGGATGACTGAATATAGGTTTCACAGATGCAGGCTTTGGGTTGTTCCGGCCTGGAATCCATCAAAGCGGCCGTCAAACTTTCAACATGTTAATCATGTATTGGAACGTGGGTCGACAGCCCAACGTTCCTCATTGACGTATTGCTTGTACGTTGTACCTAGACACTGGTATGCACTGGACGCGCACGGACTTGCTCGTGTTATATCCACCTGCTTCAACGCAAGTGGTTTTGCAATTCTCACTTCTTAGCTCTCCTACCTACGACTACTAGTGGTAGTCGTGATGAGCTCACTCTCAGACTACTCCCCAAGCGAATTAAACGAGTTGGGAATTGTGCTATTACAATTGAATGTGAGTACTTTCCCTACGAATTAGTGATGGTAGCTCATCGACCTGGTCAGTACGCTAATGGTAACCATCTCTATGTATGCTTAATATGGACCGCAACTGATCGTCCATATAAGTGGCCATAGCGTGTCTCTTGGTGAATATTAGCGCTCTACTTTTTGCTGGGAAATTTAAACAACTTTCTTTGACATAGGTGTACGATTACTTGACCACGATCGCACTCGAGGTACGTCACTAGGAGTCTGGATGTTAATTGATTGTCTGAGCATTCGTTTGAACCCCAGATCTCTTATCTGTTCCATGGACAATGGGGCGTGATCAAATTTCTATACTTGGTCTGCCGTTATCTCCCATTTGTCTTCGTGACTTTGGGGATATTCAGTAAGTCGAATGTGCAATACCTCCGTTGTCTGATTAGTGAACTTTGGGTTCGCTAGTGTGGGTGCCACCTGCTTTATCACAAACCATGTCTGTGAGTTCAGCATACTTCTTGCTAACTCTGAGGCTAATTTTCCGAGAGGTCAGCTGTGCCAAACATATTATACTTTGAGCACTTGTCAGTATTTGTGGCTGATCGTTCATTTGAGATATTGACACCCGTGTTCCTAGATATTGGTGGTGTGATATTGTTCTGCGCGGAGTGTATGCTTTGAATACGTTCCATGTCTGCAATATCATATTTACGCTGTTTTCTAGGTATATTCGTCACACGTACATGTGTACTTTGGGGATACAAACGATCGATTGTTGTCTTTTTCATGATCAGCACAGCAGTATGTGGTTAATTTTCGTGCTTTTTTGAGTCACCACAATTATTCTAGTTCTATGTCGTCTCGACTATCGTAATCATGAAGATGCACGCGTCGTCGACGAGAGGTACGTATTTCATCCACATACTCTTGTTGACGTTCAACCAGATTATATGTATCTAGTCATCGAATCACCGATGCCCTCTGCAAGCTGCTTTGATTCCGCAGAAAGTGACGTCATTGTCGCTGCATATGGTTTGCTTATTCTTGCAGATTTGCGTGAGTTTTCATCCTGTCAATCCCGAAAAGTATATTTTGACATCGTGCAGAAATCATGTTCTTCTCACTGTGCAAAGCCACAGCAAACTTTAGAAATTGGGCTTGCAAGAATCGATTACTCGAAATCCTCATCCAGCACAACATATTCTACATTACTTGTGGACTGTGTGAGGAATGGTCTATTGAGGACATGAAGATTGGTTACTGAAATTTAAAACACTTTTAGGTTCTTCTGTTATTGTTATTTTGACGACGGCCCTTTTGCAGGTCAGCACTTCCTCTTTACTGGAAATCTATGTTGACGTGGCATCCCCAAGGCATCTTATGGTAATTGGATGGCTAGGTACATTTCGTTCCCCAATTTTGGTTAACCAGGCTCAAGTATTCCATTCTCTAGTGCTCAAGTCGTGTTCCACGCGCTTCTGGTAACAAAGATGAACCTCGAACTATGGGAAGAAAACAGGCGTTATAACCTCCCTTGATATTTGCTGTAGATTGAGTGCGGTGAACGAATCGAGCAGATCCTTGCGTGTCTTGTTTGTCGTCGTCACGATGTCACTTTAACCCTGACATGCCATTCTATGATTGTCATGACACGTACCATGACGGATCTCTACACAATACGGCATAGGAAGATAGGGAACATAACCATTCTGATTGGCCGACTTCACCGAGGCTCGCAGGCTAGCTTTTGGACAGAATGTCCAAGGAGGCAAGTCATTAATTCACAGAACAGAAGGCCTGACAAGGAACACACTGCTTGTGTGCAGTATTGTCCTCATTCGTATTATTGTGTGTCTATTTGTGATGTATGTCAGCGCTGAGCCATATTCAGCGCAACCTTCACAGTGCCAAGACTCTCGTCAGTGCGTGTTTTATGTCAGGTAAGTCAGATAATTGCTGGTATGACATCATTTGAAGCCAGGCTGCAAGATGAGCCGACAGGGTCCCATGATGTGTGACCTACCATTCCGAAAAAGCTTGCCTCTCTATCTCAGGCTTTCGGAAACCTGAAAGTATTTAGTAAAGGTGAGACCCCGTGTCGGAGCCGAGAAAGGTACGGTCTTAATTGTCCTATCGTCGAGTTCGCAATTTTTGCGCACAGCATCCTCTGTCATTTTTTTTGCACCCTGATGCCCGTGGATGACGCTATCTCTTTGCATTCTACCCATAATTCTTGATACTAATCCCGTTCTCGCTCCAAAATTTTTAGTACTGGCTATGCCGTCGCCGTTGGCTGATTTTTGGAGCAGCACGTTCGCGCCAGATCCCCATCGCGCTCGTAGTCGGCATCCGTTGCCTCTTCCCATCAAGCCTCCTTGTCAATTAGCTGCAAGGAATGCGTTCGGTCTTATATGTCGATGTGGTAACTCCAATCAAGGTCAGTGCGTCACCTTGGAAGTAGGAGTTAGAGACAGAATTCAAAGCAGCTAGTTCGGCGATGTTCGTTTAAGGCAGTAGCACAAACGTGGCAGAATAGCGCAGAAACAGATACGCGCGAGGGCGGTGAACGTTTGAACTTCAAGCTAGGAATCACTCTTGCCGAGCGGTGGTTGAGGTCTTTGCCAGGTACTAATGTAATGATCAGATTGCGGGTTTATGTTTCCCTACTTGAGAATAATGGTGACAGGGGCACTAGAGTCTCCAATTTTTCTTCAAGCTTAAACACCCTACCTGAGGTTTCCGTCATACATAAGTGCCAGAGTCATGAGAAGACTCAGAATCCCCACTTCTGTACTGTAAAATTTGCATGACAATGAGCTCCCCTGACAACTCGGACTCGCAGGTGCTTGAACTCGGATGGGTGCTTTGGAGCTTCCATGTAAGTAATTCTTTGTTCAGCTCCAACTACTTATAATCTCTCAAGTATGCCAATGGTCTGCACTCTAGTTCAAGTTGTGTTGGCTGCGACTGATTAGTATCTCACGACATCCTTGATTTAGTGGCTGTAACTTCGTTCTGGGTAAACTCGCATGAATAACTCTCACTTATAGATATAAGTGATCATTGTTACTGCAGGTATATGACTACTTCCTCACCTTGGCCGACGAGGTACTTTTGTTCTAGTCGTCCCACTGGCGGTCAATACTGAGGGACACAATCGGTTACAGGTTGTATTTTTGACGCAGTCACAATGGAAATATCCGAAGCTGCTTTACATTGGCTGCCGATACCTTACCTGCATTTACTTGTCATCAGTGATGCTCGGCAAGCATAACCCTCGATGTCGTTAATTATTTTTGTTCATGACATTTGCAGTGGCATTGCAACCCACGATGTCAATTGAAGTGAGTTTTCTACAGATCCTCGAGTCACACCGTAACTCAGACGGTTATGACAGACGTGTCGCACGATGTACTCTGTAAATACGTGTACGATCTTTTAGATCCTTGATGCGAGGTCGTATCTGATAGAGATTCGTCGTAGATATAGGATGTGTGATTATGGCGTGTGCCGAGGGTTTGTTTTTTTATGTCTTCATTTCTGCAGATTCGTTGACAAAGACCTGCAAGGTATCTTCTTGGCCCGCGCTTGTGCAATCTGGCAATTTAGGAGGCGCATAACAGTTATGCTCCTGATCAGCGCATTGGTTAGTCGCAAGCTTTACAAGGTTCACTCCATATAGGTTGACTTGAAACCATCAGCTATACCTTTTTGCTGTTTATATGGTGTTCTCAAGCAGCCGATCTGCACCTCAGAGTGTGTTTCTTTCGAGATACAAAAGTGACTTACACCGAAACATTCTTTCAGTTACTAAGCCTCGCATCCCTGCCACGAGCTGTTTTGAGACTGGCGAGGGCAGGATCATCATAATTGTCTACGTGTTACTGGCTGTGGCGGAGATACGTGAGTACAACCCCACAATTTTATTCATTTCCTATGGAAATTGAGGGTCCCCCAGAAGTATGGATGTTCTTGCTATACAAGGCCGTGGTAAGCTACTGGCGAGAAGGAACTGATAATCGCCTGTTGAGACAACTGGTTCTCCACAATATGATTTACATGACCTGCGGACTCAGTGAGTTACTTTCACATTGACAGATTTTTAAGTACATGTGCAATTTTCTGAACCATGATACAAAGTCTTCTCATTCACAGTCATAACAACGACAGTGCTTGTCAAGGTCAGTGGCGTGAAAGATTGACAGAGCCATGTATGTTGACAAGTAAAACTTTACAGGAATATTATGGTTTCATGATGGTAAAGTTTATACGCATCTGGCAAGTCACTATCCACACTTTTCTTGTGACAAGTATGTCTCGTGGACTCTGGAGAGCAGACCGGCAGCGTTCCTCATTAGAATCCTTACCTACTTTTTCACCCGAAACGTTGAATCAGGTGTAATTTTTCATCTTTAATCCTTTCATCTTTTAATGGTGTGTTTATCACCTGTCACGACTGCATGTTGGAGGCATGCTGTGGTATCCATTGAAACAGCGACTGCTCCTCAAGAGGCTGATAGACCTGAATCACACATTGTCTGTGTCTGACCTATAGGTATCTAAGAACATATCATGAATGTGATTCAAAGAGGATGCACTAGGATAGTTTCCCGAAGTCGAGCCTGTAGCAGCACAATGCTCGATAGCAAGACATTCTTGGTTCATCATCTCATCGTAGATGTCAGCCTGAGGTTGTCATCGGGGATAATGCTATTCTCTCCGACGGCCGTCTATAGAAAACAGGTCGTGACCTTAGTTGCAGGTTTATTCGCTCTGTCGGCGATAAGACTAGTGACCGCAGAAGCTGCTTTGGTAGCTTCGTTAAGTGACGAATCCTGTACATTGATCGGAGCATACCAACCACGCTCCATCGCGGTCACACGACCGAAAGTCCCCGACATCAGGAATTGTACATCTTGATCCGTTTCAAACTTTGTTCAAAATTGGCATGGGTCGTTTGGAGAATACAATCTTTTTTTTCACAACGGCGACGATGCCCCAGCTAACGACGGGGTTCCGAGCATCTTCCACCGATCTAGAGCTATCTCCGTCGCCAGGATAGCCATGTCTCTTGGAGCCTTCCTTGCGATGCATCACGCCTAATGGCTTAGGCAAGGTTACGACCTTGCCCTCAAGTAGATGGTGCCCGATGACCAACGTGGGTTTGTTCTTGAAAATCTATTTAGATACTGCCAGATCAGTGACTGTAGAGAACTTCACTCACGGCGTCGTTGAGGTTTAATTTGCCAATAAACTGCCCGTCTCTAGTGGTGTCTTCGTTGCACTCGATGTCGAGCGTGCCTTGTAATTCTATGAGAATGAGTTCGTCATTACCGAGCTTGGCGATGCATGACGGAAGTCTCGGATTAAAGACGTTGGACAACGAAACAGATACATCGATCACTGGCATGGTCGGTATACAATGCAAGTATGAAGTCGAATATTTGACGCGCAAGTCAACGCGTCCAGGACCCCAGAAACTGTGTTGGGGTATTATTTTCGCTAAGTTACTAGGTTTTTTTACGGTCGCCACTTCTGCTCACAGACAAACATTTCCAGCGCAACGAATTCGTGTGAGATATACATATGCGCGATGTGGTCGCCTGCATAATTCCTAGTCTATTGAAATTTCACAAGGTGACAATCAGCCAGCACGAGATTGGATGAAATAGAAAAGGTTGAAATGCAGCAGACGGATGAATCACCTATTCCCTGAAACAGTTCACCTCAAAACACAGAGCATAACCCAAGTCGCCACTTCCTCCTCCAAAGTACTTTCTGCTTACGGATTACAGCAACCCATCCAAAACTTATCAAGCTTTGTGATAAGTGCCGGTATATATGGTAAAGTAGGGTGTGGGTATGTTCTAGCCCACGGCTGCTGCGGTTCTACGCGGGAAAATTGCCAAACTCCCAGCTATAACATTCCTGCAAGTTCCATGGATGTCAGCCGAGTGTCATGGGGAACACAATCATAACTACTCACCACACAATCTTCTTCAGCTGCAGCGGGTGGAACCTCCCGACCGACATCTTCGCTGGGCTGCCAGGCCTTCCCTAGTATTTCTTCTATAACGTTGACGATCCCATGTTTGCGTATGTCTACAGCCCAAGAAAGGTTCGACACAGTATCGTAGACAATGGATTTCCCTTGATGACACCTAGGCTACCTCAGATACGTGAGCAGTATGAGTGTGAGAAGACATACTTAGTTTCCATTGCGAACCCGCCCAAGGCGCAAGAAGATAGAATTCCATTGCAGGTACCCATCGCAATGGGGTCCGCAGTATGATATACATGCGTGACATGATGAGTCGATGGCTAAGACTGATCCATTACTACTAGGATGTTAAGTACATTGGAAACTACACACCGGCGATGGCAAATGCAGCCGCTTGGCAGCTAGTCGTTCCCCTGGTGACTCAAAGGTAACAACAGGGACACCAAACGTGATTCCAAGAAGGGAAGCCACTGCACCACCTTCTCTCCCAGGTGAGCGAATACATCGCTGACTTCAACGCAATATACTCACCTAGCGAGTGCCCTATGATCCAAATATCTGACGTCGGGTACATATAGGTTAAATTATTATACAAGTTCTGATTTAATTGAGTGAGAGAATCACACGTCAATGATAGGCCTACCGTTCCAATGGGGTAAAATAGACTATCTTCGACTAGAGCCTGCTCTAGGCAATCCTGGTCGCATTTCCACCCTGTACGATAGCATCCACACACGGTTGTCCAACTCCAGTCAATTCTGGCACAACAACAACTGAACAGCAAGTTATCGTTCAATTTATCCTTCTTGGCAGTCGGACCTGCGCCTCCCCATACGGCTGCGGAAGTGCCTTTGATGGATAGAATGATAGTAGAGTTGTCGGGCGTCGCAAACACATAACCTCGGAACCCATCAGCATCTGGTTCCCATCCAAACGGATAAGGCTTTGGAAAGCTCTTCAGCGAAAATGTGCATGCAGGATTTGAGGAAAGCTACGAACAGTGGTCCAGTTCTTGTCAAGTTCGTACCACTGGATATCATCAGGGGTCACATAGGCATTATTTGTCATCTTTGCGAGTTCCAACAGTGTTTTGCGTTTCTCGACATTCGGTCCTAATATTTCGGTTTCGTACCAGGGCAAAATTGCACTTTGTGCCTGCCGCATGGAACGTATCCTCGCATCGTTGTAGGCGCTGAAACTTGATGGACGATATGAGGTCATATACCGGGTGTCTATTGAATAGAATGATTCGTTGCCGTAGACGAGGCTCACAGTCGATGGCACGTCGGAGAACACCACATGTGCATCGGGTGAGACTGCATGTTCGTGCCGCAGCTCAAATCGCAGAGATTTCTCAAAACGAGAACTTTGCGACCGCTGGCCATGGTCGAGGAATAAATCAAGGAGGAGGACAAGGAAGGCCGTCAAAGTTGTTGGGAGCATCGGACATCACAGCGAGCCATAAACGTTGCAGAAAAGCGTGTTGCTGACTCATCAACTTTAAGCCATGAAACCAAGATCGTTTGCAATTGTTATGTAAAAGGTTGGATTACGAGTAAGAAATACACAAGTGAAAATGCCAAAAAAAGGGAACTCTAAATCTGATCCAATGTATTAGACATGAGTACTATCGCCGACCACGGGGACATTACATTAGACGTCACATTATAATATCAAGGTAAAACCAAACACAGCATCGTGCTTAAGACTTAAGCAGGCACACCGGCAATGTCCAACGACTCCATCGCAAGGTCAAGAGGATCAGTGGCAGCATGTGCCGCTTGAGCGATAGCACTTTCAAGGTTTGCCGATGGGCCAAAGAGGACTTCTGGGCTGGTGCACGTCGCGACTGCGCGACGCATGTGCGTCGTTAAGAAGGATAGGCCTACTTGATAAGCGGCTGTAATCATCGATTAGCTTGCAAACATGGGGATGGACCAAAACGCACAGTTCATCCAACCAAAGCCCTCACGAGGAACCATCTTGAAATCTAAACCTTGGTTGCCGTACTCAGCATCCACCAAGTGTGAAAGCTTCACTGCGTCGAACTGACAAACATTGACGTTAGTAGCATAGAGAAGCAACTACTAGATCACACACTTTCTCAGGAACGACTCCATTAAAGTCAACGAATGCTGTAGTCATCCTACAGTAATCAAGTCAACTCAGTACGAATCAGACGAAGTAAGATCACACACATGTAAAGGAACCTGTACGACAATCGCTGGGCATCTTCCAGGTAGCCGTAGCGCTCTAGCCCGACCCAAGTCATGATTTGGTGAGGGGGCCATGCATAGCTGCAAAATATTAGACTTGCTGTAGATACAATAAAGGAGTCATCAACGCACGGGTAATCCCACTGCCGGTTTGGCCTGTCCAAGGAAATCTTACCCCTAGACTCTTCGGTCCCAGAAACAAGACCCCCAAGTACTTCAAACTTCTTCAACGACTGGGAACTATGCGAAATTAGATATATTTACGAAGGAAGACAACTGAACTTACACGAGTTTCCAGCACTGGTCCTCGCTCGCGCAACCAGCCCAGAGAGCCCAGAATGCAGTAACACTTTCATACAGGCTCTGCTTCTCCAAAACTGTATCGTAGTCGAAGTACAGCTTCTTGGTCTCGTTCCATAGGTACTTGTCGATCATCTCCCTCCTGTGATCGGCTCTCTCAAACCACTCTTCGCTATTTTGTGGCCGACTAGTTGAACACTCGCGGTAGGGGCGGCGGTATGCCTCAACAGAAGGTGGGAAGGGTGCCAAGTCGAATTCCTCCTCGAGATCGAGTTCATCATCAAACACTTCCCGGATGGCCGTACCGATGTCGACTTCGTATTTGTACAGCAGCGCCTGTAGATCGATCGTCCCAAGGTTCGCACACCGCTTCTCAAACCTGTACGTCGTATCGTGACCCGACTCGCGCACAGCTCTATCATGCAAGAAGTACTCGTCCAGCGCAGGCTCCTTGAGAACTCCATTATTGTACTTCTCGCTAAACTCGAGTACCGAGATGCCATGCTTCTCAGCATAAGGCTCAAGGATATGCGTAAAGTGCGTCGCCTCAGTTTCAGGAGGGATTCCAAGACCGTCAGGACGGTACCTGGACAACCCTGTCTTGGGGTCAATGCGGGGCTCAGCGACCCAGATGGTATGGTACTCTTTGATGGCGGCTTGGATTGCACGTTTCAGCCATTGTCGATTAGACTCCACATCTGAGCGATCTAGCTGATTGTAGATTTGCAACGCCATGTCCGTCAAGAACGGAGGCTGAGTCCTACACAAATAGTAACTCCGGCTTCCGTTCAAAATCTTGCCATAATGCTTGATTTCAAATATGAAGTGGTCAACCATGCCTTTCGCCATGCTGACTTGACCATCCACAAGGAGGCCTAGGGAGATAAAATAGGAATCCCAGTTGTAAAGCTGCCATAGAATGATGTTAGTCAGTGAGAACAATCGAGTGAATTACGCAAGGCACCTCATTAAATCGAGCGCCAGGGACAATGAAAGGAATTCCTTTCAAGGTCCGGCCACCCTTGCCGTCATCAACTTCATTCATAGCGAGCGCTAAAAGACCTGGCTTGGAGTTCAAGCTTTTGACAAATATAGCATCATCAGGCTTTGGAGGTAGAACCTGTACATCAAGGTTCATGTGTGGTTTCTCGCGCGCTACTTTTCTGTAGTATTCAGCCATTGCGGGTTCACCATGAGGGACGTAGATCCGAGGTTGGACTCGGCCCGTACGGTTCTTAGGGTCGGCAGTGATGATCTCGAGGCCATCACCATCAATACGGCGAGTCAGTGAGTGCCAGAATGAGTTTTTGATCATGCGAGAGAGACGATCGACGGGATTCTCTGAGAGACGAGCCTCGTCAAGGACGATACGTTTGCGTCCATGATCGCGGGCTAGGGCAAGCTCCTGCAACAGGTTGGACAGCATGTAGGTTCCCTAAATCGTAGTTATACTGAGAGTGGCACAATATGATGAAGATGAACACTGACTCGAACATCAAAAGTCTTGAAGCCATTGCTTGTAGCCGTACCGAGGGCCATCATCTTCGGGCCCGCATCAGTGATACTGATTTGGAAATCACCGTCTGTGTCCTCCTGCTCAAGGACGACACGAATAGTCTCTTCGACATCGATAAGAAAGCGACGAGGGCCGGTAACGCTCTTCTCGTCGTGTGACATGCGCCGAGCCCTCATATGCGTATCCTCTTCGAAGAGCGGAGTACGCTTTGGGATATACCCATGAATATGCGACTATAGACGTGGCATAAGAAAGTGGCATAATGCTCGCCAAAAAGAGAGCCTTACATGACTGTAGGTTCTCGAACGAGTGAATGCTTCGCCGCCACCATAGTATGTAGCAGCTTCTTCGTGGACTGGTCTATGGCCCTCATCGATGAAGGTGACGCCGGTTGGGTGATTGAGAGCAGGAGCCATGGTGATGATTAGAAAGAAAGGAGCGAACCGAGCAAAGTAGACGTTGACAACGGCGGACTTGCTGTACTAGTTGTGGAGTACAGACTAAGCTTGAAGCGAAAGACAGAATTGTGGTCTGAGGGGGTTTAGCCGAATTTATGCCAGGATCTAATTACACCACGTGTTATCGTGGAAATTACAGGTTGCCCTTCAACCACAGAGACGCTCAGTGATGAGAGCAGAGCAACCCTTGATCAGAGCTGATAAGCGTCTACAACTGTGCAAGTCACTGTATCAGGCTTTCTCCGATGGTCAGTCAGTTTCTGTCACTGACGATCTCGACGCCAATTTTCAGTGTATTAGCCCCCCCGTCATACTCGGCATACGGGTCAGTGACTTGGCTCACCTTTTCTCTCACCTTCATCCCGGCTGAGCGGTGAACCGGATCCTAGATAAGCCTTACAGATCCATCTTCCTGAGTTTGCCCTTTCTCCTTCAGGCTTCTATATCGACTTTGTGACGTCGTCATTCATGATCAACCCGACATCGTACATATGCCATCGGGCGCGACCTTCCAGTATTTAATCGCTCCTGCCTCCCAAGGTCCAAAATGTTTGTCATTACACTAACACTCAAGGGAAACGTTTGGCTTGAAGACCGCCTTTCCCAGATTTTCGACATGGCAAACTCCGCATCACCGGTTCCTGGAGCATCCACAATATGATTGGATACTCGACCTTGTGGTCAAGGGTTTTGGCACACTGGTCTCAAGACTCAAGTAACGGAATCGCGTATTTTGGTGTCAAGGCCGCCCCCTGCATGGTGCCCCCGCCACTCTCTTGAGAATGTTCATCCCATGCAACTTCACTATTCCCGCACATTCTCACCAAAAACGGAAGAAACCATCGTGCATTGCAATAAGAAGGTGCCTGAACCTGCAGCGCCCCTGTTATGTTCTAGCTTATGAGGTAAGACATCATACTTTGTGTCCTAACATGGCGTTGTCAGAGTACCTCTTCTGTACCTGACCTTTTCACTTTGAAGATTTGTGCCTTATTGGCATGCTTGGGGCAATCATTATTCTCAACCTACCCTTACAATTTTTATATAAACAGCCTATCAGAAGTCTCGCATGAGGTGCGAAAATATCGTGCCGAATCTACAGTAAATGGTCTATGTTTCCATGCTTCGCGGAAGTAATAGGCATTAGCACACACTGAAGCCGTGTAAAATCTCGGGACGAGTCCATCAGCGGGCTCTACTAGTATGTCGTTGTCAGGGTTCCAGCTGACGGGCTGACAGAACATTCGCAGGCAACCAATCATAATCAAGTTCGATAACTTGTCCCACCTCGTTGTGTGAAAATGCGGCCTGCTAATAATGGACTGGCGTTTGACGGATTGCACACATGCCCGGGGCCGCTCCGGCCCTGATAAGGCGCTATATCCTTCTGTGGACACGGCATCAGAAGTATGGCTTCCCTGATGCTGACTGGTCTTGGTAATATATGTCATCTATGATGTATGATTGTGTTATCGAACCATATTGGCGGCAGTCGTATACCAATGCAGGCCGATAGAGTTTTCTTGATTTTGACCGCGTAAGTCTGGATCTATCTCCAGAGACATAACTGCGTTTCAAATCCGGCAGGTCGGACACAACATGTTTACTTTGCTTGTGGGCTTTGTGAGCGAAACATTTTTTCACCGCAGTTGCGGTCACCGTGATTGCTCTTCCTGTGCGTGTTCACAACATTGCGAATATTTAATGTCTACATGTGGTCGCAGGCATCGTACGGGGGTGCAGTATCAGAGTATGGGGCCGGACTGGAAATATTGACCGTCTGTCTCGTGGTTTACAATTCGTGATACACGGAATACTAGCAACGCGTATGTACCGCCGGTCCGTGAGCCGCTCACGACAGTGAAGAGACTTTCACGGGAGTATGTCCCTTCCTCTTGTTTTTGCACCAGCTTTGTCGGAGATGCAACCGGATTGTAGAGGCCCTTCTCTTTACTCTACAAAATACTAGACCAATGATCTTCAGATAGAGAATTCGTATCTTCTACCGAGTCCACTGAGTTATTTGTATCGAGCAAAAAACCTCCCACTAAGTTTGCAAGTAGTCTATCAGAATCCACGGGGAATAATTCGGGCAAGTTCAAAGAACACAGCTTCATGAATGCAACCTCATTGAATGAAAATAGAATGGAAGTCAAAAGCGAAATGGAGATGAGGGATAAAAATGGCGTTCAAGTTTTTGTCCGAAAACGTCTTGTGGATAGATATTCGACATCATTGGGTCCATCATGCATCATGTTCAGGAGCCTTTTGTGATGGGCCTCGCCAAACCACTGATGTCAAATCACTCTGATGCCATGCAATTCTGAATGTAACCTTGAATACAAACAAAGCTAACCCCAATTACTAAACCAGATACAGCATGGTCCACTGGCATAGTGTGGGTAATCGCTGCTAAATTTTGATACGCGTATATAGTAGAAAGCGCCGAACCTAAGATACACACTATGATCCGTAAAAGAATCCGTAACCCTCAGACATTGGTCGGAGGTGCATCTCCCCTAGTAGGTTCACACCAATGCTACAACCAAATAAATTTAGCCCTGGACACAGGGGAGTTTGCAAGGACTCACATTCAGTTTCTGCGCATGTGCTAGTCTGTGTGTTTGAGTACGACAGTTATATCCGTACCAGCAATTTTCTGGAATCACGTCTCCTTCTGGGGAAGACTGGTGAGTGGACACCCGTGGAAGTAATTAAGAGCACAAGCTTACTCTTAATCTTCTGGCCCAAATACCATATGTGGAGATGGTCGCGTATGAACTTGTTCAAACATTGTGAACATAGCCAGTCTGCTTTGTTCCAGGTAATATAAGCCGGTGTGTTGTAGTCAAACAACCCCCCGACAAGCTCCTCAGCTGGTGTCTCCCGCAACAGAGTCAAAAAATGCACCCCGTCTGCAAGATTTGCGCCGACATGACCTTTCAGTAATTGCGTGATCGAGTGCAGAGGTGGGGTGCCCCAGAGGTAGCTCCAGTCTTCAATAATTACGAGTTGAGTTTGTGCTGTGGACTGTAATTTGACTTACTACTTGGTCCCCATAAATCCAACCCATTGATAGTGTCGGATTGACATTGCGAACCTGTCACCAAATGAGCAATAATCAACCGAAAATGATAGAGAACACTAACACCGATCATGTTCTCCAACAATTTCATCAATAATAGGCTGTTTTTGGTTAACGGGAAGAAGAGGCGGTTCTTTCCTGTCGACCAGGACAGAGGTTAGAGGCCAAATCACGAAGTCGTTGAAGAACATTTCTTCCATCATGTCGGGATCCCGTTCAGTGATACAGTATAACCCCCCCTTATACACATCGATCACTCTGTGTGGAGCACAGTATAACGCAAATGATGTTTCAGGGCTGTCTATGTGAACATCATGAGTGGGTGGAGCTTGTATGGCGATGTTCGCGCTCACAGGTTGTAGGTGATATTGTAGCAAAGTAAACACCCTCAGCGCGAACGATTATTCCTCGCAAAAACATCTCAATCCGTTGAATATCCCTTAGCTCAAGAGTGGAGAAACTTGCGAAGAAGCCTTTTCGTAGTGCTTTGGCTTCTTCGAGTGCCGAATCGATTTCTTCAAGTTGATCTGAGTCAGGTTCAATAGTTGACTCGTAAGCATTGCGGCCATAGACAGCCGAGAACAAGGACAATCTGTACATGGCTTTCTGGAATCGTGTCGACTCCGCAAAGGAGAGCTGACTTGTCTTATATCTTCGGTCTTTCATTCTAACGAAACAATTGAGGTGAATGGGATTGTAAAAGATGATAAAAATACCTCCAACTAAACAGGCTTTCGAGCTCTTGAACGGAGGTGGAAATGGCCACAAGGCTTGTGATATCCTCGCTGGAAAGCACTGGATGTTTCTGAATATCATCCTCGCCCAAGAGTTCATCAACGGGCTTGGAATACAGTTGCGCATTTTGGCATCGGACGAAACGTAGCGCTTGTGGCAAGGCTGGTCCAACCAAGTTATAAGCTACAGAGCGAACAACTGAGCAAGGATGTTGTTGAAAGATGTTGTAGATGGCCTTCGATGTCAATATTGTTGAGGCAAGGCATTCAAAGTTAGGCAAAACCCGTAGAACACACGCTACAAGGTCAGCATTCACGAAGGAACCATGCATTGGGTGAATTGTGTTTCCCATCTTGCGATTCAGGGGTTATAAGGCGTCGCAAAGTGGTGGGCCCTCCCTCGGTTCGTTTGGGGCACAACTCACGTCGATGGAAGATGATAGTCAAGATAATGATGAATCTTTTGATCGTGTCCAGTGAACAAATGTGACTCGTTGAGCAAATCAAGAGGCGGGCCCGGGTGGGTACAGTGCACGTATTTTTCCTCGGAATTTGCCGAACAAGGCACGGGCGCAAACTAGGACCCCGGAACAGCGTAGTCTACTACCAAGTTTCAACTAGTCTTGCTCACTGTTCAGAACAGCGAGTGGCGACAACGCACTAGGATTTGAACTTCAGTCTCAGAGAAATAGTCAGACTGATATTCAAACATGTCGTTCGGGGGAGGGTAGGCTCTAATTTATGTTTTCAAACCTATGGCTCAAGTCATCTAGTACCAATGTCTTTGGCACTGGTAACACCGGCACGTCTACCTTCGGGCAATCTAACGCGTCAAAGCCCGCAACTTCGCTCTTTGGTAATACGCAGCCCTCTTCAGGAACGGGGAACACAACGACAGGCTTTGGTAGTTTCGGGGTGCAACCCCAAACCCAGACGCAACAACCTGCTCCAGGAAGTTCTGTGTTTGGAGGAGGCGCTTTCGGACAGACACAACAGCAACAGCCGTCCGGATCGACTTCGATATTTGGGCAACCCGCACAACAGCAGCAGCAGCAACAACAACAACAACAACAACAGCAACCTACAACGTCTCTCTTTGGGCAGCCTCAACAGCAGCCTTCAGGTACATCTTTGTTTGCAAACTCTTCAACAACAAATACGACTGGGCAGCAGACTGGCAGCACCTTTGGAAGCACTCAGCCGCAACAATCTACTAGTCTCTTTGGAAGCACGCAACCGCAGCAATCGACTAATCTATTTGGAACTACGCAGCCGCAACAGTCGACTAGTTTATTTGGAACCGTGCAACCACAGCAACAGACAAGTAATTTATTCGGAAATGCCCAGCCACAGCAGCCGGGTGGACTGTTTGGAAGCACGACTGCTCAGCAGGCAGCTCCTGCTGGCGGGCTGGGGGTGAGTACAACGGGGACATCGATCTTTGGGCAGCAAAGACAACTATCGTGAGTTCCTTTCGCATTGTTCTGATTCAAATTGGTGTTGACGTTTTGCAGGATGATGAGGTTGGTCAATGGTGCTTACGTTCAAGATGGCTCTAATGACGTTGAAGTAGTACCACGCCCATAAGCGGACCTGCACCTTTTTTAAAATCCACGAAGTTCAATGATCTTCCGGATGACATCAAGAAGACGTTTGAATCTATCGAGTACGCTTCTCATAAATGCCAAAATTTCCCAGGACTTACTTTGCATAGCTCGCACATCCAGGGACGTATACAAATAGGCAACGAGCTTAAACAGCGAAAAATGGGGGAAGAGGCGATCAAGGGCCAGGAGTTAATTCGCGAACTGCACAAGGTGCGCCTCATCCTATTGCATATATCTAGTGTGTTCGGTCACTGACTTTCTCGATTCAGGAGCTGCTTGGTGTATCCTCTGTTATTCAATCGGATTCTCTTTTCGCCAAGGACTTGAAAGCGAAGACTGAACAAGCAGTTCAAGACACAATCGTCGCAACCAACATTATCGAGGGCTTTAAGAACCCCCATCAGAGTGCAGCATATCTCAAGAACCATGCTCCGTTCCCTCTGGAGTACGTATAGATAATCGATATGAGGTATACTGAAGTATTAACACGCTGCTGACCAGATTCTTCACCCGCGTCACGCAAGAGATGCAGGAGCGTTTGCAGTGGTTCAAAAACACTATTGAAGTATGGTGCTGCATCTTTGGTTACACCCTGAAGCATTCTAATACATCAAATAGCAAATTGAGCGAAAACTATCCGCATCAGCATCCCAATCCCAAAATACACCCCAAGGTTAGACTTTCCTTCGTTCCCCCTTATCCTCATCTTACACTTCCCTAGCAATCTCATCCACCCTCCAGACGCAGCATGCCATATTTGTTTCGCTAGCAGCTAGGACTGCGGCTATTGATGCTGAAGTTCAAAAGGTAAAGGCGTTGTATACACAACTGTGGCGCGCGAAAACTGGGAGCATGCGTGACCCTTTCAATGAACTAGACCACGGCAGCGGGGGAGAGTTTGGGATGGAATCGTTACAGGTCAAGTGAGGTAGCTCTGGATATTCCTTGATTGGCGTGATACCAAGTCCGGAAAATATATTTTTGTATAAACATCGCATATCTGATTACATGTATGAACTATGAATGTATCCGCATGCTGTGATTATGGCACGGAGCTTGCACTGAGCGCTCTGAGGCCCCAGGCCTCGGGCGTTACACTGCCTCCGAGTCGTGAGCGCCTCGGTTCAATAATGACCTGACCACCATCAATAAGATCTTCTCAGCCTGTCCATCCTGCGTCTATTCAGATACCCATTCTCCCGATGGCCTATATACCCCAGCAAATTGACGCAGTTAGCGGCGAGCAATACCGTTATGCGTTGACTAACTTCGTGCGTAATTATCATCATCAGTGATCTCAATGCTGACCTATAATCTTATCTATCTCACCTTCAGCGAATCGCGCACGAGAAAGTCGAAGAACAACGTCGGCAACTAGAAGAACAAGAGAAACAGGTTGCATTACTCCGCGCGCGAATCGCCTTGCTAGAAGGGACTGCGAATGATGAGCAACGGGAGAACAAACATCTTGGGGGCAGCTCAGTCGATGACTTCTCCATCAAAGTATGTCTTTGTATTTCTTCGAGTGTTGGGAATACCATCTAATCTGCTATGTATATAGAATGCCGCGTCCTTGTTGGAGCGCTCGATCAATCGCTGGGCAGCAGATATTGTGCGCGCACCGCCTTCTGCACTCTCTGATATCCATGGAGCCGCCTTGGGCGACATCACAGGCTCTTATGATCCCGCGCCCTATGATGTCTCGCCAATGCAGGTACAGAACATCCTCCGCCATGCGATGTCAGAAGTCATCAGTAGCGAGATCATCAACAATCTCGTTGTGACCAACTCCCCCGAAGCAAACGTCCAACTCACGAGGAATCCACTGAGCACTTGTTCGCCCGTGCGCGTCAATTATTACATTCTTTCTCCCATGCTGACGATCGTTTCATGCATCAGGCAATCCTGTAGTAGCATGTGTTTGGCGCCGACAAACATTCTCAGCGGCAGTGGAGAACTGCGACCCAGAAATGACAGCTGCTATTCTTGCAGAGACACTCCCAGCGCTCACCAAAGTGCTTGCGGGATCAGCAAACAACACAGCACCGATTCTAGCAAACGCATACACCTTCTCGCGTATGCTGCACAGTGCCCCATCATCATCCACCGATGCGTTTTACCGTAGCTTCGTCCCCGAACTCGGAAGTATCCTTTATCCGCGTCAGATAGAGCTCGTGCGCCGCTGTCTCAAGAGCGAGCGAGGCGAGCAGGATCGTGTAGGTGCGACGATCTTCCCTGGGCTTGTGAAGGTCACGAGGGGCGGTGTGGCAGTTACCGAACAGAATCAGGAAACGGTACATACGGTCGTGCGGCGCGCGCAGGTGATCTGCGAATGTGCGCTCATATCATCGGGGAATGTACCAATGCAAGGGTAATGTAAACCCCTGGATTTGTACCAGCATTGACTTGGATAAGATGGAAAGGATAAAAATACGCGGGTGGGATATATCATGCAGTGATCTATGTAGTCCTAGCATTCAATTCTATACGACAAGCAGCGATGCAATTGTTGCTTGTGATTGTATCACCTATGATGGCGTTAGCGTGACAAATGCAACGACTGAAGACGTCAATACCTCGAGAGCCTGCAGAACCTCCAATCGTCTCCGTGCAGCTTCCAGCCAATCATGGAGCAGCTCTCTTGCAGTTCCTTTCACTTGATTTAACTCTCTTGCAGCACTATCAAGATCCTTCTCATTCATGTAATACTCCGCTCTCGACAATATACTCAGCACGTCCGACCCAGGAACAAGTCCATGCCGCTGGAACCTAAACAAAGAAAGAAAGTGCGAAGCCAGGTGTGTGAGCACACCTGCATCCTGATCGGGGACCAAAGCAACGCTCGAGACGCGTGGCCGAACGGAGGTACTAAACCACGATGCAAGATCTGCAAACGGCTCAACGCCAATGTCAGGCATGTCACTTTGTTCAAGGGAGTCTAATGCTGCAGTGATGATGGTGTCTTCCTTGGCGACTGCGATGTGTCGGAGCACACGGAGCTCTTCACGGAATGGCTTGCGTAGAGACGCGTCGACAGCACTCTGAATAGCACGTATGGCAGTCCACATGCTGTGCACGCGAATATTCTCATCGAGGTAGGAAGAATTGTCGAGTGCGAGACGTTCAAGGCGTTTGAGGCTTGTTGCGAGCTCGTCAAGCTTGGCGAGACGACCCCCGCGTTCTTGCTCGACACGGACTTTGACCTCGCGGATCCACCGCCTCTGCATCTCTATGCCCTGCGCGATCACTTCCTCCTTCAACCTGCAAAGAGTGAGTAAGGTGACGTGTACTGAACCCGAGCTAGTAATGGTCGCCTACCGCTCATTGATAAGTTCTGTCTGTGTGCGTAATTCCTGCTCCAGCTTCTCACGGTAAACCTGCGCGAACCTACCACGTTCTTCATCGTAGAATTTCCTGAAGCCGTCTTGTTGCGAATCCAGTTTATCCTGTGCCTCAAGCTCGAGCTCGAGAAGCTTTGTGGTATACTCCCGTGCTTGTTCGTCGAGCTTCATCTCTAGCTGCAGCTTCTCATCCTCCTTGATCTTCTCAATACGTGCCGCGAGGCCAGTGAGGTCAGCTTTGGCAACCTCAAGAACATCTTTGGCTTTTTCGGAGGCAGCAGGGTTGGAGGCAAGGAAAGAGGCGAGGTTGTCGATTGTGGATGCGAGCTGGGTGATCACGGGCTCAGATACAGCGACTTCAGACACGGCTGGAGCAACAAGAGGCAGAGGCAGGGACACAGGTGTGGTTTCCGCAGCGGCCTTCGGGGCAGGCTTTGGCGGTGCGGGGCGCTCATAGCCGGGTGGGGGTTCGAAGCCGATAGGAAGCGGGGCAGCATAAACCACGACATTATCAGGACTCTTGTCCGATACAATTATGAGGTCAGTGTCATCGCGCGGCAGGATGGTATCTGGAGAGGATTCGGGCTGAGCTGGTGCGGTTGTCGCCTTATGAAGAGAGTCAACAGAATTCCCAGAAAGAGCTGCCTCCGCTTTGCGGATTAGGTCGTCCAATTCATCAGCGAACTGTGCACCGTGTTGTCGTGCAATAAAAATTGCTTTTGCGGTTGCTTCCGGGACCGTCTCGTCCTCCACTTTCTTTACAGCAGTCTTGAGTGATGCAGCGACAGACTTTACGCGCTCTTTGGACTCCTTGAGTGCTGACTTGGCCGTCTTCTCAATTGTTTCCTCCGTCGGCAGGTTACCCAGCTGCCGCTGTATGAAGTTGTTGATGGTCTTGTAGGTGTCTACGGTAGCCACCACAACCTGTTCAATGGTAATCTCATCCCACTTGCGGACTTCGCCATACTCGACGAGTTCCTTTCCAAAAGGAACGTTTTCGGTGAACAGTTCTCGGTACTGCTGGTTCTCGAAGGCAACAAATGTGCTACCGATGTAGAACGTGCCTGTCGCTGCCACAGTGTAGAATAAAATCCTACGAACGACTTTCGCGGATTTAGAATCAGATGTGGCATTGGAGGTGGAGGTGGTGGAGGCTAGTCGCTGTCAATACAGTTGACTCCGTCATAAGCCACGTCCCAAGAGAATACTATAAATTTGTTTGCTCACCCTGCGAGAAGTCCGTACAAGGCCTTGTCTAACCGTCGCCGGAACGTGTCTAGGAACAGCTATGACACGGTGCATTGCCGCCGTTGTGGTGCTCGATGAGCTCAAACCAAAGACCAGGCGAATTGCGAGACAGAAACTGGTCCGGAAAATCCCGTGCTGCTGTTCAATGTACTTCCGTCCTATACCAATATTATCCCTAAACGCATGCCCTGGTAGCGCCCAGTTGCCCAAGTAATCTCAAAATCACGGATCGGCGACGGTCTCTCAGCAATTACTGCACTTCAGAAACCCAAGCGCTCGCCAAGGGATGCAGCGGCTCGCAGGCCATCGCCGCGACTCACGATTCATTCAAGTTAGTACAAATATGTTACTCTATCGTTGTCTGCAAATGGCATTGGCGCTGCCGGCGTTGAACAGGATGTAATCAACACCAGGAAATTCAATCAGTCGAGTTGACAATTTGGAGTCCTTGGTCAGGACGGCATAAGTGCAACCACGCAAGCATTTATACGTGCGGAAGAAACAACTGTCTTCATACTCTCAAGACGGCCACTCGAGACTTGAATGTCATGAGTTTGTCATATTGAAGACAATTATGTGGTAGATTTGTTGCTCTGGATGACTTTCCGTACTGGATGTGTTACCGCACATGCTTATTTTTGATTCACCGACCCATTCTAGATAAAAATTCTGCAAATATTATGATGATATAAAGAGTTCAGTCTCTGGACTATATTTTCCCTAGAAAATGAAACCATCAAAACTACTGCACTGAGTCGGCACTGAGGTGTCAACGTGTACAATTGAAAATCCCGTAGTGAGTTCTTGATCCTATCTCCATCCTAAACGCAGACCCCTCAACTATACCCAACACAGCCCGGGTACCGTGTTTTATCATTTTCCCTTGTTTGTACTTTGTAGCAAAATACTCTCTGATTTCCACCGGATCAAGCCGAGACATGAGCGCTGAGCGCTAGGAGCGTGAACATTTTGTAATGAACCAGTTTGCCGCATGCGGCAAAATGTTGCCCACTACCATCATCGTCAGATCCCAATTCTCATCATTCTTTGTTGTGATTTTGTCACTTAATATCTCGAAGAACCCGGGGGCCTATTCCAAATGACTGGTAACATGAGTTTTCCAGGTCCTAACTCATCAGCACACTATGTAAACTCAAGATAATGAAGATGCCGCATCCAAGATGTGTTGAGCCCGAAACTGGTATCAGGACTAGGTAACCGTATGGATCCTGCTTATTTTTGGGTATTCTCATTGTCAGGCACGCTGGTCGTGGAATATATGATGTTTGCTCCTTATCTTAGTTATCTTACCACAGACAACCTCGCAGCTCGCAAACCGACAATCGTCGTAATGACTCACATAGAGGGTGACAATGAACTTCCCGAGTACACCTCACGAGCCAGCAGCAGCGTGGCTCCACTGGGCGCCTTAACCCCTGGTTCCGAACACACTGTATCGCTTGAAGACAGCAAGGGACACAAATGGCTTCTCCTTTCAGTGAAAAGTCGCGCTCCTGTGCCAGAGTCTTTGCCAGCATTCTGTGCGGGTGATCTTATCTCAGGGAGCGTAACTTTAGACATTTTGAAGTCGGAATCACCCAAGGCTATTGTAGTAACAGCAGGTCACCATTTATTTTCAAACTTTACAATACTTATGGACGATCCAGGTGACGGCTGCGACTACCTTAATTGGACAGGAAGGACAAGATTTTCTTGTCATCGAGAAAGTATTGTGGAATCCAGCGACGGCCCTTCCTGATGGACCCGTAGTGCCCAGACTCGAGAAAGGCCATTACGCATGGCCTTTAGAAATAGCACTCCCAAACGAGACGGAAGTTCTGGATTGTAAAAAGAAGAAGATCTTTCCCCTTCCGCCTTCCTTCACAGAGCGAGCCAGTCCCGCTTACATTAATTACAAGATTACTGTCATCGTTAAGCGGGGCGCATTCAGGGTGAATCAAACGTGCGTTCACTGCTCTCGGATGCTCTTCGGAACCACTCAATAGTTCGCAGTTTAGCCACGGATTTTGGATATGTCCCAATTACGAAACCGGAACTCCCATCTCTTATGATGCAGAAAGCATGCAAAGAAAACATTCCATTTGTTGGTCCTGAAGGTGGGTTGTAGAGCGTTGTAGTCTTCGATGCTTGTGTTCAATACTGGCAGGTGATCCGGAGGGCTGGTACATTCTTCCATCAGTCACTATTACAGGCACTCTTTTTGGTTCCAAGAGGGGGGATGTCGATTTTAACGTATGTCGATCTCCCATTTTGCAATTTGCATGGCTTTAAAACAATAAATATCTGTAGCTAGCGCTAGCCAAACCAGTTGGTCTATTCCTGACTTCGAGCGTCAGGCCTCTCACTGTACCTGTAGCTCAATTATGCCCGTGGTTCTGCGATGCCGCTATGGCTAACTTTCACAAGCACAGACGAGCAAGCTCTCGATTTACTCGCCAATAACCAAGCCGTCCGTATTTTCCTGCAGCGATCACTGGCTACAGGCTCGGACGCAACAAGTGATTATGCCGGGAAGCACACAGACAACTTCTTCGTTAGCACAATAGCACGTGCTGTTTTCTGGCCAGCAACAGACGCGAGTACCACGGGCAAGCGGGTTCTCCAAGGTGAAGTGAACTTAAAAAAGACATTCAAACAGAGTGTCATCTTCCCCCGATTTTCTGTGAGGGTGGGTAACTTTCTTTTTGTTTCTTGAGAAACTCGTTGACCAGTCTGTTGTTTGCAACTCATTATCGGGTCATAGTACCATCTAGAAGTTCATCCTTTCGAAGCAGTTGGCTTCGTACATGCACCGCATGTCACCGGCCCACTGCTGACACAACCAGTTGGTGTGACATCTCTGCACGCAACTGGCATTGTGATGCGCTCCCTTGCACCACCCGAGTATGCAAAGGAAATTGAAAATTTCGACAACTCCGTAGGTTTACTGGAGAATGGAAACCAGCGCTTCTACCATCACGGAGGGCTCGGAGTATCCTAATACGTAATGGGGAGGTGGGAATTGCTATCGAATCCTGTGTTGCAACTTGGGTATGTATGTATATGTATCTCCTGGTATTTGAATAGGTGTTGTACCTTAAATGTAAAGTGATTATATATCACTCTCCAAGACCCATGAGGAGCAAGGTCTCAAAAGTCTCATCACTCTTCTTGTCACACGTCCCCCCTGCGCCAACGCCTCCAAGTAGATCAATATTCCCCGACGGAATAATCCAGTTTAGTGATTCTGGACGTCTACGTGCCACGAAGATGAATGCCAGATCGCCATCACCCCCTATATCAGATCCGAATCGTTGCCACTCGGAGAGCGAGTTATTCGCATCAATTTTTCGTGCGATAACAGGTTCAAACGAGAACCACAAGCCGAATGCAGACCAGAATGGAGTCTCTTTAGAAATACTCCGGATTTTGTATGATATGATGACTCGTGGTTGTGATTCGAAAGTGGAGATAGAGGGAGGAGAGGTCAGATGGAGAAGGGTGCGTAAAAGGGGAGCTAAAAGCTCCGGGAAATATACCTGCATTTCTGTTAGTGATTAGTCTTAAAACCATGAAGAGCACTATGGCATTTACAAGGTCACTGCAGATTATGTGCGTGATACACCCGTGCTCATGTCCACTTGGATCATCGACGAGCTTAAGCTCTCGTACAATGTTGACGGCATGATCATAATCACCCCACGAAAGAGGTCGTACTAAAGTAACCTGCGTGTTTGCTGAATCCCCCTTTGGCGTGACAAAAAGATTTTTCTCCAAAAGCGGGCAGACTTCGGGCAGATCAGTTGCGATGACTAGATCTCGCCCGGACAAAGCAGCCGCTTGAGCTATTTTCGCTGCAACAATGCCCGTGCCAGAACCAAGTTCGAGAAAAACTCGTTTTTGCCCAGATAGATGCTTATCGATCATGAGCGGATCGAACTCCCAAGTAGAAGGATGGTCGATGTAGCTGTTCATTAGATATGCCGCTTCCCTACATGGCGTCGCGCTCAGAGCGAGGGAGCGGAATATCAAAGTAATATCTAGTCACCAAACGCGACCTGCGATCCCATAAGTCTCGATCCCTTCTTGTTGTGCCTCAGCACCAAAGGCAAGTTGCTGTTTATCCCAAAAATCGCATGTAGAGTAAGCATCACGTGGAAGTAAGGGATGGATCGCGAGTTCTTCTGGGAAATTGACATGGTTGTGCACCCCGGTCATGATTGCAGGTATAAAGCAGCATCCTTGTTTGTTCGTGTTAGTTTCAGAAGCTTCAGCGACCCGTCTGGGAAGATTCTGCAACTCACAAGTCATTTCCTGTTCATAGTGGATGTGGGTTGGGGCGGGCACCCGGAAGCTCTTGCCAAAGTACTTGCGCCCACCCAACCAGCTGGCAATGGCGTTAAAAATGAGCTCCAAGAGTAAGGTTTCGCATGGCTCATCGCTCTTCCAAGCTTAGTTTACGTGTTTAATTCTCACTATGGCTGTTTTCAGTCCACGTGCACGAACCTAGTGTTTGTTTGTCGAGCGTGGTCTCCAGCTGCAACTTTTCGTCCTCCTAAATCTTCTCGACACGAGCCGTGAGGCCAGATTCCCAAGGACGGCGGCCATTGACCTCAGGCTATTCAGAAGCAGCAGGTTGGGATGTCCCGGGAATTGTAGAGGTTTTTACGTGGCTCTCGGGATAAGTAAACTGCTGGTCAGTTGAAACTAACACTACAGAACGGAAAGGCGGTCGCCACAAAGGACTCCATACCCTCCCTATTTACTCCCAAGCCGCGCAGTACCTCCACCTGCAAACTATCCAGCCTCTGGATTCTTTTGTATGGCTGGTCTACTAGTGTAAGGCTTTATACCCTACTTTCTACATGCTTTCAGCATATGGCATGCATTCTGACGGTGATTGTGCAACGTACAGTTAGTAGAAATTTTTCTTTCATTTGCATGAAAATGGTGATTGAATTGTTGAACATAGACACAGCTAACCGCGTTTGTATCCCGGACTCGTACCGGTATGCCTACGCAGGCCCAACTATAAGCTCGCCCCTAGAGAGTTTCTACATGCAGGTTGGCACCAGGCCCTAGCTTCGAGTCTCCAGTTTGTCTCCCATTTTCGTACCGTATGCACCTTTAGTAGGCACACCGATCTTTTCCCGTGTTTATAACTTGAGTGGTAGAATTTTTCGCACCTACCACCGGCGGAGGATGTATCCTCTCGAGCAATTTCGTGTCCTATAGGGGGTCTTGTCATGGCAGCTGCCACTAACGTGACAGCGCCACCCTACTAAGGCTAAACGAATCCTACGGCTCGCAGTGTTTCCACTGTTTCCCGTTCCCATCCCAATTTCTTGGGGAAGGGTCTCCGCCTTGCTCCTCCCGCTTATCTGCACTTCTGCAGCTGACCTCTGGTAAGGTCACACGAGAATCACTAATGCACGTGAATCATTTGGGTTGCTTCCTGGTAGCCTTCTTCGTTGGCTTATCCAGTACACACAAATGCACCATCATCATGCACCGGGTATCCTGTCGACAGAGGCTACGAGCTAAAAGCTTCACATTGTCGTCGGATCATTTTTACCTTCCCAATTAAGGGCCCCGGTGTTGCGGCTTGCTTTAGTTTGGACTTCTTGACGTCCCTGAGTACTGCAAACAAACTCAGTTTCTTCCTATCTGGAACCCATTGGCTGATGAGGCCGTCCCACAATAGTCAGATAACGATCTGCGTAGATTCAACATCGCGTTGATCAAGAGACCGGAGAGGTGTTGGTTCCCTAAGAATGATTCTCTTTCGGTACTAACAGGTTTTGCGGCGTGAACACCACCTCTCAAAAACCCAACATAAGAGTTTCTCCATCACAACCCAGTAATGAAGTTCTAAGTTCTTTGTTGTACGTGTCTCGTGTACTCACATTGCTGTAGTATATGTGGACTGGATGTAGAAGAAGAGGATTACTACTTCATGACGCCAGTTATGGATGCTATACCAAATAAGATTGTATCTTTATATTACTAATCAAGATATGTCACCATGGCTATTCAGATTGATGAACCATGTGCACATGATGGATGTATCTCAGTGCGTTCCTACATAAATCTGCTTCTCATCAGAGTTCTTATCATATATATATATATTATAATTCGATGACCGAGGGGCAGCGTGAACCTGCTGATAATGTGGAAGAAAGTGCTCTTCGCTTTACGATCTTGTCTGCGGCACATCTGAACATTGTGGTGGACATTGGACATGGCCTTGGATCCCTTCATGTGCTTAGGTTGATGATCAGCGCTCTGCGGTTTGATTTCTGAATATTGGTTTTATATATAAATAACTTACTTTCATCAATCAAGGCTATGTCGACGATAAAAGCTGGACGGTGTTGTATCACCAACGCCGTTGTTATACGTCCACCAAGTTGGCTACTCACTCGCACCCATCCCTCAAATGACCATCATCTCGAATGATCCAGCTTGGTGGCCTCTCATTGCTTGGCTTCGTTTTTACAGCTATGCCATAGGTTCGTAGAGAATTAACTCCATAACCTCAGTGATGCCTCGAGCTAACCTTACAATGGTTTCGCAGTTGCTTCCTCTGTTGTGGTTTTATATGATTGGGGTGAGCAGATAGTAATCGACCACTACTGATATTGATATTCTTATGATATTTGCAGCGCTGTCGTTTGGACAAGAGGTATGTTGATGCCATTACCGGTGTACCACACTTACTAAGAATGGTCTTGTAGGTTGAATTAGTTTTTGTGAGCAGTGTCCCATAATAATAGAACTATAGTCATCAATTCGGGGCAGAGGAAAAGCTGGTCCCTCATGACTCTTGTTTATCTCGGTGTACGTGGCTTGTGTTTGTAAGTACCATTGGAAGCTTTTTCTGACTTCAAAATTCTAGGTGCGATATGCCGCAATGCCATATACTGTGTATGTCTGCAAGGATAACCAGTGGCGTCTGTGCTAATAAGCGATCTTCCATAATCAGCTTCAAGATGTTGTGTATGTCTGCTCGCATTCAGTGTGTTTATTCCTGTTAACTGGCGGCATACAGCTGATCTTCCGTCAATCTCGAACACAGATGAGGTACGTATATTACACTAATGCCTGCCATTTTTGTCCGATTGACTGCACTGATATGAAGGGGTGAGTGAACTCCTTGAGGTTGTTGACGTAACATCATGATTGCAATAGCTGTGAGTTTGTTTGGGCATGTATCCTCTGAGGCTCATCACTAACCCTCGTTCAGGCCGTATTGTGGGCTTGGCAACAAGTTGGATGTTTGTAGTCGTAAATTCTATGATAGGCAGTGAGTCACTAAGTTGGAATATCTCAGTGATGTTGACTGAAAAAGCATGCAAGTCATTATGATCGTTCGGTTATATGCCATGTATCAGCGATCAAGCAGGATTCTTGTTTTTCTCATTGTAATCTTTCTGGCTATCACCATCGCCTGCGGAATGTGAACCGAGACAGTAACTAGCCGGAGTTTTGGGGGTAAGCTTTCAGTAAGTATCGTGATCTGACATCTACACGTGAACTTTGACAATCCTTTCGATAGTACACAAATTCCGAGGGCATCATGCTTTATACTTGTGTTGTGGAAATTGCTACTATCTTGCAGATGTTTGTGCTGGGACCACGCCTAGTCCTTGGCGTTCGAGAATATCACGCCAAACTCGTGGCCAATTCTGATGCAGGAACAGACATAACTACAATTTCTTTCCAGGAACACGTACATTCGTCAACTGGCAGCAGTGCGTAGCGGCGGAAATGCTCAAAATTTGTTGTATGCTAGTCTGCCCGTGGAGAGAACAGGAAAACGTGTTCGGTAGTTTTGTCATGGTACTGATGTGTAAGATGTGCGGAAAGAGAACTATATATTATCAGGTCTTGTAAATATATGTTACATTGTATCTGCATTATCATTATCGTGGTGGCGCTGGGAAGCATCGAAATGTGGAGATAGTCTGGGAGATGTCAAAGTCACGGGTTAGGTTGGATGCAAGAGATGCCGTCGACTGGGTAAAAGGTAGATAGACTTAGACCCCACCGGCGCAAGGAAGAGCCAGTCCAGTCGCCTACTTGCAAGGCAAGTAGAACCAATCGTTTCCAGCGGGTGATCGAGACTAGTACTGCTAGAGGTGTAAGGCCCACCACAAAAACGCGAACCCAACCTCGGGCCAGAACAAGCTCAGATAGTCCGAGTTGAAACCGCACACTCGAAATTGATTAGATCGTACCAGGCGCGTGGTTCGAATGACAGGGTATCGAGATCCAGCAACAGAAATCGAGTACTAGTAGGAGTCCGCCATGATTAACATCGATCAGTCGTTTTAATTTTAGGGGGTGATCGAGTTACTAGGCCTTTCCCTCGAACACAAGCCCGACCTCGTGTCAAAATAAATCCGAGTCGCAACTCGAGATCGATTGGATCGTGCCAAGTTTGTAGTTTGTGGTCGTCTCATCGAGTGCTTGTGATGCAGCGTGGAGTTCAACGTAAAGCGAGTAAAGCAAATGAAGTGGAGGGAAATGAAGTAGCAGTGTTGGTAGATGGCAGCTTTTATACATGCACTGCAGACGACGGAAGAATTTACAACTGTGACACATCCGACGATCCGATTCCGGGCGGGACTGTCATGTCTCACAAGTACTGCAAGGATGATGTCATTCCAATCTTGACCGGTGCTAGTGACTGACAGGTGGAACCCTGTCACAAAACATTCTGCAAGTGATCACGGGTCGTGAAGGTGCATGCAGGCCATGGGTCCGTCGCTATCAGGCTTGTGAACCACTGTAAAGGAAACGATCATCTTCATTCCTTTCGGACTGGGTGATGAGACGAATGAAGAGGGTTGTTGATAACTGCGGTGCTCGAATACGATACTAAACATTGCGACAGCAAAGCTTTACTGTAGGCACTTAAGGCGTGATAGAAACGAACGGATAAGGGGAAGCATCAAGCACACTGTTCAAATGCTCCCGCCCAGTGCATGCAGGGCCCTCAACGCACTTAGCGATCTCTTTCCCAGCGTTCAACCCCTCAAAATACGCACCATGAAGGAAACCTACGCGCGCACACATTTATATCACCTCCATGAACAAAAGAAACAAACTGCAGTCAGAAAAAACACGCACCATAATACTTCAAGCTTGTAGCTTCGCCCGCAAACCAGAGCCTCTTGTCTACAGTAGCCCTCAGATTTTCTGAGTGACCGGGAAGGAAAGAGGGGGGCCAGTTGGAGTATGAGCCACGGAAGAGAGGGTCCGCATGCCAGCGTTTGAAGTGGAATGCGACAGGATCAGGAACAGTAATGTTGGGGTACATGGATCGGAGGACTTCCATGACTTCCTCTTGAACATCTGAATCTTGCATGCCCTCGATGCGCAGTGAGAAATCACCCTAAATATCTCTGGAATGAGCGACACAGGTGCATGGAGCATAACTCATGCAGACTTACGGTGACGGTCACAAAGACGAGACCAGAACCAGGGAAAAATTTGACGTGGTCAAGACTCTGCCAGATCGGATACCGTCCCCGTTCCTTGTCTGCGTATATGGCCATCTATTCTGGATACATCAGAGAAACATTTAATGTTGATGTTCATATGTACCTCGGTATCAAACCAGAACTTTTCCTTGAATTGCAAGAATATTTTGGTGTACGTGGCCTGGGGGCAGTTGAGTTGTCAAAAATATTAATATTGAGCAAACATACCATGACCATGCTCTGAATGGCCTCAATCTTCCACGAAGGAAGAGCAGGTTCAAATGCGATATCACCATATTGTAGTACTCCAAGACTAAACGTGCAAAGCACGTAGTCCGCGGTGAGAGTAGAACCATCTTTCAGTGTGACCGTCACTCCATCCCCACTGTATGCAATCGTCGTGACAACGGAATTCAGGGAGACTTGCTCAGGTTGAAGAAAATCTGCAGCTTCGGCCTGGATGATAGTTTTGAAGCCACGCTGGTCAATGCAGAGATTGTTTTCATCCGAGAAGCCCCCCATATCGACGTCAAAGGTAAAATTGTTGTTCTGTGGGATCGTCAGGTGCTGGTAGGTGCACACTAGAATATGTAGATACCCAAGCTGATGCTATCCACGAATTCTGGTCTGGGGACTAGTATGAGACAATGAGAATAGCAATCAACAACGTGATCAAAGTTCTCGCACCTGTGCATCTATTGGATGTTGCAATGATTAGCAGGAGGATAAGTCCAAGATAAAACTACTTGCATTCCTGACGAGTATGAAATTAGGAACGCGGTAGGTTTAGACAGGAAAGACCCACATACCCAGTCGACTTCATAATACTGGCAAGCTGCTTCATACATGTTCTTTGGAGTTGCGCCGGTGATGCCGTACGCGCTTTGAAGGCTGAGGTCAACCTGCTGCGTCTTGACGCGTTCCCCTTATGGAACATATGAGCACGCACAGCTGACAAAGTGCAGATGTCATACCTGCAACAGCTCCGACTTGGCTGAATTGATCGACTGATGTGTCCAAGAGGTTACGATAGTCTTTAAACCCGTCATAGTCGTAAGTCGCTGTTCACCATTGATGAGTTTAGACAAAATGAGATGAAGATAAAATGGTAAACGTACTGATACTGCCATCAAGATCATTATACTGGTTCTTAACGTGGTGCTTTCGAGCGAGCGTCAGAATGGGGTTAGCTGTCCCATTGCCAGTCTGCGTTCCCTGGATCCAATTAGGACCGAGTTCGACAGTGTACTGCTTTCCAGGGATGCCGATGGTATAATTCTGCATCCTTCCGCCTAGTTCATCACGTGCTTCGACGATCAAAAAGTCGTCGATACCCTTGCGGTGCAATGTGCGCGCGGCAATAACGCCAGCAACGCCTCCTCCAAGAATTAGGACTTTGGGATCTTTGGTTGAGCGGTGGTTATTATGAGCAGTGGAGGGTGATGGCACAGCTGTGGCGAAAGCAACAAAGCCAAGGAGCAAGGCGAGGTGGACTTGACGCATCTCCGTGATGGGTGAAGACACGCCTGATCCGATTGATGAATCCGAGACATTTATAACAGCGGGGAAAGATGTGACGCTGGAGACCCGGATAATATTTAGACGTTTTTGGCACAGCTGGAAGCGAGTAACCGGATACTATGATAATGTTAGTAAAAAAATGACATAAATAACGAGAATTCGAAGGAAATTCGATGGCAGTGATAGTAATTCCATACTATGTGGCGGTGTCCCTTGCAGGCTTGCACTAATATTCTGCTTGTAGTTGTCAAACATATGGCATCATGATTGTTCCCATGTGAGGTGGTAGCCAGCGCTCACTCCATGTTGATCCTCAGTGCTCGGGACAATGAAATAGCTGCAGAATAACTGTCTCGACAGCCGTCTGAAGCCGCTCATCATCCGATTATGCGGAGGAACTTGCAACGGAAGCTTGAAGATACTTCATATTCGGACACAAAGCGCACCCCGCCTTTTCGGTGTATCGTGATAACCGGTTTAACCTGCCGTTAAACCATCTCCCTGATTGATTGGTTCACAGCCATGACTCAGAGCGATTATTTCTCCAAAATAATCACCAAAATCACCGAATAATTCATCGCTCGAGTCAAGCTTAAGGAGGAAGATTTAAATTTTTCCCGCAGGTTGAACTTTGGTCAAATCCGATTTCCGACTCTCGAGGTACATCGGAGTAATGCTCCGACCATTTTGAATTCAGGCCTTAGGCTAGGTAACTGCGACTGTGTCGCGATAACCAATGGGGCATCAAGCAAATGGAACTAAGCCATAGCGCGCGTGTTGGCAGTAAACCAGTTAGTGAGCGTTGAACTTTGCTGATATAGAGTAGCGACCTAAATGGTTTATTTATTAGGATTTTTTCGGTTGAGTGGTGATTGTGCCAAATAGGATAGTATTCGAGTCTAATCATTGTGTGAACACACAGCACGGCTCAATCCATGTGCATCGTACCTTCTGACATGTAGCCATCCAGATATTTCAACAAACGACTTCCTTTGAAACAAGCATTGGCCATCCCCGCTCTTGATCTGTACGAATTTCTCTCACCTCTGCCAGCACATTCTGTTTATGTTCTAGACAGGATGATATGTCCTCGACAGAGCGCGAGACAATTCCATTGGGCAATGTTCATTGGCGATCACGCGCGTTACCGGGCATGATTAGTGACTCGGAGTGCACCACACGTTTTTCGATGAGAGCTTTGTGCGATAGCGTGGCGCCAATGGACGAATACATATCTGGACGTCAGTGCGTTTCAGCTGTGCTTAAAAAGCTAGTAAGATCATCGACAAATGCTGAAATCAACGGGGAAGCCATGGCTTTGGAGGCTCGCATAGCTGCTGAGATGCATCGATGACAGGAGGAGTAAGTCCCACATTCGTGGGAAAGTAGGGGATTATTTGTCTGTGTTAGCTTCGGAAGCTTCAGCTCGAATCTAAGTCGCACCCTATAATTGGGAATTCATGTGCAATCGACACTTTAACCGGTTGTGGGGCCGGCAATTCCGCCTAGTTTCAACACGAGGTTGACATATCTCAGTTGTTCATCTTCATTATGTCCGCACAGTCCAAACCAGCGAAGCAGGCGCAACAACTAACGCCTTTTGCATCTGCGTTGGCCGGTGCCCTTGGAGCTTGTTTTAGTAACGCGTGAGTATTACTCGAGTACCCACGCACCAGCTGTCCTGACATATCAACAGTGTAGTGTATCCTCTTGATGTGTGCGTCTGCGGTCGCATTCTATGAGATATACTTCTAATATGGACGTAGTGCTAAGACCAGGATACAGGTCACCTCATCGACTGCGCGAGGGAAACGCAAAGACGACCTGAGCATGCTGTCGATGCTGCTCCAAATATTCAGACAAGAGGGAATCAATGGGTGGTACAGAGGCTTTGCTGCAACCATGCTAAACACTTTCTCGATGCGTGTGTCTCCAATTACCTCTTTTACGTTCCCTCGCCGAGCTGAATACCCCAAGAATATGCCTACTTCTTCTTCTACTCATTCATACGCTCATCATACATCAAGCGCATGACTTTGAAGCTTCCTCCTGGTTCGAAACCTCCTGCACTATCCACAGCTGCTGAGCTCTCCCTCGGGGCAGCTGCAGGCGCGCTGTCCCAGATTTTCACGATACCGGTATCGGTAATCGCAACTCGCCAACAAGTTGGGCGCTCTGCCCGGGGCTCCTTGGAGTCTTCCCAAAATGAGGGACCATCGGATGAATCTTTTTTGGGTGTCGCTCGTGAGATTGTTCGCGAGGATGGTGTCACAGGGCTGTGGCTTGGCATTAAGCCCGGCATGGTCCTGACTGTAAACCCTGCTATAACGTACGGCGTTTATGAGCGCGTCAAGACTTTGTTGTTGCTCGCAAGCTCTGCAAATAGTAAATTAACTCCGGGAATGTCGTTTTTGCTTGGGGCGTTTAGCAAAACGCTTGCCACTATCGTGAGCTTGATATATGATTGGGTGACCGAGTGACATCTCCTGACATCGCTTCCTAGGTAACATATCCATATATTATGGCAAAGGTTAGAATTCAGGCCCGCCCTACTGTCACGGATACATCGGACAGTGAGGGTCTGCCTGGTGGCGGAAATGGAAATACCAAATCCAAAGCAAAACAAGCTGGTGCCCTCAGCCTCCTCCTCAGAGTCTTGAGGAAAGAAGGATTTGTCGGGTGGTATCAGGTCCGTGTTACCAATCTGATCCTCGCTATTCCTCGCTGATCAAATTGAACAGGGGATGTCCGCGCAGATAATCAAAGCCGTGCTTTCTCAGGCGTTACTGTTTGTATCCAAGGAACAGTTCGAGCACTGGGCCCTGGCCATCATGGCTTTGTTTGCCAAGTTTATATCGCGGCCATGACAACGCACGTTTGTTGTTCTTGGGGAATCAGGATCAGTTAGTCGTTTGCTTTCTGGGAGGTTATCAATGCCTATCATGTATTACTCCAGGGCCCAGAAGCTCAATAGACAAATAGACGGATCATGTACCCATCCAGATGAGGTGTGTCCGGCTGCAGGGCCTCAGCTTATTTACTTTTTATGTAGTTGTCAGGTGCTGAAGTAACGAGTCATGGTGATGTATGATGGAGTCAAAACATATTGGATCGCGATTGTGGAACGGGGAAATCAAACACAGCTTAAAAAGTGATGTACATCTTTGTCTCTGGAAACGAAAGTTCGTGCTAAAGAATGCGTATGATCATGAGAAGTAAATATTTGATGAGTGAGAGTGATGCGATACAAATGCATATGGGTCGTGTGGGGTATGTTGATCGAAGGGAGCACGTGAATATAAGTAAGTATTGGTACAACAAATAATCCTAAACGTCCAATAATCTTCCGGCATATTAGACAGACGAAATGGGGGAAATAGAACGAAGATGTAATAAATGAATGAAAACACCTAAAAATGCCACAACTTCATGTGATTGCTCCTGTACAGATCTGATTCGTTCAGGTCATCCCGGATCGTCAGATCATTTGTAAGAGCATCATGCACTGCAGTCAACCATTTCCCAGTCGTCACTAAAGTTCACTAAGGAAACGTTAGACGATGTGGCATCAGGCGCCCAAACTACTACTCACCCTCCTGTGTTGACACAAGCATCTCGAGGTCCCGAGTAGCGGCTAAAATAGACACAGCCATGCGAGGACCCATGCGAAGAATCTTCGCGCCTTCAGGGGAGCATCGCATGCGGGCTTTAATTGCGATCCGGTACAAGTCCGGCTCCGGCTTCGAGCGAGGGAAAGAAGCGCGGGGTGGAAGAAGTTTCTGAGTGGGTGATAAAGGGGAAGAGGTGCGCAGTCCTGTCATTTGTTTGGGTGGCGGGTGAGGAGTTGATTTGATGGGCTGCTTGGTGGAGGGCGGAGCAATTGTAAACTCAGGACGGCTGCGGCTGAGCGCAGCTTTACGGCGTTCACGCTGCTCCTTGTAGTGGTACAGAGTACGAGTGTAGGGAACGAGGGGAGGTTGGGTCTTCGCGTAAATTGAAGAGGGGCCAGACTGTAACAAGGTATCCTCGTCACCTTCATAGTCTGACAAGGAGAGAAACGAAGTAGTGCGACGAAGCGACATGCGTAAAGATTGCGATGGATATGGCTGAGAGAAGGACGAAGGGCGCTTGCTTGTTGCGGAAGAAGGAGCAATGACTTTAAGAGCAGACATAAGTAGGGGAAGAAAGTGATGAGACCCTGTGGCACAGGACAAAGGGATTCATAACAGTTGTGGATTGTGGCCTAAACAAAAGCGGTGCGGCAAGAATACAGCGATGACTAGGTTTCGATATGATCTAAATGATGACGGAACCAATTTTAGCACAACGTGCTATTTCCAAATATGAACTTAACTGAAACCACAGACAGTCTTCCTCTCCATTTCGAGAAATTGTCAGAAACAATGTGGAAAACCTAGACGCTCTCGCCAAACCACCATTCCATCGCGCACGCAATGCTAGGACGCTCGAAATCTAGAAACATCGATGGTCATCATCATGCTAGAACAAAGGTCTTGTAAGTCCAAACATGGTGATAGTTACATGCAGACTGTCGCCCCCGTTCAAGACGTCCTGCCAACCAAGGCGAATTAATTTAGATCATTGGTTGAGAGACATATAGAGCATCGATGAACCGAAGAGATGTCTAGGGTTGCCCTCCAGAGTGCCGAAAATTTGACTGCCAAGTCAAGCTTGAACTTGAACGTTAACTTTGAAGTGACGTATGAGAAATTGAATTAATTTGAGAAGCGACTTCTGAACTGACAGCCCGAGAATCTGATTGGTTCAACTGAGTGCGCAACTTACCGAACAGACGTCTCGTACGCCTTCCGTACGGAAGCCATACTTCTAAGCTTAACCTGCGGGGTAGAATTCAGAATGCATATCTTGCCGAGGGAACACGAGAAGTTGCTCTTGCACCAGGTATTCTCGGTCTATATCCTTCGAATGGAATATACATCTCTTCTCAGGCTGGCTTTCTAGCCCAAAAGCGCCTAGCTAGAGGCCTACAACTCAATATCAACGAAGCCATCGCATTGATTGCCTCTCAACTGCAGGAACGCATACGCGATGGACAGCATTCTGTGGCTGAGTTGATGCAGTACGGGAAAACCTTATTGGGTAGGACGCATGTCTTACCCAGCGTTCCACCCCGGCTACACGATATACAGGTAGAAGGAACGTTCCCAGATGGGTGAGTTGCATGCCTGTGCGAAATCACCTCAGCTGACATCCGGTTGAAGGGTGTTCCTAGTCACTGTGCATGATCCCATCTGCACGGATCATGGCAACCTAGATGCAGCGTTGTATGGATCGTTCCTTCCGGTACCTTCGCAGGACATATTCCCAGCCGCGGAGACTACGATCATCTCCCGTGAAAACCTTCCAGGAGCTATCATCGCCAAAAAAGAGAGAATCATCATCAATAAAGGACGCGAACGCATTAAATTGAAGGTGACTAATTACGGGGATCGTCCTATCCAGGTTTGTGCCGTCCCTACTCTGTCGTGCGAACTCTCATATTCCCAAAAGGTGGGATCTCATTACCATTTCATCGAAACCAATGGCGCGTTGGAATTCGATCGTGTTAAAGCCAATGGGATGCGTCTTGATATCCCCGCTGGAACTGCTGTTCGCTTCGAGCCTGGCGACTCCAAGACCGTCTCACTGTGCAGTATTGCGGGCAAGAAAGTCATAACTGGTGGCAATTTGGTTGTCACTGGCATAAGGGATGCCCTGAAGGGGGGTAACCATATTGACGAGGGGTTACTGCAGGGGATTTTCAGACACTGTCCAGACCCTGGTGCGCTCCAGGTACACGAGGACACCACTATTGGTCGCGAGGAGTACATTTCTATGTATGGGCCCACAGTCGGTGATCGTATTAGGCTTGGCGATACTAGTTTATGGGTCGAAATCGAGAGCGATGCGGTTTGTTATATCAGTATGATCATGTTTTTCATGCGGGCTCATATCTAGCACAGGCCTATCATGGTGATGAAGTCAAATTTGGCGGAGGTCAGTGATGATTTCTGGTGCCTCCCCTAATTCTCATCACTGGGTACAGGCAAGTCTATTCGAGAGGGCATGGGTCAGGTAACCAGTTGTAAGCACCTCGAGGGTAACATAGACCTCGTCATCACCAATGCAGTTATAATTGACTGGACTGGGATATACAAGGTAATTAATTGTCTCCGCTAATCTCTATCCGCTGCATACCCTTGCAGGCAGACATCGGAATAAAGGCGGGCAAGATCGTCGGAATAGGTAAAGCCGGAAACCCCGACGTCATGGCCAATGTCACCGCCAACATGTGCATCGGCTCGTCAACGGAGGTCGTTGCTGGCGAGAAGCTCATTGTGACTGCGGGCGCTATCGATGCACATGTACATTATATTTGTCCGCAACAAGTCACCGAAGCGCTCGCTTCGGGTACGACGACAATGATCGGGGGCGGGACGGGTCCGAGCGCAGGGACGAATGCTACGACATGCACACCAAGTCCATTCTTCTTAAAGACAATGCTTGCAGCAACGGATGGGCTCCCGATGAACTTCTTGTTTACCGGGAAGGGGAACGACACGGGAAGGCATGCACTAGAGGATATCGTTCGCGCAGGTGCAGGGGGCTTGAAAATACACGAGGACTGGGGTTCTACTCCAGCTGTGATCTCGAACGCGTTGGATGTTGGTGATGCGTTTGATGTTCAGGTCAACATCCATACGGATACTCTCAATGAGAGCGGATTTGTGGAGAGTAAGAAGTGTGTCATTCGTCAGTCTTTCGGATGCTGATGGGACGCAGGTACGATCAAGGCGTTTGGGGGTCGCACTATACATACGTATCACACGGAAGGCGCCGGTATGGTTTCGTTTCTTTTAGCTCTCTATTATATGGTCTCATTGTGAAACTAGGTGGCGGTCACGCTCCAGATATCATTGTCGTTTGCGGTTTGGAAAATGTTCTTCCCTCGTCCACCAACCCTACACGACCTTATGCTAGGAACACTTTAGATGAGCACCTTGACGTGAGTTACCTACGCACGTTGATTATATCTGCCTTTCTAAATACATAATAGATGTTGATGGTTTGTCACCACCTTGACAAATCGATTCCCGAGGACGTAGCATTCGCAGAGTCTCGTATTCGAGCAGAGACAGTAGCAGCAGAAGACGTTCTGCACGATACCGGTGCGATATCCATGATCAGCTCTGATTCTCAGGCTATGGGGCGTGTCGGAGAAGTCATCTCCAGGACATGGCGTACTGCGAGCAAGCTCAAGGACTTCAAAGGTCCATTGACTGAGCTAAATGATACAAGCGAGAAAGATAATGGACGTGTCAAGAGATACATAGCGAAGTATACGATCAATCCGTCAGTTTTGTTGTCATCTCGAGCGGTCGTGCACTGACGGTTCTTTAGCGCGATCACGCACGGTATCAGTCACCTCGTCGGCTCAATAGAGGTTGGAAAACTTGCCGACCTTGTCCTTTGGAAGCCTGAAAACTTTGGCGCCAAACCTGAATTAGTTTTGAAATCAGGAGTGATCACTTGGGCTCAGGTAGGATTTAGGGAGGAGCTTTTTCGATCATAGTGCTTATGTCCCTTGCTAGATGGGCGATGCAAACGCTTCAATTCCGACTGTACAGCCGACCTATGGCAAACCAATGTGGGGTGCCTTCCCCACTGCAGCTGCGCTCAACTCGGTCGCATTCGTCTCTCGAATCTCCATTGAGACTGGTACTATCGCTTCATACGGACTCTCCAAGCGAGCAGAGGCTGTTATTAACTGTAGGAACGTGACCAAGAGAGATATGAAGTGGAACGATGCGATGCCGAAAATGTCTGTTGATCCAGAAAGCTATGAGGTAAGGGCGGATGGTGTGTTGGCTGATATCGAGCCTGCGAGCAGATTACCACTTGGGAAGGAGTACAACTTCTTCTGACGGCGGAAAACAAAATGAAGAATGAAGATCGTATATATTATATGCTATTGTACGAATGCGAACTAAATTTATGGAAAAATGAACAGAGCGAAGTTTCACATGAATGTACATCACCTCATCACTCACTAATTCAGAATCATCACGGCAGTCCGGTCACGTATTAGGAATCGATGCTGTATACCCGATGCTAAGATCAGTAGAATTCTCAGCCAATAGATAACACTGACGAGAAGGAATGGCCTTTGCCAAAAGTAGCCTAATTGCCCCGCTGACCTGCGAGCAGCATACCAAGGTTGATGAGGGCTTGGCCAAGAACTTCGATGTTTTCTGGATTCGCAGCGTTGGGCGCCGGCACGGGTACGACTACGGGTATGGCTACAGCACCAGTAGGAATTGGTATGTCTGTGCCCAATGTCGAAAGTGAAGAATATGTGGCAGTAGCAGTGGGACTGGTTTCACTTGTAGAAGGGGTGCTGGTAGGTGTCTCAGAAGTAGTGCTGGTTTCAGTTGTAGAAGGGGTGCTAGTGGGGGTCTCAGAAGGGGTGCTGGTATCAGTTGCAGAAGGGGTGCTAGTGGGGGTCTCAGAAGGAGTGCTGGATACAGTTGTGGAAGGAACGGAGGTTGTGTCAGCAGCGGCTTTGTGGTGGTGGTATGACACGTATGTGGACGTAGACGTAGGTGCAGGTGTGGACAAAGCAGGGATCGGCGTGGGCGTCCATTCAGGGCTCGCAGATGGCGTAGGCTCGCTGGTGCCATCGTTGAACCACCACGACCCGTAAATGACGCCCTCGTCTAAAGAACTGAAGAATTCGAAAAGACCTTCAGAAAAGTCAAGCCCGCCGAGCGGGCATCCCATACACTAAAGACAAACATGTCAGTAAGAGAGAGAATAACGCGTCGTTGTGCTCACTTCGTCCATGATGGTAGCCTGAGTTGTTTTGCCCCCGTAAGAGATGGTAATAGACTTGAAGCACTCTGGACCCGGGTAACCTCCGCCAAATTGGGCTACATTGAGAGCGACGATCTTGTCGTAAAATGAGTATGGGAAATACTACCAAGTAATTGTTATGGTTGAGACGTACAAAATCGCCAGGAGAGCTGTACTGCCCACAAGCACCCCTTAAATCCTCATCAGCTACATAGCTCGATGAGTGATTCTTCAATCCAAGTACACTCACAAGCCGACGTCATAAAAGGTCATCCGTGCATTGTCGAAGGAGCGTTTGTGGATGCCCACATCGCCTCGCGCCCGCTGGGCCAGTTCTTGATGGCGTCCACGCTGTATATGTCCAAGTTTACCGCCAACAGTAAAAGGAAGAATCGCAGAAACGAGGAGGAAGATGGAAAACATTAACATTGGGAGTTATAGACCGAAAGTCAGGTGAGTTTTGGAACGGCTGAAACTGTTGTTTTTTGGGGTATAGCTAAGGAGCGTCTGAACAAAGGAGTGACTGCCGGTACTGGTATAAAGTCGCGGGAAGTGATACAACGACGAGCAAAAAACACAGAAAGGCCGAAGCAAGTTGAAGAAAAAGTCAACCAAGCGAATAACTTATCACTTACCCAAAGAAGTTAATATGTGACTTTGGTCATCGTACGTACTTTACATATGCATAGCGCCTTTTAGAAACTGAGAAGACTGAGTGTAAGTACTGACCCAACTTACTCTTCGGAACACAGGGCCGTCATCATGGTTCAAATCAACGATAGGGGCTTGTCCAAATGCTAACCAATTCGCGGAAGCAATTCCAAAGCATTAATCATCCGAGTCATCATTCAATTCTAGAGTACCTTCAAATGAGTCGAGGCCTCTCGAATTCAGCATTAACGACAAGAACTTTGATGTAACCCACTGCTATCTGGAGTTCCGCCAAGATTAAGATGTAAGAAGATATCATGATGTAAAATGAGATAATAAATTATGGATCCTTGAAGTAGAAATTTCCATAGGAGCTTTCGTATACAGAACGATCGCTATATCCGTGCCGTCATTGAGGATTGGTACTAGTGTCGGTCAGAGGCGTCGTGAGGGTTTCGCTTGTAGATGTGGTGCTGGTCTCAGTTGTATTGTTGCTAGTAATTGTGATTCAGAGAGGTGGTAGGTAGATGTAAACCATTGTCGGTCACGGGTTTCGCTTGTAGACGCAGGGCTGGTTGCGGATGCAGATAGGGTGGAAGTAGTGGTGTTTGTGTCAGCATAGTGGTGGTAACCAAATAGGCATGGACAAATCAGCGCGAGCTGGTGTAGGCGGAGCTCGTAAATGGTGCCGGTGAACATTCGCCGCATCATTGAATGTCCTACTCAGTCTTTGTGTTTCAGGCATGAACACTTCTACGAGAGACATGAACATTTCTTTATACGATCCGACTTGGCAGGCCTGTGACTGTTAGCCGGCTTTTGCTCAACAAATACACAAACGAACACACGAGTCATTGCACATTGAATATGCTGGGACTCCTATCCTCGTATCGAGGAATTTACTCGTCAAATCCCGTTTCAAACCGAGGCAAATCAAATTGAAGTGGGAAACTACCTGCAGGCTGCCGCTGCTTCAGTGTTTCCAGGACAGCCTCCAAAAATGGTGTTCACCAGTGACAACAAGCAACGTGAAATCGTTGACCTGTACTGGCTTGAATATCAGTCGCGCCATTTGGCCAAGATGACATCAGGTAGCTACGAAGTGTTTTTGAGTTCCCGTACCCTCGGCAGCAGGCATACTTTTTGAATATTCAATGTAAGCTCGTATCTTGACTTCATACCTTTGTTGTTTGAACTTTATCATTCAGACCGCATGACCGTGCAGAGTGCTATCGTACGTTCTTCACGTTGAGTCACGATAGGCAGAGTGCACATAGCCAATAGACTACCACAAAGCACAAAGATATCGAACTGCCATGATGAACAGGTGAATGCCCTACTCGATACAGAACGGATGGTAATCTTCCTTCCGTTCGCGTTTGTTGCGGGGACAACGGTAACAATCAGCATTCTGATCGATGGTGACCCAAATAGCGCGCCTAGCAGAATAAATTTGGATTCGGCGAGCCACGGTTGTGGCCAGCAATACTTAGCCAACCAGCAAGTCTGAAAAGAATCACGAATGCATTTGATTCCTCCCACAAAGTTCCGGAGCCAGACAAAGAGCTTGACTGGGAAAGAGTCTGGACTTTTGATACTTATAGACCATGGAAAGACTCGGAAGACCGCTTAAGGGCTGGTAATTACGAAAACTGCTCAGAAATTCCAGCTGGAATTAGGATCAAGCGAGTCAGCCCTGAAGCTCGAAGTGCTGGGAACTACGTGGAATCCTCGGGAACTTTCAGCTGGAGTCAGGACTCAACAAGCGCTCACCTAGTCATGAGCCCTTCGGACCCGGAGCCTTATCGTAGACCTTGAAATAGAGTTGCACTCCATCGTTAGACACTTCATCCCCACCATCATCATATTCAAAGCAATCATGCCTGCAGTTATTAGCACAGCAACAAGGCTACTCTCCCAGAATCTTATGGAAGTCGACAGTGGAAAGCTGTCAGTCCATACGATATCTGAATCCAATTTAATCGAAGAGCAACATCAGTTGCGCAGTCTGTTCGAAAGGAACGAGGGACGTACCCTTGGCCTTTCTGGCGGATTTGCGCTCACTGGAGAGCTCGCGATGCTTGCAATCGCCGACACGTCCACAATTATCATCATCGCATTCGAGTTAAAGAAGGGAAAGGGCAACGGACACGATAAACGCCCTGTCACATCAGGCAACACTGCCGCTCGGGTGCTTTTGCAGAACCTCCTTCGTCGCACCACCGGACTCTTATACGCTTTCGATATCGCTTCCATCGCTCTCGCTCTATTTCAAACGCTTGATCTTCGAATCGCAAATGCGATCGATATGCAAAGCGCAGGGACGAAAACTCATACTAGTACCCCGCTCTTCACCATAAAACAGGCCATTGGTGATCTTCATGGTGTACTCGATCCAAACATTAACGAAATATTCCGCGATGATATCGTCAACAATGATCTCCCTCCCACTAAGAATGGCAGTACTTCACTTGCACTACGTGCATGGATCACACACTATCTCTCACAAATCTCGACGATGGTGAATCGTCTCGCGCGAGTACCCCCAGTTGACACCTTCCGGCTCTCTGACCAGGTAGGTCGCTGCATTATCGGTGGACGATGACACTAATCGTCATCACAGGTATTGAGGTTCCTTGCAAAGAGCTCAAAGGATTCGTTCCAGCTCGAGCAGAAGAAGCCGACCGAGGTCACGCGCCGGTTTACCACTTCTGTCGATCACATGAACAACCGTATCTATGCCCAAGCCGACAGATACCAGAACAGAATTCGTAAGAGCCACAATCAGGCATGTTGTCCGCGTGTCTACCTCGTGCCTTACTTGACACCTAATTTTCTCAGCGTGCATTCATTGCTATCGGCGGGTGCCCCGCGCGGGGCTTCACTGTCGATGGTCATGTATCCAGGTCTGATGGTCGCGTCGCGAAACTCGCTACCTCCACCAATCTTAATTTCATTGGCAAGAATATCGGTTTGATCAAGATCGTCGGACGTGGTGACCCTACGCAGGCTGAATTCCAGCGTGCTCAGAAGGTTTTAGAGGTCCTCCAAGGTCTCGTCAACCTTGAGCACGACAATCCATGGGTTCAGCTCATATTCTTTTCTTCTCCCGATCATGACCTTAAATGGCCCTCTGCCTGGACGGAGGAGGCGAATGACGCGGATATTGTCACATATCGTGCCGACTGTGTCAATCACCCCCTCAATCCATCCCAGATAGAAGCTGTAACGCAAATGCTCCAGCGGACGAATGACAGACGTCTTACTGTCATCCAGGGGCCGCCTGGAACCGGTAAGACCACTGTCATTGCTTCCTTTGTCCAGATTGCCCTCGCCAGTGGACTCTCTGGCATCTGGCTCATTGCCCAGTCCAATGTCGCCGTTAAGAACATTGCCGAGAAGCTTGCTCGCTCTGGCCTGATTAATTGGAAGCTTCTCGTCTCAAAGGATTTTTTCGAAGAATGGTCAGTCCTTCCACTGGTGGACTTTTCTCGCCTTTAGACAGACTGACATAATCTAGGCACGAGCACCTCTATGTCGACATTCGGGCCAATGTCATAATATCAAACGACTTCAAGGCGCCAAGTTTTTGCCAGGAGCTGAAGTCCACCCCAGTCATTCTCTGTACTTTGTCTATGCTCTCATCTTCCGATCTTCGAAGGTTTGGAGGTTTTAATGCCGCGCCAATCAGGACCCTCGTCGTGGACGAAGCGTCCCAAATTGAGATCGGTGACTATATTCCTGTCTTCACGTCTCATGCCTCCATCAGAAAGGTTTGCTTCATTGGTGACGACAAACAATGTAAGTCTTTCTTCTGCATGAAATCGCATGTTCTGATATCTTATCTTCAGTGCCACCCCACGGTCAGGATGATATCCAAGACCTCAAGAGTATCTTCGAGGTCAAACATCTCAGGGACCGTGCCATTTTCCTGAACGTGCAATGTAAGTCCGATCCTTAATGTTCCCCTACCCCAAATTTTATCATTTTATTGTAGACAGGATGCCCCCTGTAATTGGAGATTTCATCTCTGAAGCTGTGTATGGTGGCCTACTCAAGTCGAACCTGCTACATCCCGTGACGAACGGGAGGATGGCTTGTCGTTTTATCAACATTCCCAGCCAGGAACAGTCACATGGAACTAGTTGGAAGGTAAGTCACTTGAATTTAGTCACTCGCAGTTGACCGATGTGGTGCGCAGAACCTTGGAGAGTGTCAAACCATTCTCCGCATCGCTACTATGCTGCAAGAGAAGAATAAACCCTTCCGCATTATCACTCCGTATGACGCTCAGCGAAATCTGATCGAGGAGCATTTAAAGCTCAACAAGCTCGATTGGGAGGACAAATGTTTCAACGTTGACTCTTTCCAAGGTTCGTCATCGCGACATATATTCGTGAACATCATATTTATGGTTCATTCGTGGCAGGTAACGAGGAAGATTACATTGTAATCTCACTCGTGCGGTCCAGGGCGCTCGGCTTCATCGCCGATCTGCGCCGGACTAATGTCATGCTTACTCGATGCAAGAAAGGCATGATCATCTGCACGAGCCAGAAATTCATGAAACGGGCGGGGTATAATTCACTCGTGGGCAACCTGTTGGGATATTATGAAAACGAGTGGATCGAGGAAGACGATTTGGCAAAGATTGAGGTGTAGGTGGCCTGCGAATGTGTTGGTTGTTGTCGGCCTTGAACAACGTTTGCTTTCGCTATGACAGTCAGTTGTACCATACGTTACAGTCGGTTTGTAAGATAGCTCGCGCGGTTGGTTGCATGTACTCCTTGATAAAGGGCATTTTTTCTTGCAAGTTTCTCAATTTCAATTGCGTCCGAATGGTGTATTGCCATCGTTCAGTTTTTGTGCGAACAAGGGTGGGGTAATTTAGTGCAATTTGGATACAAGTCGGGGCAGGTATTGTACAGTGACAAGTGAGGACGATCCTTGATAACTGTTTCATGTAGTCACTATGTAAGAGTTCTCCATCGAGCATCCAAGCTTTCATTGGACCTGTACGGTGTCGGATCGCTGGTGATTATCTAGAGTCAACATAAGACGATCTCCATCAGTGTCGGATCCTCATGTTCAATGAGCCAAGGCACAAACCTTGTTCGACGCCACCAGGCCTATAACCGCGCATGCACCCGTGTGTCTGCCCCGTCTGCTGGTGTCTTCTTTTTGTCTTTCAGTTCGAGCTCTGCAGCCTCGCAAATCGCCCGCATATCCCGGAGCGCATCTGTTGATATGCTGCTTGAACCTTGTTCGTGGAGGTGAGTGGGGATGAGAATTTGGACTCGACGCAGAATTTGATGCGATGGGGGTGCTATGAGATCTGCGAGAGGACAGAGTACGAGCTTGGCTTTGTGGTGAGGGTGAACGGAATTGCCATAACCATATTCCCAACAGACAGCTCGAAAGCCAGTGCCTCGGAATTGGTGACTGGCGCTCAGGCCACTAGCGCTAAGCTTCAACACCTGAGATCGAGAGACAAAAGAGTCGGTGAAGAAAGGGTGCGTACGTTTTTGCGGGAGATCAGCGGGACTTGAACTCGAGAGAGAGCCCGAGGAGGAAGTAAATGTCGATGCATCTACAGGGAGTTATTCTAGCATCGACTTCAGGCGTGACAGGTGCCTATCGATTCCACGACCTGTAGCAGCTTCCCTCGTACGCCTTGCATGCGTCTGAATGGCGTATTGGAGGAGGTGAAGAGGTGCGCGTGGCTGGTTGTATCAGTGGAAACACCATGAGTTCGTATCGTCGCTGTGAGGATATGAAACGAACTCACCTCTACTTCGTGCTGGCTCTCCTCTGTCACACACTCAGCTCCACGTCCCCATTCCTTGGCAGCTTGAACGAAATCTAATCCTTCCACACTTGCATTCCCCACGAACTCTGTACGACCAGCATTGAATATTCGCGTGAGGGCTGTTTCATAGTTCGCTGTGAGCACTGAGGAATCCACGGGATCGGTACCAGGCGAGTTAGAGTCTGGTAGAGTGCAAGTTGGTGTAGGCGTCTGGTGAAAGGCGTGCTAATGGTCTGACCTTTGCGACAAAAGAAATAAGGGAATGATAGAGGGAAATTGTGACCCGGAAAATAAATCAAAAAGCCAGAAAATCGATAAGGTGAAATGTGCGTTGTCGAAAGAGCATTTGCGGATGCCCACATGCCCGCTGGGCTACTAATTCTTGATGGCGTCCACGCTGGATATGTCCAAGTAGACCGCAAACGGATCACAGAAATGAGGATGATCGAGGACCTGACATAAGGAATTATAGACACAGTTGAAAAGTCGGGAGGGAAGCCAAAAAAAAATTGGAAACATGATGGCTTTGGTCATCACGTACATATCATACCGAGTACGACTGAAATTGGCATGATGGCCTGGGGTACTAGCTATAGAGAACGGTTGGGTTTATTGGGCCTGAGAGATGCATAGGGGCTTGTCTAAATCCTCAGCCGCGCCAGACGATATTCAGAGATTCTTGGTACACAAGGTCAGCGCTTTAGTCTTCTCATTCATGATATACAAATAGAAAGTTCGTGTACGAGAAGTAATGATACAGACACACTCCTGTACAAGTAGCATTGGATTAGCATTAGTGTTCTTGAAAGCTTTCTGTTGATACAATGCATGAAGCCTCAGCATACGAGTTCCCCCGGTCCAAGTAACACATTTTCTTCGTCCAAAAATAGATCCTCATCTGGTATCTCCGGGTAGTCATCACTGTCACCAAAGTCATCCGAGTCCCGCCAGCGAGGACTGCCCGGAAAGAGCTCGACGGAGGTGGCAACTATCACCTCTTCCCAAAGACCTTTCTCGTCTTCTTCAATTCTGTAGCAGGGCGAGCTTGACGAATTGTGCACGATGGGGGCGGTCCTCAACATGCTGGCAGCATGACGCATGCGTCGATAACTGCTGGCCAACAGTCGTTTGCGCAAGGTGTCGCGTTGACACCCCTGGCAGTGCATGCTCTCCGATGCTACTGCGAGCGGCTGGCGGAGTTCGCAGATGCTGTGTGACAAAGAAAACAAGTCTACATGAGAACTGCGTGGTACATGCATACACGAAAGTACCCTCACGTTCTGAGACGCTGCTCTGGTCCTCTTTTGAATTTTGATAGGTTGTTTGGGTATATTGAATAGATGGGAAAAAGTGCTGATAGGTCGCATTAGCAGTCAGGGAGGAGCTGGGCCGTGGGTTTCGGAGGGGGTTGAGAGGAGAAAAGATATTTGAAGTATGTTTATTGTAATGGGCCTGTCGTAAAAGACGATAAAACTCATCACCAGTAATCGGTAGATCAGGCGGGTACGCCTCCTTTACACCACAAGTGAGTGGATCTCCCGGGAGGTAGGTACCATGCCATGTACCAATGGAATCTAGAGAGAAATGTCTTCGGGTACTATTACCTGCATCGCTTGATGAAGACGGCTGTGATTTTGCAAGAGGCAACGATCTGGATCTTCGTCGTGTCATCGACACCACTCTGCTTTGTTCGGTGCCTATGGGTCGTTCATATTTGGAGGGTTCGTCAGCACGTAGTGCCTGACTGCCTGATGTCGGCGACCAAGAGCGGCTTCCAGTTGTATCGGGCACGGATCCCCTACGTCTTGTAAGTCCAGGTGGCACCAAAGTATCAAATATTGCACTGCGGTGATCCACGAGACCATGAACTGTCCGCACAGGTCCATCAGACGAAGATTTGAACTTCCAGGAATCCCGAGGAGGACGCCAAACATATGGCATGGAGGGAGCACGGGATGTTATGGGTTGCGTCACCTTGTCCACATTCCACTCGCGAGACGATGTCATGCGCTCTGATGAGGTGAGGTCGGACCGGCACTTTGACGGTGATGGCCACCCTCCTGTAGATCCAGCCGCTGAGGCACGAACCAATTCCTGTAGTGCATCGGAGCTATTATATCTTGCGTCACGGGTGAGTGGCGGTCGTTCTTTGCGACCACTTCCAGCTATACTATCAGTATCACCACTCTGAACAGCGGGCGACTGCGAGTATATGGATTGATCCTCAGTTCCGTTTTTTGGGATGCTATGGTTTGTGTCACACGACCATGGTTCAGGGGCAGTAGCAAGGGAGTGCAATGATGTTTCTGACCATCTTGGATCTTTGTGGGGCCTGTTGTCAATCTCTGGAGGTGAAAAGGAATTCGCATTCACAGTGTGAGTACAATAGCACTAGGGCTGTGGCAGGCGCTAAACTTACCAAGCGGTGCTCGTTTCACGGGTTCGCGATCATTATGGACATGGCGACGTTTGAAATAACCAAGAGAGGTTGGTACATGATCTACTTCGTCGGTGAGAGCAAAAGATCGTTTAGGTGAGAGAGGTGGCGAAGACGGATCATCATTTTCTGGTTCGTTGCATGTAACTTTGCGAGGTGGAGGAGAATGCGGTGGAGAGGTCATTTATCACGGAATGGTAGGATACAGAGAAAAGGGCTGGTCAGCTGGAACGATGTGTCAGTACCTCAGCAACGATGGGAGGTGGTTGTAAATAGCTACCAGTAGTACTGTCTGTCGTTCGGAGCTTGACACAGCTTTCCGGTTATATTGAATCGCATGTGACAAAGAGGCGAGGTGGCACACCCACCGAACCTTCCTTTGCGACATTGTAGACACTCTTCATGGCGTTCTAGACCACTATCCTTCTGGCAGTGCTTCAAAATTAAAGTCGAAGTCGCGAAGTGCCAAGATTGAACTATTGCCATTGGCTGCGGACATAATACGGACATACCCGATAACACAATGCCTAGCTCATCAATCCAATGTTCAATGTTCAACGTTCAACATTCAACCTTTTCAATCCCGGATTATGATCACGAATTACTGTGCATCTGGAACTAAAGAGTTTCTTATCAGAATGGTGCGACAGTTTGATCACCCTGACCTTCCCATAGTGACGTCAAGGCTTCGCGAATACCGATGGGCTGACCGTTACAATTTTTTTACGTTGTATCGGAACCAACCTTTCGAGATGCATCACTACCCTGGACCTCGTGCGCTCCATGAACTAAATGTGACAGAGCAAAATTTGAAAGCCCTCCTGTAAGAGGACTGGCCTCGCCGGATGTAGGTCGCCTTTACCATGTTACAAAAAAAATCTGACCAATTTATACACCACGTCTCTCGGCGACGTTCCTCAACAACCGCATCACTAACTTGCCTGGCTCGCTTTTCAGACCGAGACCTCCAGACGTTAGCATCGTGGATCGACCAGAACATCAGGTCCTTCAGCTTGTGATAAGCGTCATGAATGTGGGATTGCAACGGAGTTGGCCATGCATCACCGATGTCACAGGGTTGTCATGGGCGCAATAGAAGCAATTGTGCAGTTCGTCTTGATCGGGTTCACAGGCGACCTTGAATTATACCTGCTTGTCAGTATCTGTTTGTCAAGGGTCTTGGCACCCATCAACTAACTTGCACATTTTGCTACTCTGCTTCACGTGCTTGGACGTCGTCGGTGGTTCGGCGAACGACAATCAGTGTTGCTGAGTTCGCTTCCTGGTTAGTAACCTAAAACTTCTATAACCACATGGAGATTGCCTACAACAACTACATCTATCTTTGAGTCGATTTGCTGCGATCGCACCGATCCTACATGCATCACTCATCATGCAAGGCTGTAACAACTTTACCTGTACAGCCTCAATAATGACATTGACATTTAGTGCACTTCTCAGCAGAAGAACCAGCATCGACCTTACTAGGTTGATCGGGCCCCGCACCGGTACCATGATCATGAATCCGGTGACAGCCGTACCAACAAATCCCCACTGCTCGCATGAGTGCAAGACGCTTCGGATATGCGGTGAGTTGGTCGCCAATAGATATTGAATGTCGAGCAGTGGAAAATGAATACCAATGAATCCGCATCCTGTATTCAACGTGCACCGAGGGCCTTGGGTGTGTGACACCAAATTAGTACCATAGCAAAATGATTTGAGCGCTCTCGCAAATATCTCACAAGTGTCAGCCATTTGTTACACGCCGCCATAGATAGATGTGTCAAATGGTGTAGTTCGTGCTAGATGAATACACCATTGTGCATGCTCTGAGTCATAGCATCATTCATCAGTGATCCTATCACGTTTACACATTCATTTCTAAGTGGTACAGGAAGTGACGGGCCGGTCGTCCATATGGTGCGGCAATATATAGTAGATTCGAAAATCATCAAGTGATCACCTGGATTAGTGAATGATAACATATATATCAGGGATACCTGTTTATACGAGGGTAAGCACGATATAATATTAATAACGATACAAACGAATTAGCTAGTCAGATACACAAAGTGATGAATGGGAAGGAATAACTAATGAGTAGATGTGTCAGATGAGTTGAACGTAATGCCAATGATATAAAATGAAGGGATCATAGTCATGTCGTGAATCTAGTGTATAATAGCCATCAGATAACCGTATAATGAGTCGAACGAAGTAAATAGTGATATAGAGTGAAGGAGAGGCGGTGAACCTGAGCTAGACTAGCTAGTACAACAACTCAGTTATCAACGCCGAGGAAAGACTGCAGCTCATTAACAGGTTGCATCCTGACCCTGGTGGGCGTGTTCCGAGGCATCGCTGGCTTCTGCTCAAACCTGACTTCGCTCAGGGAGTGGTGCTGGGAAGGCGAGTTCGATGTCGCGTCAGGAATTGGTGACAAGAAAGTAAGGATTGCCTCTCCGCGGGAGGAATCACAGTCCGAGTCGGGGTCGAAAGTGAAATAAATATTTCCATCGTTCACATCAAGCCCTAGTGCTTGTGGAGCTTCATCGGGCGCATCGACACGAGCATTGGTGGAATTTGTGGGCGCGAAAGTAGAAGCAGCCCGAGTGGTCTCGTACGAAGCGAAGCTCTTTTGTGTACCAGTCTTGGCAACCGCATTCAGGTTGGGCGTTGATCTTGCTGCTTTGCTCATGTCCAAAAAATTCTGGGAGCGGTTGAGCATTGATGTTTTCGGTTCGTTATCGTCTAACTTCTGGGAATGTTTCCTGTGCATAACATGGATCAACTGATTTTGATTATTTCATCGAGGTTATACATACCTATTGAGTAATCCCCATTGTTTCTGGGGTGTGGGGCTGTCGTTTGCACGTGAGGTTCTGAGGGCAAGAATATCTGTTTCAGACATTGGCAGGGGGGAAGAACGCTGACAATCATCAGGTGCTGGACTGCGCTGAAAGCGAACTTGCCGCTGAAAGAGAAGAGTGAGTCAACATCGACTATCTAATAATACAATTGTCACGCACCGCTGCGGTGGCATCATGCCAGGAGCTAATGAGTGCGAGCTCTGCGGATGATGGAAACTTTTCGAGCACGAGCGTTGGATGAGGGGGTTCTATATTCACCCGGCCACCGTTGGACGAAGGTGCCAAGGGTTTTGATCTTGAGCCAGTAGGTATGCTTAATTCTCTGGGCAACGAAGGAAGTTCCTTGTCTATGTTGAGAGGCATGGCAGCGAAGATACAGATGAAGGTGGTGAAGATATAAATTATCGAGAGCAAACTGAGATAGTATAAATACCCAAGACGCTTCAAAAGCATTTGAAGCTGCGGTGTGGACATTAGACCGAAAGGTGCCCTTTGTGGTGCTGTGGACAGGAGACAAAGAATAACTTTGTGGATGGAACATGTGCATACAGTGCCCGAGACGAAGTTGACCAAGGTTTCAGCCTGCCAGTGGCAAGTTGGACTAGAGAGCGTACCATGGCCATGCTGTGGAAGCATAAACTTAAAATTTTGTTATGCAAAATCTGTAAGTTTTACCAACACCTATTTTTGTAATTCACCTTCGGATAGTGGAGTCGAGGTCGCGCGCTCGCAGTCCATGAGCGCGCCACTGTCACGTGCAAGAAAAGCAACACTAACGTAGTACCGCGGGAGCCGGAAGCAACAGTGTTAACTCCATTTGTTATCAAATTTGGTGAGCAAAATTTGCGAATATAGCTGCGAACTAGGCTCATGATCAGCCGCACGGCTTAGGCAGACTGATTACAAGTTTAACTGCGAATACTTGGATTATAGACGATATCCGCTTTGACAAGAGTCAACACGCTTGGATTCACGACCAGAGCTTCAAGTTTGGTCCAGCGATCTTGGTATGGTCTTTGCCATCGGACTTTCTGGCCGAGGCAGACACCCATGCCAGATGGCGGCCCAGATCTCAGACCCGGAAGTATAATTCGGATCACGGAAATGTCACGGTGAGTTATGACAAAGAGAAAATAACATTTGTTATATTGCTTATGTACTACACAGAACCTATGGGTATTAGTTCCTCGGACCTCGGCCGTTTTCTTTCTTGCGAACCATCATCATGTCCCAACAGCAGGTGGACGAGGAGACGCCGTTGCTGCCCGTGCAACAGAAGAAGGCTAGAACACCATTGCCTTGGCGTCAATTCTCTATCATACTGTTTCTTCAGCTCGCAGAACCGCTCACTTCACAAGTTATCTCTCCCTTTGCACCTCAGGTATGGTTTTTTCATACAGCCGAATCTCTTGACAGCTTCTGATAGGCTCGTCGCGACTCTTTTTAGCTGATTAGAGACATTGGCATCACGGATGGCGATGAAACTCGTGTAGGATACTATGTCGGATTAATGGCGAGTCTGATTTTAACAAACAATGGGTATATTCTTATCTTCGAATATACGCAGCATTCCCTGTTCTTTGCCACACAAGCCCTGACCGTTCTCCATTGGAGTCGTATATCAGACCACATCGGACGGAAGCCCGTCATTTTAACAGGCCTGTTTGGATTGTCCGTTTCCATGTACTGTTTCGGCCTATCTAGAACCTTTTCGGGGCTCGTACTAAGGTTTGATCATTTTTATCTCCCGCGAGTCCGGATTTCTAACACTTGTTACTCAGCCGTGCTCTGAATGGTGCTTTGAACGGCAATATCGGCGTAATCAAAAGTATGATGGTGGAGCTCACCGACTCCACTAACTTAGCCCAGGCATATGCCTATATGCCGATAGCTTGGTCAAGCGGTGGGGCTATTGGGTACGTACCTGTGTGATATCTCAAATTGTTTTTGGATATCAGATGCCCTTTTGCAGACCCTTAATAGGCGGTTCATTATCACGACCAGCGGATCGATTTCCGAACATCTTCGGACATTTGCAATTCATGAAGACCTATCCTTATTTCCTCGCATGCGCTGTGCCTGCTACCTTTTCTGCAGTGGCTTGGGTTGTCACGTTTCTTTTCTTGCAGGAGGTGTGTTATTTTGAACTAGCATGCGGCAAGTGAACAAGATTGATGACGCAATTATTAGACTGTACCTACCAGGGTGACTCTCTGGCACCTGCTAAAGGGGAAGAGTCACGAACATTCCACTTCTCTCAAGGTCCCCGTGACTTCCACAGGATCAACCGATTCCCTCAACACAGATGATATCACTCGACGTGCGAAGGTTGATGACTCGAAGCCGCTACCCCTTCGTTCACTCTTGATACCCAAAGTGATCATAGCCGCTGGAAATTATGCTGCTTTGTCATTCCTTGACATTGCATTTCGTGCCGTACAACCTGTGTTCTTCGCCACACCGGTAGAGCTTGGTGGGCTGGGATTGGATCCCCCGCGCATCGGCAATATTCTAGCTATCTATGGTGTGATCAATGGCTTGTTCCAAATATTTTTCTTCGCCGACCTCCATGATCGTTTCGGCTCAAAGATAATCTATTCTGTCTCAATGGCTGCTGGAATTCCGATGATCCTCACCCTTCCTATCCTCAATGCTGTAGCCAGGGTGCATGGGTTAAGCCTCACAGTATGGGCAATTGTTGGCCTGCAACTTGTTTTGTCAATGATATTAAATTTGGCATATTGTCAGTCTCTGCATCATATCAGGATTCTTTGTGTTAACCATAGTGTTCTCAGCCTGCATATTTATATATATCGCCGCGGCCTCTCCAAACCAGGCATCTCTTGGTGCAACGAATGGGATCGCTCAGTTGGGTGTTTCAATCGCGCGAACGATCGGCCCCGCAACCGCCACGTCCACGTTCTCGTTTTCCATTCAAAACCCCCACCAGGCATGGATAGTCTATTATTATCTGATTGCCCTTGTCTGTATGGGCATCTGTACATCGCTCTTACTTCCTCGACAGTTGTGGAAGAAAAACTATTAATTCTTACGCCCATGTATGGTTTCTTTGAGGTCGCTGCTAGGGGTCAAAGGGAAATCATCTCACGTTTTCACGAATATTGTCATTGAGTTTCATGTTTCACTGGTCTTGACCTATCAGATATTTGAGACAGTTGAATTTTTCTCCATGCTCTTAAGTATTATTTTGGTCGTGTCTATCAACCGGTCATTGTCAATTCGGCGGTCGGCAAACGTTACAACGTGTCACACATCCGTGCGTGACATCCTGTCCACCAAAGGACACTGCCACACGCCACATAGTGGCACATACTTAAGCCACGGCCACCGTTCGGACCTCCCATCATCGCTGAGCGCACGCCCTCTCTTCATCCTGGTTTCTGCTAGCTTCCATTATTCTTAGGACGGGGCCTGACTGTCAACAATGTCATTCGCAGCTCTGATGGCGCTTAGCGCCTCGCAAACCAAGGAATCTCAAAGCGCCGTCCAAATTGCATTACTACAGCGCCAGCGCAACGAGGAGCTCCAACTGAAAAAGCGGGAGGAATTCGACAGAAAGGAGCGAGAAGAAGCAGCGAAGCTTCGACAGAAGAGATTTGAGGACGAGAAGAAACAGCGAGAGCTGGAGCTTAAGAGAGAAACAGAAAGGAGACGCATTGAGGAGGAGCAAGCAAGGCGAGAGGAGGAGCAACGCAATGCGTTGCTTTACGGTCCTAAGAGGGCCAAGTCTGGCCCTAAGTGGCCATCGTCCAGCGGAATATCGAAGGAGTCCGTCCCCAGGCGCAGATTACCGTCAGATGAGGAGGATGGCTCCTGTTCCGGCTCTCCAGCAATGGCTCTCACTAGGGAGGAGAAACGGCGGCGCAGGGTCGAATCTGAAATGCGCAGGGGTTATGCATTCAAGCGGGCCGCCTCATCCTCCGGCTATCACAAAGCTGGCAGGCGACTTCCAGGAGGGGCTATTGACACCACGTCAGCACCAACCTCCGACAGCTGTAACAGCTCACAGTCTGTCAAAGCTCGCCTTTCTGCACTTCCTAATACGTTGACTAAGCTTAATGTCCACAAGCGAGACACGCGGACCATAGACGAGATTTTGCAAGACAGAGCCAAGGCGAAAACCGCCACATTGGACGGTGACGATGCTAAAGAGTTTAATGACTGGTTCGGCAAAGGGAAGAAGGACACAGGAAAGATCAGTACCCAGGTATCTACGGCTGCACCATCTAGAGCGTCTTCCAACTCCAGCTCCCCAGGCCCCTCAGTGTCCAGTGAGTGTTTTGATGGCAGAATCCCGTCTCATCATTATTTCATCATCAAATTTGTAGGATCAGTTAACTCTGGCACGTCCAAGACATCAACTACTTCGAAATCTGCTATGTTGTCATTTTCAAAGACCTCGCAATCTAAAGGCACAGATAGCTCACAGTCATCAAAGACAGAGGTGAAATCTAAACCGACCTCAATCTTCACTCCTTCAATGAAGTCGCAGGCTTCTAAGCCTTCATCTGCAACACGCACCGCTGGGCCCACTAAAAAACGACCCCGGTCCCCGTCCCCCTCACTATCCCCCCCTCCTCCAAAGAGGCGCCCTGTCTCAACTGAAGTGGAATCTTACAGCAACGAAATTTGGAAACTATTTGGCAAAGACCGCTCTAAATATGTTGAACAGGATGTGTATAGCGACGATGAGGACATGGAAGTCGGTGCCGGCGTTCTTGAGAGGGAAGAGCTCAGAAGGTCAGTGATCACGCATACATCTGGGAGCACACATGTTGACATGAATACTTTTAGTGCGCGTCTCGCCAGAAAAGAGGATGAAGCAGCCCTTGAGCAGGAGAAGCGTCACGAGGAAGAAAAGCGCCGCAAGAAGAGGGAAAGGGAAATGAAGGAGAGGCGAGGATAAGGCGAGGAGTTTTTCTAACATAAGCATGCTATATTTTATGGACATTTCATACCCTCATGGATAGTGGAACCTATCCCATTGTTTTTCTTGATGTTTTAGATGGGATATACTCATACCACACACATCGCCATCATTCATGTTCTATCAGCCAGTGCAATTTTGTTTATATGTTACACCATGTATTCGCAGTCACTCGAGTCATGCTCATGCTTTTTCGTGCAATGCAATATTCCTTTGCTCACTACCAACCAATGCGCGACGGAGAATGGGCGATGTACGTATGAGGATTACAAGGGTAGGTTATTGTTCAACATCAGCAATGTCAACAGAAAGGGAGAGTAAATATCAACAAGTTAAAACGCTGAGCGCATGATACGAAGGAGCGGAGAATAGGAATAAATAAATAGTTAGATACGTTGATCCACGGGTGTTTTGAATTGCAGGGGTCTTCATGCACTATCAATTGTCGTCCGCTCGGAATCGCTTCCTATCTGAGCCGCCACCAAACTGACCGCCTTGCTGGCCTTGCATGAATGCTGGGTTGAAGTGACCTTGCATGCCGAAGCCGCCGCGTCCTCCCATCATTCCCATACCTATAGCATACATCAAGTGCAAGTAAGAACAACAATCCACATGCATGAGACCGTTAGAAGCCCATACCCATTCCTCCCATGCCTCCACGCCCGCCCACCATCATAACACCTCCTCTGGGTCCCTGGGGAACCATGCTACCGCGCCCGCCGAAGCCGCCCATGCCCATGCCCATGTTCCCCATTCCCATCATGTTCATACCACCCATGCCCATACCTATGTTACCCATCATTGTGGGCATGCCGCCGCGCATCATGTTGTTCGTCATACCACCACCCCCGCGACCTTGTGCACTCATCATGCCTCCCCCTATCTGGTTAGAAGCATTACCGCGGAAATTTCCCGTCGAGCCGCGGCCCATGCTTGTCCCTGATGTGGATATGGGGGTTCCTTGCTGGTTGCTTCGGGCATCTCGAGGAGGTGGTTCTGAAGCCGGATGGATTAGTCAAAGCTGCAGTCACAAGCACCAGGCGATCAACAAACCTTTTGGGAGTGTACGGAATGGATTGCCTTGTGACGAGCTTGTCAGAGTTGCTGTAGCACGTCTATTTTGAAAGTCACTGAGTGTAAGGTCAGCCTTGCATTCCATCAAAGCCTCAAACCTCACATACTTATTGTCGAACCACGTTTTGATCGCGTTGGCGTCTTCAAAACTACTGAACTCCACGTAGGCGATACTGATGTGACTGAGCACCACCTCAATTTGGCCAGGAAGTTACTTACCCTTTACTCTTGCCGTTCACCTTGTGCTCAGAAAAGGTAATGTCACGATGATCGATGGACACGCCAAGATTAAGAGCGACTTGACGCAGGTCCTCATCTGTTGTCCACTGTAGGAGAATAAAACACGAAGACAGGCTTAGAAAGATATACACAGGATTCTAAACGACAGGACAAACGGACCCATTGCAAATCGCCAATATACAGTGCATCATAGCCCATCATTGATGGATCTGTCCCACTTCCCATATGACTACCGTTTTGCACAACGGTGTTGTAGTTACCGTTCATGCCATGCGAGACACCTTCGGTTTTAACCTGAGCTTGCTGGATTGGCTGAGAGTGAGGAGCTGGAGGCGAGTGATGGGCAGGTGACAGTTTTGCTTCCTCCTCCTCGTCACTCCGAGGTCGTTTCTCACCTGTTGAGGGTTCGACTACAGTTGTTATAGTCTCCACCGGTTCTTCTTTTGCGTCAAATTCCTGACCGTCAATACCCTTTAAGCGCCCATACAGTCAGTCCAACTAGCTGCTCAACCAAGTAGATGCATATCATATGCCCACCTGGTTGGCTCTGCCGATAGCATAAGCTTCGTATTCGCCATAGATATCATAATCTTCCTCAGGCATTTTTTCGCTGACTCAAGCAGAAGAATAGAAAGTCTTTTGCACTAGAAAAAGTAAAATGACAGGATTTGAGTACCAACGGACATGAGAGTAACACAGATGATAACGAGGCAAAACTTCCACAAGGCATATTATGAAGCCGTCTGCTCGTGCTACCCACGTCAGCTATACAAACAAGTGGAGGAGCTCTTACATGATAGGTATGGATACAGTGACAATGATTACGCGCTCGACAGCTGAGCGAAATACAGGACGTAGAGCAAGGCACAATAAGAACAGAGAAAAAACCAGTGGAACGTAAGGAGAACGCAAGGAGAGTTGCGCGACAGCGACGTGGAAGAGTAAGAGCAAGAGAATGTTCGGGGAACTTCACCAAATCCGTCATGTTCTATAGCGGTAACATTTTGTTTGGTTCTGTTTGCGATCCGTGGCGCCTAACCTTCTCGTTGCCGCTGACTTGAAGATTGATCGTGACGATCATTTCGCGGAACATGTAGATTTAAGGTAGCTAGTTTATAATCTTACTGATGCTGGCTTGGTAGGAATCAATCGCCACATCAGCCAGCCCATTTATCCTGCAGTGTTCTATGCACTACTTCCTCTTGTTGCGCTAACCACAACCCAAATGCTGGCGTTTTCAACCACCTTTCGTAAAATTCCCTTCGCTTAGTCGCGGACTTGAATGGCAGAGGGGAGCCATTCGCCTTAAGCGAAGAGAAAAAGCCGACTGTGCTGAAGGGCTTTAGGCGTTGACAACCCGAAACAGTGGTACGTTCTGTTGGAGAGGGTATCAGAGTATTGAGGTATCTGTTCAGAGGAACCAGCATGGTGTTGGTGCGCGAACTTAAGTGGCTTCTTATGTCCAGAGATGCTTGGATCCCTACGAACGGCGAGTAAGTTACAATACCAATCATAATTTGGGACACGGACTGTCTTCGACGCTTGCATGACAAGCTTTCTCGATAGCCTTCAATAATTGGCGGTCTTTGGAAATGTATCGACGATGAGTTCTTGTACACCATCCGAGCGGCGGCCCTGCCATAATGGTCGCATTCACCTGGCGGCGCGGACTGTAGCAAATTTGAGCAATGAAGAGTCGAGAACCAAGCAACCTCAGACGCACCTTGCTTTCAGCCCTACGCTCAAGACGTGAGGCCAATGGGCGCATGACTTCTGGAAGAATGGGTTGGTCACACCCAAGATAAGGCCAGATTTAGGTGGGAGTTTATTGACCAGAAGGGCGTGATCCTTGTCATGAATGGTAAAGTAAGGACGAAAATCGTTCGCAAGAGGTATCTGAAAATGAAATAGATCAGTCATCGATTCAGCAGATGGAAACCAAACAATGTACAGGACGTAACAGATCCCTGAGCCACCAAACTGCTTGACTCGTGGCTGCGGGAGAAGATCCGAATACCAAGATCGGCTCGCAAAGCATCAGACACTCCCA